TGGGTGGAATTCAAAATAGATCGGGGTAAACACGTATGTATTACGTGTGAATATGCAAATTGTAGTTCTATCGGGTTTTTAAATAATTCAATTGAACTTAATTGAAGTCAAATGTAACTATATATTATAATTACAATTGTCGGAAAGTCTCGTAGAAAAGCTATGCATTTTGCAGGCACTTTGTATAAAGTGAGTTCTCCACTATTAAATGCGATTTGCATCTTCATTTACTATGTGTATCAAAAGTATATCTTACATATATAGTTGTTATAGTTATATATATATAAGTATATGTATATATATATATATATATGCAGCCCCATAACAGACATTTAGTGGTTCAATCACGGAGGGGCCTATTTAACTAGTGAGCAACATTATCTCTCATCAATGCATTTTACAATTTCTATATATATATATATATATATATGTATATATATATATTTATATAATATATGTGTGTGGCTTAAGAGATTCGATTTTTAGGTCAGCCTGATGCCAGTGGATGACGTAGTCATAAGCAGCAATTAAAGATTCATTCGACTCACTGCAGCACGTATTGTCAATGCGGGGAAGTCAGAGCACATGCAATATATACGAACAGAGTTTGCTCGACTAGCAGATAGCCTGCATTGCAATCATGTCTGATTTGACCACTTTGTAAAGGTTCATTGCAAATGCGTTTACAATCCAAACATTTGCTTGAACTTTCTGAAGTTTTTATTTGTGTCCAGGGGGGGATAAACTATACGCACAAGTTTGCATTATTTGGAAACGTAATTGAAATCAATATCGTATAAAATGGGCCATGTTTGCTACATATAATAACCTATCTAAATATTTTCAATATTGCCTCATTAGGGATGATTAACACCTTGATGAATATTAATAAAAAAATTACTTCGGCTTTTCCCAAGCATCCACAGAATGAGAAGAGTTTTCTGCAGTTGGGAAGCACAACATTTTCATTGATTAATGGTAATCCATAAAGAATATTCAGTTGGCTTCGAATTGGCTTGCCTTTCGTAATTGCGCACAACAATTCGAACTGGATCAGCTCAAGTCTTGATGAATTTCAAGGTTGGTATTTATGGCATGATATAAGCATGAGATGAGCATAACTTGTGTAATCCGAAATATCTATTATAACTTGAGATCAACTAGAAGATACCCTAAACCCAAGTCTTTATATATGTATATATACATCTATATAAGCATAACTTTATTACACCCGATTCGAATCTGCTGCATGGTATCCAAAGAAAATAGAGGAACAAAATCACAAAAATATCTTCGGCATTTCTTACGCATGCTCGTAAATAAAAATGAAAGACAAAAACAAAAAATAAATAAAATAACCACTTGAGCCGGTTGGGTGCTCCAAGTACCAATGAGTAGAACGCGAACAGAGATCAAACAAGATCAAGACAAAGCCAAACACAGCCAGACAGAGACGGCAGATCCAAGGGAGGAAAGAGACAGAGACAGATACAAAGATACTTGAGATACTTGAAAGTGTTGCGCAATTTATTGTGCGTGCGCACTACGAACTTCCAGATTGATTTTCAAAAATATATATACATATATACACACACACAGGCATGTGAATTTATGTTTGTTTGTTTGTTTGTATATATATAAAGTACGCACTTACTAGAAATAATCACGAAGTTTTAACCGACTCCAATTCCAATTTCAATTCCCATTCCAATTTTGAACTCCAGTCACGAGCCTCGATTCGTGGCCTTAAACAAATAATGGATTCTCGTAGTTCCAGCTGAGTTGTGCAAAGTTAATGTGATTAGCGGCGACTGCTGCGACTAATTATACCCTGTAACTGAATGAAACCACACTTTACTTCATTCATATTGTGTCTTTCAAGCTAGTTCAACTATTATATTTCATTTATTTTATTTTTTATTTATTTTTTTAATACTATTAACTATTTGGGAATCGACAGCTTTTTATTATTTAAGTAAGTGTTTTAAGCGAGTCATTATTTTTTGAGTTTTATGCTTCGATATATTTTCTCGCGAAACTCTTCACTTTATTTTATAAACCAAAAGAATTTAATTGAAGATATATTGTGAATACCCCTTTGAGAAATAAGTGGAATATATGATTGAAAACAATCGATGAGATACCACTACTATCTATTGTTCAGGATTGGGGTTTATCTTGGCTCCATATGGAGTTCATGTTCCGCTTGAGGCTTTTTGCAAAATGCAAGCTCGAATCGCATATGAATATTATCGCGTTGTTTGCATTATACGATCAATTATACGGCCATATGTGCACGTATGTATGTATCTACGTACGTATACGGGTTGTACGGGACACGTGTGCGTGTGTGTGTGTGTGTGTGTGTTGACTCTCTATTGAGGTCGATTGTTCATTTATCGTCAATGTCAGTCATCAGTTGGGCTGTTTGTTTGCCATGTGCTTTGTTGCTTTCACATAGAATTCCCTTGCGTGTTTTTTCTTTTTTTTTTCTTTTTTTTTCTGTTTTTTTTTTGTGTTTTGTTTACGTTCATTTACGTAGCGGGCCGTTCATTACAACAGGAACCAATTGCATGCTGCTCGGCCGGAGCTGGGCAAGCTGCCGATTTGCTTCTTTCAAAATGTAGATGTTATGATATCCAAACAGCTGGAATCTCATTTATATATATATATATATATCTTTTTGTTTTGTTTTTGGGCCCTTACAATGGACGATAAATACGCAATTAGAAGCATGTTTATACAAATACACACACGCCACACAATAGATCAAGTTTGTCTAGACTCAATAGATACTTTGCTCGTTCCACGCTTCTTTTTTTTTTTTTGGCAGGAATTTTGGGTCGAACACGCTGCATTAGCCTCACTGCAATCGTCTGCCACAGATACATATCTATACATTGTGTGTGTGTGTGTGTGTGTGTGTATCCTATCTGCAAGATGTCGCATAAATCTTCCCCGGCCATTGACTTGAATGGCGCCATCCTCTGTGCCAAAATGGGAATCTGTCATCATTGCTTAAATTCGAATTAAACAAGTGTAAAAAACCAACGTTCAGCATAAAAATGCGCAAATATAATCGATATTATAGCAATCCGGTAATCCTAGTCCAACTTCGAAAGGAAACTTTGGCCAAACGATTAAAACATAAATGTTAATCATGGAAATTGATGGGTTCATGGAAAAACATTGAGAAACTATAAATTGTTTGGCGATTTGTCGTCGTCGTTCTTAGCCAGTTTATTAGACGGTCCTTTTCAAATTCCCCTCCAAGTTTCGCCCAAGTTGTGGCAACTAGGAACACACATTGCAGTATATCGACGTGTTATCGATTTGGTTGCCCCTCAGTAGGAGTGACCTGTTCCAGTCACTGGCCTTAAGGGTGTCGAAGCAAGTGGATAACATTGTATAATAAATCCACTCTCGCAAAAAAGCCTCTACACGAGCAACTTATAAAGCACATTCTTGCCCCAAAGTTGCTGTAACAAAAAAAAAAAACAAATTAAACTATTCGAAATTAGAAAATTTCAGATTTTATCGATTTTTTTTGTTTGGATTTTATGCGTAAAGCATGTATTTAGTTTGGAGTTGATTACATGGTATTACCAAGTCGAACACTCTCACATATTTTTATTGCATTTTATATCGGGGGGTTTTTTTCGGGGGATGTTAGGCAATAGACGTCGAGCAGGGGTGGATTGCGTGTGGCAAGGGTGGTGAATGTTGACCTCCCGATAGAACCCATTGCCATTTATACCAACTAAAGCGACAACATTTACTGAAGGGTGGCACTTTAATGTGATTTCACAAGGATTTCTCGATTCGATTTCCAAATACATACACAAACACACACATACATATATATATATATATATATATGCATTCTCGTCCCTGAATCGAACATGTTGACAGGAAAAGTTGTAACAAGATGCTATTTCCATACTTGGCAACTGGATTTGAAACAAGTCTCGTTTGGAATTGAAATGATATTTAAAAATTGTGCAACCAAACATGGAAATTAATTATTTTGACGAGTCTCGTTTGGCATTTGTCTAAAGTCCAAAGTCTATCATTGGGCACAACACACTAAACCTTTTCCCTTCTATACCTTTAGCTGTACATCAATTAGCATAGTGGCGAAAGTGTTAATGCATTAATGCATTTTCATGCGAGTTTTCGCGGCTGTCAATTTGCAATCGAATGGCGATTTCATGAGGCAGACACTAAAAGTAGCAGCTACTCGCATCAAGGTGCACCAGATAATTAACTAAACTCGGTCAGATATACATATATATGGAAATATATATGCAATTTGCATGTCAACACAGACATACATGCATATATATATAGGTGTATTTAGCTATACATAGTGGTATATATATTATATAATGCTGTCGCACCCCCTTCAGACAGCCACCCTCAGCAATGAGGGCAATCTGCGCTTTGAACTATTGTCAACTGTGTAGTCAAATATAGGTGAAATATATTGATTTCATTGGTAGCTAGGCGAACATACATACATACATACATATATATATATATATATATATATATATATATATATATATATATATCCAGCTATGTGTGTGCAGCTGTATGTTACAAACATACAGACAAATATCGAAATTCTGCATTCGCTTTTAACCATATGCGCATTTCAATACCGCACAAAAGATACCCGCAAAAGATTAGCTATCAAGTGACCCAAATGGCCCACATATTGCACACAGTCCACAAACGATGGAAAAGCAGACTTCCAGCATAAATCAATAAATCAATAAATGAATGAATGAATGAATGCTTGCAGTTGAAAGAGGGAAAACGCTAAAGGAAATCCAACATTATTTAATCAATATTTATTTGAATTTTTCATTTATTTAAATGAACAGCAAATCAAATGTGAAATGTAACAAATCAAATGCAGATTTCTTTGGCTTATCGTAATCAAATTAGAGATTAAACATTTACTATATTTTCCAATTGGTTTTTCTTTTTTCCAGAAGAAGCAGAAGCAGAAGCAGATGTGAAGCGTAGGTGAACGCTTGAGGCGCGACGTGCAAAAGGGACATAATTTGCAAGTATGAAATATGATGATATATGATATGATATATGATATATGTTATATGATAAATTGGAAATATTAAATATATCATATTTTATAGTAAATTGTTGTTAATCGCTTGTCGTTTAAGATTTCCTCGTGCGGTTCGATTCCAACAATCTCAATGGTGGGCGGATATACCAGATTGACTTCCAGCTCTCTTCCACTCCAATTCCCTTTGTACTCCCCCCTATCCCCCCTTGCCGAGTGCTATAGAAAAACATGTCTGAGACGATTGCCAGCGAACGGAACTGCATCGCAACAATTGGCACTGTAAACGATACCGCTGACGCTATCCAAGATATTGTGGATTCCAGCATTTTGGATGCGAAGTGTGCCAAACGCAAACTATTCACCAATTACACTGTAGACGATGAGACGCTAAAAATAGTTGAACCAAACGATAGCCCAAATAATACAACCCATACCCATACCATATCCGGTAAGATCAACGACAACGAGGATCACAAGGAGGCTGGCAATCGAGTGAAAAAGTGCGTCACATTCAATCCGGATGATGAGAAAATACGCAAGTTTACCACCGGTGAGCCGATCGTTGACCAACAGAACCCCTTCAAGAGCACTCATCTGGCTGGCAGGGATCAGAAAAAGAAACCGCCGCCGGTGCCAACGAAACGCTCCACGTTGAGCGTGCGGAAAACTGTGACGCAACAGTTGCGTGAACGGGAACGCGAACGCGAAAAGGAAAAGGAGCGCCAAAACGAGGAGAGGCATCAACGAGAGAAGGAGCGCGAACAGCAGCGGAACGAATCGAATGCTCGCAAAAAGAATAGCAATAAACTGAGTCCAAGTGCCGATGAGTTCATCACAACCGAGGAGGTCCTCAAGCAATCCAAATATGTTAAAACCTACATCAAGAATCCCGATGAATACTTTGTCTACGATCCCACGGTGCTGGCACGCCTAAAGTTCGAGGAGTTGCGCGACATTGCAAAGCACGCCAAAATACCCAAGCGAAAGCAAACGTTGGCCGCACAATCGCCACATCGATCGAGGGACGATAAGCTTAAGCAAGCTAAGCAACCAGAGGCTATCAACAACAACAGCAGCAACAGCAAACCCAAAACACCCACATTTAAGAAGTGCTCAAAACCAAATTATCCCGAATTGGCCAATTTAAAGATTCGAACGGGCAGCGAATCAAACGGCGTCTACTTCAATCCCGCCGAGGTCACCAAAAATGCCAAAAAGTTTGACGAGCGCGTCAAAAAGCTGCAAATTAGCTCCGACGACGACATCGACGACATTGACGGGCCGCTCACAAAGAGCGACTCCAGCGACGAGCTAAACCAAGCCAACCAATCCAATCAGCCAGCAGCTCCAATCACCGACGCAAGTGCTGCGAGCATGTCGGGCCACGGCACCAAAGTGGCCACGTTCACCAACACCATCAGCTCCGAGGAGTTCCAGGCATATCTCAAACGCAAGGGCCTCACGCTGATGCCCAAGCGTGATGTGCATGTCATGCCAACGCCCACGCCCACGGTGACGCCCACTTCGACGCCAATAGCGACGCCAACACGTCCGAGCAGCACATCGCAAACGGCCGAGGAGCGACGCCAACAGGTCGCCGAATCTTTGGCCACACTGCGCAAGAGCAATACCAAAAAGATATCGGTGCTGCAGCGTCTCTCGAACAGTTTGTTTGCGACGCGCCGAAGGACCACGCCCAAGGACACTGTGCCGCTGCCGCGTAACGTTTACGGCGGCGACAGCGATGACTATCGCAAATATAATACGGCCAACGAGATGCGACGCATTCTGCTCGATGGCCAGGCGAATGGACTCAATGCAAAAATGAATGGAGTGCAGCCGCAGCCGCCGGCACAGGCACAGGCACAGCAACAGCCACAACCCCAACCACGTCTGCGAGAGAATGCGCCGCCGATGCAGCGCAGCATCGAACGGCAGAGCCTCATACCCAGACGCGTCTCGCCTGAGAGCAATGTGGGCGGCCGGTTTAACAGATCTGTGTCCATGGATCGCAATCAAATCAAGCTGCACAGCCAGCGGAATCAGCCAAACCAGCTGCGCGATCAATATCCCAATGCCACATCGACGCCAGTGCGCAATGCTTGCGAGAAGCAGCACCAGCAGCAGCAGCAGCAGCAGACGGATGCTGCCATCAGTCATCAGAATGAGTGGGAGCAGCTGCGCACCATTAAGGAAGTGACCGATAGACAGCTGTACCACAAAGTGTTGCAGCAACAACAGCAGCAACAGCAACAGCAGCAGCAGTTGCCACATCCGCCACAGAGCGAGGAGAACATCTACGAGCATCTTCAGTCGCAACAGCAACTGATGCAGCCGTATTTTGTGCGCGGCTCGCAGCAGCGCAACACCTTCTCCGGGATCAGTGCCCGGAATCGCCAGATAATGATACTCGATGGCAATCCAATGCCGATGGCCAGTAATCAACAGCAGCAGCAGCATCAACAGTTGGCGCAGCCGCAGCTACAGCTGCAATCGGCGCCGCCGGCACGCTGCCAGAGCGTTCTCGATGAGATGATCACGCCCAGCAACCGATCGGTGCGACGGGGCTATGAGAGCGAGAACGAGACGCCAGTGATACTGCGGCGCAAGGAGTCGAAGGAGGCATCACGTCGCATCGGTGGTCTGCTGACCCGCGACGAGATACTGGAGAGGGTGAAAGAGTTTTGCCGCAAATCAATCAATCGCACGCCGCTGCCCGCTGCCGCCAGCAAGATGCAGCCCATCTACGAGCAGCGTAACAACAACCACAACAACAACAACGGCAACAACAGCAGCAGCGGCGACAACTGCGCTGATATATCGCCGGTATCGTATGCCTCCGTTGAGGCGCACAAGCGCCATGGGCCGCAGGTGGTGCGAGCCCGGCCGCAGGTGCCACAGCGTGTGCAGAGCCTGCCGCGTGGCGGCATCTTTCCACGAGGCGAACCGATCTCGTCGTCGCCCATCTATGCGCACGTGAACAAGCGCAACAGCCTGCTCTCCAACGACTCGACGGAGAAGTATTTGTCCAGTCAGCAGCTGCCACAAGTGGTGGCACAGCGCTCGCTGCTAACGCTGACGCCAACCGAATACGTGCTCATCCAGACGGAGGATGGCCTGCAGGCGGCCAAGCTAATTGACCATCATCACTACAACAATAACAACAACAGCAGCAGCAACAACAGTCTCTATGTGCACCAGCAGCAGCAGCAGCAGCCACAATATATTCAGGGCTATGTGCGCATTGAGGAGCTGCACAATGGCCGATCCACGCCACTAATCCTCGATTGTGGCGGGCAGCGAACGAGTCAGGTTTACTGGACTGGGCCAGAGCAGCAGTCCCTGCAGCAGCCGTCCCATCCCAATCAGATGTCAGTGCAGAAGAGTTCGCAACGCAACTTGGAGCGCATGTATCCATTACCAGCGCCCAGATACCACATGCCCACAAGTTATGTCATTGCGAATCCAATTGGGTTGCCGCCAGGCAGAAGCGTTGCGCCGGATGGCAACAGGCGGCGGATTGGGAGTGCAGCACTCGATTGGGAGTGCAGCTCCGAGGCGGGCGAGATACGTCGCATCATGGAGAAATCATTATAAGGTATTTATTAACAAAAAAAACGTGTTTAAATTGTTGCAATTTTCTCAATTCGCAATTCGAATGCTCATCGAAGCGTTATATTTTTCAAATTTTCACATTTATACTTGCGCCAGCAAATGATGTGTGGTATTTCATTTTTATCGATATGCCCTCCATTTTGATCTAGTATTTTTTAAGTATAAAAGTGTGCCCAAATATACTTGCATCGATTTTATCGGTATCGATATCCAAGAGAAGACTGCATATGTTCGTATCGATGTGTGTGTAGTCGCAGAACACACAAAGGTTGAAGTTTCGAGTTAAATTGCGACGTTTGCTTGTTTCTGCGCCAGTTTTTATCTACAATTGTCGCAGTTCAACAATTGTTTGACAACGATTGCCAAGATAGAGCAGATACAAATCTGACTAGTAACAGTAAATATTTATATCTAACTTAATATAAACCGTTGCTGACTATTATACATATATGGGTATGTGTGTGTGTGTGTGCGCACTTTGTTTTTGAACTGGGTTGATAAGTGTTGGGTCAACAACAAACGAATATGTTTATATTTATACATATATGTATATAAACAACAAATTTGTTGTTCAACAAAAATTAATTTCAGCTATAAATGAACTGACTACACGCAAATATATCGAATATATTCCCGGGCAGACGTCTGTACATAGGTCGACATACACACATGCAAATTGTTGCATGCATGTACACACATATATACACGCATATGTGCATGTGCATGCGTATGCATGTGAAAGTGTACAATATAAAATACACTTCAAACACATAAATTATCGATTACAGAAAGCCCATGGGGTGGGGGGTGGCTTAAAGAAAGATGAAAAGAGAGAGAGAGAGGATGAGAAGGAGAAATACTAATTTGGCAACACTCTCGAGCAAGAAAATATGACCATCCAAGGCCAGGAGAGCATAACCGATTTATAATACACTGTGCAGAGATACAAATCATCTGATCGCAATTTCTTTTTATGTATTTTTGCTGAAAATATATATTCTCATACATGTAAATAGATTCGCAACGTTTTTGTTTTTGTTTCTGTTTCTGTTTGTGTTGCGCTGTTCTAGATACGAAATACGAAAATAAAACATATATTGTGTTGCATGCATTTGCAGAGAAGGAGGCCAACAGCCCAGGCAGACGGACGGACGCGCATCATGGATGTGGAGCATGAGCAGCAGAGCAGTGCCACTGCTGGCGGAAACGAAGGCAAGGCGGAGGAGTCGCTTGGCATCAGCACATCCTCGTCGTGGACAATATTAGCAACAGACAGAGTCGAGACACTTGACAACACCACAGACAACGAGCAGAGGAAAGGACAACGACAGCCGGAGAGGGGCGACCATCAGCAGAGTGATAGCAACGAGCATACAAACGAACGGTAAGCATAACATAATCGACTCAGATGGAGAGGGTAACCAAGTCCTTTGATATCCTTACATATGCAGGCTCGTCGATGATTTGGATGGGCAGACCGAGGACGTCTCCGATGGTATATCGATAATCAGCGACTGCGAAAGCACCGGCCGCATCTCCCCGCATCCCTTTCTGCGCGAACTGAATATAAAATTTGAATTGGGCGACGAACTGCCTCCTTCCATCCGTAATCTGTCCGAGCACGGCGGTGCTCAACAGGTGCGCGAGCGACAAATCACTGCATCTGAGCTGGATGGCGTCGCTCAGCCACAAACGGCGCTGAGTCACAAATCGCATCCAGACAGCGAGCTAACCAATCCCAAAATACTCGTCGGCTATCGGCTGCCGAAACTGGTTGAGAACGGATTGACGGCCGTATTCTATGTGGGTGCCACTCTAGCCATACTGGCGTTTATTGGCCGCCTCCGTAATCCCGAGTGGAAGGTGCTTGGCGGCGACGGTGCCGGTGGCGGCGACAACGCGCTTGAGCAGCGCCTGGTTGAGCTAGAACTGCAGACTAATCTGATGCGTGCCGAAATCGATATCATGTCCAAACAGCTGCTCTACCTCAACAGTCTGACTCCGGGACAGTCGCAGTCGCCATCAAAATCAGACTCACAATCAAAATATCAGCAACGCAAGGCGGTAAAATTTGGTGCCTGGACAGGCAATGGCAACAGTATGGATGCTGTGGAGATTACAAAGGACGATCTAAAGCGACCATACAAGTGTCCAGATGGCAAATATGTGGAAATCGCCGCCATGTGCATAGAAAAGGAACCGCATGCCGAATCTCTTGCAGACGAGATTGGTAATGTGGTCAATGATGTGCTGCAGCAATCTCAAGCTTTTCACAACTTTGAAAAGGTCACCGAGCGGCTAGACACAATCGCCGGCATAACGGGCGATACACCCAATACTTTTCAAGAGCTTGGCGGCGAAGAGGTGCGAACACCACCACCACCACCGCCATCGGACCCAAAACACTACGTGCCAGTTGAATCCAAGGAGCGATACAGAAAAAAACACACTCACAAGCTGAAGAATGACGGGGACCAGCAGCAGCAGCAGTCCAAAGAGTACCTGGACCAGAGGAGCAAGAAATACGATTCGAAGGAGCGCTACACAAAGCATTACGCAAAGCGTCATCACCGGCAGGACGATGATAGTGGCAGCGGCGAGTGGCACGAACGGAGGATGCAACATCGTGAGCACTCACGAACGCAGCACGAACAGAGACGCAACAATAATTGGTATATTGAGAGGGGCGACAGTCGCGAACAGAAACGATCCGGCCAAATGCGCCGCTGAGGGTGTGCTTAATCCTAAGGATGAGGGCTTGGGAGGGGGAGGGGTGACAGACTGTTGGAACAGGAATTGGAATTTGACTGGGTATTTTGGTTTTTGGGCTCCTCGTGCGCACACACAATAATCCCAAAACAATAATATTAGGCTCCTGGATTCTTGTGTATTTGTTGGTACTAATACTAAAATAATATATATATATATATAACTATATATATATGTCACTATAATATGTATATGTAAATGTACGTGCATAAGTGTAAATATGTGCTTCATGTACTTGTTTTATCTAAAGGGATAAAAATGCTATTTTATTCAAGTACATTTATAACTACAAAATAAAAGAAAGCTAAGATGTTCGAAAAGTGAATGTATTCGGGTAACTCCTTGAGATCCTTAAATTTATGCTTTCCTAAATATGAAAGAAAGAGAGACTATTCCTTTATGGGGTATGTCGATCTCTCTTGCAGACTTCTATAGCTTTCGCTAAATAAAATATAAATATTTGTGATATATACACCTATTTCATTTTTTTTTTTAGACCTTAACCATAAATTATTGTAGCCATAGATATTCCTTGCAAGCCAATTCATATAAATATTTTTGTATGCATGTAATTCCTTATATATACATATATATATCTACACACATATATGTACGTAGCTATATATTACGATAGATAAATAAATAAACCTTCCCAAAAACGCAATCAATTGAATTCTTCGCTTCAAATTTGTAGCTAATCCAATAATATTGGAGAGTCGGGGGAAAAAAGTCCCAGCACTTGTTGATTGATTCAAACTTCGAAACAAAAAGTATTGAATACTTTGGAAACTCCCGAAAATTGGCAAAAAGTACTTTCTTTTTGAATTCACTTTAGCTTCCAGAAGTGCAATTGAAAATTTTGAAAATTTAGCCTAAGGAAAAATCCTATAGATATACCAATTAGAAATTTAAATTAAAACTCAAATGCTCTAAAATGACCAGAAAAGTTTTGTTGTATTTGAAACAATTTTGCTTAACGTTCAGTCAGTTAGAGAAATGATTAGTCAAAATATATATACAAATTTTTTTGCGAAAGTTGCCAAATTTGAGCAGGGAAAAATCTTGTTGATGTCGCTGTGTCCTACGCTTTTATTACTATCGCTGGGAGCTTTTGCGTATATGCGTATGCAAGCTTAGTTGTGTGTGTACAATGAAAGCACACGTTATTTTGATGGTAAACATATATATGTAGGTATGTATGTATGTGTGTATTTAGCTGTCGTAGCTGTCAAGAGAATGAAAGCACGAGAAAGCAAGAGAAAGATAAAATACGACAGCTATGAAAACAAAAAAAAAGGGGGAAAAAGCTCTTCCGCTAGTTCGTGAATACAACGAGAACTTCGGGTATGATTCGGAACGAATGCAATTATGGCTGTGTATGTATGTAAGTGTATTGGTTATTCTTATTGCTGTTGTTGTTGTTGGCGCTGACTGAATTTTGCGTTCGCGCGTCAATCCAGTTTCATTTTAGTTACTACAACGATTTCAAGACCTACGGACGTTTTGTACGGCGTGGTGGCGCGCGCTGCAATTAAGTAACGGGACAGAGCGTTATAAAAATAAATAAATACATCAAATACAAAATACAAAGTACAACCAAAATAAACAAGCATAGAGAACAGCAGAAATATCAAGACCGTATTACACAACTTGCCCATCAACCAAACAACGACGACTTCCACGTCAATCAGCAGAATTCAACTTTTGGTACATTCAAAATCAATTTGAGATACTCAAATATCAATTTTAAGGCTACACCTACCCACGTACAGGTGTACAGGGTGTATCTATATGTATGTGTACATTTAAATGTTTAATTTCCTTCTTTTTTCTATTCTTTTCTATATATTATTTTATTTTTTATCTTGAATTTGCGCTGTAAATGCATATATGCATAATACATAATATGCACACAAATACATACAAACACACACAAATACATACACACATGTATATATAAACATATATATACATATATGTACGTGTGTGAGTGTGTGTATTTACTATGTATGATAACTAAAAAAAACTACAATAACAAAGCGCATTGAGATAGATAGATATAAAAAGAGTACCCGAATTGCGAGCCGAATGTTCCTGTCACAGTGGCAATTAGCTGCCGATCCGACTCCATTTCGTTTTCGTTGCCGTCGCTTAGTAGGCCAGTGGAGCTTGTGCTCGTGCTTCGCCCAGCTGTTAGACTCCCCCTCCCACGAAGCACACACACACACACCTCTCAGACGTCATATTCCAAAACGTCCAGGTCAGAATTGCTGCGCTGCGGACACGTTCCATCAGACAGCTTTCTGTTTTTATCGGAGTTCATGTTATGTATGTATTTGTTTCCCGTGCGCAGTTGCTTTTTGTCATCGGAACAAATACATACATGTACCAGTGTACCAGTGTATACACATGCATACATATGTGTGTGTGCTTATTTAAATTTTAAAATCATCTCAACAGAACTAGTGCTCAAACTCTCGCTCTCCCTCTCTCTCTCTCTCTGTCATGCTCTCCCGCTCACTTCTGACCTGCTCTCATTTCTCGCACCACTTTGTCGTCATAGTCGGCGCTCAGCTGATAGCTGCGACGACGAATCACGAAGAGCAGTTCGTAAGTAGATACGATATGCATACATTCATACATACATACGTATGTTTTGCGCCTGCAAACTATTTGCAAACACACATACATACACACATACATACATATATGTGCAAGGGCGTACGCAGCTTTTCTCAAACAAATATAAATAGGAGGGGGCAATGGACACTGTTGTTTTCAATGTTAGCGACATAATAATTAACATAACATTTTTTTAAAAATATTTATCTGAAATGTAGTTTCATAATTCCGGTGACCAACCACCGTGAGCTTCTCTGTATGTATGTGTGAGTTCCATTCGATTTTGATAAACTAATTATGCAGTGTAGTAAGAAGGCGCAGAAAGTATGTATGTATGCATGTATGTACATATACACATTAATACAGAGACTATTTATTATAAAGTCATTTAGCATTTGGCGCTCATAATCGTGAGACGAGTGCTTGTTGCAAAACTTGTGCAAATGTTGAATTTAGTGCATACATACATACACCGATATATGTATGTAAATACAAGAGTATATGTACATATTTGTCGTTTCAATTTTCATGTGCGCAAAGATTAAAAATCATGTGCTTTTGTTTTGCTGTCACTTGTACTGAGTTCACATATATGTACATACATACATACATACATATATGAATATACATACACCCACACACACATCTGTGTACCGTTCGTGATTCGTCGTCAATAGTCTAACGTGATAGTTGCATAAATTAGACCAAATTAGCAGCATTAAACAATTTTTATTGTGAATCCGTTGAATAACATCAGCTGTTTTTGTCAACAGACACACAAACACACACATACATACATATGTCATATGTGATGAACATAAGAAGCTCAGCTTTTGATACTCTACTTTTTCAGTAGTTTGAATTTGAAGAGTGGATTACTGATAACTCTATTCAGCTAGCGATTTTATTTATTTAATTTTTGTTGCCTTTTTTTTTGTTTGTCAATGCTGCGAAATGAGTGTGATCAAAAAACAATAATAATTTATTTGTGACAAATCGACAAAGATGTGTATATAAATGTACAGATGTAAACACATGCAAGCGCCGTTGTCAGCTGTTTTGTGTTGTGTTGCCAAATTGTCTTCAAACACATTTCAACTTGCCTGCTGTTGGTTGTGTTTAGGGGCTCCCACAACCGCAAATATCTAACGGACGTAAGGAGTGAGTGTGTGGGTGTCTCTTTCTGCCTCTCTCTCTCTCTCTCTTTCTCTGTGCATGTGTTGTGTGTGGTCTTCAAAGAGGGAAAGAGAGAGCTCAGCAGCAGTGGACTTGTAGTGAAAACTGTTGCCCACGACAGACATATCGAGTGAGAAGCAATTCTGTGTCTATGATATTGTAATATTTAGTACATGTGTACACACTGCGCTGCATTTATGTGTGTGTGTGTGTGTGTTCCTGCTTGTGTCGCACAGCTTTGAAAGATGTGCTAAACAAAAAAAAAAAAAAAAAAAAAAAAGAATAAAAAAAAACCCTTAAGAGGATTATGCAATGCATAGAAAAAAAGCTTGTGTTTTTTTCTTTGTTTTTTTTTTTTAAGTGCTATATATAAATATATATTTATATATGTATGTACTCCATGTGTGCAATGCCCAATGATAAACAAACATTAAAACAAAGAAGAAAAACCAAATATTTCTGGGCGTCACAAGCAAAATTACGAAGTTCAAGTGCAAAAACAGTTCACACAAATGTACATCTGTGTGCGGAAAAGTATGTACAAACAGTTGTTGTTATTTAGTACACATCTAATTTTATGTAATCGAAATGCCACCTCGATTGTGAGAGCTGTTAACTCTTCTCCGATAAATTCCCATTCCCATCCGCTCAGCAGCTGGGCTTAGCCAAAAAAGGAGTTCGATTCCACTTTAAACTGCAACAAATAACACACTCACACACACACACACAACACACACAGAATGATGTAAGAACAAGAATTTATATACTGACCGGAATCGCTGACTTATATAAATGGCCAAAAACTTTTCTCTTAGCACCAAAACCAAAAATCATCTTCAGACACGCATTGATAAAATAATTAATTAAATTAATGTTTATCCAAAAAAAAACTGTTCAAACTTAAGCTGAAATCTCAAAAATGACACGATCCCTAATTAAACAATTAAATAAAATATATATATATATATATAGATTTATATGCATGTGTCGTATGTGCAGTTATTTAGTTATGTGAATTGTTTACATTGCTTCCATAAATAAGATTCGCTTTACCGTATTCTTTTACACACACAGTCATGGGCATTTGACATTTTGTTCCACATACAATAAAAGGAGCACTTCATCATCATCCATCCGTCCATCCACCCCACTCAACCATCGGCTTGATGAGAATGAACATCGTTCCAGCCGACGACATTAAACAACATGTGAAAGTAAACATAACAACTGGACTTCTCTCTCTCTCTCTCTCTCTTTCGCTCTCTTTCGCTCGCTCTCTTACTCTCTCTGTGTGTGTCTCTCTCTCTCCTTCGTTCTCTTGTAACGGCTGTCGTCGTCGTTCCTTCCTCGGCTGCTTTGCAAAACAATAAAAATCAATAAAATCTGGGCCGTTTTAAAGGTTGATTTAAATGTATGAGTGCGCCACTTTGACCCAGCTCTGCATACACACACACACACACTCAGGACACATACATATATACATTTTGTATAACTATATAAATAAACAATAATGAGCGTCCGGTTGCTGCCTAGCCGGAGGCGTTTCGTTTATTACGAATATCTCTCTGATTGTCTGACTGTCTGACAGTCTGACTGCTGGCCGTCTGTCTGTCTGGATGTCTGTGCATTGCAGTCCGTTAAGATGTGTCTGGCTCTTATGCATGCACACATGTCTGTGGCTCTGTGAATGAAAGTAAAAATTGAGATATTTCAAGTTCACTCACACAATTACACATGTGGACATACAAATAGATACACAAAATGCAATCTGAAGGGATGCTCAAATGTTTGTTATGGAGGCAGAGTTAACACCAATGCATTTGTTATTAACAAAAAAAAAAAAACCAATTCAATTTGGACATCTTTTTGTGTCCAGCATAGTATTTTAACTTATGAGCGCTTTTGGGACCACTAAATTTCTACATATATGTACATATTATATGTTTATAAATAGAAAACAAACAAACCCCAGCTGTTGTTCCAGTTATATATATATATATATATATATATATATATATATATATATATATATATATATATATTTATATATATATAGTGCAAATCTTTATAATTAGCTGTTTGGCATATAATGTTCTTGACGGGCCAGTTTGTTTTGTAAGTGATTACTTTGAAAGTTTTGTGTAAAGCCTATCAATTGCTTTGCAATCAGCTTAATATCTAAATAAAGATGCGCTCCATTTTGACTTTATGTATACGATTGTCTATAAATAAATGTTTTGTGATTTGTTAGATTTGCTTTGGCCAATTTAAGGACACAACACAAGTGACAAGCATATACAAAAGAAAGCTCCTGCATATATGTACATCCATACGTACATACATATATACATATGTACATACATTCATGTGTATTAATCTGATGGCGTATCTAGTAATTATTAGGGCAAATGATACATTCCTGCAGGCTTGCGCATCAAAATCTGCGGCCTTCAACAATTCGCGCTCAAAGCTCACTGGTTAAGGGCACACACACACAAATACCAAATATATATGTATACAAGCCATGCACAGAAATGCACATACAGCTGCGGTCAAAATAATAGTAATGCTGCATCTCAAAGCTTTTAATAAAAATATGACTTATTTTATAGTGATCAAATCGAGACCTCTTCAAAATCTTCAATATGAATATTTTAAATATATATTTTAAACTATTTTTATTTTCCAAATACTAATAAGTATACAAATTATTTAATTTAAGGACTTTAATTTATTTCGTTGATGAATTTTATAGCTTTGCCAACTTTGCTTGTGATTGCTTGTGTTTAAATAAAATTTTCACCATTTTGAACCATATTTGAAATATTTGTTTTGTGAAACATTTTCCAAGGCACTGCAATTATTTTGACCGCAGCTGTATGTATTATACAAGCAAGCGCTTCTGAATTTGCTGACGGCTGCTGTGCAGCGTGATAAGGTTATGTATGTATGTACATATGTATGTATGTATGTATAATATGCAAGTTTAAATGTCATTGCGCATACGCAGCAGCAACGGCAGCAGCAGGAGCAGCTTTGCTTGCGAAAAGCTTCTCTCTCTGTCTCTCTCTCTGCTCCAGTTACGGTTGCAGCTGTACTCTCGCTCTCAGCTGGACTAGCTTTCGCTGTGCTCTTTGAATTGGTAGGGGGCGGGGAGGTGCTCTTTGGCGGCCATGGTTAACCTATATATTTACGAGTCGCATTAAGGTGCATCGTGAGCACTTGTCTGTGGTAATGGGAGCAACTGCCACTGAATGACGCACACATAGCACATCTTACACACACACACGCACACACACACACACGCATACATACATGCATATAAGAGCAAGTAGAGGACATTTTAGATTGGCTAAGAATACATTTATTGCTCCTCAATAAATAATATGCTGAATGCATATTCAAATATTTCGAGTGTGTATATACACATACACATGAACACAGTGTGTGTTATATACACACACACACACTCTCCACACACATATAATTTGTAGTGATATCGTTCATAGTTTGGCATAGCTCAACTGTAAGCTAAATATCTTGTCTGGTCTCAACGATGCGGCATATTATGGGTATATCTTCGGGCTGGGTGCTATTCGCACTATTTGGATTCAATGTGCTTTGCACGTAATCCTTCTTGAACTTCTCCCAGCGACGTGTTTTAAGAAAATCGCCAAATAACTCTTCTCGGGAGGGTATGCTGCCTTCCAAGTAAAATCGGCGACGCTGCCAGACATGGCCCGGATTCTGTTCCTCCTCAAATAGCCAGTAGCGCGGCAAGAGGAGGCACTGTACAACAGTTCGAGCCATTATCACGCGATGAGCCATTTTCTCACCCAGCCCAAAAATACCGCCGTATGTCAAGGAGCCAACGTCTATGAAATGCGTCTCTGTAAACTGAAAAATAAAAGAAATACACAAGTCTTGTATGATATCATGTTCATTCAGATCGGATTCAACTTACGGATATTGAATCGTTTAATTCAGCTTTATGTGATTCACTAGAGTCAGTACTTTTGATTTTAACTGAATCCGATTCCACATCATCATTTTGGACATCATCGATTTCGATGCGAACGGATTGCTTAGCTGACTTTGAGCTGGAACGTTCTAAAGACACCGAAAATGCTTCAACGCTAGTCAAAGAACTTCTTGCTGATGATGATTTCGACATTGGATCTTCATCCAATGCATAATCTTCTTCGAGTAACTCAAAATAGTCATCTTCCGTGGATTTATCGTCCCCTAACTGAATTGGGTAAAATGTCGATTTTCTTTTAGGAACCAATAAAGTTTTTCGCTTGAAAACGGATTGTAATTTTCTTTTCGGTTTCCCAAATACAGGATCGGTACGACCCAGAAGTCCACAAGCTATTTCTATTTCTCGAAATCCCATTTTACGCCGCTTTAGATGCAATTAGTTTGCAAGTGAAATGATGGAAAAATGATTACAGTTCAAATATAATATTCATACCGCTTTTTTCATTTGCAAAGCCTCCTCATCTTCCACATCGGACGAAGAGGCCAAAAGTTCGTTTAGATTAAAGACCGAATCCGATAGCATTTTCTCTTTCTGCAGACCATGGTCAATAAATGAGCTACCCATTGATTTTATTGATTTTGAGGTATTCTCAAAGAGAGCTTGGTTCGCGTTCTCCACCTTGACCAGTTCGAAAGTGCTTTTACCATCCTTCTTGGTCACCTGCGGGGCATATTAAAAATTGAACAGAATTACAATTATGTTAATTACAAATTGGCAGCAATGCGCTAATGAATATAAATACTGCTATAGACCGGACCAGATACACTCACAGTCATTTTGAGGCACTGTAAAATAACACACTCGCCGCTCAGAATGAAGTGGACACAACTAACGGCTCCCCTGTCTTCAGCGTATATAGACTGCAACGGATCGTATTGGGTTAACACACAATAGCTGCAGGCCCGCACAATCTAAAGCGGAAAGTTAATGACTGATATATATATATATATATATGTATAATCTCGGAATCTGTTTAACCTGTTTGTCAGTAAGAAAGTCGAAATAACTTGACGATTTCAAAGCCAGTTTTTTTTCGTGCCACTGCTTTTTCATGAAGGGTTGCAAAATCCTTTTAAAATCATCTTCGTTTATTGACAATACTTCACAAGGCGCTGCAAAGTTAATTCTTATTGTTGTTTATTTTTTGTTGTATTTCAGTTTTTGGTTCTGCATTTACTTAGTGCCACTAAGGTGTTGAGTCTGGTGCAGTTTTCAAGTAGTTCTACTTCACCTATCCAATCGCCTGACCCAATTATGGCCTCCGACACCATTGACACTTTCCTCGTGTTCTAAACGAAAAGAAACAGAATAGCTGACATTGTGAACAAGTAAGAAAGACACCCTGAATCCAGCTGTTAAATATATTATTCTAAAATTTGATTCTCCTTAAAAAGGTTTGCACACCCAAATGTAAGCAGGTGTGGAAAGAATTACAAAATAATATACTCTTGATCTATACGAGAGCTTATATTTCAAATTAGAAATCTCTAGCTGATGAGCGGATCTAGTTTTTTATACTGATCATGAATATATATTATATACATCTGTCTACATTTAATTTATACATCAATTTTAGTCCAAAGTTGACAAAATATTATATTTATCATAGCTTTTTGTGCAACGAATTTTAGATGATTATCATCTGAAGTCTTGTGTAGCTGTAATATATCGGCAGATGTAATATATATATAATATATATACTTTATGGAGTTTTCGTTATATAACAATAATGAAATTCAACTTGTGTGTTTGTTGTGTGCAACTGTTTGCGGTTGCTCAACTCACTTTGTCGTGGACGGACTTCTTCATTTCGATCTCGCCGGATACCATGAAGTAAATAAAGAACGGAATGTCACCTTCCTTGATAAGTACGCGTTCGCCGCCAATTGTTGAAAATCTTAAAACTGGTATTAATCGGGCACGAAGTTTCTGCATGCCCACTTATTAGATCCACTTTTTGTCTTCGGGCAACGAATGAAGGATTAACACTCACCGGGGGTATATTACTGAAACATGGCAAACCTGATATAATCATGCACAACTTCTTGCGCTCGTCGATGGTGCGATTTTCCTGAGGGGTACGAAGCAGCGCCTTTTCCTATAAATATAAATATAAATATAAATAAATAAAAAGATCAAGTTTTTAAATCCATAAATCAAACAAGCTTGATCTGCACATGGAATGCGAGAACTTCTATTTCAAATTAAAAATTTCTCAAGATCTTTGCCTATGCAGACGGGCGAACGGATGTGGCTAACTTGGTTGATGATGCTGATAAAGCTGATAAAGAATGCTTAGATTTTTGCTATAGTTTTGCATAACTTTATGCTAAATTTGTTTGCCCATTTTCAGAGTCACTCGAAGCACACGTTATTTACCGCAACAGTTAGAAGGCCAATTTTCCGCTTCTGTCTAATCAGAAATGCAACATTCTTTTTCGCATTCATAACAATTCCCTGCTCCTCGGGCTCATCCAGCCACTGCTGGTTCAGCATGACGGCCCGGACCAGGCGCTTGAAGCGCAGTCGGCAGCTGCGTTTCCGGATTGATTTTGCATCTGTCTCGCGGAGTCGCTTAGCCATCTCTTATTTGAATTGTTTTATTTATTTCTTTTTTATTTCTTTTTTTAATTTTTTTTTTATATTTTGTGTTTTTGGTTTGTAGAAATATAATTATAGGGAGCTAAACATCTGTGATTGCTTTGATTTGTAAAGTTTTCTACGAAAAAATGAGACTTATATCACAACATTTTTGGAAGAATTCTTTAATTGAAACAAAACTACCCAGCATAATAGAGATCAATAAATTATAGAGAATATCAAGTAGTGATACGATTTGTTGATATCATCAGAAAATAAAGATGGTTCGTGGGAGAGACCAAGGTATTTATCTACTACTCAAATTCTCAACAAATCAAACAATTAAGATCTGGTTCCTCTCAAATCAAGGCTAATCTGAGCTATTGAGAAGTCCGAATTATTTGTAGCCCATTTAGCAATCGAGTCACAGTTTATTCAATTAGTAATTTTTTTTCATTTTGCATATTTTATAATTAATCTAATACAAATATATCAATATATATAAATGCATCAATGCTGATATAACATTCCGATTGTTTTGCAGGTACAGACACAAATATAAAGTTCTTTGAATCGCTGCATCCGAATTGCGATTGAGAAAACAAAGCATTTGAGAAACATCATTTTGTAAAGACCAGTTGTGAAGATACAAAATCGAATACAGAACATAAAAAATAGACAACCGATACAAACACACTTACACGCTCACATAGATATGTACATAGTAAATACAAGTATATAAACCGTCAAGCAAATATGCATCTATGCAACACACAGATGCCCACATATATAAATATATATCCATGTGTATAGGAGGATGATCTAGACAGCTACGCTTATTACGTCAACCAAGACGGAAACACTTTGTCAAACAAAGACACACACACATTTCTCATTGTTAATAAGCATACTCAATACAACGTGTAATACACACAACATAAACTAAAACCCAAAACAAAAAAAGCAATAAATACACACAAGAGGCCAAAGATCTAGATAAACTATTCCAAATTACTTTCATAGTCACAGTGAAACGTTCTTCAAACCACAAGCTGCAGCTTAGACACAAATCAGAGTCAGTCAAGAATTGGAACAGGAATCAGAATCGGAATCGGAATCGGAAGAGGCACTGAGGCATCGAGAGTGCAAGGTATACAGGTAGATCTATAGAGGATAGAGGCCTGCTAGCAAAATGCATATTGAAATACAAGTGGCGTTGAACTTTGTCATTTCGTATCTATACAACAAATTGCCACGTCGACGAGTCAATATCTTTGGGGAAGAATTGGAAAAAGCGTTGCGTGACAAATTCCAAGGACACTGGTATCCGGAGAAACCCTTCAAGGTATTTAAGGCTCTTGCAAACATATTTATATCAATATGTGATCATATATATATGATCTTACTTTAAAGGGCTCGGCATATCGTTGTCTCAAAACCGGTGATCCTATTGACTCGGTGCTAGGACGTGCAGCTCGTGAAAGTGGTGTACCAATAACTGATATCCTTGAGAACCTACCCAATGAGCTATCCGTCTGGGTGGACCCCGGTGAGGTGTCGTACCGCATCGGCGAGAAAGGGGCAGTTAAGGTAAGCCCACAGATATGTATGTATATATATATGTATATGTATATGTATATATATACGATATGATATATGATTTATATAGAAGCTATATTAATCGCAGATACTCTATACGGAGAACAATGAGAACCATGAGGATAGCCACTCGGCGGATCGAGAGGTTACGAAGACGTTCAATCCGGAGGCACAATGCTTTCGTCCCATCGACGTGGTCAACACGACCATGAACAACTTGAGCTTAAGTCCAAAGGCATTGCCACTACCGTTGCCATTGCCGCCGTCGGGCTCCTCACCACACTCGGTCGCTTCTAGCTCCCCGCCATGTAAGGGCAGCCCGAATCCCAATGGCTGTGTCTCCAGCGGTGCCAGTCTCTCTGGCAGCAACACTGTGACTGCCACCGCTACTGCCGCCGCCTTTGTGCAGCGTGCCGCTCAGGCGCCGCTAACATTTACAACGGCCACCTTTGCCCAGACAAAGTTCGGCAGCACCAAACTCAAGACTAGTTCCAAGCGTACCAACAGGTGAGCATCCCCATCCAGCATAAGTCCAGCATAAATGCTCAACTCTTGCAACTCTTGCCACTTCCAGCAGCTCGTATCGCATGTCGCCCACTGAATTCTCAAACTATATCAAGCAACGTGCCATGCAACAGCAGCTGCATCATGGCCACAGCGTTGGTGGCTCATCGGCGGCGGCCTTTGGAGCATTGGACGCCGTATCCCCGGCACGTTCGCTCTCACCCAATCCGCTGGCATTGGGTAACAATAAGACCGCCCCGACTGCTGAACCCTTCTATTACGCCAATATACCAATGGGCCTCTATCCCCAGTACAACGGGCAGCGCACTCTCTTCGAGCCACACTATAACACGGATGCGGCCAACATTAGCGTCTGTTTCGGCAGTGCGACAACAGCCGTCTCCACTAGCAGCAACAGCTACAGTACTTATCTCGATCCCTGCTACTTTTCCAACGGTCATCTTAACACGAATGTGAATGCTAATGCCAATGCCACTGCAACTGGAGCTGCAGCTGGAGCTGGAGCTGTTGGCGATCAGCAGCAGTTGGAGCATGCCAACAGCAGCGAGACCTGCTTTGCATTGGACACAGATCAGAGCAGCATTGCTGGCGCTGCAGTCGAGGAGGTGGGTAACGCAGCCACTGGTGAATCATCAATCGATAGCAGTCCCATTACCACGCCCACTGATGGCATTATGCCAAGTCTAAACACTGTCAATACATCGGTTGCAACAGCAGTTTCTGCCACCAGTTCTGCCACCGCCACCGCCACCGCCAACTCTACAGTTACCGGATCAGCTGCTGCATCCGGATCTGTCAATCAAGACTCCTCCGCTTCTGCTGCTAGCAACAGCAAGTTACTCGATGGCCTCAGCTCGTTCTACGGCACCGGATCCTCCTACCAGCAACTGTTAGTCGCCAACTAGACCCTTCCTGGAAACCCAGTTAAGATCATTGATAATCAAATCGCAAAGAGACAAATTAAAACAAAAAACCAAATCAAATAAATTAAAAGACGTCTGCGGTGGTAACATTTAAGAAGCAAGCGGCCAAGCTATCTTAATTTAGATTAATGCATGTTATATGGTCTTTAAATGTGACCCAAAATCACCCCAGAACATATTCTACAGTCAGAACGTTGTATTATTATTAAAACCAGACCCAGGCAGGAGTAGAAAATGATGAAAACCAGAAAACCAGAAAGCCCCAAAACCAATGCAAGCAATGCATGTAGAATGTTTAACTGTAACCATTTTAAATAGCGTAAATCACGTACTTGTGTATTACTAGGACAAGCCAATGAGCCCGACCAACCAACCGACAACCACAATCTCAACCAAGTTAAGAATGTTGCGGTCTCTGACGGCGACTCTGATCGATTCTCCAGCTTACAAAAAAAGGGGGGGAAAAGCGTTGTATGAAACTTTTCTGTTCTGTTCTGTTCTGTTCTGTTTTTTTCTTTTTCCATCCGATTGCGTTTAAACGTTATTTTCAAAGAGAAATTTTTGATTTTCACAACTTTCACATCCAGTCAGTTTCAGACTCATTCTGCGGATCCTTGCGAAGCCAGGAAATGGCTACATCAATAGCCAAAACGCGTACATACATAAATACATACATACATACATGCATACAAAATACTAACAAGATACAAGAAGAAAAAACACTCAAAACGAAATCCTTTTTAGAATTTCTAAATTAATTGTTTTTAAATTGTTATAGATACATACATATGAAAGAAGAAGAAAAAGAAAAAAACAAGATGAAAAGAATACTATTAAATCCAAAGTTGGGCATCCCTGACATAAAGTTTTTAATTAGTTGTAACTTAAGAGATAAGTTATTTTTTGTATAGAGACAAACAATGATGAACTAAAAAAAATGAAAAATGAAAAATGAACACGAGAAACGTGTTACAAAACATAGGATCGAAATTTGCATACCCTTCGAACAAGCAAGATTTGATTGATCACAATGATGGAACAGGATATCAGACATAGATATAGCTGGAAATCAGTTGCTGCCTAAATTGAAATGAACTTCAAACACAATGATTCGAAAAATAATTGCATAAATCAAAATATGACTTTTAATTGCATACTTATGAGTCGACCACAAACTATATTGTATTTTGAGTTGTCCAATTGCCAAAGGTCCGATCAAGAACATTTATTTATCATAATGCATTAGCTTAATTTATTTTATTTTTGTTTCTCTTTTTTGTTTGTTTGTTTTTCGTAGGGTATGCAAATTCGGCGCGCCGAAAAAGTTGTTTCAATTTTTTGTGTGCGATATGTGTGTGTATTACTATTTGACTTTTTTTGTATATGCATGTATATCTATTTTTATATGAACATTTGTAATTTTTATAAAATCAAGTAAAGTAAAAACAATTTTATACTTTTTATACGGGCTTACGTGAAATACCTTGTGCTATATAAATGTTTACTTTCATTTAAAAAAAAAAAAAAACAAAAATATAAACAACAAATCAAATAAGCATTTTTATTTATAGCTTATACATTCATGCATGCATATACATAAATATATATACATATATACACATGTAAGTATATCTATAATAGTTATTATGTAATTTCGATTCGGAAGCCTCTCAAATTCAAATTCAATAATACAAAAAAAATGACAAAAGAAATGAAAAACTAAAAACTAAAAACCAAAAACCAAAAACCAAAAACAAAACCAAAAAAACAAGAAGCAAGAAATATACTCGAACATTAACATACCAAATTATAACTACGGTCCGCAATTCCTTCTATATACTATATACTAAACATAGCAAAAATAGGAAAATGTTATGTATTAGCGATTGATATATATGTGTGTGTGTGTGTATATATATATATCTATATATCTATATGTTGTGCGTAAATGTATGAGTGCGTGTTGTTTTTTAAGTTTGTTATGCAAAATCCTAAGATTGATTTTAGTAATTATTTATATATGTATTCGAATATGTACCTACACATGACAAACATGAGTGCGTGTATCTAAACTTACCACTGAAATGGAAATTTAATGAAACATTTAAGTACCTTAACCAAGCTTCAAACTAACACTACTGTGATCAAATGCATGTGAGATAATGATTTTCATGCACAGTTGCTCACTATTCATATCAATGCAGAGCTGGAATGATGATTGAATTGATTGAACAAGACACAAAACATTACGAACAGCAATCTCAAATCAATCACGTTGAACATTCCGATCGTTCCGTATCAATATGCATGGCCAGAGAATTCCAATTACAAATATCATTTGACCCATCATTTTGATCATGGTAGTACAAAAGTACCTATAAATATACAAAATATTCATTCACAATATGACACGGAACACTACAAACAAAAAACAAAAAACAAAACAAAAAACAAAACAAAAACAAAACAAAAAACAAAAACAAAAGAAGAAATCTTTTATATAAAAACTAGTAAATAGTGAATTACATTACAAGCGAATAAAGCACATTAATTTTTTTACTTTATATAATATATATGAATATATATATATGTATACATATATATGTATGAGTATATAGCATATACATTATATGCAAATGTATGTCTCCATTTATCAATGTATGTATGTATATATATGTAAATATATATACATATACTAATCAGACACGTTTAGTTTCTTGTTAACTGTGAATCAACATTGAATGTCAGATTTATAAAACTACATATGTATGTACAACCAACCAACCATCTTATTGCAACCAGTTCCAATTCTGTATTCCGTAACAGATGCGCCTAAATGAACGGGGAAGCTTAGAGTATGTACCGCGGTGTACTTTCATATATATATGTATATATATATATATACCAATGAGAGAGACAGACAGATAGAGCGAGACAGAGGGAAAGAGAGAGAGAGAGAGAGAGCGGAGAGGTCGCGTTGTTCAGTATATGTATGAATGCGTGTAATACTAATTATTAGGAAATATGTAAAGAAAAAATTAACCGTTTGCTTGAAATGCATTCTCTAATTGTGATACCAATGTTAGACAGTCAGGCGGACAATGCGACTCTGTACACTACAGTTACACACACACACATGTATATGTATATGTGTGTGTGTGTACGAACACGTATATGATTTTGGAGTAAAAAATTAGATGATAAACGCGAAATGAAAAATAGATAGATATGTACATATTATGTACATATGAGTACCTCTGTATGCCCCACAATAAGTTGTTGCCCACGACTGTACAGACTACAGCCATATATGTGTGTGTGTGTATGCATGTATGTTATTCCCACAGAAACTAGTAGTTACCCACACAAAAATATAAATGAATAATAACCAAGAGTCCTTGGTTAATGCCGCCTACCTACGAACAAAAACAATAACATTTCAAATAATAATAATAACAATATTAATAATAATAATAATATAATAATAGAACGATGTACATATAAAACAAACAAACAACAACAAAACAAAACAAAACAAAACAAAACAAAAAACAACTATTTTATATACGATGCATAAATCCATACAATCTTGTAAATAGTTAGGCGCAGTATTTCGAAGTTTTTAGAAGACACCAATACACCTACACCCTACATGTATATACATATGCACATACATATGATGAAATTGCTCATTTCTATCTGGTTAAGCTACCGTTTAAGCAAATGTATGTTAAGTTAAATATGCAAAAAAAATATACATCATTCATATTTATTTTATTATATTGACAACACACAATACAAGAAAATTTGAACACGAGAACACTTAAGTACTGACACACGTATGTACATATGTACATCATTAGTGCATAGAAAAGAAAACAATGTACTTACATACATACATATGTACATGTATGTATGTGTATTCAGCTATAGATTAACAAAATTTTATATAGAACAAGCCTAAATATTTATTATTATATGATTCTTTATGTGTTTTCCAACTGCATACAATCTTATGTAGAAAAAAATAATATTTTTCAAAGAGAAAATTGAAGAAAAAACAAATGCTTTTTATACCTAGATATCTGTTTATATGTGTGTGTATATAAATACATGTATGTACATACATGTTTGTATGTATGTCTCTTATCAGAAATTAAACCAATGAGTTTTAAGTGCATACAGTTGCGTTCACGAAAATAGGTGCATTAGAAGCAAGCTGCCAAATCAAATATGGCACATACAAATTATAAAACAATAATTGTTAATTGTGGTTAAATATTTATATTTTCTCTTCATACAAGCGCTTTATATAAAGTGAAAAAATGATGCTGTTCATCAAAATATTAGAAACCAAGCTAATTTAATAGTTTCATGCTACATTTCGGTCTTATACTTTCAACAATAAACTCCAGGCAACTGTTTTATTTTTTTTTTTTTGACGATGGATAAGTCCATTTCACTTAGCCCAGTCGATACAGCTGAGAGACAGTTAGAAGCCCCACAATTTTCGTGAACGAAACTAAATGCATAAATCGTTATTACCAATTAAGTAGACGACAATTCCTGTACGATGGTAACTTTTATATATTTAAAAACAAAAAACAAAACGAAAAAAAACTTCTATTTAATTGTTAAATGTTTTCAGACATCTTAATGTGCATTACAACCATATACTATAAAGTACATATGTATGTTTGTATGTATGTATGTATGTATGGGTGTGTTTGGGGTGGCCCAGAGCATTGGAATATGCACGCATACGCTGATGTACATATATGTATGTATGTGTGCATGCATGCATAATACATATATATTGCAGAACACTTTCGCATGCACAGTCTTCATATCTATGTATATATGTACATACATATATGCGATCTGTATGATAATCAGGTTGAAGATATTGTAAACCAACAACTATTTTCAATTTCCCACTTGGGCTTGCTAAGTGCATATATGTACATACATACATACATATGTATGTACGATACGGCCATACAAATATATATATTTATATATTATTTGACACACTCATACCTTATTATGTATGTACGTCTGACAATGCAGATTAAGATAAAACTACTCAAATACATACATGTGTACATACATACATACATACATACATACATTTACATATGTACATATTTATTGATGTTTGCATCTGATTGTGTTCGATATGATTTTGCCCAAGCTTCCTCGAGAACATTCGCATGTATGTGTATGAAAATTTAAAATTTATAAATGCATATCAATAAATACAATAAAAGCGTGCATACATTGAATTTGAAGCGCTACTGATTTTCATATTTACATATGTATGTATAGATGTTGATATATATACTTAGTATATAGAGATTTCATTAACTCAAACAAACAAAAAAGATGCGAAACCAGAACTTGTGTAAATAAAAATAGTTTATACTGTAAATGCAACATATGTTTAGATAATTATATCTATATTGAATATATATGTATATATATATGTATATATATATATATATATATATAGATATATGCATACGTACATATGCGCAAGTGTTATGTATAGAAATGTAATAACTTCCATATTGAATATTTTTCATATTACCTTTAATAGAATAAAGATTATCGTATTATTCAAAAATTAACCATCTGTTACCATCTCTTACCTTGCTACTTGTATTAGCGGAGCGGGGACCAAGCCGACCAACAACCAATGGCCTTAATCCACTAAATCATGTATATATATATGAATGTATATAAATTGTCGTCCCCTTGAAGTATAGATATTCCTAATCAGCATCAGCCGAATCGATGTCTTTCTAATCTTTCTAATCGTATAAGAATTACGAATTTTGGAATTTGGAATATTTGTTTTATTATAATCTCATTTGAACGATCTACAGTTACCGAATCTCGATAAGAATCGATTCCGAAAACAATTTTTATTTGAAAGAATTAATATTGCTCAGCTGTTAAAAATGTCATTTTAGAAATACGGAACCAAATCGAATATTCACATACAATTTAGAATCTTCGACAATTGTAAAAATCGAGGTTATTTCAGCTTGACAATATTCAATTATAAATGAAGGGATTCATGTAATTTCACATGCCCGTAATTGTGAGTAATTTGGTACTCCAAAAATGGAGCTACCTTTATCAGCTGCCAAGCTTGGGGGCATCTTCCGGCTTAAATATATGTGGAGAGCCTCTTTGCTGGATATCAACTCGCCAATAATACCTGATGACCCAATAACTAGGGTGATCCATCAATAGCATATAAGCAGATCATCCTCTGCCAGAGCTGGTTCCATTCCTGTTGTCAAACACTACGGAGGGGATCATCAGTCTCATCGATCGGCTTACATTTCTAGTGCACAACTTATTTTAGAACGCCTTGAGCCAAATGAGTGGCAATTTGTAGTCTCTTCTGTCCACCGTTGAGAAACCCTTCAGCAAATATGCATCTATGCAACATACAGGAGGATGATCTAGACAGCTACGCTTATTACGTCAACCAAGACGGAAACACTTTGTCAAACAAAGACACACACACATTTCTCATTGTTAATAAGCATACTCAATACAACGTGTAATACACACAACATAAACTAAAACCCAAAACAAAAAAAGCAATAAATACACACAAGAGGCCAAAGATCTAGATAAACTATTCCAAATTACTTTCATAGTCACAGTGAAACGTTCTTCAAACCACAAGCTGCAGCTTAGACACAAATCAGAGTCAGTCAAGAATCGGAACAGGAATTGGAACAGGAATCTGAATCGGAATCGGAATCGGAAGAGGCACTGAGGCATCGAGAGTGCAAGGTATACAGGTAGATCTATAGAGGACAGAGGCCTGCTAGCAAAATGCATATTGAAATACAAGTGGCGTTGAACTTTGTCATTTCGTATCTATACAACAAATTGCCACGTCGACGAGTCAATATCTTTGGGGAAGAATTGGAAAAAGCGTTGCGTGACAAATTCCAAGGACACTGGTATCCGGAGAAACCCTTCAAGGTATTTAAGGCTCTTGCAAACATATTTATATCAATATGTGATCATATATATATGATCTTACTTTAAAGGGCTCGGCATATCGTTGTCTCAAAACCGGTGATCCTATTGACTCGGTGCTAGGACGTGCAGCTCGTGAAAGTGGTGTACCAATAACTGATATCCTTGAGAACCTACCCAATGAGCTATCCGTCTGGGTGGACCCCGGTGAGGTGTCGTACCGCATCGGCGAGAAAGGGGCAGTTAAGGTAAGCCCACAGATATGTATATATATATGTATATGTATATGTATATGTATATATATACGATATGATATATGATTTATATAGAAGCTATATTAATCGCAGATACTCTATACGGAGAACAATGAGAACCATGAGGATAGCCACTCGGCGGATCGAGAGGTTACGAAGACGTTCAATCCGGAGGCACAATGCTTTCGTCCCATCGACGTGGTCAACACGACCATGAACAACTTGAGCTTAAGTCCAAAGGCATTGCCACTACCGTTGCCATTGCCGCCGTCGGGCTCCTCACCACACTCGGTCGCTTCTAGCTCCCCGCCATGTAAGGGCAGCCCGAATCCCAATGGCTGTGTCTCCAGCGGTGCCAGTCTCTCTGGCAGCAACACTGTGACTGCCACCGCTACTGCCGCCGCCTTTGTGCAGCGTGCCGCTCAGGCGCCGCTAACATTTACAACGGCCACCTTTGCCCAGACAAAGTTCGGCAGCACCAAACTCAAGACTAGTTCCAAGCGTACCAACAGGTGAGCATCCCCATCCAGCATAAGTCCAGCATAAATGCTCAACTCTTGCAACTCTTGCCACTTCCAGCAGCTCGTATCGCATGTCGCCCACTGAATTCTCAAACTATATCAAGCAACGTGCCATGCAACAGCAGCTGCATCATGGCCACAGCGTTGGTGGCTCATCGGCGGCGGCCTTTGGAGCATTGGACGCCGTATCCCCGGCACGTTCGCTCTCACCCAATCCGCTGGCATTGGGTAACAATAAGACCGCCCCGACTGCTGAACCCTTCTATTACGCCAATATACCAATGGGCCTCTATCCCCAGTACAACGGGCAGCGCACTCTCTTCGAGCCACACTATAACACGGATGCGGCCAACATTAGCGTCTGTTTCGGCAGTGCGACAACAGCCGTCTCCACTAGCAGCAACAGCTACAGTACTTATCTCGATCCCTGCTACTTTTCCAACGGTCATCTTAACACGAATGTGAATGCTAATGCCAATGCCACTGCAACTGGAGCTGCAGCTGCAGCTGGAGCTGAAGCTGGAGCTGTTGTCGATCAGCAGCAGTTGGAGCAGGCCAACAGCAGCGAGACCTGCTCTGTATTGGACACAGATCAGAGTAGTATAGCTGGCGCCGCAGTCGAGGAGGTGGGTAATGCAGCTATTGTCGATTCATCAATCGACAACTGCCCCATTACCCCGCCAACTGACGTCATTATGGCCAGCCCAAACACAGTCAATACATGTGGGTCAGCTGCTGCGTCCGGATCTATCAAGCAAGATCCCTCCGCTTCTGTTGTTGCCAACAGCTCGTTTAAATAAATTTCAAACACAACGATTGGATAATAAATTATAATTTAATAGCAAACTTTTGAGTCGACCACAAACAATATTTTGTATTTTAAATTGTCTGATTGCCAAAGGTCCGATCAAGAAGAGAAAAGGAAAACACCGCCGAATGCGGCTGAACATTAATTTATTATTAAGCATTGGCTTTATTTATTTGTTTGCGATATGTGTGTTTTTTACTATTTCACTATTTTCTATATATGCATGTATATCTACTTTTATATGAACATTTGTAATTTTTATGAAATCAAATAAAGTAAAAACAATTTTATACTTTTGATACGAACTTACTTGAAATAACTTGTGCCATAAGTTTACCTTCATTAAAAACTGTATATATTTATATACATATTAAAATATATAAATATGCATTTAATTTATAGCTAATACCACTAAGCAGATAATACATTATGTCTGCTTTGTGCCATATAGGAATATCCTCTAGGGCGCTGCTAAATTGCATTATTCCTTTGGCTGTAGCATGAATCCATTTCCGGGCCTGAATCTAAGATAAAGCCTCACTTTCTGTTTCTGGCTGAGTTGTTGTTAATTGCGATTTGCTTGGCACTATCTTCAGAGTTCGCATAGACAAGAAGTTATTCATTAAATACTCAATAATAATGTCATTCCCTTTTGCCTTTTTCCAATCTCTGTTATTATTTCTGGTTCTTTTTTATAAATAACGTTTAATAATTATTTTTCTTCTTAAAGTGCCCCAATGCAAAACTTCCAGATTGAGTATTTATCTCCATCAAATGTTTTTCCTTCACCATTTTATTTCTGACGTCTGATTTTATGCTGGGTACACACACTCGCACACAAATAGATACACTTCTTCGCCGCAACTCCATTCTCCCTGTCTCTCTCTTTTTGATTTTACTCGCAGCTTCTTCTTTGTGCCCTGTGCAACTTCGCCGCTTAATTTGAATATGCAGTGGCTGCATTATGCCTAATCCAGTTGATGACTGGGATTCCCCTGCAAGTGAGTCCCTAGAGTTTATCCAGTTGTTAATCAATGCATACCAATTCAGTGCTCACGCCTACGCATCTTCTCCATAACTTTGGAGCTATGGAAATTTGATGTTGTTTTGTAAAAGTGCAAAATAAGTTGCTGTGAAAAAAAATAAATGTTATGTATAAAAACATTTTACGATATTTATTATTAAATCATATTAATAATGGTACCATTTTATTTACGCGAAGACGCTGCAGGTACATTAATTGGCTAACGCTTACTCATCTTGCTCAGATAGATATAGTATTGATAAATATGTGATTATTACTTTTGAAAATATACTAAAAAACTAATTTGTCTCTTTTTTCTTTCTTTTTTTTAAAAAACGTACCGTTTACAAATTTCAAAATGTAAAGTGGACAGAAAATAGTTGAACTGTGTTATTTGTCTTAATAAAAATCATTTGGTTTTATAATTATATATTCATTGTAACTTTTTAGATATGAAATATATAATACATTATTCTAACGTAAATTGTGTTATGACAGCTTGTTGACAGGTAACACCAGTAAAAGAAAGTAAAATGTTCCGACATTTATACCGATATGGAGTAATTCGATTCCGTAAACACCTGGTACGAATTTTCTGCAAATAATCAAAAACGAGAAATTGAAACTTCAGTTCACATTGATGGTATATATAAAACTAGATATTACCCGGATTGATTGGCCCAAGTTTTTAATGAAATATGCCAATTGGTGCAATGTGTTTCATGCAGATGCAGTTTTGGCTAGCAACCAAACTGATCAGGATCTTGGGAAAAAATCGACGCAACATTTTAATAATTTAAAGATACTATCTACATAAATTCCGTTGACATTGCTCGCAGACTATCTAACCACCATTATCATACTTTCCGGTAGCGGATATCCACAGACCCCCACACAGAATACCTTCTCTGCAGGAAGGCAACGGACCACACAAGTCGAAATCACTCTAGCCAAGATGTAATAAGAGCAATGGTAGAAGTAAACGGGTGATTCAATGAGTACCAGTGAGATTAGACAAGGAGATAAACTGCGCCTGTAGGACTCCACTTAGTCTAGGTAGTCTAGCAACTGTTACTGGGGGACTGGGCTCTTTTTATCGACTCCTTGGAGTAGTTTAAAAAACGGAGGATACCTGGACAAAACTACCAAATACAAGCTCGGTCTCAGACAAAATGTTTAAAACCTTACATTAGGTGAGCTAGTGACATTGAAAAATAATAAAGTTCGACTAGTTCGGGTTTTTAATTTAATTTAATTTTTGTAAGCATACCTGTTGAATACGTGGTCGACTTTGGTAGGTTCACTACATCACGGCGAAAAGTCGAAAGATTTTGTGTAAACCTAATAGTGCAAAGAAAATATAGAAAAACAAAATTAATAAATGTTTGCGCAATTTTCAGTGTAACGAGAAATTGAAACGGTTTCGTTTATTTACACAACTCCAGCTTAAATTATTCATATAGTTTGGTCTCTGGTATGCCCACAAAAAAACAGTTTTTCATTCTTGTTCGTATTGGCTTCTTTGAATACTGCCCCACCTGCGTAGCAGGTCTTGAAAGCAAGACCGAATGCGCCGCACTTTATACTGATTGAAAATTGAATACACATTTAGCCCTAGAATACATGTAATTAAATGAAGTTCAAGTATCAATGAGACACGCGAATCTTTTTGATTGCTTTGCAAACCTATTACTTTTAAATAATAGTTGAAGTTGAAATTAAGATTCTGTGGTAGCCAATAGAATAAGTCACGCTGGCATACTGACGAACAGACGGACGAATTGGTACTGATCAAGAATATATTTTTATATTAAAAATGTGTTTAGTTGAGGGATCAAATTTAATACTCTCTGCAATTGTATAAAAAGTATGGTATTAGATTGATTTGTGTAAGCAATTTGTAGTGTGTAAGACGTATTTAAATTATTAAAAGTCATATGTACAATACTTTATCCTTACTTTTCCTTATTTTTACTGGATACATTCCGTTCTATTCCTAGCATCAGATCTTCGAACCACTGAGCCATTGTCTGCTGTTTTTCAACTGGTTGTCCACGAATAATGCTTTCTTTTAGTGATCTATATGTAAAGAATTTTACACATGAGTTTATATATTTTAAAACATAGAATATCTTTACCGATAATAGTCTTCATAGAGAAGTATAAGTACCAATAACGGACGGGACATGGACCATTGGTTCCGACAGTCCTCAGCAAGTACATTATTTAACAAAGAGGACATCATGTTCTGTAGCAGTTCGGAATTCAATTCCACTACCTATAAACAGAAAATATAATAAACGATTTCAGACAAAATATATTGAGAATTCTTGATTTTTTTTTTTATTAAATGTATGTTTTAATTTTAATGAAAGTTTAGTTTTTCACCTAATAAAATATAGTCTGGTGGATACCCTGCCCAGCAATATGTTAAATTATTACATTATACTGATTATCGCCTTTTTTATGCCGATTTCCTTGAAGGGCAGATTAACAATTTTGTTTCACACATTTCTCAATTTGATAACAGGGAGTATCACTTGAAATAACTTTGATTTTAATTGCTTTTTATATAGACGTGAAACTTTGTAATGCTAGAGGGGTAGAGGCACATATAATTTAAAAACAAACCTTCAGAAATTGTGAATTCTCTCGTGTCAAACTTCTCAGCTTCTTATTAGGGAATGTTGAAACTGTTACGAAGAAAGAGACTTATAAAAAATATTAAAAGACAATATGTGTTCACGTATACCTTTTAATTGAAGCTGCTTAAAGATGTATGAGACAATACTATCCAATATCGTGCAACAGCTGATGTAAATTGCCGAATCTGTAATTTAAATAAATTAAGCTCGGCATATATTTGATGAATCAATTATAAATACCTAGTGCGGCAAGGCCCTTTGTCAGACTTTCCAAAATGTAGACAAACGCTCGTGGCTCTAAAGCGACAAGGTATGTAACATGATCTTGAGATAGACAGTTTAATAAATTGTAATAAGCCGAGGCCAATTTTGGGTATTCCTGTTTATTTTGTATGTTTAAAAGATTAATTTTTGTTTTTGTTTCGTGTTTATTTTTTTACTTGTCAAACTTACCAATAAATCACTTTGTCGTATAGAAAGAATAAGTTTGGCCATGATGTCAAGAACGTTGTGTAATGTATCATCACCGTATAGTTTAAAGACCCCACAGTTGACATAGTTTCCACCAAGTGCATTTTTCAATATCAGAAAGCAAATGGATATTCCCTTTAATTTCATTGGATATAGTTGATCATCCGATACCTCTAGATGCAGAATACGATTGCCATAAATGCAAATCAGTTTTGATGCCTCGCGAAACAACAAAATACCCATTGGACTAGACACGTTGCCAGCTAAACGCTGTGTACGGCAATGCACTAACTCAGCAAACAGCTTTAGCACGGGCGTAGTAATGGCAGGTTCGTGAGCCCACAGTTCTACCGCACGAAGCAGTATGGGTAAATAATCAGTGTAGTAACTGTAATCAATAACAAATTATTATTACAGTAAAACAACATTCAAATGCTCTAGTTTCATACGTACAGCCATTCGAAAAGCATAGTATACTGAAGACGAGCGTTAAGGGGTAATGCCAGCCCACGCAAGTCTCGAGCTAAGCCAATAATCGTCTTCTTCACTTCGTCATTAGGAAAACACTTTGTGTCCATTAGCACATTTCCAAGTGATTCAAACTGATCTATGGAATATCCAAAATTTGAATACAACTTTGATACATTTTTTTTTGTTTTTTGTAAGCTAACTTACTTGTTAGTGGTGTCAAAAAATTGTAGAAACGCTCTTCATCCTCTCCCAAATCAAACATTAATAAGCGACTAAGCGAAGTGTAAAACATGGTGCGACAACGCATTTCGTTTAGAGATGAGCTTGTGCCAAGAAAAGGAAAATGTTCGCTTGTGTGATGTGTTAACATGAACTGAACTTCCTCTAAGCGTGCCAATTTCCGCACTGAATTGAAGTGGACAGAGAGGTCGGATAGTAACATTAAAGTTTTTGTAATTATTTGCTCAGAACGGCCCCAGAACTTAAGGTTGGTTATACTGCAAATATAAGAAGACGTCACTCAGTCGAAACCATACAATGTATGACAATACTTACATTTTACGATTAATGAAACTTAGCAGCATTTGCTCATCATTTAGACCAAAAACTTCACTAAGGCGCTTATAGACAGTTGCCTTTTGTGCCTGGTCACTGCTATGCATCTTTCGAACCTGATCTAAAAAGCTCAAAATGGCCAATTCCAGCTTCTCACAACCGGTCTGAGGTAGGCGTGAATCGGTTAAACTCATCAGTTGCAGTACACGAATTACAAGTTCTGCATCCATATTGTCATGTTCGTCGCTGGTTGTTACAGAAAGTCGACCCACAATCGCCGATCCAATCATGTAAACCAACCAAGTCAATTGCAGCTCATGGACAGTTACATCTATTGGGTTTGCGTTGAGTGTCTGTACGAGGTTTTCGTACTCACGCGCCTTTTGATCAAAATGCTGCACCAGAAGGTTGCAAGTTTTGTTGTACTCGCAACGCTCGATTACAGATAGCTGTTCAAGTTGCTGCTGAACCATACAAAGATCATCTAATGGATCCTCCATATTATCACGAACAATTAAAGGCACTGCATCCAAGCGGGATTCGATATACGCCTTTATCACTTCAGGTGTATATGTGCCAAGTAAATGCGGATCCGGTGATTTAACATATGGTACTGAAGCAACCATACGCTGCCAAAGGGTAAGTAAATAATGCACACTATTTGGAGCAAAGAGCCACATCTGCAAAAATATCACTTTCATTTTTTTTTTTTTTAATAATACATAAGCAATACCATACTCACATGTAACGATTGCACAGTAAACTTTGCTATTAGTTCAATGGCTTCAGGGTAACAGGGAACGGCTATGAGTTCGCCCAGTTGATAATTGGACTTCAGGCGCGCTAGCAAACGACAGAACTCATGGTAATTATCTGGATCGCTAAGACCCTAAGTCAAATAAAATTTGTATTATGTCAGTGGTGTTCAAATGTAGCAGTTACTTACATGCAAGTTGGTGAGTATGTTTTTCACACCTTCCACTAAGTTGGTCAGGAACTTTGTTCGCTCAGAGTTACTGAACAGTGATCGACGCACAGATGTCATTTGTACTAAGCACGACAATGAGTAACTCGCCAATCCATTCGGCAGAATTTGATATAAATCGAAAAATAATTTCAATGTGTTTGAGTCAAGAAATGCAGGACGCCAAGCTGTTGGTATCTGTATGTATAATGTATGTGGAGTTGTTATCGTTTCTTAATTTCATATTTAATTAAGACTAGCGTACCTGAACATTATTCATATCATCGGCCGACTCATCTGTTGAGCTGCCAATAAAGTCAAAGCTTAGACAGTTCTTCGTTAGCCGCAAGACTTGGGATATTAACCTGTCTCAGAAATACAAAATATATTCAATTTACAATAATAATCAACTTACTATGTGGTGTAGATTAAACTTTATATGAAACACGATTGACTTGCACATTAAGCCCCAAAACTCTTAATATAAGTATTTAATTCTCAAATGTCGACCCATTAAGTAAACCATATAAATATATATATATATATAAACTGCCATGCTTTGAACGGGACACGAAATGTTCAATGATTTAATAACTATTACCCTAAGAAAAATCAATCAAAGTCGCTATGTACATAACCTTATAACTCTGTATATTATTATATATTCATTTAAAATTATTAATTGAAGTCAACGGATTTCGATTCTCTCAATACCATTGGGGCGTCAAACCGACTAAAAACTGGCTGCATAAACAATTGAACGCAAGTAATTTTGTGGCTTGCTTTTGTTTTTTTATGATGCTTTAGTTTAGATAAACCTGATGAGAAATCGTTTTCCGACACGAAAAATGCCCAATTGCACACTACTCTAGTGATAAAATACTGGATTCAAAAGCAATACTTAACTTAAAGTTATCTTCTTCTCAATATAATTGATAATGGGGATTATTAATTACCAAAAGAAAATGAGTCTGGGTGCCAAAAACACAGCCTGAAGCAAATAACCATTTCATTATTTGTAGTGCTTTTTTACGGTTTGTTTCAAACAACAGTAGTTAGAAAGAGTACGCAAAAAATAATTTACAAAATCCGTTGACAAATTAATAATCAATTTTTGTAATTGATTTCGATTGATTCTTTATATCCTTGTAGAGGGTTTTCGGAAATACCTATTTAACAAGAGTGCTCCAGCTGAGGAAGGTCGACGAAGAAGTACCCTGGACCCAAGTCGGTCTATCATAAGTTGGTGTGAAATATTTATATATATAACAATATAAAATTGTATTATAAATATTGTGCAAGTGACGCAAGGAAGCACTCCATTCAGCGAATCTTATCCAGAGCGACCCCCACACTTGCTTATCTATAAACAAAAGACAGTTCATGGACACTCCAGTGAAGATTCCCTAGTTCTCCTCCCTGACACTAATTTCCCGGTATGCATCTACAAACCATCAGAATAACGTTTTCGAAGAGAGCATCTCCCTTAAATCTACTCTCTGTAAATATATCATAAAATGGGCCATAAACAGTTTTAAGCGGTTTAAGTCAGTCCAGCCCAACTACAACAGTTCAACAGCTGTTAACCAGCCGGTAAATCTTCAAAGACGTTCTAAATTAAATCCCCATTGGCTTCAGTCAACAATCAGTTTTATTCCCAAAGCTGGTAAGCCATCCTACACAAAGATTTCTCTCAGTCTATATACTTCTTTGCTTGCAAAGGGCATCTTTTAAGCAAACACCCCCGACCTCAAGCTCATTTCTGGGCCCAAACAATCAAAGGAGCAGATCCACTGATATAGTCATTCAATCCATAGTCGAACTCTCTATTTTGCAATAAAAACTAGACATTGAACAAGGAAACTTTAAACACCCCTAAAGAGTCTATAATGGGAGACTGTGTATGAGTATCATTCACATTTACATATATAGTAGTGCTTTGGTAAAGATTTAAAACTAGTATGCGTTAATAAAGATCAACTCACGCTTGTTGCGACTCGTCCAAAAAGTTCAAGTTCTTTGCATTGTCGCGCGCATTTATCAAAAGAGAGCAAGATAGTAAAAAAGTATCATACAGCTGCTGATCTCGGTAAGATGTAGCTATTTTTCGGTTTTTTGAAAACGATAAATGTGCATCTAATTCCACGATTGAATTCATTTCTGACACCAACTGTGAGAGGATTTGTACGCCAATAGTGCAATGCTCAACGGATCCCTAAGAAGGAAAAATATTGATAAATATCATTAAGCATTTTGGCTTAGCACTTGCATTGCTTACCTGTAAGAATTTTTTGACATCCTCAAGTAAGTTCTGAAAGACAAGTTCGCCCTTGTATGAATCAAACCAACCGTATTTTGTGATTTTAGCAAGAAGCGTAACAAGTGCCTGCACTACGAAGTGCTGCAAATTAAGCATGGTTGCCAAGTAATTAAGAGCATAGCTGCGAATATCAATGCGCTGCCCAAGAGTTATCCCCTGTATCAGCTTTGTGAGGGTAGATGCGGCAAGTAGCTGGGCGTAGCTTGAATCAGCTCGGTCCAGCAGTAACTGACACTTGGGAAGGGCGTCCTGGCTATTGACAAATGTGATAAGTCTCTTTTCCGCATCCGCACGGACGCTTGCATCTGTTGCTTCATACAACTGCTTGCACAGAATTTCCAGTTGTTGGATTTCCTATATAAAACCGCATAGAAATATATGTGTAAAAATGCATACAAATAATTGTACGTGGAAATACATTTTCACATGCATGCAAAATAACAAATAAACAAATATGCATTTGCAAGTATGGACATATGTATGTATGCAAACATGGTGAAATAGATTTGCCAGTTATCATGTTAAAAGCGAGACGGGATACTTGGAAAATAGTCAAAGCAATAGTATGTGAGTATTTACCATGGCACTTTATTTGCCCTATCGTTTGATTTCCGGTACAAAATAAATTTCTTTACTTGGTATTTGTTGCGCTCTAGCGCCCGAGCTCAAAGAGCCGAGTATTTAGCGAGCTACGGCAAGTGTAATGGAATAAATACAAATACCGAAATAGTAGAAATACATATGCAATCGAAAACTACACTAAGCCATAACAAAGCTATTTAGACTGAGATGATTTGTGTTGATTTATGTTATCGGCATATCGTTATCGCATCGCACCGATTTAATTCAAACTGACAATAGCCGTTCTCCCTCTTTTAACTGCTTTCACAGATGCGACATTTTACCAATTATTAACCAAAAGTCGATGAATTTTCTATTAATTTTATTCTGTTCTGTATTTCACATGCATATTCTGTTCTCATGCATGTATTTTTATAAACAATATATATTCGCTTTTGTTCTAGCAATATATCGTTTAGCCGCGATGCACTGAGGAACGATTGTAATGTATGGAACACTTCAGAAGGCAGTTTTATTTTATGTTATGTGAATTCAAGCAGTGGCATTATCATGATGACGTTCCCTTTAGTTTTGCTCTGCCGAAAATGCAGCATATTTTTTGCATCACCAGGAGACGTTTGAAAATGATTTTGTTGCACTCAGTAAATTTATTTTATTCCGGTCCACCACTAAAAGTTTGACTTTCAGTGCAGCACTGTACACAGGATTCGAAGACAATTGGTGTACAAATATTATGCGCTAATCACACAGATTCACTTCTCGGGGAACTTATCGGAATTTTCCAAAGATGTGAAACTCTGCTTATATCGGCAACATTACCATCAGGTGCATCTGTTAGTTGGTAGTTGGCAACTGTGTGCATAGAGCAAAGAACAATTCTCACAGCCAGACGAGTTGTGGAAAGACCATTGGGCTACTTCTCAATTCAAATAAATAATAATTCATATATTTTAAGAAATTCATTCTTCGGTTTTATTAAATATATTAAACGAATACATTTTACATAACAACTTAAGCCGTTTTGGTTTCAAACGTCTCCTTGTTGCCTCAAATACTGTTAATTTAAAATACAAGTAATTAAATAAAATAGTCTTGAAAGTAATATTTTATTTTATTAATCTTGATTGTCGGGCATTTTCTAATTGTAATTTAAATTCTTTGTGTACGCTTTCGCAGTGAATGCCAAATATTTTTGCTGTTCAAGTGGAAAATACTGACAATATTGTGGGTGCAACAAAATGATTAAAGAACATCCCCTACTCATGCATTTATGATGCTGAATTTTCGGCACAGCATAACTGGAGCATCATTAAAATTGATGATTGATGCTTGATATCATTTTGTGTGGATCCAGCATTATATTTTGACGGTTGCCGTAATAAAAAAAATCTAAAAGAATCGGTTACAATAATTAAACGATTTAAGGCGAAAACAAGTGAAACACATGGAATTCTTCAATGATATGAAATGCTGTTAACCACAAGCAATATCAGGAATTTTATGGAAACGTGCTGAACCAAAATGCTGGTTACCATCTCAACTTTGTGCACACAGCAATAATCGATAATATCTGCTCATTTTTGAAGTCGGAGTGTTGTTTTTAGATATACGTATGTATGTACCCGCCGGTTATCCGAAGTTCATTTTTCGTAAGAGATGTTTTACGTTAGCCTACGATTTATAATAGTGTTACGTTTAAATAACAAATAAGTTTAATAAGTATCATCAATATGTGTTGCTGCAGGCTTGTATTCAAATAAAATATATGCATGTAAATATATATGTACATCCCTTTTTGTATGTGCATTTATAAATGTATGTATGTACATACATAGTATATACATTAGATGTGTTCGATCATACGTACATGTGAGGCAGACATACGTTAGAAAATCGGAAAGGAAAAATAACCGACAAAAACCATCGAAAATCGACAATAAATATATGCACATATTTACGGTATATAAATACATGCAAATTACATATGTACATATACTTGTGTTATATGTATACATATTAATAAATTTGAGATATAATAAACCATAACACGTGTGCACACATAACTTCTGGAACGCAACCTAAAAATGCGGAGAGCATTATATTGATTATTTTATTTAACGCTGATCGGGTGTCCTCTACAGTCCCTTTCGCCAAAATAATTATTTAAATGCATATTTTGATCTGCAGTTGCGTGCGCTAGCTGGAATCTATATAAAAAAAGTTAGCTACATATGTGTGTGTATATATGCCGAAAAAATGTCGCTACATGTTGCATTTTGATGCATTCTAAATACAAAATCAGTAGCAGAAGTTGTGGATTTTACAAATACTTAAATTCCGTTTTGAGAGCTCCAAGATGTATTACAATACAAGAAAGAACGGCTATTCCAACCATGTCAAAGAAACATTCCCATTATCCAACATCTAAATTTTTGTTATGTTCTTATGTTTTTGTACGTTTCAAAATAAATGGTATTTAATATTCAATAATCAATATTATACATTGGTGTAGGCGACGGCTTGTTAGTAATGCTGATCAAGAAAATATTTGTAAAAAAATGTATTCTAAATCAACTCTTTTTTTTTAAATATACTTTTGGTTTTGAGAAATACTCGTCCGCATGGACATCATTGAAATTTGAAATTTCAATAGGCTACAATAGGTAGACTGGAATACCAGTATATATATAATGTTAGCTGATATTTCGCTTGTCAGGTTTACACTTTTTACTGCTAAACTTCAAAGGTAGATTAGTAAAAACGTCGAGTCACGTCCCATACACAAATCTCTTTTGTTCAATGGCAACGTTTTCACATTTATGTTTTGTTTTGTTTTTTGTTTTTTCAATTTCTAAATTTGTTTTCAGTAAAACCAGTCAAGACCTTTTGCAAATATGTATATATTATATGCATGAAAAAAGTCTTAAGCATTTCTTTTCCTGACAAACAAAGTGGTTGCGTGGATGAAATATGGATTTACTGTGTACGGAGAGCATAGCTACGCATCCCAAACACTTGTTAATTAGATATAAAAAGGAAACGCCGATTACAAATCCGTACTACATAGGAAGTACCTTACCCTGCTCGCCATCACCCTCGTCAACGGCAGCAAATATTAGAGGCGGCAGCCGTGAGATACTATGCTCTGTAACCGGGCCTATTGTTTGCAAAATGAATAAAGTGGTGTATGTATTTACCTCAGTTGCATCGCCGGTTGGTGCAACAAAATCGACAAAACATATACAGCAGAGCCAGCCAGTCAACTATCAATCACCACAACAGCACTGTAGACACACTTTCAACCTGACTCCTTGCGCACCAGCAGCGTCAAATCCAACAGAAGGGGCAACCACAGCCGATAAACATTTTGAGTATGGAAATGCACATATGGTCGTAACAGATCCCATTTTCAAATCGGATCGCTGTTTAGAAAACGCGTTAAAATCGGAAGAAAAGCATCAGCACATTATCGAAACATATTTCAAAACTGTACAGAAGGATATTACCCCGCCAATGCGCAAAATTGTTGCGGAATGGATGATGGAGGTGAGTAAAAAATGGTTCTCATCTGAGTTCCGTATACTTATTTATCGCCCAATATTCAAAAAAAAAACATCTGGCTTGACATTTACTGTGGCCAAGAAAATAATCTCAAGGAAGACGCAATATTTCGGCTCAATTAGAGCACCTTATTCAAATAATATGTTGGTCGTCCGAAACTGCCATAGTGGATGTTTTGGAAAACTGTCCCTCAAATTAACAATTTGCACATTTTGCATGAAATGGTTTTTGATTGGCAATAATTACATATTGTTCTATTATCTGTATCGTTTAAGGTGTGTGCTGAAGAGAAATGTCAAGAGGAAGTCGTCTTGTTAGCACTAAACTATATGGATCGGTTCCTGTCAACGAAATCTGTGCGAAAAACTCACCTACAAATATTAGCCGCCGCCTGCTTATTACTTGCTTCCAAGCTACGTGAGCCCAGCTGTCGCGCGCTATCGGCAGAGCTTCTGGTCTTATACACGGATAACAGCATTTATAAAGATGATTTAATAGTAAGTAATCTCAGAATTTTTGCAAAAAAATTCAAATAAGTTTTTCTTTGTAATTAAGGTGTTATATTATAGTAGCAATTCAATTTATAGTAGCAACAATAAATTAAATTTTACGACGTCTCCACTTTTCGATTTGCATTATTTGTAAATTTTTAGATTTAAATATGTTAACACCATCTTTTCGCTTTCAGAAATGGGAGCTTTATGTGTTGAGCCGTCTAGGATGGGATCTTTCATCGGTGACGCCATTAGATTTCCTGGAGCTTTTGATTATACGTCTGCCTATCAGCTGCAAACACTTTTCCGACTTGAACATCGATAAAGTGCGCCAGCATGCTCAAGCATTCATATCTTTAGCGGCAAAAGGTAAGGATAAGTACACATCATTAATTCGTCTATCTCAGAGAAGAAAAACAAAAAGTGCTCAGAACAGCCTAATACTCCTTCAATGTAGTTTGTCACATAAACATTAAAAAGTCATAGTTGAAGTTGAAGTTTTTGTTTTGTATTTAAATGTATTATTATTTATTTATTTATTAATTTAACTTCCAGGTTTGATAAATAATTTTTAAGCTAAATTACGTGTAAGAGTCTTTAAAGAGACGAACAAAATAGCTGGTCACGTCCACTTTTAAGACTAGTCACCTGTAGCGATTTTATAAAACAGTCCGATTTGGTCGGAGGCTGAATATCATTTTAGTTGTGTTATGGGCTCGAGCACATTGCAGCGGAAATTGTACATTTGTGGTTTGTCATCTTCATCATTACAAACCTTATAATTGTAGCTTAAGTATAAAGTATTTTTCATATTTATATTGTGTATTGTATGTATATCTTTAATAACCAATTCTTAAACATACTTTGCAGAACATAGGTTTTCTAAGTATACATCGAGCACTATTGCGGCATCGAGCATTGCCGCATCAATAAGTGGACTTAATTGGCATTTGGGTACCGGACATAATATACACTTTCTTTTGAGCCTTCTTACGGATCTAACAAGCGTGGGGCAGGTTTGGTTAACGTTTAGCGAGACAGCTATTCAATGTTGTAATTCACACTATTTCTTTAACGATAGGATCAACTGCAGCAGTGCATGATATTAATGGAAGCTATATTTGAAGAGCACAGTCGCAAGCTACAACCGAGAGAGAAATCGGAATTATTAAATGGATATTATAATCGTCGATACTAGCATGAACTAGCATGTATCACCAACGCCATCACCTATTGTGTCCGCTATGCCCAACCTCTCTCAGACGTGCAAAATGCAGGCACAATCGCAAAAGGAGTTACATGAAATAAAGTCTCTTAAATTATGGCAACGTCTGGAAAATGCGCAACACCCCCAATATTTAAGATATGTTTTTCTATACTCTGGCCTGTCATGGAATTCCGCCGACTGGACCAGCTTCAACTCGTAACTGCTTATTAGCTCTTAAGATAAAGAACACCGCCAAAATATACTAAATACACTAGTATGGCAACAGAAGTCTTATTAAGTTATTGTTTTAGTCGCATTTTCATGGAACTCATTTGTCTAAAATTATTATTTGTTATTCTATGAGTTCGTTTAATTTTATAATTTGGCTAACGAAACGGCGCATATTTTTTAATCATATTACGTATTCTAGCATTATTTTTATTTTGTACATACATATGTAAACATAAATCAGCAAAAAAATCGTATGCAATGAAATACATAGGAAACTTTAAGCCGAAAAATGTGAATTAAACAGATAGTAGTAGGAGCTTATCAATGCTCTATTCCCACCCAGTGTAATTACAGCTAAAAACTGATACGAAGCAGCTTTCTCAATTATGCCGTTAATGATTCCCAAACTCCTCGGACTTTAATACCAAGACAGATATCTTTCATTGCGATTAGCAGGCGGCAATGTTTCTAATTGATATTTGAAGGAGGACATCAGTAATCCATGAATCGGAGAGACATTGGGCGCACATTGAATTTATGAAAAATAAAAAACAAGAAAATACACTGATTCACCTTATGAACAGAATATAAAAAGGGTAAAACCAGAAAAAAAGAGACTGATTGTAAAGCGAAAGAAATCATTTATATATCTACTTTACAATATATTGAATGCAGTAAAATATGATTATCAGCTTACATATGTATATATATATATAAATATATATATAGCCAGTAAATTTGTAGTACCTTAATAAATATATCTACCACACGTAGCATTGCCGAACTATTATTAAAGCTATTTTCATTTTGTGGAGGCATTAAAAAATAGATGTGGCTCCTTGAAAGCCTTGGACAAAGGAAGCGAGAGAAGCAAGTAAGAATGTTTTACCCAAAAAAGCTCGACTAAAAGTTTCGCACACCCAAATGTAAGCCGTTATGCAAGTACTACAATTATTGCTGGTCGTCGCAGGCACTAAAGTATTTTTGTTTCCAAAATCTCTAGTTCCTATAGTCTGTATGCGTGCATTGAGTGGGACCCTTCCAATAAAAGCATGACCCTTTGGAACTTACTACATGGGGACACAGTTAAGACAATTTGGTGTGTATGTTTTGCTATACATTTTAATAAATAGTCGAATAATTATATATATTTACGCAATTCTAGATAAGATTACATTTTACATATCTAAAACAAATTTTAATACAATTACGAGTATATGTAACATTATTTTATGCAGTCAAACAACTTGATATCTATATGCATATGGGGAAGCTAGAGAAATTAGAGGTATTCGAGAAGCTCGACCGTACATTGACTTACATCGTTTACTTACATCAACGTATAGTCGAACTTCTCTAAATCAAGCTTCCCTTGTCGAATTCCCATTAACACCAACTAAATGAAGTTGCAATCGAACTTATTGTAAATAACTTTGTCTTCGTAACTTACATAAGTTAAACTTCTCCATAGGTCGAATAGAAGTTTGATTCATTCAATATCCAAAATCTGAATCCAACAAATGTGGTGCCTGCAGAAGAAGGGCAGCCACATCCGCATTTTACAATGACAGTTTAAAAGTAAAAAGCGATAACTCTGCCGTCGTTGCGGCGTTTAATGGGATCGGTCATGTCTTTACTTGTATACATTTTGTGACAAAAAAATATATATTTTCTTTAATTCAAAGCCCCTATCTAAAGGACACTGAATTGTCAAATAGTAATCCGATTCCAATTCGTCGATGGAGAAATAACTAATTTTAAATTTAGATATATCGATTTAGTTTAGTTGTTTTATTATAATTTGCATATTGGAATTTGTTTCGAAAAAAAACTGCTGCTTAGAATGCGGTTACTGAGCGTATATATTTGCTATATTAATTGCGCTAATATCAAACATGTTGTTTTAATGGGTTAATTAAACTAGCATAAGCAATTTTGATCTTTTTCCTATACTTGGTATAGCTCCAGAGAAACTAATATTTTACCGCCTATATTTAGTTGTATTTTTTACACCCTGAAACCATTAAAAATGGGAAAAAGGGTCAAATAATTATTTTCTTAAACCGAAACTTTGTCAACAGCCAGCCGCTCAAAGTTCCATATCACCGACAGTTTTTTTTTAGATAGATATAGAGTCGAAGTATCTAGAGATTTTTGTGCCATCATTATGTATATGTGGACGTTTGTCGACCTTTCTTGTTAGAGTTAGAAAAGCACGACTATGTATTAAAGTAAAACAAAACTAAAAACTAATACTGCTGACTGCAAAATATTGTTGTCAAGTTGTTACATTTTATTTAATTAACGATATACATGTACAACTAAAAGATAAGGTAGTTACAAAATACAGCATGTTGTAGAACAGCAACGCCCCGATCCACTTTTACTCTTCTGCCTTTGATCTGTAAAAAAAAAAACATAAAAAAAATAATGATTATCATAACTTAATTTTTACTTAATCTTTTAAATATAAATAAGCAAATAAATGATTATTTCGAACGGATGGTCTGGAGCGTTGGGGATGAGTGTGACCTGGAAGTTTATATGCCCGTCTTTCAAGTCTACGGTCGAAATTTGTTTGTTAAAATCCCAGACCCCAGTGAATCATCATATAATCATAACACTTCCTTTTCCTCAATATATACTTGAAGTTTTACTTATGCTTGGGTTTTTTTTTTTGTTGGTTCGAGCATATTGTGCCTTTCAATTGCAGAAGACATTGACTTCCGGAATATTTGGGTAAGCGTGCCCAATAATTGAATAAACTAAACTTTACTATATAATTGATATGCGAGATGGATCGACTCGTCTATGTGGTTGGACTCTCAGTAGTCAGTAATGTTTAAGTTAACTTAATATTGATGCAAATATTTGTTCAGTCAAATATGTTCACATCAAATTGCATTTTTATTACTGATTCATATATAGCTCTGGTTCAAAAAAGTGTGCACTAATAACTTACTCGCTGTCTTACAATCAAAATCACCTTGTGCTCAGCATGATTTCTCAGATTGTCAATCTAAAAACGATCAATTTATAAGCTATTGAATAGAATAGAATTCTTCTAATATAATAATATTATATTATATATGCCCTTAACAGTGCTGAAAATTCATATTATCCCTAAAGCTAAGCCAATGGATCAGAAAAGGCGTTGAATTGTAAAAACTAAAAACAACTGTCCAACTTGCATCTTAATTTTCAGCTGATTTTCCAATTTATGTTCCACAATTCTTGTATCAATAAGTACCACTTCAGTGTGGATTCTGAGGGAATAGTAGAGAGTAACTTAGCATACTAAGTGAGCATATTCATAATGTACAATGGTTATCTTAATACAAAAACTCAACACAGACTAATAAATACAAATTTAATAAAAGTAGCAGCGATCTGCTTTCCCCCCTGCTGAAAATAGACAGTTTTATTTTTTCGTGCTCTTATATATTAATGAATGCGAATCCTTTCTTCGCTTGGATATAGTTTTTTTTTCACTCAGTGCTACATTACGTATAAGCGTAACTATTTCAAAGTATGTATTAGTCTTACCTTGCGAATTGGGCTCTGGTAAATTATCACGCGGTACTAAGTGCATAACAGTCGTTTTGCCTAGTGGAAGTCCTAATGCACCCAACGTTACATTGCAATGTAAAAAGCGGCCTTGATAAATTAACCGTAAGATTTCTGATTTAGAAACAGCTTCTTGCGCCCAATCTAAAATGGAAGAAGAATATAATGAAATTTAAATGTTTTTTTTTTTGTGTTTGTAAGAACTGATTGTACGGTGAGTAGCTGAGGTGTGTGCAATAGGGAGATGTACGGATTTCAACCTGAAACATTATTATCGGAACAGGGATATAGTCAAAGTATTCGATAGTCAAGCAGCAATTAATGCCTCTGGAGGACGAAGATAACGTCAAGAGTAGTTCGTGTGGTACGATCCACGGTAGACCAACTCGGAGCACACAATAGGGTTACTCTAAGATGGGTTCTGGATCACAAGGATATAGAGGCGATAGAACTATGCCGGTTTTGTGAAAACGAGGAAGAGTCCTCAAAACACATCCTAGCAGGTTATTTCGTCTTAACTAGGAAAAGGTGTAGTATCCTGGAGATGCATGTTCTGCCTGCCATTTGAGCAGCCTGTCTAACCACGGAAGCGTAAAGAAACTTGTAATTTGGTTTGTTGGACATGACAATCATTGTTCACGCAACAACTGAATTTTCGAACAATAGTTTGGATGACAGCTTTTGATATAGTTATATATATCGTGATAAAATAAAACGCACCCTTTGCAAAGGTATTAAAAGAACTTTAGTTTTACTTACCTGCAGGCCAATTTTCGAAAACGGTTTGAGCAATATCACCGGCAGAATCTGATGGACTAAATATAAATTCTTTTGTTTTACCGCTTACTAGAATCAATCGCAAGTTGATCTGAAAAAAAAAAACAAAAAGACAAATATTTACAGTTTGTCAATTTTTACAGTTCACCAAAGTTATGCCGAGGATTATTTTTGCGAGTTATCGATCAAATCCATAATCACAACTTTTAAGGATAGAGTAAAAATATGGTTTTATTGTTATCGAAAAACGATAACTATCGATTAACGAAAACTAGGCAGCTATCGATAGATTGAAGCAAACTTGTTCTGCTCATGGTATAAGAGAAATTATATTCCAAATTTGTCTCTAGCATTAAAAACAGACAGACAGACGGACATGATCTCTCTATATACATATATACTTTATGGGGTCATTTGCACAATTTTTACCAGTTTACGAATTTTCAATGGGTTCAGTTCAAAGTATACAAATTCTTATTTAGGTTTAGGTATAGGTTTGAAAACGTGTCAAAGTCGTGGATTTGATTCGAGATTCAACTGAAAACAATTAGCAGAAAATAAATAAAAACTAAAACCGATCTTAATATTTATTTTAAATTAAGATTATGTCACAGAATATCTTCAAGTAAGTTTGTAGATTTAATTTTAATCACTAACTAATATTTTTTATTTGTGGACATCAAACTAATATTTTCTTTTTCAAAATAACTTCTGTGACAATAACGAATTTCCGGTTGCGTGCTTACTCTTCAGTCGTACGTTGTTCAAGGAATCTTTGTTCTTTATCATTTCAAGGATCGAGTTAAAGATAAATTTATTGACAATTTAGCCACATTCAACTGGATTTGGGACTACTTTGAGCGACAGCTTGATATTCCGCTCCTTCAAAACTCTATCTAACGCAAGTGCAGAATAAATAACAAAAGCAATAAAAAGTCAAAGTATAAGAAAATAAAGTTACAGGGCTGGAAAGAATCGCTTGAAATGCACTATATTCTGAACTTTATATCACCTATATTTATATATATGCTTATCAGGGGTGCCAGAAATTTAAGGCAACCACTTTAACGCATTTTATTAGCCAATATAGTAAAGCGTCTGTGTTGTGTTCGTGGTTTGTGTTCATAGTCGAATACCGACTAATATTTCAAAGCACTTGAAATTTGAAATATATATTCTTCACAGAGCTGAAACAATTATGATCTAGTATGAACAATATCTTGCGTTTAACAATTCTATATAAAGTAATTTAGCGAAAGGCAGCTGTTTGTTCGCTCCAGTTTGCTTCTAGTTCGTGCTTGTGCGAAGGAAAAGATCAAATCAATCATAATTTGAATGCATGAACTGGTTAGGTTATGAACAAAGCAAATTAACTAAATTAAATTAAATTAAAATAAACGTTGACTTATTACTTGTAAGATGTACGAACATTTGTGTATTTGGAGAATGGAAAAATTAAAATGGTATGGTTTTTCAGAAAGAAATAGAATAAATGGAACGAACGCATTTCATAGGATTCAACTAGTTTAATGTTTTTATCTTAAAATAACAACAAAATTAACCGTTAAAAAATCATTTGTAATTCATTTGTTTTTTAAATTATATTACATTTTTAAAGTTATAGAATACCAAATCTTTTTTATTTTAGTCCGCTCACAGATCGTTCTGTATTATTACATAAATTACTATTCATTATTATATTCTCCGCAATCTCAATCTTTAATATTGATGGAAACATTATTTTCTTCTACAATTTCTACTAGTTGTCCAACTCTTTAAGCAACACCATAAAACTAGATGGGAACTTTATTGGTCGCTTAATGTAGTCCTTACGAAAGGCTTCAGTTTTCTTCCAAATGAGACATGTTCTATCGTATCCAGTGCAGATATCAAATTTGCAGACATCACCCCTTGTCGATAAGAAACGCCTCCTCTTGGGGGTAGATGTAAGCAAGTACCTTTGAGTTTTAAATAATCAAAGTCTCTGCATTTGCAAAGAGTAAATATCATGTCCAAAATACAAAATAATAATGTGTAAGTAGAAAATCAGAAGGCTCAGGCTTAAAACAGCGAACAGTCGACTTCATGGTCACATTTCTTTGTTAAAAATCCATATTGAGCTGGACAGTGATAATCACTCTATTGATTTTAAAGGCTTAACTGAGATATGAAATAAAATTAAATGGGCCAAGGACATCACTACAAGGCCAAGGACATCACTACAGGGCCAAGGACATCACTACAGGGCCAAGGACATCACTACAGGGCCAAGGATACAATTCACATATGATTCTCGGCACGCTTTTTTGCGACATAAATAATTCAGCACTTTACGTAAAACAATTTGAAATGAATATGTTGAAATGCAAAAAAGTAGCATCTATCAGATCACAGATTTCGCAGCTTCAAATTTGCCAAATGACCAGAATTAACAATCAAAGATGTTGTTAGATAATATATGCAACTTACTTTGTCAGATGGAATAGTCCGTGTCATCTTCAGTGTAATCAATGGAGTTCCGTTCCCTTTAGTGGTTGTACTGCACGAAGATGTTGGTTCCTCCAACGATGAAGTAACCGAAGTTGATGGGGCAGACGAAATCGAAGTATGTACATGCTGTCGTTGCGCCAACTCATTGGAGTTAGAACAGCGGTAATTGGATGCCTGCTTTTGCAACACATAATGACGTTGCTGTTGGTGGACGGCCGCTCTAACAGGTGGAGCCTTACTGCATGTTGTCAAGCATGAGGGAGGATTTAGCATCGAGTGTGGTGTAGTAATAGATGTGCTCGTTTCAGAGGCATCAACACCTAACGAGTCCAACGAACCATCCGATAATTTGTTGAGTTTTGTAAACGTCAGCTGATACTGATGGAGGCCTATACTGTTGCTGGGAACTATGGCTGTGGTAGTTGAAATTATCATATTCTGTTTATGGTAGTCCCGGTTCGAAGGTTCCGTTGCAGGCGTTCCATTAGACGATGAAGGTGTAGATAACATGGCGCATTTAACATAGACTTTGATAACAACTTGTTTTTTTTTGTTCTTTTTCTTTTATTGCACACCACCAACGCACGGTCAGAAATCAACCACTTAATGTGCGATTAAGTGCACAGCTGTATTGTGAACTATTTTGCTTTCAGCCGAGATGTTTTAAACTCATTTTGAACGATCTGTGTAACAATTAATTGGCTATGCTCAAACAGTAATTGCTAAAATTGAAAAGAACTTAAATTAGATAATATCATATGTGGTGCACTTCGAAATGGGTATTGTACCTGTGTGACGTCCTTATAGTTTGCCCCACTTGACCAGCAAATGTGACTTGGTGAAAGTAATTTTGCAACGCAACATTTTTGTAGCACAGACAACAAATGCTAAGGATTGGCAGCGGCGCCACTTAATTGTTCTAATTTGAATTTTGCTCGTTCATATTATTGTGCACATCGTATAAATATATATGCATGTATATGTTTACGGAACCTGCTCCCACACATAATTATGTATGTAAATAGATACACACTTGTATATAAATGAATGCACGCGCACGCGCATCCATGTCACGAAAATATTATGTTCACAGAAAAAAGTACAATATGTAACAATTATTCCATTACATGTATCAAGTTTTATTTCTTATTATTTACTTCTTTTGTCACTTTTATGAACATCTCTTTAGTCCATGATCCATGTCATTTCAGGCAAAACTTTTCGCTCAGCAAAAAAAAAGGCTTTTTCACAACAGAGTTATTTAAGCAATGTAAATAGTCCTCTATGTACATACATACATAAGTATGTGTATATGTCACTAATAAATACAACCTCAAGTGTGACCAAAGTCGTGAGGCATTTAAATCCACAGATTTCACCTGCATAAATTTATCGATATGGCACTGTGCTCAGATGGAAAACAAAGTTATCGATAACGAAAAACTTTCAATCTGAAACAAACAAATTTTAATTTTTTCTTGTTTTCGAGACGGCAAAACTGAAAACCACACTGTTAACTCGCTGTCCACACATGCAGATTCTGTGAACAGCTGTTCGGTGTCAAAAGCACAAAATTGATATATTCTGACAGTGTCTATCGGCAATCCTCCACTTCCAAATTGAAGTGCATTAGGTACAGTGCGTCAAGAAAGTGTGTGGACACATCTTTTGTCACATATTTTGCGAATTCAATGCTTTGGTATTTATCTTCCTTTTCAAATCGATAAGTAATTCAACAAGTTAAAATTCATTTTACAAGGTTTTTATAATTTATTGCGGTACTAACGGTGTATATATAAATCGGTTGCTTGTGTTTTCTGGAGGCGAAATACTTAAATTTTTAAGGATGGAAGTCAATTTCATCAAGAAAGGCAAGACTTATTGTATTTTTGAAGGTAATTTTGTGGATCTTGACATATTATTTTTTAAGATTTTATCGATCTGATTATTAAGCTTAATAAAAAAATCTTGTACATCAGGTCTCTAGTAGCTATAATCTCTAAAATCCGAGGTTTTTTTTTTGCACTTATTTGTAAATAAATTGAAATTCTTTTGTATTTATTATTAAGTTCAGCGAAAATGTGATTCAAAAACAGAAATTTTTGGGGAAAATGTGGATTCAAAGAAGTAAAAAAGAAAAGAAGAGAATTGCCAGAGCTGACGGGGAAATAGCTAAACTGACAACACAGTTACCAAACCATTAATTTATCGATTCATCGTTTTAGTCATATTTATTTATTCAAGAACTATATACCCAAAAATCTATTGAGAAATATGTTTACAATAATCTTAGAAAATGTTTAAACAAGCATTCAAACGATATAAAATAAAAACAGAATCACCTGATCTCCAAGATGTAATTGACCTTGATCAATATGAAGCAATAAATTTCGACAGTGGTTGTCATAACGTAAGTAGAGATCCACATGTATAAACAGTCGGAAAGCCCATAACAACATGTGTACATATTAAAATATATACTTATGTATATACAAATGTATGTATGTATATGCATACATATGCACGTATGTATGTGTGTTTTGTATGCGATTGTCTCCAGCTAGAATTGGTGCAGCCGGCGATAGTTCCTGAAATACAGATAAGTCCAAGTCTACGAGTGCCAGTTGGCTTGCAATCACCAAATGATTGGCGGTGCTATACGCTTGCAAATCATCCTGGTCTTTTGGTTATACGCAATCCATTTACACCTACGGGCCAACGCTATTGGATAGCTAGAAGTCTTCGCGACTACCCGCAAGCTCCCAACTATGTTAACTTGGATGCGAAACATTTTTCCGTCAATGCGGTATCGAATTGGTGGGGAGAGTTACATCAAAGCGGTCACAAAACTGTTGATCAGCGTCTTAAGACTGCGATGCGTTGGACCACATTGGGATATCATCACAACTGGGACACCAAGGTATACGATGAGGCTAAGCACACAACGTTCCCAAGTGACTTGAGTAGTCTGTGCCAATATTTTTCTCTTGTGCTTGGATATCAACATTTTATCCCACAAGCTGCTATTGTTAATTACTATCCGATTGGCACTACCTTATCTGGTCACACGGATCATTCGGAGTTGAACCTTGCAGCACCACTTTTTTCATTGAGGTATATATGTCGACAGTTTTATATACATATACATTGATAGATGTATACAAAAAATGCTCACCTATATTCTTAATGCAGTTTCGGACAAACTGCCATTTTTCTTATAGGTGGCATGACACTAGAAGAGCAGCCCACAGCTTTATATCTACGTAGTGGTGATGTTTTAGTAATGTCAGAGAAATCTCGACTCTGCTATCATGCAGTACCACGAGTTATGAAAACACACAAAAAGTCATGGAATGGAAACTCCAAAGAGATGCATGAAGATCCCTTTAACACTTCAATGGATTCAGAATTATACGATCAAGTTAAGGACGAGGACTTTTGGATGCCATTTGAAGGTTATATTAACGATTCACGCATAAATATTAATGTGCGTCAAGTTCTGCCTTCGGATGTTTCCCAAATACATATCTAAATATTTGGTAGCATGTGACAGGTTGTTATCGGTTTAGCAAATTTAACAAGTAAGATCGGTTATTATAGGTACGCCGTAGCATACATACCCTTGTAGAACGGAAGTAATGTGCAGACACTTAAATTGTATTCCGGTATTATTAATATTATGTTTTTGAACATTTTTAAAAGCATTCTGTTATATATATTTCCTGTTTCTTGACTGGTTATTTATTGAGTATAATACATGTGTACAAAGTGTAATTATTGTATAATAAATTAGTGACTTTTGTGTATCCGCCTAACTCCATCTCCACTGGCAGCTTATGATGAGTACGGTCAGGTCAATATTTGGTAAAATATATACATTTTTAATGCGAGAAATCAAATCTCCGTCCGTATGATTGCAACTTCTCCACACACTTAAAGCTAGAGACTTAAATCTTGGAACATATACTAGAATGCTGTCCCAATCTCTTAAGGCTATTCCAGCAATCTATCCATTCTGCCACAATGTTTTTATTCAAACAACTAATTTTAGAGTCGTATTGAGCCAACTACCAGCTGGGAATTAGGAGGTCAGTAGCATGGTGAATTGGAATGTGATACCGGCTTGTAAACGGTTCTAATGGAAGGAAGGTAAGTAGACAATCATACTTTCATTTGGGCTTATAAGAAAAATAGAAATTTTGAAATACCCTGCACACAAAAGCCTTTAATTCAATATATGTATATATAAGTTAAGACGCCCAACAATGTTTCGGTCGATAGCCCAGGACCCTTAACACCACAACTGCAAACAATGGTAGCAGCTGGCGTCACCAAAAATGCCGACTTGACGATCCACAAGAAGACCGGAGCTTCGAGAGATAGTTCTAAATAGTTTAAGTTAACTTAAATTCATAGTGATATGAATAATGATGCAGTAACACATTATCCTAATAAAATACCTATAATAAATATTGAGAAAGTGAATCACGAATCGCACAAAACTATTCCGAATAAAATAGCAACTGTCTTAACGAGAATAAAATGATTTTAGATGCTCTTTTCAAATTTCAACCTAATCATTTAACTTGCAGATTAGTTTTAAGTCTAGTTTCAATACCGAAGGTATCCAGATCCGAATATATGCCGATCTTTTAAGGAGGTTTGCTTACTCCATCTTTAAAATTATGAGGGATCTGCGGACTTATCGATTTACACTTTCACAACGATTATAAGGGTAAGAGTGGGTGTGGCCCAATCGATACTTACCAGTCAAATACCTACAAAATTTGATGACTCTAACTCAACAACTGCAGAAGATATTGCTTTTTGTATTCTCTACTCTTGCTTTGTTTAATAATTGTTCTGTGATATTCCAATTCTCGACCAAAAATCCAAAAATCCTGCCCATGCCGATAGTTAGCCTAACTGGGAAACCATTTCAAAAATAAGCCCGTTTTGTTTACAAATCATCTTTTAACAACCAGAGTGAAAACTGATGAAAACTTGTGGGAAAAATCCTTCTTTTCAGGACAACAGTTAAAAAATGTTATATTTAATCTATCGCTTTAATGACTTGTACGTGTTATGGCGTGGCCTTGAATTTGTTTTTTGGATCTTTGAAGATCCATTGACTTTACAGATGAAAAATATCGTTTATTTTTATTTTAGCTTGGTAAAAAAATCGTAAGTATTTGTTTGTGTATGTATATTTAAAATATCAGGTCTATGGTCTAGTCTATAGCTAAAAAAAAAATATAGTTCGTAAGTACACATATAATCAGACGGACATTGCATAATACAAATGAGGTCCTCTGCCTTAGAGATCAGTATTATAAAATAAAATAAGGAGAATAGAGTTATTTCGTGGAAGCAAAAATAAAAACCCTAAACAGGCTTTGAGCGGCTTTGGAAAAAATAAAAATACATTTTTTCAGTTATTAGCAATGTTTCTATTATCATTTTCTTCAAAACTATATACATTATCGCCATAAATGAAATTACATCTGAAACACATATAATGCACGACTGGAATGGTATGGTATGATTCCACAAGTTGCTGAATGATAGCATACAACAATTGTAATTATGATTTAATAGCTTTTTGTTTATTTCTAATTATATATACGTATATTGTATGTATGTCTGCATGTGTATGTATGTACATCTGAGTATAATTATGTCCTCGAATTAATTGTGTGTCAATTTAAATTTCACATTATACAAATAATACAAATGCTTTTAAGTTTATACTTGTATTTGCAAACTTAAATATCTAATTTAAACTAATAGGTATTCGGTGATTTTATAAGATTAAAATCTTATTTATGAATTTACGAGTATGTTTCATGTGGCGTCTGATTCTGCGGGTAGACGTAAATGGGAAGCAAACTTGTTACAAAAAGGGTTTGGCTCGCAAAAAAAAAAAAAAAAAACAAATGCGCATTGGAAGTCTACCTTCCAACAATTTCGCACTTTTTTATTGATTAGGTAAAAATGTTACCCCACCTTTTTTAACTATGACATTTTATCCTGTCACAATAAAATTAAAATAATAAATATTTACTTATATTTTGTATATTACATAAGCGTTGCGCTTACTAACTTGGTTTGTTTTCGGGCTAAGGTTGTGATGAATAGAGGTAGGGCAAAAGAGTAAAGTACATAAAATTGGGATGAAGTAATTGAAATTTTAAAAATTTCTATAATTTAAAACAACTATTTATAGTTTTCTAGTAAATTATCATCGACTTAGCGTTACTGGCGGCGCTGGTGGTATACCTATGACGTTTCCAGGCACAGTGGTGGTATGGCTAGCACCTATACCAGACGCATTTGCCACTATGCCCATGGTGTGCTCAGGTTCTTTTTTGGATGTTACCGGATGACACAGGGGATCTCCTGTCATCATGTGCTGTACTGCCATGTTCATCGTAGGCGGCGCCGGTCCCTTCACAATTCCGATTGAAGCCAATTGTGTTTGAGAGGTTTGTGAAGACGGTGGTGCATTTGATTGTGCAATTACGCCTACAACTGGTGGTGGCTGCATTCGGAGATGTGTGGGAGGTGGACCCAAAGGGCCAACCGACGGTGGCGGTATGGGACTTGGTTCCTTACCTCTCAGATGAGCCGCTGATTGCGCCGCATACATGTTTAAGGCTTTTTGCCGCTCTTCGGCTTCATGCCGTATGGCAGCCTCCATTATGGGGTTATAACGCAACATGGGTACATATGGATCACGATACGGATCAATACCCCACGCTGGAGGGCCTGGTGGAGCAAAATGTGTTAGTGGGCCACTGACACCCATTGTTGGTGGCATCATGTTGCGGGAAAGATGTGATGCTGGTGGCGGTAAGCCGTGTCGTCCTGTCACCATGAAATTAGCATGATGATGTGCAGCAACGGCTACATTCGCCTGAACAGCTACTAATGAAGAGGGATGATATCGTGGATCCCCAACTCCAGCTGCCGTCGATGCACGCATGAGCATCACATCTTGCTCCTCTTTTGTGCGGGGATGCTCTTCTTTGATGCGTATCTCTGGGTTATGTTCGCTGATGCTACGATGAGGTGAGCGATCCCGTTGTGTAGCTGAGGATGCTACGGCTGCTGCCTGCTTATTGCTTTCATTGATCCGTTGTTGCTGCAGCATGCGTTCACGTTCCATTTCACGTCGCTCTATTTCGCGTCGCTCGCGTTCCTTTCGCTCTCGTTCACGTTCTCGTTCTCTTTCACGCTCCTGCTGCTCGCGTTTTAATTTCTCTTCTTTTTCTTTGCGTTCGCGCTCTTCGCGTTCTCGTCTCTGCCGGTCGCGTTCCCTCTGTTCACGTTCTCGTAATTCACGATCTCGTTCCCGCTCCTCTGCCTCTCGACGTGCATTCTCAAGCGCGGGATCGGTCTTGATGGGCCAACCACTTGGACCGCCGGCAGAAACAGGATGATATGGCATAGAGCGTGCCATAGAACTAGTTCTGCAAAATAATAATTTATGAAATTAATGCAAATGGCATAGTTATGAAATTTCAATCAGACACAAATTGTTGAAGCACTAATCGAGAATGATCTTGAATAAATACACTGCAACGTACAGAACCAATCGATTCTCGAAATTAAGAAATGAAGTGGTATAAAAAAAATACTAGACGGACAAACGGACGTACGAATAGACGTACGCACGGACTGAATCGGAAATGCCTTCTTCTGCCTGTTACATACAATTAACCATTAAGACCCATTAAAATAGGTTAATCTACGGCCACCTAAAGGTATATATAGTTTTGATCAGGATCAGCAGCCGAGTCGATCTAGCCATGATCTACTCGTGGCAGTTTCTTACTCTTATAGCCTCTGAGATCCACTTGTTGATATATAAGGTCGGACGAACAGACAGACAATGCAATGCAATATCGACTCGTCAGCTGATCCTGATGGGATGGGAGATGCTTCCGTCTGCCTCTTACATGCATTTGCATAAAACCATTTTTCCCTTTTGACATATTTTTAACGCTTTCAGTGTATAAACATATTTATTGCAATTATTGGCAATGTGTACCAGGTAGGTATGCAGATTTACTTACCTCCATGCATCCAAATGTCCACCTAATGACATATCACGTCCAAAATGCGTCAGACCAGCAAATCCAAATGATCCAACGTACCGCCCAAATGGGGAAACCGCTGTGCCTGTCCAATTACAATGACAGCAAATAAATGGGTTGATGACCGGCTGGTTTTTGAATGTGAAACTTACCGATATGACTAGGTGGTGCCCCAATAAAACTAGATGCTAATGGCGAAGCTTCAAATGGCGATCTGGCGTACGTCGTACCTGGCGTCAGTTCACCTGACCGATGCATTATGTGTGGTGATGTTGAGCTTAATGTCAACGCCGGAGAAGGCTTCATACCAAGTGCTGTTGCAGATCCACTTGCCGCCACAACAGTGCTACTTGCCGCTGAAGCAGCGATGTTGTTTGTAGGTATGCCAATGCCTCCGCCGACTACATTGCTTATGCTAACTGCGTTGCCAGATACAACAGTGGTCCCCGGATTGACATTGCCACCGGTGCTGCTTAGACTAGAGCCAACAACTTGTTTTTCAGAATTTTGTTTATTTTGGTGATAGTAAATTTCCCACGCAATGCGCACATGCATAGCATTCCAACGTCCAGTTTTCTGATTAACGAAAAAGAAAAAAGGGAAGGGTGTTTGTAAGTCACATTCATTTTTGTACGTAATCAACCAAGTTCTACGAAGGCAAGATAAACTTAGAGATCGGCAATGAACCGTGGTCCGAAAGGTTAAACAAACATCATATTTACCGAAAAAATATCTAAAGGTGAACATCGCTGTTCGCTTTATTACATAAAAGCTTCATTACCAGAATGCCAAAATGCTGCTTAGTGTGTGAAAATCTATAAAGCTGTATTCTTCAAATCGCATTATGGCAGGGAGAACTTAATTATATAAGAGTTCAGTATGGGGAAGTCCACCCTACTGTTATTGAGTTCATTAATCACCACCTGATAAAGTAGTACAGCATATTGTTGTAGTTTTAAAATCATTAAGGATTCTATAGCAAATTCACGATGATTTTGATGCTTATCATGTGTATATACTATAAGGGTTCGGATATGCTTCCTTTCGTCTGTTACAGACTACTGTGCACATACATTATATTTTTTTTAAAACCATTTTTTAATAGTTTAGGGTACAGCGAGCTTAATTTTCCAGTGCTCCTAAAAAGCGATTGAAATATAAAAATGGGTTTAAAATGGTTTGAAGGTTTCTTGCAAATCGATTGAGTCAGTCTTTTGCACCAAAAAAAGCTATTGAAACATAAAAACCAATCGTTTTCATTGGTCCATTGTTTTATCACTAATTTGTTACGGAAAAGCAGAGGGTTTTTTTTTGGTTTTTGTTAGGAACTTCAGAGGTTTGTTCTTACCTTTGGTGCGAATGAAGTCAAGTGGTTTGGTGGCATAAATGGAGTAGGCCCACCCAAACCAGCATGCAAGAGCCCTGCTGGACTATATCCCGAATACCCAGGAGGGAGGCCGATGCCTGCACGATAAAACTGCGGGTCAACGGCGGTAATTTTGGGAATGTCTTTAAATAGTGGTGGTGGAAAAATCTGTGCTGAACTTGGCGGCGTAGGCGGTAGTACAGTGGCTGCGCCCGACATTGGTGCTGTCGACAACAGTTGTGGATGCTGATGCAGGTGAGTATGCTGATGTTGATGATGGTGTAACTCTTGTCGCATAAATGTTGACGAGGGCGATGGGGCTGGCTGGGTCAAACCAGAGCGATCCAAAAAGCGACTATCGAGCTCGCGTCGCAATAAGTCTGCCTGATCATCTAAAAAGCAAAAGGCATACAATAATTAAATATGTTTTTCAATGTGCAGCAACAGGTTGAATTTGTTCGTACTTTTGCTTGGCTGAAAGAGAGATTCTGCAGAAAATGGATGAGGTGTGGGTGTAACTGCAGTAGACACCGTTGCTACAGAGGATTGTGTATTGCCCACTGTACTGATTGATGATGTAGTCGTTGTCGCTGTTGTCATCGTCGCAATAACGGTCGTTGTGTGGGACACCATAGGCAAATGAGATAATGAGGTGCTGCTAATAGCTGCGATAGAAATGGGCGTTGCTGAAGATGAATGTGCTGGTGCAAGAGGTGTGGCAAAGAACGTGTGCTGAAAGTTAGTGACGGGAACATGTCCACTGCCAGCAGCGTGAGGTGAAATTGCATTTCCAGCAACCCGTGTTGGTGTTCCTGTGGCGCCAGAGTTCAGTGGTGAGGGTGTGGGTCGAGCATTGCCACTCGACATAATTGGAACGGACGATGTACCCGTCATGGATGGGCTGCAAGTAATAAAACACAATGTTCATTCTCCGATAAATGGCATTCGAAATATCATACTTTAACCAGAGTCCTGTTTTTTGGGAATACGATGCTATACTGGGTCCAGCAACTGCAAGAGCTGAATGTGTCGCCGATGACAACGTGGTTGATGAGGAAGCAGAAACGGCACTATATGGGGTGCTTGGCACTAAACCGCAAAATGACGGACTTAATGTGATGCCAGGTGGTCCGCCTGACACCGGCCCGATATTACTTTGACGAACCGCCGTAATGCTGCGAATATAAACAAAGCAGATATGTAGCACACCCTTCCAATCGTAAACTAAGCAAATCATAAACTTATATGATATATAGCCAACTATGAAGTGCCGAAATATGACAGTGGCTCCGGGATTGCGCATTTTACTGATACCTATTAAATCAGCAATCGCCAATTGTTTTTCAAAAACCATTAATTGCTTCTTAACGCATCCATGAATCAATCAATCTTTTTCTGGCAGTTAATGACGCTGTCGTTTGTGGAACTCCAAAAAGGGATTCGTGCATAGTTCATCAGCAGCCTGAATGATTGGCTCCTAGCTCTTGCTTTTATACACATATATATATATTATATTATTCATATTGCTGTGGGATTTTCATGTATATAAGTAAACACAAGAAAATTTAACAATAAGAAAGAACGGTTATCTCAGGGTCGCCGAAGATTACATACGCCCTTATAGAGCGTAGTCCATCGGCTGATTCAAAACTTTACATTTTTTTACTTTTTTTTTTATTGTATCAGGAAGAGGGACATGTATATTTATCTTCATCTATTCCATAAATGAAATCTTTCAACCGGCTATACTATAAAACTATATGATACAATGACGGATGAAGCTATATCGAATCGGTTTGCGATGCTGATCAGCAATATATATATTTATACCTTAAAAACCCGGTTTTTTTGGGGGGTTGAGAAGGCAAGGCCAAGAAATTTTCTAATCAATCTTACGAGGAAGTATACCTATTAAGTCTGGTATCTCTAGCTATACAATTATGGGTAATAAAAGCTTTCCCGATGTTTGGGGTCGGCATTAGCAAGGTTAGGAGAACGTTCCTAGTAATCTACCTAAGTCTGTGAACTGTAACTTCCAAATTACAAAATACGTAATTATTATTTTATATATCTATATATATTCCCACCATTTGTGCGGGTCGACGAGGGTCGATAAGGACATATTCACGTCATATGCTCATAAGCAAAGCACTTTGACGATTTCAAACCAAGATTGAATGTCGTAAATGTACTTCCTTTAGATAAATAATAACTGCTAATCAATTCAATTAAGATGATTCAAGATGTTTGGGTTGCTGACCAACATGTCCAAAGCTAATTGCAACAGCGACTAAAGCAATCAAATAGTTAAGTTAGTCGCTGAAAATGTATCGCAAATACAAAAAATACAAAATAACCTTGATCTGCGTATGATATTTGAAACCTTGACCAACTGAAGTCGCTTGTAAAAATGGGCAGCAGTAAAGATGAAGAGTGAGAGAGCTAATTTGTTTATTCACTCTAATGCATGTGATACGTAAATATGAACCCATACTGTGCAGCTTTAATTCATTAAATAAGTACAAGGAATAAGCGTGAAAACCGTTAAATGTAATTTGTATATCGATCGGATAATAAGCACAACAATTATATATTAGTGGGCGACTTGTATATTTGTGCACATTGAAATTACAGTGAGCAAGGACCGTCCATATTCGTAATTGGGATTTTTCTCTTCCCTAACAATCTGTTGTTATGTGTCAAAACAGTTTAATTAATTTGGGTTTGTATTTCATGCAAAACAAGTACATTTGGTCTTGATCTTATTTTATATGTTTTAAATATATTTGCACAATTATTATATATATATATACCTGTAATTTGCGTCCCGGTCTCTGCTAGGGCTCCCACTTTTGGGTGAAAGTATTTTTTGAATCACAGATGACGATGCTATAGATGCATTTACTGACGGCGATGGCATCGCTGTCGTTAAACTTTGTACAGTAAGGACTGAGGTGTTGCTGTTTCCCAAAGCTGAAGAGGTTCCGCAACGTGATAGCGACTGTTGTTGTGTCGGCGCCAATGGTGCGAATTGTGGATATGAGTTTAGCAATTGAGGAATGTGGGTTGAATACCCGGATTGTGGGAGCATTTGTATTGGTGCAGGTGGTTGCAATTGTGAAACAGCATTAGCAGCAACGGAAGTTACGGCAGGTGTTGACAATAGTGCTGTTGTGAAAGCTGGCCCCGTGGTTGAGACACCAAATGCACCTGCACTGTTGGCTGGTAAGTGATGCGATTGCGTACAATTTATAAGAGGTACTGTTGTTGTCGTTGTTGTGACCAGCGTCCCTACTGCTTGCGTCGTATTACTGTTCCCGATTACGTAACCTAGTGGCGTAATAGGTCGCATTCCTGTGATACTACTGACGCTGTGCTGATGCGATGTAGATGCGCTTGTAACTGCAGTTTTTAAAGACGATGTTGCCGGTGACTCGCGACTGCTTCGAGCATCCGAGCGCTGAGGGGAAGGCGACGTATTTGGAGTACCAATTGGCAGAACTGTTTGCAGGTATTGTCCATGTGCTATACTATTATAAGGTGTATATAATGAATAATTGGGATAGGGTGTTCGGTATGGCGTCGCCTGAATTAGCATAGGTAGTCCAGCACCCAGCATCGGTGGTGGTACACCATGAAATACCAATGAGGAACCGCCAGCCCCAACTGGTATACTTCCTGAACTAAAAGACGCTTTTGCAATACCGGAGGCAGCAACTGCAACGGAACTAACTGCCGTATTTGGTGGCAATGTCATTGGAAGAGGCAGCACCTTATTTCCTGAATGTGGAGAGATACGCGATAGGCCACTTCCAACCGTTGAAGTTACACAACTGACAGATGAGTAACCAGTCAGGAATCCATTGGCAACTGTAGGTACTGAGCAGGTTATGGCCTTTTGTGAATCGACGGGAACAGTTATTGTTCCACCTTCAATGCTTGGTATTGCATTCTCATTTGTCTTTAAGTTGGCTGCAAGCAAAACATTGGACGTTCGCTCGCCAAACGATCCGCCATGTAACGATGATATTGAAGTGGGTGTAAGAGGAGTACCCGATATCAAAGGATTTGTGGGCCTAAGCGTAGGTGTTTCCATCTCTTGTGACGTTACAACTTTGGTGCTCAAAACAATTCCTTGAGCATTTGCAGATGAAGTCATTCCCAGTCCGCATTGACCAGCCTCTGATGTTAGATATGACTCGCAACCAGCAGAAATACTTACGCTGGTCACCTGAAAGGCAGTTAAGGCAATTAAGCAAAGAACCTCAGATTGATAAGCAAACTTACTTGTGTAGATGATGTTCCTGGATGGGTTAGCATATTATGCAATAGGTTATCTGTTCCAGAATTTGGCTGTTTATCCCCATTGTCTGTTGCAGGACTCGTCGTTAAAAGTGAAGCTGAAATCACGCCGATAGTTTTTTGATTGCTAACGGATCCGGAAGTTGTCTCGTTGACAATTGTAAGAGGCCCATTCGATCCAGCGCAAGATAAGATTTTTGACTTTGGGCCTATCTCAGGCAGTGATAGTACCGTTGAACTTGCCATATCGGTTTGACACACATTTGCAGTCACACATTCTATTCGACTAGTCGGTGGTTGTGAATATTCTGTGGAATTGCGTGTTGTGATTTGCCTAGATGAATCACTTGAAACATGGGTTGGCGTTGACGGAAAAACGAAGGCTATCAAGTTTTCCGAATTCTGTATAATTTGAAAAGGAGTATTAAACGTCTTGTTAGAAACTGAATATTGATCATTTGGTGTGAAACATATTTTTAATACTAAACAGTCACAAAATCATTTTGGGATTAGCCTGATGTAAAAAAGGACAACGTTTTTTTCATGTTCCGCTCTTGATGAAATTTGTCCAGTTTATCAAAATGCATGCAGGCTCTGCCGTTAAAACAGAGGCAGTTATCGATAAAATGAAATAAACTTGTTGTGCTTGAGGTAAACAATTACTTATATTTCGAATTTGATTTGAAGTCTCTAGCTCTTACAGTCTCTGAGATCCGCGTGTCCATATAGACGGACAGACGAACGGATGGATAGACCAACATGGCTAGATCGACTCGGCTGTTGATCCTAATTAAGAATATATATACCTTACGCTTCAGCTGCCCCAATTTCTGACATCTTTTTGCCTTGAAACACACATGTAAAACTAAATAACATTGTGGCTTTAGAAATTTACATTGATTAAAACTGCGAAAAGTTTTTGCTTAAAGTTGTGAAGTGAAAAATCTGTTAATATTCATAAATAATATAACATGAAAGAATGTCTGATTTATCTTCGCCGATGGTTACATACATCTAATTTTCATTATGACAATGAAAATGTTGACAATGTGTTAATAACATAACTAGTAAATAAATATGGTCCTGATATTTTGTTAATGGTCGGATTTCGTCAATTCGCTATTACATTTCAAGCATACTAAAAGTATATATATTTGAGCATAATAAAGCAATTTGATTCAATCCGGAAGATTCTGTCATATGTGTACCTTATGGGTGGTCTGGAAATGTTTCCTTTAATATTGGGAAAAATGAAAATCGTGCGAATTGCACTAAGATATTCTAATTTTGGAAAAGAAAAATATACATTGGTTTTGCTTTTCATTTTTAAACGAGGCATATTTTTCGATCTCTGTTTTATTGGGATTAGTTACTGGAATTTCGTTTCAAGATCCTGTGCCGTATTTCTGATGCCTTTCCAATTTTGGCACATGTTTTACATACATGATAAGCGATTTTTTTTTCTTCTGAAAGTTACACTTACTATTGCGAACGTAAGAATTAAAATAGTAAGTTTAGGATGTTTTTCGATCAAACACATCAATCCATTGCCCATTACAGACTCGGAAGTTTTGTTTTAAATATCTACAAACTTTGTACAATTCAATGCCATCTCTAAAGAAAAAAAAATCAAGACTTCAAAAGAACAAGGCTATTTATTACCTAGTAATATTAATGTCCAAGATTAAAAACACAATTTTAAGATGAAATGGATAAAATCACGTTTAATTTACTATGCAGCTGTATTTCGCACTATTATTTTTTTACATAGTAGTGCCCACATATTTCAGGGGAAAAGTTAAAAAAAAAGATGTCAAATATTTTTTAAAATTATGAACATTATATTTTAACACAAGCAATTAAAAATGAAAATAAGTAAACATTGAAAGTCGGGCTAGCTATAAAATGATTAACAAATTAAAAAAAAATGTAAGTCTTAAATATATATATTTAAAAAGTGGCAGTCATAATGGTAAATAGTATTTATTAAAACAAAATATGAAATATGTATTTGATGATTTATCAAACTACTTTTACTATTTGGCTGCATAAGCCTCATAAGAAATAATCTCCACTCAGAGGTGGTGCACCGAGCTATGCCCTATTTTTGAGAAACGTCAAAGACCTCAACACATTCCCCCAAAACTCGCCAATTCTCCGAAGGGTTCGGATCGAGAGGCTTTTATTATCATATATAAGTTCCGAAGCGAGATTTCTTTTAACCAATATTGATTTCTTCAATTGCAGACTTTAATCTTTATCTTTAATCCGCTATACTCGTATTCATAAGATATGTGTTTTTAAGTTAAGTTAAGCACTATCGAATTTTTACCAACAATTAACAAATATATTTTTATTTTGAGCATCCATTCGAGTATTGATTTTTCATAGAATTGAATACTGTAGTTAAGTGAACTCGATTAAGAGATACCCTGTACCCAGCTGTTAAATATATTATTCTAGTTTTATTGCCAACGTAAAAAGGCAAGTGAGAACTGCGAAATAATCTGATACCAATGTAATTGCAATTGATAGAATAAGAGTTTTTAGTAATCCACCCTCCCTCCAAGTTTAGCTCTCAAATTGCGGAATATTTAGGCATTTTAGATTTTTGGCGGCAAGGCGGTGGGCGTGGTCTGAAAATTTGTTTTCACTTTTTAAAGGGTGTTACTAGCTTTCAAATTGGTATATATATATATATTATCGGGGGCGGAACGCCGAAATTGATTTGCTAATCTGTGCAGGACGTAGACAACAATTTGCCTTAAACAATTACCTTAAAATTAGTGAATTTATCGATTTCCTAGCCTGCCAAAGGGCATAGAAAGACTAGTATCTATTTTTTCGACTGTAAGTATACTCCGCCCTAGAGCGGTTGCGGTGGGTTATCCAGCGCAAAGGCAAAGTACTTTGTCTTTGCATTTTTTATCTCTTACGTGTGCATAAATGAATATTGTAAAGGTTAAATAGAACTTTTGTGTTTACATTGGTCTAGCGCAAAATAGACTTACAACAACACAAAGCAACAAGTTTGCTTGTAAAAATTGTTAAGAAAAGTCGGTTTTGAATATTTAAATAATAATTCAATTTATATGTTAGCAGGACTTTGGTCTGAATGGCTAGATGATAATTCAGTTAGCTACAAAAGACAAAGTTAAATTTAAAAAGAAAATGACACACTTTTCACAAATTTTGCACACCCAAATGTAAGTCGGTGTGAAATTGCTCTTGTGGTCGGGAAATGGTTGCGACAAACGTTTGCATACGCACATATACATAAATATGTAGACACAATCGTAGATTAAAATATTTACAGTCGCGTCACTCATCATCAGCCATCCCTTTCTCGCACATGCACGCGGATATTTACGCATAGAGAAAATACTTGCGCCTGATAGTAACGAGATCAATATGAGAAAAGATATATACACTTCTTGGTTGTTTCTGCACCGATCTTGATGGAATTTGAGCAGTTTATCGATAATACCAACTATCATATGCATATTAGAAGCCTCTGCCTTTAGAAGTATGTCTTTTATTGATGTCGAAAATCGAAATGTAAATAAAATAAACTTGATCTGAAATGCTTTGTGTGGAGATTAAAAAAAAAAATATATCTAATAGATAGGATAGAAGCACATTGCATTATTCTTTCGCTACCAGACATTGGGATTGGGTGTTGGAACTTTTGGCAGACGTCCCAGAGATAATCAACCAGCTGGAAGGTGCGAAAAGTTTGAAGCCTACCAATCAAATTAAGCAATATTTTATGGTCGGGGTAATCCAATATTGTTTCATATGGTGGCCGAGGATTTCAACAGTACGTAAGACCATTAATCGATGAACTCCCACGTTCGTGGTCCCTAGATAAGAGCTATTCTGATATGAATACGTTCGACACGACCCGTACTCATCAATAATATATATACTTCAAGGGATCTGAGATTTTTTCTTTGTCTGTTGCAAATATTTGCACAAATTTAGCATACCTTTTTACTCCAGTTTTGTAGGTTAAGGGTGGAAAAAACCCAGACCATGTAATGTATATATAACAATCATTGTCTTACGGACGATTTAAATGTCGAAAAACTTAATTTCCAAATAAATTTGTGTTTGTCTTTGATCAATATTAATTTTGTCTACAAACTGAGACAAACTATATTGGAAGTGATTAAGCTGCTTCAGAGCAAGGTGCCAATGGGCTCTGATTTCTATTGTTAATTATGCCCTGGTCGTAAACTAGATTTACTGATTTCTTGACCCTTCAGCCTTTAGCCTTCACTCATCAGTAATGCAATGGGTGTTTCAACCTTCCATTACCTTCTTCTTCTTACTTCTTTCTTATGTACAAAAATAAAAAATCACGTCTTTCCAAGAAGAATTAAACAGAATCGTTGTCGAATTGGAAACATGTTGACAGAAATTGAATCTTTTTTTAGTTTGGGACTATATGTACCTGACGGCAATATCATACGATGTCGTTGAATATATAAATATGTATAATAATAAATTCTTTTCGTTCTAACTCACCTTATTCTCGCCCTTAACTTTATCACACTGAAATAAACACAATATGCATATTAAAATATTTAACAATGTTGGCTAAGAATAAATACGTACGATATTAGTTTCTATGTTGTTGCTACTGCAATGATTCGAAATCTATACAAAAATAAATAAAATATAGTTATAGTTATTTTACAAAAGATTTACACAAGTTATGTGCAAACTTACAGCATCAAAATTTTCATCAAGATCGTTTTCCTTTTTAAGCATAATATTGGCCCCAACAACCTTCGCTGAAACATTTGTAAAGTCTTGGATTTCCATCGTGAGGCCTGCTGCGACAGATGCTGTTGCAACCATATCGCCTTCGCTGCTTTCTAAAGTGTTCAGCTTCTGTTGATAATCAAGAGAATATATTTATATTATAATCAATTTTTAATTCAGTGCACCACTCACTTTGATTTTTGCACATGAGGACGATGATATCATAACGCTAATATGATTGTTTACTGCGGCGGCATCAGAAGATGTTGTTCCCTTAAGGCTTATATATTCTGCTACCACACAATTTGGTGGGTTAGCACTGTTTGCTGAGTCTTGGGATTTACCACCGATATTACCATTGCCATTGCCATTGCCATTGCCATTGCCATTTCCATTCCCATTTCCATTGCCATTGGCACTATCCATGTGTGGCGCGATTGCAGCAATGGACAGCGACGTTGACCGTGTAATATCTGTCGCAAGCTTTTCATTGCCATTCTCCAGTAAGCAACTTCCAGTGGCAGTATTGATGGTTTTTAGGACACTTGCACTGTTGCCGTTGGTGACAGTAGATTCAGTTTGCTTGTGTTGGCTTATGTGGTTCGCATGCTGATTATTACCAATTTGATTTGCATTGTTAATGCTTATGGCAATATTACTAGCGCTGCCACTTAGCTGATCCTGCTGCTGTCGATATTGATCTCCCACCCAAGTCACATCTACTTCCGCATCAGGTGCGCTACATATGCTTGGCAATGGCGCAGTATATATTGTACTACTATTGCTGTTGTTTGCTGTATTATTATTATTGTTGTTGTTGTTGTTAATGTTAGTGCTGATGCTGTTAGTTGTAGCTGCAATTGTGCCACCAATGCCAACGCCGACGTTGCGATGATGATGATTCATTTCTTTTAAGCTGTTGTTGCTCACAATGGACAAATTGGAGAGATTGGTGGCACGCAGTGGGTGGGGTTGTCCTGTATCAATGATCTTTGGCATTTTCATTTCTTCTATGCTATAGGTGCATGTCAGTTCCTCCAACGCCGAAAGCCGTTTCTCTTTGCGTTTTTGTCCCAGCTTAATAGCAAACTGTTGGAGGAAGATATATACATATATATAAATAAATGAACGAAGCAACATTAATAGGATTTGACTTATGCAGATGTATTGATACTCACCTCAAGATCTTCGTAGGTTTTGAATTCTAATATGGCAAATCCATCAATAATCTCCTCCTCTAGCACTGGCGATCTTGGCAACTTTCGACGAACTGGAGGTGGTGGCCTTGGCGGAGGCTTATCGCGCGGCAGTAGCAGTGTCGACGACGATGATGTTGAAAGGAGATCTTCATCTAGTGACTCGCCTTCGCTATCACTAGGTGTGGCCATAAGACCAGAATTACATTCGGGCGAATGTGGCGGATTTAATAGCAATGATGCAATACTATCTGTAGGTGGCAGCAGGTTGTTGCTACCGTTGCTACTGCTTGTAAAGTTCCCATTGGAATTATTGCTATCCTCTCCCATGCTACCAGCACTATTTAAGTGATATAACATCCCATTGCCGGGACCCACGACATTGCTGTTACCCATTAACGTGGTTGGTGCAGTTACCGAGCCAATGATACCACCACTGCTACTACCACCACCAGTAGACGCACCCATACCAATGCCAACTCCAACACCCACAACAGATCCGCCGCCAATCAACGCGCCACTCATTGCATTTAAATTGCATCGACTATCGCGCTCTGCCTGCAGGCGCTGGGCTCGCTCACGCCGGCGTTTTTGCTGGCGTTGCTGTTTGGTGTTCAGACTCAGTTGTGATGAGCTACTGGTGTTGTTGCTATTGCTATTGATGTGCCCATTAGTCATTGTTAATAATCCAGTCTGAGCTGGGGAACACGTTGATATTGATACTGATACGGGGGATGTGGTTGAGTGATCTACTGTGGACGCAACTGCGTTTGTTGCCGTTGCTGCCGCTGCCGCTGCTACTATGGACAGTTCCGTATCCGAATCAAAATCACTTGCACATGGAACTGGCGCTTGTGCTGCTGGTGCTGTTGGGTCTGAAGAATTGTGAAGTGGTGGTGTCGGCGTTGTCCGTATGCCTGTAATCGCAAATGAAGGCGGTGCTGGCAACAAACAGTCCGATAAAGCTACATCTGTTACAGAGTCTGCAACACTCAAATTCGGATTCGGTGTTGGTGGCGGTAGGTTCAAGGCCGCGGCCACTGTGTTTGCTGCAATCGTTGTTGTCGTTAGTGCTGAAGTTACTGGTGGACCACCACTGGTGAACGCTAAGGCCGTATGATGTGGATTCCTTTCATCTTGTTTTTGATTTTGGTTGGCACTGACAGCAGCCGCGGATACCGGAAGAATAGCTCGGGCTGCAGCCATATTATCGTGTTGCGCCACAAATGCGTGTGAGTCTTGTACAACGCTGCAGCCTACAACAAGTGAACTCAGCTCGGTCGTTGCAGTTGGGCTCGTAATAGTTGTAGTATCCATGTCAATAATATACCTTCCTTTAGGTTGCTGCTGTTCTTCTTTTTGTATGTGCCTGTGCCCTTCTACAGTATCAATAATACTTCACTGAAACGATTGCTGCTGCTTCGACTGCAATTGAAGCTGTAATCATCGAAATCCACGAAGGCGTCCATTATATGACCTTAGCAAGAGATCAATGTTTATCTTGCTTTATCAATGATTTACCTTGCTGGTAAAATACACTTAGATTATAGCGTCGACATGGTAGATGAATCATATTAGTCCACTTGATCGAAAAACTATTTCAATACCAGCCAGACGGTGTTTTTTTTTGTGTTTTTTTCTTTTTTGAGTAAAATACAAAAATCGATGAAGCGCACGAGTAACTGGTATTTTATTATTATTATTTGTTTAGTTTCAATATTTATTTAATTGCAGCTCCTAGCTATTGCATAGTTCGAAATTACACATTAACCGGCCCTGCATTTTTCAATATTCACACAACGACCGGTCGTTAAATTTAATTTCATATTATTTATTTTTATTTAATGCATAAATATATACAAAAACATTTATGTATATATACATATAGTGTATGTATATATATGTAAATATATATATATATACACATATGTATATATATATATATATATAACTATATATGTATATATATTTTTTTCAGCACTTTTATGACCACCTTGTATGTATGTTTTGAGTAAATACATACATAGGATAAGCATTCAATTCGCCTTTCTCTATCCAACATGCGACACCATCTTTCACACTTTCCATTACACCGACGGATAAGTAAATACATACATACATATTAATGTACTTAACAAAACAAAAAACACATATTTATTTGCACACACATATGCATATTAACTTTTTTAAAACTGAAAATGTTTTCATGTTGATGACTCTATTATATAGATACGTTTATTGTACACATGCATATTTAAATATATATATAAATATTAAATTATATGCATTGTAAATATTTTCACTGCTCGCTCTGTATTTAAGTGCTCTTCGCTACGTATTTAAGTATTCTTATATACATACATCTATGTAAGCACAAGTGAATTGATATTATTTTTTTCTGTAATTTTTCTCTATGCTCTGTAGTCGGCTACGAGAGCGCTCGCGCGCTACTTGCCTTGTATGTATGTATTTGTAAGATGTTGTATACAATTATTCTAGTAGCAATAGCCATCTCGCTTGCACTTTTTTTTAGTGTAGTCAACATCGTAGCGTTTTCTACGTGTTGTGAACGCAGCAACAGCTACAGCGCCGCAAACATCAGTACACATCACAGACAATTTGTAATAAATTTAAAATCATTTTTTGCATACATTTCTAACTTCATTCACGCGGCAATATATACACGTACGAATTCTGATAAAAGCTTCAGCGATTTAAACTGCATGCATTGTTATTATGTTAACTATTATGTTGCATAAAGAGCATTTATCTATTCTGCAACTTTTTGACTACAAAGTCGAACACGAAAACAGTGAATACAAATCATCGATGTTCGTGTTTATTGAAAAGCGATTAGTTTTCTCCTCCAAATTTATCGTTATCGAACATGAAGAAAAGTAGACTAATATAAAAATGGAAACAATTAGAATGAGATAAGTTTGCAGATTCAACTGACAATTTTGCAAAATAAATTTCTGAATATAGCCAAAAAATCTATAAAGTTTTTTCAGATACAACTGGGTGAAATTTACTTAGATGCTGACATCCATGCCAGTGTTATTTCTAAAAATATAATTAAACATTACTGATTGCTAGCACAATTGACAAACAATTTGAATTATTTTACATATACTTTATGAAATACATTTTTTTATTTTCAAGATACAACAACATTTACTTAATTTATAATATGGAACAACACGAATATTCAAAAGTGCTCCAGTCAGACTTAGTGTTCCATTGTGATAACATGTACTCTGATAGGCAAATTGTCCTTCCACTCACTTAAATTGTGAATCACAGGACCAAAAGATATAATAAAATTGTAGATGAGGGCACAAACAAATATCATAGGCCAATTAATATTGAAAAATATATATTGATTGGTATTTAAAGCTTTATAAGTGAATCACACAGCGTAACGACTTTTGGAAGGCATTGGAATTTTCAAAGATGTGAAACACTGTTCACATAGGCAACGCCAGGATTGGTTTGTCGATGGGTCAAAGATGTTGGAGCAACGAACAATTGTCATAGCCAGACGAGTGGTGGATAGTGCATTTGACCATTGGGCTACTTCTCAAATCAAATAATACATAGCAATTAATGACATTTTAAGCCGTAATAATAATGTGTGTAAAAATAATGTATTTTTAAAACCCTTCTAGTTGAAATTCTTGCTTGTGTTTTTCGAAATTATTATTATTGACAATGCCTCTTCTTGTTGGGTAAACTATTGTTAGCATCAAATTTATATAATCAAATATAATAATCTTTAAAATAGGTCGCAAATTTATGTCGCTGTTTATGGTTATTTTTGTTAAGATTATAAAGAAAATACTGAAACTCATGAATAAATATACCTTATGGGGCCGGCAACTTAATTATTTTTAATAAGGTTAGGGTATAACAAGAATGAATCTAGCCAACCTCAGTTCACCTCAAGTTCAGTAGACATTTATCAAAATTCCACCCATGATTTGTTTTGCTCAAATGGTATTACAATATTCCACAGTCAGATACGCCCGACTGGAGCGTATATATTATCAGACTTTTGTATTGGACCACACCTGTTCCATATTGAAAAAACGATAGAGCTATTTTGTAATTTAAAAAATATGTAGTCTATATTGCCTTTACATAATAGAACTGCTTAAGAGAATTTAGAGGTCAGATACGATAGGGGGTTAGGCAAAATATATTCAAAAAAGTTAAATTAGTAGATTCTAACGATATACTTTTAAAATAAATTGCAAGCTAATCCATGATGATTCTGCGCTATCACATCCGGTAATAGATGGTTGTGTACGCTTTATTAATGGTGGTGTCGATCAATAACTCAACTCCTTTACCAGATAGAATATCTGTTTTCCCTTCTAATTGCCTGTCATCGCTAACACTTCAAACGAGTTTTCTTATATTGTAGGATTTGTTCACCACTTAAAATTTTAATTAAAGAATCGCCATCAGTCCCTTATGCCTTCTGCCAGGCATCAGGGTTTGATTATAACACCACCGTTTTCATGTTGCTTTGCTTTACCTGATGTGGGAAATATATTTACTCAATTAAAATATCAATAATTACTATTTATTTCAATTAGGAAGAAGCGCAATGGTCAAATGTACTTTCCACAACTCGTCTGGCTGCGACAATTGTTCATTGCTCCGCGCAAACAATTGCCAACAGCTGTACATTTACTCTGCCTACATCTTTGACCCATCGACAAACAGATACTGCAGAGAGTGCAAAGATTTTAAAAATTACAACACCCAATTTCTCCTCAAAATTCAATTTGAATTCCTTTATGTGCGCATTACTGATACTGATGTTGCCAGTGTTTCACATCTTTGAAAATTACCACGCGTTCCGCGAATGTCGCTTGATGTGATTCGCCTTTATTACGTATTGTTGCACTCACTGTTTTTTTATTACGAAATTTTCGGTCCTCTTCTAAAAATAAATGACATACACAGTGTAAATATACACATACCGATTAGACATCTGAAATTGCAATATAAAATTGTCGAAAATCAACAATTGAAAAATAAATTATTATATTCAAGTTTATTATATTTAATTAGAGGTATTTCGAGCTATCAATATTAAATGCAATAAGGTTTGACTGTGCTCGATTTTGAGAAAAATCAAAAACAATTTCAGCTGGAAGAGGAGGTCAAGAAATGATATTCTATGTGCTGCTTGAGATTCAAAGCCTATATCGTAATACCAACCACAATTAAACTGTTAGTTTTACAGACGTGCTTCAATTTCCGCGAAACTTGTCAGTTTCCGATTTTTATCAAAATCTTCCGTGTTCCGCTTCCGCTATTAAATATTCTAAATGACGCGCAATTTTGTTCTCAACATGTGCTTCAATTCCACGGTTATTGTGACATTACAAGAAGGTATCTAAGCCGACCGTCAAAATTCTGCGTGAAAAATTTCGCAACCTGTTTCTTATTATCGATAACTTTTTCTTATATACGGCAGAAGTCGGAGAAGACAGGGGGTTGGATGTAATGTAAATGCACGATAATCGTTAAATTAAACGCTTAAAATGCCATTTTAATGGAATTTTTATTCCATAATGTTGGTAAAATAAAATATATAAGAGACAGAAGCAAGCAACATCCAATCCGATATTAATAATGCATGTGTACAAACATCGATTTATGCGAACTACGCAGACAACGTGCGAGACGCTAAGCGATATTTGAAAGATGTGAAATGCTGTTCAAATAGACTCCATCAGCAAATACTCTAATCTAAAATACTTGTAATAAAATATTAAACAATTAAAATGGTATTACATTTTTTTTTATTCTCGGGCATTTTAAAATTGAAATTTAATTTTTTTGGGTTTGTTTACATTTTCGCATTGAATGCCAAATATTATTAGTGTTGGACTGAAAAATACTCGTATTTTGAGTGCAACAAAATGATTTTGGAGCATCCCCCGTTAAGCCACAATTTACAAAAAAAAAAGTTATCGATAATGCTATATAAAAGAATTGCCTTTGAGCCTAATACATTGCTGAAAAATCCCATGCGTTCCGCTTGTGTATATTGAGTCTATTGACGCACATGGGCTCGATATTTTTATTACTGATAATCGATATTTTGTGATACGTGTAAAAAACAACAGATACAAAAGTTGAGCATCTCTAGATCGCAGCAAAATTAAATCAGGAAAGGGATTGGAAATAAATTAGTGCAAATTTTGATGGGCAATGCTCAAAGAAGGAATGAAAACGGAAGGGCGCCGAAGAACTTGGATTGTTTTCCTGTGACATCCACATTGAACAAATCGCAAATAACATCATCGAATGAGTTGACGGTATCTCGGCCATCAAGAGAATCACAACAGTCCGCAGAATTCCTTGGATTCGACGCTGACAGCACAAATCCCCCGCAGAGAGCCACTGGAAGTTATCCAAGACCAGTAGCAACCCGGAGCGGGACTAGCAAAACCGCATCGGTTACGACAGAAATACCCTTGCGTCAGGTGCGTCAATTTAAAAAGTCAGCACACTAAAATCGTATATGTAGTGTGTATGTGTGTACACAACGCATATATATATATATATATATTTATATATAAACAGATATGTGGTTGGCTATTTACATACTTGCTGGTTCCCTTTCAGGCATATACATGTATTTTTATCTTATCTTTACTTCTACGTCATAGTGAAACGATTTACAAGTTTTGTTTTGCTTTAGAAAAATATTGCGTTCTTAAATAACAAATTTGTTTGTTGGTCAATTGAAGCCTACCAAGGGGCCCATTTCCCGCTCATCTTTGTCATATGTATGTGTTTTCATGCAATTTTTGATATTAAGTTAAAATTGTGGATTTACGTAAGTTTGAAATACAAAGAATTGCAGTTTCGCTGAGTGGTTAGTTTCGTAGACGAAACAAGTGCTGTGTAAACCCTATAGATATATATAGAGATAGAGATAGTTGCTCTTTTGACTCACCACGCTTCGGGCGAAGGCGACTAGCAATATAAACAAGGAGAATTGAAACTCGGTTACGATGTTCCTGTCAGATCGATATGAATGGTGTCAAAATAATAGCAGTGCACAAATATGTTTTGGAAAATACTACAAAAAATTACTTTTGAAAATGTAGTTAAAAAATTATGACAATTTTATATGAACACTAGGTATCAATACTGAATATAAGTAAACATTAAAAGAAATCACAAATGCACCGGAATAAAAAAAAGTAGGGGAATTCCCTTGGTTTATGTTATTGTTATTGATAACGTTTCCTGAGTCGAAATAACTGAGCTTGTTATTGCTACTATGCTACTATTAACAAAAAGGAGATTCATGGATTAATTTTTGCTGTCTGTATATTTCTATGCGAAATAGTTGCTTAGCTTTAAAGCTGTCTTGATTAAACTTGGAATGTGCTGTTTTGTTTTTGCTGCAGTCTGTACATATTTAAGAATTGTATCGGACCACAATTTCATGTTGAAATTGTACATCACTTATCAACAACCAACAAACTATCGCAAATCTCTGCATGAGATAGCCAAGCAGCATATTATCAGCCTAATATGGGTACCTGGTCACCAAATTATTGAAGGTAGTTGCAAGGCTGATGAGTTGGCTAGGAAAGGCCCAAAATTACCTCTCTTCACTTATAAGGAAGGTATATGTCTGCCTCTGGCTACCTGTAAGTTTAAAATCAAAGAAGAAAATATATGCAGGTCTAATGCAAACGGTCGACTAGCCGACCAAGCGTGGCCAAACATAACCGCAAAATACAATACGTTCTATAACGACTTCTGGGGAAAAGGATGAGTAAAAATCTTCTGAGCACTTCTGCTTCTGCCCAGCACTTACTAGGAAACGCTACCTTAGGTAGCCATTTCCTATCCAATCTGTCCATGATGGCAAGCTTAGGACCAGACAAGATTGCGAATTTTATAAATGCAACCGGCTGGTTAAACTCCTGATCACACGAGGGCTGGAGAAACCCCGAATCCGACACGGTATTACAACGGGCCAAACATGAGCTATGTGTGTCGGTCTTAAAGACCGATAACCTAACCTAACCTAACCTATCGACAACAGAGACTCATAATGTAATCGCAAAATCTAAAGAATGTGAATGTAAGAAATGTTGGGTATAGTGGAATACGGCTAGCAAATCTACGCTGTATATATTTCCTATCTTTGTTTTACATTCTAAATTTCAATATAATAGGTTCATTAATTTTGAAATTATAAAGTTAGCAATAGGGTTCAGTTCATTTTATATAAATATCTTTACTATAAGAAAAGAAGAAACTATAACAATTACATTGGACTTAATTCAAACCTAATGTGAATGTGTGTCGCTTCTTCAACTCCACTCTTTAGCTGTCCACGTGTACTTTCGATACTGGCAGCAGCAGGCGCCTTAATTGGAGTTCAGTGGTTTGTAATTCTTTTCGGCACCGTCAAAAACCAAAGTCTAAGAGGTGAGAAAGCTTTTCGTAAAATTCAACAACTACTGTAACTTTTACTAAATATTCTTTATTCCGATTCCAATAAAAGTTTCACCTCGTCACAGGACTCACGACGTTACAGAACGCAATGGCATCGTCCAAAAAATAATTCATTATTTAGTTCCCACTTCAAAGACTGCAGTCGCAACGAGCAGTTCTTCGTTGAGTGTCTTGTAGCCAAAGGTGCCTTTGGTGTAGTATTCAAGGTTTTCAATAGGTGCAAGGACAATCCTAGCAATAAAACAAGCTACGCTCTGAAGGTGATTCCAAAGTCGAAGGTATGCAATTTTGTTTCATAAATTATTTCGTATCTTCTGCAGTAACTTGTACGCTTTTGTTGTAGGTTATTGCGGATAACAGTGTGCAGCAGATCAAGGACGAGGCAGATATACAAAAGTTGTGCGGTCATCATCCCTTCATAGTTAAGCAAATTGATCTTTGGCAGAATCGTCACAACCTCCATATTTGTATGTATTAATGTGCATTTCATGTAACAATCCTTTATTTTCTTATGACCAATAGACATTTATTCGATCCAATTTTTAAGATTTGATGTATTCTTAATCAGGATCAACAGCCGAGTCGATATAGCAATGTCTGTTCATCTGCCCGTCTGTCTGAACACGCAAATCTCAGAGACTATTAGAGCCAGAGACTTCAAATATATAAATATAGTTTGCTTGCCTTAGGCTCTCAAATGAGGCGGATGTGGGCGGGGTCTGAAAATGTATATACCGATATTTGTAGGAGGTTACCAGCAAGTTTGACGACTCAATCTTTAGATTTGTGGGAGTTTGACGTTCATGGTGTTTGTGATAGGCCTAAATCTTTTGACTTGATTATTAGCTACATTATCATATGGCTAACTATTAAATTGTAATACTCTAATGCAATATAAATATAAGAAATGTAATTTTATTTCACTCCGTTTTAGTGTCCGAGTATGTGCCCAATGGCGAACTATTTCACAAAATTGATCAGTTCTCTCCTGATTTAGTACGATTGTATATCGGGGAAATTGCGCTTGCAATCGGTAAGTAAGCAATCATTTCCTTTGCAGTTAAACGAATAATCAATATGTAATCGATCGTTTTTTTTTTTTTCAGATTTCCTACACAACGCTGGGATAATTTTTAGAGATATCAAGCCGGAGAACATTCTGCTAACGCAAAAATATCACATAAAATTGACAGATTTTGGATTGAGCAAGTGGCTTAAGCTAGGGGCAAGCACACATACCATCTGTGGCACATTCAAATATATGGGTACGACCTAACGCAAACTTTAAACAATAATAAGTAGTAATACCGTTCGCTAAGGAGCGGCGTCAAGCAAAAATATAAGCCCAAATATTGAAGAGTCCAATCAATAACTAAAACATTAACGAAACTAAAGCGGAAAAAAAATATTATTAAGCTGAAACTGAACTTTGAGTGAAACAGTTTTTGACTTTGAAGAGCAAGGGGAAGGAAACTATTATCAGAGAGAAAAGCGTCAGAGGCAGGAGCATTTCACCGCTAAAAAAAAGGTTGACAGTAAAAGGTCTAGCGTAAATGATACCACACACAAGAAAAACAAAATTGACTAAACAATTAAGTCTTAGAATTAAATTCAAAAATGAACGCACGCTCACAGATATTTGATCTAACCATGGAGGGTCGACAGGTGGACGAGGCAGTGGCCAGCATCTTCCACACCGTGCTGTTTCATCGCTGTTTGGGCAAATATATGTATACTGGAGATGCGCAATACTCTATTGGTACTGTGGGATATTCAGATGTTGATTGTGATTTCATTGACTTCACATATGTGTGCTGCACTTCAGATAGCCTTACGCGTAAGGTCAAGCGTGCTATTAATATGTTCAGCGAAAAGTTGCGCTCAAATGAGAGCTGCGGTTCCGGGCAAATAAGCTTGGAGTTTTTCCAGAAAAAGAAAAATCGCTGGCCGTTGTTTACACAGGAGTCAATACCGTGGGAAGTATGGACAGTTCATCTGGATTTAATCAAGCACGAGAACGAAGACGAGCGTCAGCTTTGCCGCGAAAATGTATCAGATCTGCTTACCGAAAAGGTTATATATATAACAGAACTAATGAACCGACACGACTATGTGCCGAAGACTCCAAGCCAAAGCGAGCTAGATCTCATTTTCGACACTTCGTTTCCCGATGTGCAGCCGTATTTGTTTAAATTTGATTATTCCACTTCTGGATCGAAGGCACCCTCAATGGGAAATGCAATGAAAAAGATCATCAAAGAGACGCTTGCCATGTGACTGGCTGGGTATGTGAGCAAGCGAGCATTCGCCTAGGGTTAGGTTAACTAACCCAATTTTGTTATGCTGAGCTTAATAATATTTTTGTGCAAACTGCTATTTACATTGCTTCCAAACTCATTTTAAAATAAAAGCGTTTAAGTTTATTAGTATTTTGTTTATGGTAATTGGCTGTTACTGTTTACTTTTATGTTATATTCGGCAGAAGGAATGCGATAACAAGAATATATCGATTTTCAATTTCCTTACTAATCTTTGAGTTCCATTATGATTTACAAAACCCAATTGTCTTTAGTCGGGCTTAATACAAGTTTTTCAATCGTTCAACAACAACAAAAGAGCACATACTTCGATAAAAAAAAAAATACAAATAAAATGAATAGTTATTTTTTAAAGTTACATTTATACATATATATATCCTTCATTGCTAAAAGGCTTTAGAAATCATTAATTTTTTCGAGGGTAATTATAATCTATTGTCATTTTCGGAAGGCTTAGAAATCTTCACACTCTGATTTTGATGATTTTAATTAAGGCTTTTTGGGAATAAATTTAATATACACACATATTTGTAATGGCGTTATTAGTAAATGCCTACTAGTGGTTTATTAAGTTGATTTTCTTTTGTGGAGTCCCGTCAATAATATTTTAAACATGAAAAAGAAAAGGTTTTACATGATGCCTATGAAATATGACGAACACAACTTTAAGTTAATATATATATATATATTTCAAACAATATATATATATTTGTAAATATAGTATATGTCTATAGTAAACACAATCTATATATTACAAACTAGTAAATTATGTACGTGAATAAGATCAAGTGGAGAAGAGAGAACAAGTGTAGGAGTCGTTAAGATGAAAAAGGAAGAAAAAGAAAACGTTACGTTTAAAATTATTGTGATTGTTCTTGTAGTTTTGTAGTTTTGTCAGCTCTATATGTTATTGGATTTAAGAATGTAATCCATTAAGCATATATATATATATATATATATACATATATATGTTTTTAAGTGTATGTCGACGTTGTAACTGTAAATTAAATAATAACATGTAAATTCCAATTTGACTATTGTTGCAATGTTTAAATTAAGTGGAAAAAATAAAATTAACCAACAAAATCAACACCTATATTCAAATTGCTTAAGGGATGAATTTTAGTGGTATTTATGATCTGAGACCTGTCATTTACATATTGTATACAGATTTAAATTTAATTTTGTCGATCGTATTTATTTGTATTGCACCAAAATTGGTATGAATTTGTTTTCCGGGTGGGTAAAACCATTTCTCCGCTCCATTTTCATTGCAGCGCCTGAAATTCTGTGCGGTGAACCCTACGGCCATGCAGTGGATTGGTGGGCCTTGGGCGTCATCGTCTGTCAGATGCTAACAAAAAAGGTGAGTGGTAAAATGGCAAGTCCCTTACATAAATCATATCCGGCAATTTAGATTCAATATACAGGAAATTATATAAGCCTTTTGATTGTATATTTTTAATATTGGCTTTTTAGTCGGTTTTTAAAATGAATCCATTTATTGGCATATTAAAAGATTAAAAATCGTATTTAGGTGAGAACCTCGCAATCGAGCAGTATATGCTTAACTTTTATTTATTGTGTCCATATTGCACAGCCGAGTCAATATAGCCTTGTCCGTCTGCCCGTCCGTTCGTCTGTCTGTATGAACGAGTGGATATCCCAAACTTCAACAGTTAAAGTCGATAACTCCCTCCGTTTCGCAAATATCAATGTTTGATATCCAGTTCGAAATAAATGAAAGCCCAAAGGTTTTTTATAAATATAAAATATGCGTTAAGATAATATTGATCATTGATCAACTATAAACATTTCATCAAGATCGGATAAGAATCACCAAAGATATAACCCAACGGGTCTCATATTGGTTATTATCTTATTATGTCGATAACTCTCCCCGTTTGGCAAATATCAATATTTTATATAGATATTCGGTAGTTATAAAAGCATAAAGGCTTTTTATACGCTGATACAGAAGGCATCCAAGGTGCCAGCGTCAGTCAAAGTGTAAGAATTGGGCTGCTACGTCCACTAGGAGGCTAGGAAATCGTTCAAATCGGTAATCGCAAATTGATCCAGCCACATATTTCTTACAATTTTAAAGCTACAGTCACCAAATTTGGTTGGTTTGTTGTTTGTGATGTCCTTCATTTACCAATTCATATTTCATATGAATCACTCATATTTCATACGAATAACTCATATTCCGTATGAATAACTCATATTCCGTATGAATAACTCATATTTGAATCGTTCTTGGACATTCTATGCCATTGGTAATGACGCAATGGTATTCAGCATTTTTGTTTAAGTTTAGGACTCCTAAAAATCGCTCTGTCTTGTTTTTGATATGCATTGTTTTATGTTAGAAAACAATAAACTATTTTCTGAACTTACGTGAACTTACCTTTATCTAATCGTCAGTCGTAAAAATTATATATATAGTGTCTGCTGCGCTACCAGCTTTTCTAGTAGCTTTATGTGCAAATAATAAAGCAACGTTTATTTCGAAAGACATTGTGTTTATGTGTATATAAAGCTTGAAGGGAACAAGGGAAAGAAGTAAATACGATTGATTAATGATAGCGATAATACTTATTGAACTACAGCAGCCCGAAGCAAGAGCCACTTTTTTTAGAGCAGGAAGCTTAGAGAGAGTGAGACTTAACAATGTTCCGTGATTGTGTACTTATAGTGTATAGTATAATAGTGTCGTTGTTGGTAAGCTGGGTAATGTTGTTATTGGAATAGAGTATTTACTAGTTTGCACGAATATCATTGGATTCATCGCTTTCGTCGGCTTCTTTCGACTTAGCAGATTCTCCACTTTTAAAAGTAAATTACATGACTGTTTGTGGCAAAGGTGCAATTCCAACAGAGGTTGGGATCTTCAGCCTCTCGCCAAAATGGTCCCGTGGGCTATTCTTAGAATCATATTCAGAATTTATAGTGGAAAAATGAAGGTAAGGTACATCGTCAGCAATATCGAAAGTTGTACCGTCTTCAGATAACTGCGCTTCCTCTGAGTTGTCAGTGATTTTAGTATGCTCTGGGGCGATCAAGTGAATGTTGTTCTCGGACTTTCCTTCTTTGAGTGTGAAGTCATTTTTCTCCTCGAAGTTAATGCGTTCCTGGTGTGGTGCATGCTGCTCTGCTGAAACTTCTTCTGTTTCAATATCATGCGACTCTGCAGAACTTGGATCGAACTGGTCTTCGAAACCTATTGCAGCAAATTGATTTTCGACGGCGGTGGCTTGGAGAGGATTCGAATTAGACTTCGTAACAATCTGGTTTTGCATTTTGCTACTGGGGGCAGGAGCGTCTACTAGGGGAATTCCCTTGGGGGCACCAATGGGCTCAACTTTACCAAGTGAGTTTTTCGAATCTTGATTCTCTAGTTTCTTGTCAACTTCGGTCTGGATAGCTGCCCTTGTTGCAGGTATGGCGGGAGCGGTTTCCACATCCGGTGCACTTAACTTATGCTCGATACTGGCATAACCATTGTTTGGCTTCCGGTTTACTGGATGGAAAGCTGTTCGTTCGGTAACAACCTCAGCTTTGTCTATAGCCTTGCGCTCAGGTATAAGATATATGGGACTGGTTTGTATAGTTTTGACAAAGAGTTTTTCATTTTTTATAGCATAGGGTTGTATTGCTACCTCCTCATCCGGCAGCGGAAGCGCCAAAATGCTGGCCATACAAGCTGCTGCCGTCACAAAAATATAATAGTTCATGCTGTAAGAAAACCATATACAGATAATTATTGTGTGGTGTAAAGTGCGTCCTGTTACCGTTTAAATGGTACAGAACAGATATATGCGGAGTGCAGAAGATTAAATATTCTTAAAAACATTTTCGAAAAATTTGTTTTAGTTCAAGTTCATTAAGAATACTTCTAAACCAATTGAACAAATCATACAATTCTATCAGAGATAGAGAGCACGACTATGATATTTGGTTCAGAGTCCAATGTCTTTACCAATCATAATTCGAATACATACATTGTGTATTCATATGTAGATTTGTAGATATTTGTATGCATGTACACAGAAAATGCTTGTGGTTTGGTAATTTAATTAATATGAAAATTCGATTTTCTTCCACACTGCTTAACTAATTTTGATGGAATCAATACTATGTCAACGAATATTCGTATCCAATTAGATAGACATATCCTCAGTATGGTGGTGTTTTTCAATCCGCAACAGCGTTTTTATGATTGTTTGTTTTTGAACCTCGGAATATGCACCAAATACTCACCTTGCACTTTTTACACTGGTTTCGTGATGTAAAGATGATTTACTGTAGCTGGTCTGGTTGAGATTTTTGGTTTTTTATTCTTTAATTAATTTTGAAACACATAAGCAAACACTGTTGACCTTGGCCATTAGCCTGTTCTGGACGGTCACTTTCAGAAACCGCTTTGCCGGGCTGCTCTTGCGTCAGGTGGGTTTTATACATTCGGTGGGCCCGCAATTCTGACAGCGTCGACGTCGACAGCGCATTCATTGCAACGTGCTGCGACGTTGAAAACATAAACGGGCAGTCAAAAGTAGGCGAATGGAAGGTTTCTCGACGACTCGACTCGTAGACAAATAGAGGATTGCACGCAAGCGGAGCAAAAGTGCTCAAATATAAACTAAAAAACCAAAAAAAAAAACCGTATTTTTACTACAGATCCGATCAGACAGGAGCTGTCGAGCAATTCAAATCATAGTAGTTATATAAGTATGTATGTGGTATATATCTATACGTTGCATGCATCGAACATCATATATTGAACATCTACCCCAAAATTATATGTGGTTTCGTAATGTAGTCGGATATCGAGAGCTGGAAAATCGATCGATATGTGTAAATCGATCAGAAATCCGAAATCCCCAAAATGTATACTAATGATATTGTAGGTGGACGTGGATCCTAAATTTAATAGTGAGGCATACATGTCGAACCAAACTAAGCTCTCAACATAATGAATTTAAGTAGAGCTCGAGCCTCACAAACTTGTTCAGCTGGAATGCTTAGAAAGTATTTCCCAATTAAAGAACAATAACAATTAGTGCAAGGGCGGCAGTAAACAAACTAATTTAAACATTCAAAAGTCAACTCAAGCTTAGCATTCTGAACAATTGCGGCTTACGAGATTTTGTGTTTGTGTACGTATTAAGCAAATTTTATTTATATCTATCTGCCTTCCAATTTTCGGCGAACCTGTTTCCGTTTTTGTTTTGCAAATGCGGGCATGACACTACTCGCATAAGTACCTCTAGTGGGCGAAGAGATCTTGGACATTAACATGTCAATGAGCAAGTCTTTGTTTGTGAACTTTACGAAACAGGGGCTGACGGCAGCAGTATTCTAGCGTCTCAGTAAGCGGAATGATATCTTGTCGAAATGATTGTTAGGGAAATGCTTCTACCATCACCGTTCCGTTAGAACTTAGCAAATCTCCACGCTCGTTTTCTGGTACCTCGTCATTAAGTTGTCAGTATAGGCTTAGATGTAATATTCCTGATTAAAGCGAATCCGGCCCTGAACATCCGATCCAATATCACGGGTGTCAACCCTCGAATGGGCTCCCCGCATGCACAGATAACGTAACTGTACAACGACCAGAAATGTTATGTCGCCTCCATAGGAAACCAGGTTATAGAGGAGCTCCAATTAGACGGAACAGTGCATGGGACCCCAAAAAGCGAGCAGTGGAAGGAAGTCACCCGCAAGAAGGAGATGCGCCCAGACGCCATAGTAATCTCCGTAAAGGCCTAAACCAGTTACGTGGAGATGGAGGTAAAGGCAACTAATCATCCGAGCGAGCTTGGGAAAGCGGTTAGAATCAGGAGGATTCAGAAGGACAAGTTATTGCTGCAGCTAGACAAGAAACTCTGGGCGAGCGAGCAGAGCTTCGGGCTCTCGCTCAACGCGTGACGATCGAATCCAGGGATTTGGATGAGGTCACGCCAAAGGAAGATATTCGCGACGCGCCGAGAAAGCAATTTGGCTAGGAGTAGGTATCACTGGAGGATATCAACCTGCGTAAGGCGTATGGGCCACCCAAATGACTACGATTAGGCTACCATCAGATGGCGCAAGGAAAGCCTTGTCTGTTGCCGTCCTAAAGTGATATGAGTCAGTTTAAGACTCCGTGAGCGCATAAGCATCACTAGGTACTTCAGATGTCAGGAGTTTGGCAAAAGTGAACTTGACGGTCGAATCTATGTCAATGATGCTGAAGACCCCATGGCTAAGGGCTTCGACATGGATCCGTAGTGTATGTTCTGCAAGGAGAAGAGTTTGGATGTCCATCCAGTTAAATCTCAACAATTTTGAAGCAGCTTAGGACTTTCTGAGACAGTTGGTGAGGGATACGAAGGCAGACGGGCCAATCATCTTCGAGCCGTACAGGCCAATCGCTGAAAGTTGCTAGGCGGCTAGCAAGTGTGGAAAATTGGCCATTTGATTCCTTTAAAGACCACTAAGCGAGACCCCCACAGGCCGCGATTGGTTTGTCCAGGCGAAAATTAACGGAATAACTTTTTACAGCTGTTACGCCCTACCGAGCTGAGATGAGAGCCGATTCCAACAGATGCTGGAGGAAATATCGGAGGATGCTTGCGGCAGATCTCCTATAGTCATAGCTGAGGATTTCAACGCCACGGCAGTAAAATGTGGAAGCAAAGAGAAAAATTCCAGAGGAACCAATCTGTAGGAAAAGTTTGTGGCGATCCACGTAAACCTTGCAAACGATGGAATGCCATAGGGTCTATTGCAGATATTAAGGAGCTCATTATGCAGAACGACAATGGGAGAGGCACCGAGAATTTCACATTCAGCGATCACCAACCGATCCACTTTCATATAACCGGAAAAATGCAAATGCGGCCGCGACCCAAAACAAGCGGTGCCAAATGGAAAGGAAACTGTCTAGATGTGTATAATTTCACCGACTCTATACGTCAGACCTAGTTCACACCTATTTACCCATCTACATAAGACCTACGACCTATCTATACCTATGAGAAAGCCAAGCACACGTAGAACATGCTGCTGGATAAATCAGTTAAGGAAAACGGGTTTACTGGCGAGAAGGCGCTCTTAACGCGCCCGGGACAGCCTCAACTTTGCAAGTAGGCTGGAGGACCTTAGAAGAATCCAGCGAGACCTCAAGCACAGCATCAAAAGAAGATCTGGAGCCAGGAGACTGTTCAGGTGACTTATCCTACGAGTCTTGCCACCATACGCAGTTTCATGGGCATCCAGGAGGATCTGAGAACATGCGAAACTGAGCGGAGGGTGACGGAGAGTGCCCTTTTAGGCAACCCACCCCCAGCGAAGTAAAACCTTACGGTGATCCCACGGGGATTGGGTGTGTGTATGCAATGAACCGGGCCGTCTTCTAACACTCAAACCGCATGGCTATAGCGAACAATTTACAGCTTTGTAATAAGTCTGAATTTATTTTTTGTAACACTGATATCTGATAGATATTTTACTTGCGATCGGTGGAAGTTATCATTTATATATATTTACTGTATTTAACGTCTGAGTGCTCAGATTTGTGTTTCTTAATACAATGAAATAGTCTTTTTATATATTTAAATCAAATGTCAATTTAATTTAAGAAATTGGTTGTTCTGTGACAAACCTTTAAATATATTTATGTACATGAATACTTCTTTTCACAGGACCCCAATGTCAGAAGCTATCTGCGTTCTCGCGATGGTAGCAGCCAAAAGGACTGCATGTCGAATGCACCGTCTATTGCTCAGATTAACGGCTACTTATTAGATAAGGATAGTAATGACTTTTTGCCAGAGGCTGTCCAAGGCCTTCCAAGCGAGGAGCAGGACGTACTGCGTCGACTTCTCGTTGTGGACCCACGTCAACGCATACGAAGCGTAATGGCATTACAGCGCATTGCGATTTTCAAAGGATACAAATTGGAAACCAAGCGGCTGATGAGTGTACGAATAGCAGACAAATAAACATTTTGGGCACCTTTTTTCATTTTTATTCTAATTTTTTAGATTTCTCCGTTAGACATCATCGTCAAGGATGGCATTCGCATATATGAAAGCAGCCAGTATGAACAATGTTACAGTGATCTGGCGGATAAGCCGTTTTCAAGCTTCTCGTACTTTACTTCATAAGAATAAAATATAATTTGTGTGAAATTTTATCTAATCTTTGTGGCATTCAACATATCCAATTATGAAATGAAACTAAATTCCAAAAATGGTTGAAAATATATTTGTATTGGAGAGTTAAATATAATTCAAATTTTTTGATGTTTAGGTAAGTATGTAAAAAATATCAAAGCGAAATATTTTCTCTTGCTCACAAAATAAGAGAGAAAAAATGAACTTATGCAGTAATGGAAAAATGCGCTAATATCGAAAATGTAGACATAAATTATATCAAATGCTGGGCAACCAAAAGTAAGTATTTTTTCCTATAGTTTTGGTTCATATTTTACATTCACTACGAAAATGCAAACAAATCCATGTTGCAGCGGATTCTGGATTGCGGAGCTTACAGAGGAATACGAAAACTATCCACTTTGTCTCTTGAGTAGATACTCTCTATGACTTGATCTTATATATAAATATAATATGTAAATAAATATATACATAATTAAATCAGAAATTCCCTAAAGACAGAACTGAAAAAACGGGGAGCCAATGCCAACTTTTACATTTTACAAAAATGGTATTGTTACACGGCAAATCATACGGAGCGATGTCTTGCGGAATGCATGGGAATTTTAGGAAGATGCGAAACGTATTTCGCACTGTGAAAATTAACATCTTGCATCTTTCAATAGTTAGTTGAGTATAAAACTATAATTCATGAAGAAAAACTAATCGATTAAAAACAGATTTTAAGGAGGAATCAGAAGTTGTTGCTGTTTTTATGCTTGGAGATGTTTCACAATTTGTTTCTTTTTTTTATTTGTAAAAGATTTGCAAAGGTTTTTGTATTCAGTGACCATATCCGTCGTGATGATTAGAATAAAAAATCGTATATAGTTTTATTATTTTTTATTAATTATAGGTATGGCAACAATATATTTTGAAAGATGAAGACAAATAATCAAGACTATAGTCGTTACCATTTTTTGACTGGAGTAATGGATCAATTGTGTCAATTAAAACTTAAATACAAACAAAAGCATTGGTGGTTGTGTAATGGCTAAAGGGGTTTGTATGAAAATTGTGAAACTTGAAACTCATCGAAGCTATAGTTTCCATTTTCATACTTCGCAGGATTGCTAGAAACTTATATATCAACTATAGTACGACTGTGGATATTCCGACTACATTTTCATACTCTGATACCGAAGGTATCAACTTGATACTTGGAACATATCTGTGTGTCTGTGCCCGCGTCAGACAAAGTGACTAAACTGGAGTGCTACGTCCACAAGGAGGCTAGGAAACCGATAAGATCGATAATCGCAAATCGATAAAGCCACATATCTTCTTTATTTTCAGGTTACAGTCACCAAATTTGGTTGGTAGGTTGTTGGTGATATCCTTTAAAGATCGACATATTCCACGCCCACATCCGCCGCCCCTTGGCCCCCGCTCCTAAATAATGTACACACCTATCTTCATAATTATCAAATGCGATATTTCGAAAAGTGTAAATCGATTAGAATGCATATCTTCCACAATTTTAAGGATAGAGTCATCAAACCTCCTTCAAAGATAGAATGGCATATAGAAGACACCCACACCCGCCGCCCCAGGAATTTCGACTATTGAAAAATGAAATACGCATATCTCCATTCTTCCATATTTCAAAGTTCACAAAATTTTAAAGGTTGTTGATAGTGGCACCCTTCAAAAATTCATAGAAACCATTTTGGACCACGTCTTCTTCCATCCCCAAAAGCGATAAAAGCCTATATCTCCCGCAGCTTCAGAGCAACAGTTAGCAAACTTGGAAGGGAGCTTACAAAAATAGTCCTCCAACATTTTTTTTGGCTACTTTTCGGCCCACTCTCACACAAAAATTAAAAGAAGCCTATATCTACCGCAATTTTAATGCCAAACTTGGAGGATAGATTAGTAAGAACCTCCTTCAAAGTTCGGCATTTCTTGGCGACACCCACCCTGTTCTGTGGCACCTGTTATGAGATATTATGACTTATTGGTATCAGAGTATTTTGCTGCCGGTTACACCCGACTGCAACGTTCTCTCTTGTTAATAATAAATGTGTGGTATTTAAATTATAGATTAATCAGTTTCTTGGTATCAACAAGACGGATTCATCATCGGCAGTGGATCGTCGTGAGTTTTTTAGATAAGGTCAACGCATTGGAATCTGTGGGAAGTTCGCAGGAAATTCCCGTTGCATGGGACAAGTACCAGTACAAATACATACAAATTTGAAATATATATATTTTACGGTAATTTAACAAATGAATGTAAAAATGTAACAAAGTAAAAGTTGTACATAAAAAAAAAATTAAAAAAGAAAGAACGGTTATCCTAAGCCCGCAGAAGATAACATACCATTTTGGGTATGCTTATATTTACATTTTTGATCACATTTTGAAATATTATATTTAAAAATCTTTTAATTATTGGCTTCCTGTTTCACGTTAAGCTGTATTGCTTTGCAACAAATTCTTTGTGATATTTACAAACATTATAAAAGAAATGCTTTACACAAATATATTTTTATGGTCTGCAGAAAGGGTGACATGTATGTCTGTGCAGATGTTGTTGGATTTCGCCGAGGCGCATGTACATTTATATATATATATATATATATATATATTATAGAACAATGTATTTATTTTAAATACACCGTTATATATTGCTGGTAGCTGATCCGCGACACTCGAGATTCTGGTTTCAAAAGATGCTGAGGGGCATATATGAGACTGAATTACATGAAATGGATTAAGCTCTCCTATGTACATTTTCTCTTTGTAACACTAGTTAACCCTTTTCTTTGCCAGGACGACGACCCCAAATGATATTGTCTTGCCCTTGTCCTATTGTCGTATCTTAATTTCATGCAGGGACCATAAATAATGATTATTTTTAACATTTTTTTTCAAAACTTTATTTAATTATCCACTTACATTAGCCGCACAAATAAAATAATTATACCAGTAGGTGTCTATTTGGATAGTCTTTGCGTATCCACATTGATTTTTGATTTTTTGATTTTCGTGCATGTTCCACAGTGGTAATGATTACATCTTGATTTTTTCAACTCAGGTAAAACGATTATTTTCTGATTGAAGAAATAAAACTCAACTTGAACCCAAAAATGATCATTATTCTGTAAACAAATAGACCAAATTTAAAATAAAAAAACATTTGATGTTTAATTTTATAATATAAATAATATAATGATTACGATCCCTAATTTTTTGTCGTATCTTGAAAATTGCTCTGATACTAATTTGTTAAGCAGCTCTCAAAAGTACATACCCATACTTCAAAGTTAAAGATTTGTATTATATGCATATCGCGTTAACATATTCTTCACATCTGAGTACTCGAACATACATTTTTATAATACATACAATCGGTCGAAGTTGGATTTTTTTTTTTTTTTTTTTTTTTTTGTTTTTATAGGGAAAGCCGTTGCATGTCGAAGATCAGAACATTAAATAGTGTATCCGTTATATGTATATGTCTCCAAGGGCTTATTATCTGAAGATTACTGTTATTTTTAAAATTGTTTTTCTTTTTTTTTTATAACTATTAATAATTTTATTGTTTATAATTTTAGAAACATTATTCGTAATTCAATTTTTTTCAAGGCAATAAATAAAATACTTCGATTTACAAGCGTTTTTTTCTCAGTAATAATAAGTATTATGTTTTTGCGGCTAAACAAACTTTGCAACTGGTTGTATATATAAGTTGAATATGAGAAGCGATTATAAGTTTATCATATCCATACATTTACACAGAAATTATCATAACCACGTTTGAATTTATGCGAATATACCGAATTATTTAATAATTTGTATACATGCTTAATGTATTGTAATACCAAATACACTAAGTTACTTAAGTAAAATGGAGCTTATTTCTTGTTCTGCTTTTTTCTTAGAAGCTTGCTGGCCAATAATTTAAAAATATTTGGCTTTATTCATAAGTACCCCAACGTAGCGTATGTTTTCACAAAAGTGTCATCGCTGGTGCTGACGTTCCTATGGACACACATAGAATAATAAGCAGTTAGTGAAGCGATTTCATGTAAAATGTACATATATATAATTAACTTACTGGTCTTCCCATGGACATACGGCATTGTGCTCATCCGTAGCTGCTTGCGCCGAGCCACTGGCCTCCTCATTGCCTTTATCTTGATCATCGAGCGAGCTGTTTTTTTTTACGTCCGAGTTGCGTTTCTTGCGCCGTCGATGCTGTTCATCAATACTAAGTGCTGGCGTTTGTGTTCTGACGACTGTCGATTCATCAAAGAGTTCATCGTCCACTGTGTCTATGTCCAGTACGGCGAGTGGAGCCATTGAGGGTGCCGGTGTTGGCGCCGGCGGTATATATTCTAGATGTCTATCCGTGTCAGTAATATCGTAATCGTAGACAGCATCCTTACTATCCTCACCAAAATGCATTTCTTCCTGGTATTCATCAGTGGTGGGCGATAGCTCGGCCTCAACACTTTCCGGCACATGACTTTCAAATTCATTTTCGGTATTGATTTGAGTCCCTGTCAGTGTCTTAACCTGCGACTCGCCCTGAAGCTGTTCATTTTTTGTGGGATCAACTGCCTTCTGCATTTCAGTGGCTGACGTCACATTGACGACCAACTCGAGTTGCATGTCATAGTTGTTGTAGGCGTGAGGCTCGATCAGCTCGATTAATACTTCTTTGACAACAAGCAAGTCAGACTCTAATTGCCGCTCCGTGCAGAGGTTGGCAGTGGGACTTTCATTGGGCAATGGCACCATGGGCGTACTTGTAGCCAATTGTTGGCTAATGACATCTCCTTGTTTAACAAGTGCACCCTCTTTTGATGGCGACGTGACGTTGGTGGTGGGCGGCTTTATTTCCGATAGCTCTGGCGAGACCAACAAAAGCATTTCAGATCCAGATACCTCACTACTTTGTTGAGATGGTAACAATTTGATGGGCTCATCTTCAAGCTCGGCTTCCGTATCACTGACAGCGGGCAAATTTTTAGTAATGACGGCACTGCTGCTGTCACTAGCAGCACAGACAGGTTGCGCCTCCAATTGTGGGTAGCTGATAACAACGGGTGAATTTGTAATCGATGGGCAATTATTGCGACCAGTTTGATATTCCCAGGTGCTGTTAAAAAAGAATAACGTAAGATCGTTTGTAAGAAAATTACATTTGACTGGCAACAAGCAAAAATTACAAGTATTTAGTATTTCATATACATTAGAGACCTGCTCACATCTGAATTCTATTATAATTTATAATTGAATATAATAATTTTATGTATGTTGATGACTCGATGCACACACGAGAAAGCTCGCCAGCGTCCATTGAGGAACTTTGAGCGGAGCTGGACAGCGCCGGCTCTCGCAAATTGACCACCAATTTTTTTTCTTTTCATTCTTCTCTTCTCATTTGCAGTGTGCGGATTTCCTAGAAATGGAAGATTATAGCACTGCTTAAAACGCCAGGATGGCAGGCTCATACCATTGTAATTGCCACAAGCTTTACAAAATGAGAGGTGCTACCCTTAATAAATCCATCTTCTCACTGCCAAAACCCGAGTAGCACCGGTTCAATCGCTATCCGCTTCCCGTTCCTCGCTGAACTTTCGGGTGGACTCCTTCCACAACTGCCTGCACAGAAGTGTGACCAATTCCAAGATTACGGAGATAATTGATTTTAAAAATGGTCTCATGTCAAATCCGAAGACAATTCTGCTGTTATTGCAAGCAGAAGGATCAAATAAACAACACGTTGTAATGACATAGTCCACAGCAGTTATAATCACCACGTGATCAATGATCAACGTTGTTCCCCACATAACGTTTTAGAAACGCTTCTCTCAGTTTGATAAAGCACTGCGAGTAATATTGTTTGTTTCCCGCCTTTTGAAGCACTGTCGGAAGAGGTCTGCGCAAGTTCTCGATCCGCAAGATAAAGCTTTTGGTTATGTTTACCATTAGCTCAAGCAAGGCTTGTCTGATCCAAACTCAGGGGCGAGTTGCCTATGGAGAGACCTGCCACTTTACTAATACAAGAGTCGATTTCACTGGATGCTGATCATGTGAAAAAATAAATTGGTCGCGCCTGCCTTAACTCGAAAGGATATGTTTCTGTCTTCGTGTACTTCAACACGAAGGCAATCTACTTGGAAGTCACATCCGACCTAACAGCTGAAAGATTCCTACTTGCCTTTTGTCGGCTTGTAGCTCTACAAGGATGTCTTAAGTACCATGATCATGGCAAGACATTTGTTGGACCATCAAGTATATTATCTCGAGAATTCTTGGAATCGTCTCCAAACATAATCACCAGAAGGTGGAAAAAGCTACACAACGCTTTCGTTCGAGTCCAAGGAGCTCTCCACCTTCCTAGCATAAATCGATGCTTGCCTCAATTGAAGACCCTCCAATTCCGGAGGATCTTCTGCATTTATTGGCCCTCATCGCCAAATAGGTGATATGTTCGTAGTTATAAAGACAACGCGTGACAATGAGTGGCGTCTTGGCCGTGTCCAATTCACTTGCCCAGGTGCGGATGACAAGGTCAGAGCGGTAGACGTGCTCACCTCTTTACTTTGCCGTACAGTTCAATTTACAAAAAAATGTTCAATTCATTACAAATTTATTCATTAAAGTTCATACACATGTTTTTCATTCATCCCTTTCATATCCTTGTAACTACTCAAACTAGATCATTTGTTCCGGTGCCGAGTGTGCAGAGACTTCCTGAGTCTGATGGGTGTTTTTTTGGTTGTTAGCAAGAATCGCGATCTTTCACAATTAAATCAATAGTCGAACTCGAATAATCATGTCAACAAAAATTATTAGAGGACAACAAAAATATTTCCAACTCCGAATTCAAAATAAATGACAGATGTCAGCAGGTTAACAAGTGTATGTAATCTTCGGTGTGCCTAAGATACCGATCTTACTTGTTTATGTATATAGATAGATAAGATTTTATATTTTAATCACAACATATATTTCTTAAAGTATGCGGTGGGATACCTGGGTGTAAATGAAACGGAGGCGCGCCGTTGTTCGGTTTGGTTGGGCATTAAACTCTTCATACCCGCCACTCCGCTGTCTACAGTATTTTGATGTCGCAAGCCTAAGTTGCGTTGCATGCGTTCAGACACATCACAGACTTGTGGACAAGTGCTGTAAAAATCAGTACATTAGATTGTTTGTTAATCCGCATTCCCACGAAGAACATTAATCATGACGTTCTTTTCATCAATTTGCTGCTGCTTTGACACGACATTTCTGGATGTTGATTACCATCTGCTAAGTAACTAACATTGGTTGTACAATAAATCAAAATAACTGCTCGTATTTTTAGTGCAATGACAGCTGGTAACTGGTGGAATGAACTATGAGCACTGAAAAATGTTGCCAATGATCAACCTTTTAGATTTGGTGACAGTGGGTCTTAATTGGTTGTAGATGAGTTCAGAATACTTGAAAAATTGGTAACTCCATTTACATCTATCCATCTATCTTGAAGGACATCTCAAGAGCCCGATTTGCACTATATTGTATACAAATTTTGATGAATTTGATTGCGGGAATTGTCGTTTATATTTATTTATTTCTTTTTTATCTTTATGAGCAGTTACCTGTATCTGGGGATGCTAACCGAAATCTTTAAATGATATGGTCATTTCCAATTCTTATCGGCCGAGTGGTTGGATGGGGTAGTGATCAACGCGGCCCGTCGATATATACATATGCCGAAATTTGGAGGACATTAGCATCGAGAATATCGATAAGAAATAAAAAATGCACCCTTGCTCAATTTATCCGAAAATGACAATGAAATATGCACGAAACTCTTTTTGCCTAAAGCTGGCCTGTGTGAACTGATACTCAGCATCTATTCCCTACAAACAAAAGATCGATGGGAAAATGTCATGATTTAATTTCGCCACGTAAATGTGAACATAGTCAATTGGTTTTATTTACCTTGTTGGGGGCTGCGGCTCTACCCTGGCGTCGACAGTGCCGGTTGACAAGGGTAAAGGCAGAGCTGGAGTATAATCAGCATTTGTGACTGATGTGGCTTGTACTGTGTCCGCTGTTCCGATATCCTGATCCCAAGGACAAATAGACAGCTTTACCTGTGCTGCAGGCAGTGCATCTGAGCCCGGCTCATCCCATGGACAGATGGCACTGCCTCTAGCAGCTGACAAGCTCTCTATGGTAGTCCCTAATTGGGAAAACTTGATATTCGAAGATTCACTGTGTAGAAAAGACAATTGTTACAATAATAATAAAGGCATATGCAGCATTTTTATTGCTTGACAAATAATGAAATATTTTATTTATCGAAATACTTCGACAAAATTGGACCTTTGATGCTTCTAGCATAATGAAATAAGTTAGATCATTGCAGTCGGGCGTAACCAACTGCGGAATCATCTGGTACTCGTGTAGCCGAAATTTTTCACAATATTATAGTGAAATGTACCAAACTTTGAAGTTAGACAACAAGGCGCCTCCTCGTAAGATTCGTCATTTCTTGGCCACGCCCATCCCACTTCCATAAATTGTGAAAACCTTTATCTCCCGCAATTTTGAAACTAGAGTCACCAAATTTAAAAGTCACAGCAAGGATTTTGATTATGGTATCAGAGTATTCTGTAGTCGGCTACGCCTGACTACAACACTCTCACTTATTTTAATTTTAATTATTATAGCCCGCAAAATGTGCGTAAATATTTAAATCACTACTGTTCCTAATATAAAAATTGACGAGCATAGATTGCGGCACCTCTGAATGGTAATGGCTTACCACTTTCAAAATCCAAATTGTGTAACATAAATAGATTCTATTGATTTGCACTTCGTCGAGGTATTATCAGTTTCCTATGACATGGCTCAAACACCTTAAAACTTGACCTTCTTCAGCTCTTAAATAATTCACATGTCGTAATATGTGACAACTGAGTTCAAACTTTAACTGATAGTCTCCCACAGCTTTAGAGCGTGAAACACAAATTGCGAAACAACCAACTTAAAGGCGGAGGCTACATCATTTTAGCGATTCTGGCAGTGACACACGAATTGTAGAAAAATCAATAGCATTGGCTTACCTGTAGGAAATCTCGCTGAGATTATTTTGGGAGTGAGAGTGCGGGACTTTGGAACTATCCTTAGTGACACCACCAACAGCAAGCTCATGAGCCGAGCCAGTGAGACTGCGATCACTTCCGCGCCGCCGCGCTATGCTATTAGGGGGTGGTGCTTGGATGATGGATGCAGTGCCGCTAGCTGTGCCGGTGCTACTAGTGCCTCTTGCCGCTTCGCCCAAATTTGGCTGACTAGACAGAGCAGCAGTCATCTTCTTCTTCGCACCACTCACACCCCCAAAATTGAAGAAGCGTTTCTTGTGCGAAGGCTGGATACCACTGTCCACAAGACGTTTGTAGAAATCGGAACGTACAAAGCGCGGATAGCAATCTTTTTTCAGTAACAGCATGTATATGTGCTCTGAGGCGGAGTCAAATGTGAAGCGCGTGGGATTTTTGAGACCACGCAGAACGCTTTCCATGGTTTTCCCATCGATGTTAATCTCACACGGCGCTCCGGGCTTAAGGAACTCTCTGAGAAGCAAAAATAAAATGTAGTGAAAATATGTTTGCTGTTACAATAAATCATGTATTCTCACTCAAATATCTCGTTGACTTTGCGCGCCACTTGCGAGTGCGCTGAGCGTCGGAGACGATTAACAGCAATCCAAAAGCGAATATTTTCGTGAGAATACTCTTTCTCTAAAAAGTTTGTAAATTCCTGCAGGCCTGTGGGATCCGAGACGAGCTCCTCTATCGAAATGGCCCAGCGTTTCACACGCTTTTCCGTTGGTATATCAACAAAAGTGCTGTTTAGCTGCCAAAAGGCAATATCCTCAGTAACCCAAGGGTTGGAGGGCAGTGCTGGCTGCAGAAAGAAGTCATACTCGTTGAATGTCTCCGAGTAGCAGACTAGAGATTCACAAGCTTGTGACATCTTCATGCGTGTACGATTTAAGGATTTGCTCAGAAATTCCACCTCGCGTTGAATATCATCGACAGTCTTCTTTTTATTTGGCTTTTGGCCCTGGCGATCCCGTGAAGGGACCGGGCACGGCTCGAGGGGTGTAAATTGACCGGGTGGTGGTCGGTGGACTCGCCAATAAGCTCGCTCTTGCGAGTCGCCAACGATCTTCTCACCCTTTTTGCGCTCCTTTGCAAGACGCACCTGCTCCTCGGCCTGCATTGAGATGAAGTCCCACTTCCCTTTTAGGTTCTTATGCAGAGAGGCCAAAGCCTCAGCCTCGTAGTCCTCCAAAGCATGACGCTGCTTATTGCGAAGTGACCGCTTTGCTAAATATATTGCGTACTCCACATTGTCCGGAGCCTTGTGCTGCCAGGGCCAGTAGTAGGGTGTCTGGAAGCGATAAAGAGATGAATCGTCTTTTACAGTCAAGGTCTTTGAGTCGTTGACGGGAAAAAAGTATCCATGGAGGCATAGCTGATTTGCAATATTCAGTGCTTCCGATTCCTCTATTTGAAGACGATCCATAAGCCACTCAATTAGATCGTACCCTGTTAAATGATATAAATTTCAGTTTCTTCAGTAATCTTCTCTTTTTTTTTATTGCTTTCAATTACCCATGAAAGCATAAGGGATGGAGGTAAGGAACATCTTTTGCTGACGCACTGGTACCCCATGCTCTTGGTCCTGCATCTCCCGCACTAGGACTTCCATCTGAAATGAAAACAAAATATAGCGTAATATAACATTTTTAATCATACTCTATTTAATTGCTTTAATTGAACATAAGTTGAACACCGTAGGCAGCTTATGTACTACTGCAGGCTATAAATCGTATACTACGGGCATTAAAATTTGTTTACTCAAGCATTCGAGAATTCGATACGATATAGCGAGGTATTACATATATCCTTCAGGGTGGCCCATAAATAAACATTAGTATTTTTAGACTTAAAATAAATACAATACAATTTGCATAGCTAATAAAATTCATATACTCAATTTAAGAACTTACGATTCCACCTGACTTCCTCTAAATAAAACGATAGCTAAATATCTTGTTTCGTGTGCATATTGGAAAGGATGTTTCTAAAAATTAATTTTTGCATTTCTTGCTATTACAAATGGGTTTCTTAGTGTATTAATAATACAAAATATTTTTTAAAAAAATACAGAAAACCGCCCAATTTTTTTGATCGTCGTTTTAGCAAGCCTTTGTTGGGTCTTAAAGCGGCAAAGTGATGCACTAGGTTTGGCGGTTAGACTAAGAAGAACTTTTATTCAATGTATTCTTAAGTTAAGGAATCGAACGCAATATCGATATTTTCTGTTATTAACATTAGTAATCGGAATGTTGTTTTGATCTTTTACATATTTTCAACACCATTCTAGATTTAAGAAATCGTTTCCTAATACTTTGAGATTTTTTTCTAAAAAATATAACAACTTTTCGGCATATACATTTTTCCGGAAACACCCGTTCTGAACCTAAAATTTGGCCCTTTAAAGACTTTTTTGTTGGATAAAAAAAATGCTCCATATTACAGGGAAATCAAGTGTTGCAAACAAATCAAATTTGGACATCGTTTGTATCGAATTAAAAATTGTCGTAACATTTTTAATACTCTGATGCCTTCCAAATATTTTCATTTCCTGACCACAACTACGACCGATAATTGTGGAATTCTTTACATCTCTAAATGGTAGGAAGATTTTAATAATAAACAAATATCTTTCGTAGTGCTAGTGGCACAAAGTTTAAGAGGTACATTGACGATTTAAATGATTTGTGGGTACTGCAAATTACATATTAGCACTAAGCAATCAATAAATTTTATTGTAGTTTGTATTGATTACTTAGTTACTAGCAGACACTATTGTTAGAATATGCGGACACCGGGTATTCCACGGGAATCCATGCCGACTGGGGCGGTCTGTGACGTTTTGATGCGAAATACCCGCTGGGTAATTCCAGCGTCTGCGCGAGGCGCATACGTATTTTTGGTTACCGGCACTGGCCAGCCGAGTGGCATTCTTTTATTTTAATTTAATTATATTTCTCCTTATACATTTTACGTTACTTATAGTCCAATTGACGAAGCCGCAAGTTGCCCTTTCAAATAAATCAATATTACACACTGGTTTTGTTTGTATCGTCTTCCAATCAGATCGAAACCATATCCTGGCTTCACGAAAATTACTTGAATAAAAAAGGCTAATTTATTTTGACCTTTACCACTAAGCACCTGTTATCAGATGGTATTACTTATTGATATAAGAGTATTTCGCAGTCGGTTATGTCCGACGTGTTTACAATCTGAAACCTACATTCACAAAACCTTCAATAACATCCAGAAAATAATTATGGTTAATAAAAGTAACTGCAAATTTACGAAATAATTATTAATATTATTTAAACTTGCCCATAATAGATAATCTCCAATAATTTTTTTTTTTTTTTTTTTGGATTTTTGAGTTCTAAAAAATCGATGTTTTGAATATTTTAGAGCCAAAATGTTGCTAAAAATATGAAACATTTCCTCCAGAGGTTTATAATCTATTGCTATAGGGATATGGCTCAGTTGGAAACTTGCAAACGATGGTTGACAAGATTAAATTCAATTGTAAATATCTCAATATTTATAATCGTAAAATATAGAAGAAAATGAATGCAGCCTAGAAATTTTTGTTATAAACTTTAAAAAAATATATTAAAAAATAAACCGGAGAATTAAGAATTTAAGCACTGGGTTTTTGAATGGCACAACAAATGTTTTGGAAATGTACTTACTAAAAATTCAGGTTTTCTAAAATTTCGGGGCGACTTTCTTATGAGTATAGAAGAGAATATTGGATTTGTGCAATGTGCCGTCCTAAGATTGTTCAAAAAATGTCTGCCGTGACCATTTCCACTGCCACAAATGGCAATCGAGGCATGACCAACACTCATGCCCTTGCAATAATTACAATGATTGCTTCTCACAGATATTATATAAGAAGTCTTTTAAACTTTAAAACAAAAACAATGTACATAGATTTATTCCAAGAGTGCTAATGCGTTACTTCAAGATTGAATTCTTCAATTCTATGAATACACATTTTGATGTTTTACGTACAACTCTCTATGCTCTGCTATAGACTCTAGGAGTAGTAGAAGGTCATCGAGCAATAACTTAGATTTCAATTTCAAGTTCACCTTCCCATTACTGGGGGGTCTTACTCACCTTATCAAATGCCATTGGACGGGAGAGCTTGTCAATGGTTTGCTGTGCAGGCTGTTGGATGGGGGCACCAGCAGATATGGGCGCAGTGGATGCAGAGCCTTGGTGGTGATGGTGTTGGGAAGCATTTGATCCTACACTCGCAGCCTGATGCTGGTGCAAATGGTGGTGGTGCTGCGGATGATGATGTCCCATTGAGCTGCCACTGAAGGCAGTTGCCGCCTGCGTGGCGGCATTTATTGTAGTTGCTGCGGAGGCAAGAGCAGGACTGCTTCCACTATGACCACCGGCATAGCTAGTTAATGTTGCAATAGTCCCCAGATTGTTGTTTATTTGTGTAGAAGGAAAAAGCTGAGCTGTCGCCTGCGGCGCAATCAGTGGTTGTAGGCTCAAAGTTGTTGGCTTGACGCATTGCGGTATTTGTACCAATTGTTCAGGTGGCAGCGGTTGTGATTGTGCCTGCTGCACTGTTGCCGACGTTGACGGTGTTGCATTAACCAGATTGCGCAAAACTAACTGCTGATCTCGATCTGGTGGCAGTCCGCCAGGCGGCTCCATGACGGTGCCGCAAATCTACAGATGAATCGATCTTAGATTTTGCGGTGAGAGCCTTTCCTCAATCAAATCACGATAAAATTGATGTTGTTGCTTCCTGGCCTGTAATCAAGCCACTTTACTTTGTGCTGATTAGTTAGATGCTTGGTGCATCTACCCGATGGTCATCACATCCTTGTGCATGCAAATCTTTGCTACAAATAGAAGATAAAAGATCTTAAATATTATAAATATGAAGTGATAAAAATGTTTTGTTCAAATCCCGAAACGATATCCCAAGCTAATCACATAGTTTTTAAATATATATGCCGATCTTTCAGAAAAATCTATCTGACAATTAAATATTCCTATTGTAAAATTGAACTTCCTTCATGGAGAAAAACAAAGTGCGAACGTTGTAGTTGTGGACGACTCGGATAACCAGTGTTATGCCGATTTATGGAATTATGGAGGTGGACATAATAGGTGCTGATCTTTGAAGGACGTCGCTAACAAGAAATTAACCAAATTGTGATGACTTTAGCTTTAAAGTTAGCACAGATATGTGGTCTTATCGATTTTCTAACAATGTCTGACGCGGTCACATGCGAGTTTCAAGTGTCCAACTGTAAGGGTGACGAGCATAATTGCGCTCGCACGAACAAACAGACTAACGTTATAGTCTTATGCCTTCGGTATATAATGATTCGAAGTATATAATGATTCTGCCCAATATTCATGGATTTGCATTTCTGTCATTTAAGCTTTAGCTTTGGCAGTGAGACGTATTTAAAGAGAAGTTTTCTAGAAATCGAATTTCAAAACTAAGTTTTGATTTTCGTTAATTTTTTTCAAACAGGGCAGGGTAATAAACGTGTGGAATATGTATTCTATATTTCAGGTCTACAACAATATTTCAGGACATTCTACAAAACTTATGGATCTTATAATCTGATCCGTCGCATTAGAACAATATAGATCTAGAACTGCTATTGCTATTCCAAAAATTGGTCTGTTACTTTCTCTTAAAAGCAACGGTTGACGCACTAAGATAAGTTAACTTTGGATAAATACACGTTTAATGTGTCTGGCTCAATATTGATTATCTCTCCTGCATTGAAATAGGTGTTTTTAACGGTCGCAGGCTATGCTGCTGATGTCAGTGTTGTGTTGTCTGAATAACGGCGCCGTTGTTAGACAGGAAGTTCGTTTCAAACTGTTGGCAAATGAGTTTCCGATTGTGCAGGAGGTTTCCTGCTACCGTTGCCGTTAACGGCTGTGTTGTACTCGTCTCTCTTGAATTATCTGTTGGTTATTTTGCAATTCACATGCACAGCTGGACTAAGCATATTAATTCCTTGCAATCTCTCTACAATAATAATAAGCAAATAATTGCAAATTTACTGTGTATATTTGCAAATTATTTTTATATTTACAGTTTTTATATTAAATATCCAAATAAACTTCGAAATTTATCGAACTCCTTGCGCGAAACTATCGTTATCGCATCCTTAACAGATTTCCTGTTAAAAGTTAAGAATTTTCCGTAAAAAAACTAATTGAAATCAAAAACATTTTTTATCAACAACTGCTTTATGTAAAATATTTTTGTATGGCATATAAGATAATTTCGGGCACATGAAAAAATTGTAGCATACGTCACAATACGCATTCAGTTTTTAGCATAATTATAGGGGTTTAAGCTACAACTTTTACCAGGTAATGCACATTGAAGTGTTAAACAAATTGGCATCAAAAGTGCATTTCGAAAAAATGGCATGTACGATAATACTGAGATTTTATCGATTTAACAGAGCACAGTGGGCGTGTCGCGCCAATCTTCGAAAAAAGTTTGGTCATTTCTTGTATACTACGTGCAGAGTCTACATATGTTATTCCATCGATAACTGTCTTCGTTTCCCCAATATCGGTTCATCCACCCCAAATAACAGCCCTCCATTATTATAGTTAGTATCTCTATAATTTAGTTAGTACACCCATCGGATATGTGCCATTGGTTTTGATTATCTCTCTAAACTTGAATCGAGATCACTTTCCGTACTTTAACAGTCTTCTTTCAAAACCCTTTCCCAAAGAAGAGTTCTGTGGATCCCAGGACACAAAGATTGCGACACCGCAAGAACGCCTTATTCAGTCTCACACCAACCTGTTACCGCTTCAAACTAACCTAACAACCAACAACATATTTATCAATTATCCTGTTGGGGTATTAATCAGTATTAAGCAAGTAAGAATGCTCTAGTCGAGAACTGAGGTCACCGGCTTGCAGCAAGCGAGTGTATATCATTTTTTACATTGTGTGAGATAAATGGTTTTATCAATTTCTCCATCAACATCTTTGTGTAGCTCCTCATCTGTTAGAAACTTTTGAAACCAGAGTAAATTTTACGACACCGGTTTCTTCACAGATATTCTGCCGAAGATCAGGAAGATCTCTCAAAATGTTATATTTCCGTCAACCGGAACATTCACGACAGACGCATGACTGAAAACCACTGCATTGAAGATTGTCGCATGCAACAGATTTTATCAAGGACTGATCGAAAACAAACAAATTTAAAGAATTTAATTAAAACATTTTATTATTAGACAAAAAAAAATAAATAACAGACCCTTGCTGACCGGAGTAAATATGTTAAGATTTAATTTTTGGTGTACAGAGTAGTTATATTATGCAGCAGTAAATGTACACGCCCATCTCGATCCCACAAATTATAACCTCGCATTCGACCGATTGAAATACACAGTACCAAGATAAATCACAAGGCGGATATTTCTCTGTTGCTTGAAGGATATTGCCAGTAATATATTTTTCCAATGTATAGGTTTTATTTATTTACACTTCCCCAGTGTAGGATTAACCCAACAGGGCTCGCTTAGAAGATATATTGAACCCTTTCATAAGATATTCTAGCCAACACGCTTAAGAATTGTGCTCGTGTCTAAATACCGAAACAAATATCAACCATCTCGGCGAACAAATATTAATGGCAAGCTGCTAGCCATTTACCCGCCAGACGGCTACATAAGATCCAAATTTGGTTAGTTTTCAGCTTAAATTGATTAATTGATTATATGCACATATAGATATTACATATTATTTGAGGTCACCTCCAAAATACCGCAAGAAAATCCCCCTGGTACCGTGTCCCCTTTTTTATTTAACTTGTTCATAAATGTCCTTCCTTCCGTGATAAGCCAGATGTTTGCTGATAATGTAAGGCTTTTCCTGTGGACTACTAACTCTTTTTCCGATCAAAGCTTACAAACTGATCTTGGAAGTTTGCAAAAGTTACTTTAACATTAAGCAAAAGTAAATTAATGTCTTCTTCTAAGCGAAAGCGCTTTTCAATAATTATTTTCTTCATGTCAAACAACTTGATTGCATAAAACGTGTTTATGATTTGGGTATTCTATTTTAGATCATAAACTTTAGTTTGATAATGGCTTGGGTTTCATTAAGCACTGGTCGAAAGAATCTGAATATCGCTATGTTACTAAAATTATTTATATAACACTTGTGCGTTATATTCGTAAATTTCACAATGTGCATCATGACTAAATAGAATGTGCACAAAACCATTTCTGTTATTTGCCTTTCTCAGCCTAGACGGGAATACTAAAAATTAGTTCGTTTGGCAGTCCAGATTGGGAGTATAAGGATTTTTTTTACCTCTTTCTCTTCAAATTTGTAATACAAACTATGCTATCCATAACCCATTTCGGATCTTAAGCTCCAGTTAGTAATGCACTTAATTTGTAGTGCACCTTTCATTTGGTCGTATATGACTTGTCCAGCGATGCTTAGTTTTATTTACTAATTACTAACTATATTTTACAAAGTAATGAAACTCGTTAACAGTATTGAGCTACTTCGAAGTCAAACTGTGCTTGTGGAATTCCAAGAACTACAAAACAGGCAGCTGTGCGAGACGATCGGCGTCGCCTTACAGAGTAGTGGAGGTGATTGCCATATAGCTGCAGCTACTATTTGTCGAATAGTTTTAAGCAAAAATAATTTCTAATTTTGTCACTGTTACCACCAGAAAATAAATGCGTAATTCATTAAATTCATTAAATGAATAAAATACGTTGCATCATCGAAATCTTAGCCTTTTGTATGCATTTTCGTCAGTATTTTGATTAATATTTTATTTACTTTAATATTTTGAATACCATATTTTTATTTAACGTATCTTGCTTGTGTTCATATCCTGTTTTCAATTGCATAACGATCTTTGCAACCGTTTTCTTGGTAATGGATTTTCAGAAATTTGAAAACAACGATGTTAATATTTTTACGAATAAAAAAGAAAATCCGACGATCGTCCAGGCAAATGGACAGATAGACAGACGAACATGGATATGTATAAGTTCAGCTTTTAATGCTGATCAATAATATATATATACTTGAGCCGGATACAATTTTACAATAAAAATTGTGATTGTATAACTCTACCTATAGCGATTTCCTAAATGAGAGTGTATCTTTCAAATGCTAAGATAGCTATAGGTTATAGGAATACGGTTCTACAGTTTAATCAAGATAGATTTAAAGCTGATGGATTAATTCGCATATAAACTGATATAAGGGCACGCGGACATGACTATATCGACTCGGCCAGTGATGAAACAAACGAAATTCTGATGATATAACAAGTGAGAACGTTACTCTTAGACGTTATCGACTACGGAATACTCTGTACCAGTATAACACCAGCTGATATCAGGGGGTAAAGATGCATCTTGCGAAAGGGGTTGTCAGTAAATTACCACTGAGATTTGGAAACGCTAGCTTCAAAATGTATAAGGTATAGGTTCTCACGACATGTGGGGCAAGGACATTTTGTATACTAAAATTGTTGCGATTATATGTTATCTTCACGTGAGATCTATTTAGAAATATTGGCTTACGTGATTTGTGGAGATTTGGACTTGAACATGATATGAATTAGCTCACATTTAAAATGCACCTTTCAATTTTGGAAGATGTTGTCGATTTCACAGCCCAAATACTCTCAACACTTGTTAAATTCAAGTGTCACGCTTTATATGGTTTGTTTAATATGAAATACAACTTATTTATTTCTTAACCGTTATTTATATAATTCTTACAGTTGATCAATGTATTGGCAAGAAGTATTATATAACATAATAATTATATTGAATCGGAAAAAGGCGGCATTAGGCATTAGGACGAAGGAACAGACAGTCGGATATGGCTATAGCTATGTGGAATCGGTTGCTAAGATTTGCCGGCTCGAAGATGCCATACATTATTTATTATTTGCACGACTTCATTATACCCTTTTTGAGAAATTTCAATTTGTATTAAAACAATCTGTTGCTGGGATCGATATCAACATTTTATGATTTGCAGAGCACCTAACAGAAAACTAGTTTATATTTTCGAAAGCGCAAAATTGTAGAGCACTGCTGTATTTTGGCTTGCCGAAAATATCTGTTATCCGAAAAGTCACTAACTTATCAAACTACCCCGTATGCGCTGACCTTGTCGTCAGCAAAATGAGAATAACAAAGAGCAATAACAAATATTTTGCCACAATCAATACACAAACTAAAAAATTATAAATAAGAGTGCCATCGCTAGAAGAGTCTGCTCTAAATTGCCCTCGCATTACAGATTCGTATTAATTAATTATTCTGCCTTTTATACATTTTCTTACGTTTGAGCAACTTTATTATACGCTTTTTACCCATTTAAAATGAGTAAGGCAAGGTCATACACAATGTGTGTGTTTGTGGGCAGGGGTGGAGTGGAATGGAGTGGTGCGGTGTGGTGGTTGGCGATGCTTCATGGAAATTTAACATAGATGCATACATATGGTTGATCGTAGAATGAAAATCGAAAATATAACTTAACTTCGGATGTGCTTAGTAAAAAGCCTTAGCAATCTTTCAAATCTTGAAAAATAATGTATGCAACATGAATAATATAAAATAAAACGAAGCGAAACGAAACGAAATGAAAAAAATGCATCCACCACACGGATTCCCTTTTGTTATTCAATGATATAAAATGAATGTGTAGAAGAAAAAGTTATCTTGGTAAACATTAAAGAGATATGTCAATCCAATCCACAAGGCTGCTACAAATATACATAGATACATACATATGTTCATAACTGCCAGCCAGCCAGCCAGCCAGCATACAATTTTCTACCACAAATTCAGTGTCATTGCTAGCACATCAACACATTTGGCTTTCACACATGCAAACACTTTTCGTTACCTCTTTGCGTCTGGCTTCATTTGGTGTCGAAATTTCACCTTTTCTAAATTTCACCTTCGGTTGTCTGATTTTAAATATTTATTACAATTTATTTTTGCTTTAAATCTGCACTTCACATATATACATATATATATATATATACGTATATATATATATATCTTCTTTTTTTTTGTAATAACAAGCAATCTGCAAATTCACAGAAAAGAAAAGTCAAATAATTTTGTGCACTTTTTATTGCGCAGTATTTTACTCTGCAATTTTAGTTTAAATCATACATTCATATGTATGTTGTGGACATGTATTTACTTTACTTATTGGAATTTTCAGTTGTTGAGGGAATAAGTGAAAAATGTTTTTTTTTCTTCTTATTTTTATGATGGTATTTCTTTTTACGCGGACAGTAAACAACGTACACAGGACAAGGACGTCCGCCGCACACAACAATCAGAGCCCGTGTCCGCAGCTAGAAAATGTGGAAAATGGATTTTTCTGTGCTTCTGTTGCCTCAGTTGCGCAGCGCTTTTCAGAGAGTTATACATAGATAGAGAGGGGCAGAGAGAGAGAGAGAGAAAGAGTGGTGCCATTGAGAGAAATGTAAGCAATTTCAGAGCGATTTTTGATATCTGAGCACCCAAACCACTGGTGGAATGTTTAAACGGCTGCTCCATGATGGAAGCAAGACCAAGAGCACGGGTGCAAACCCGAATCGGAGCACCTTTGCAAGAGAGCAGCTGCTTTAGTATGAATGAATTTTGCGTGTAGCTGCTCTATTGCGCCGTCGCATCGCAACAACTGCACTCTCTGACTTTCTATTTAGTTTTTCGATTAGGGCGGCTGTCAGCCAATTTTCCACGGAAAAAAAAAGAAGAAAAAACCACATGATTTCAATGTTCTTGCTTCTGAATGTTTATATTCTGTGCCCATAATAGGTAAAAGGGTAATAACAAACATGTGGAAATGAATGTGAACGCATTTTATATAATGATAGCCGAAATGATATTGCCACACACATTTGTCTGATTTCATTTATTTTGCTTGTCTAAATTAAGAGACACATTAAAATCTTTGCAACTTTCCGAAAATCCAAAAATCCGTGAATTATTTGTCAAAGAGAGAATTATTTAAAGGAATGTAGCTACAGAATATGGGCTTGCATGTTTTGCTCTAAAAGTTGAAACACAACCATTTCAGATGCGATAATTTTAATGATTTAACTAAATACATTTTTTTGAAAAATTATTTCTTTTATTTGTGTATGTGTGCAAAAAACTGTTTTTGCATGTAAACTCGACATACTTTTTGCGAAATCGACCAGAAAAGCGATTTCAAAACTATAACGTTTTTTCTATTTTTTTTTTTTCATTATTTCTAAAGACACAAAAAATTAAAAATCTTTAAATTACAAATGTTTTTTGCTTCAATTTTGCAGAAATATATTTATTTTTTGCAAACTGTTATTTTTAGAAGAACAAAAATTTGATTTCTGGGAAGTCAGTCGATCAACTCGCGGACGAAATCGTGGATGCGTGCAATAAACAAGTTTCTTAGAAAAGCACAACATTCCGATTTATGAATACGCTCTATTAATAAGAAGGTTCTTTACCCGTTGCAGCAAAGGTATGACCATTTTCTACAATGAGTCCAGTACAAATTTATGAATGGGTATAGTGCCGTTGAGTAAAATTATGAAAAGGGCAGATAGATCAGCACCATAAGCTACGTATATTTATAAAGTACTTATTCCCCATAATGAAAATACATAAATCAGCATCAAAAGTCGAATCGATTAATTAGAGACTAAGAGCTAAATCCTTCCGATTTGGAATACAAGTGCTCGTACCCAGTTTATTTGATTTGATTAATAATTTTGTTTGGTACAATTTGCGTTTTCCCAACATTGACAAAAACCGATTGCAATAAAATCCACGATTTTCAAGATACAGCTTTCCAAACCGACAGACATTTATTAACAGTAAAACTTTCTTTAAAATCGGTTAAGGAACACGAATAGGCATTTAAAATTAATATTTCATCAATTACAAAGCAAGCGCAGTCATTCGATGTATACATATTTATATAATGGGTGTATGGCACATTCATGGTTCTTCAGGTGAATAAAGTCAATAATAAATCAACTCACAGTTTTCTCTCATCAACTTGAACAAGTGGTACAATTGGTCATTTACTAGTGTCTAATGCTCAAATAAGGACACAACAAGTCTTTGTTAAGAGTTTTTGCTGTTAATCATAGCAATCAAGGAAGATTGGTAAATTTGTCAGATTGTTGCAATTGGCAAAAGACTATAATAGAAATGAAATGATTTTCCGTTGTCGCAAATTGGAGCACACACATAATACCAGAATCTTTACATGCCTAATGCTGTTGATGATTATTTCAAAAGAAATATAATTTACATATAATGCTTTTTTTTTAGTATCTTTTGTATTTTGTATTGTTGTCAGCTGATTCGTTTCGAGCCAATTTCGTTTCGTTCTGTGATCAAAAATCTCTATTATAATTGGACATACTTTTTTGAAGTTGCATTAATATCTAAGGATCAAGCAAATCACGCAAAATAAATAAATATACATATATACATATACCATATATACTATATATATTCATAGATAAAACGAAGCTTTTTGCTCAACTAATTTGAATTGTTCATGTTACATTTTAAAATTGTTTAATAAAAATGATATAATTATGAATATGTTTTTATAAAATTCTTTTTATTCCTGGGGTTATAGGGAGACAATAATTATTGTCATTTCAAAACTGTGGTAGGGAAGGAATAAGATAGTGAGTCCAGATTACCACCACTGTGCAGTTTTACTATGAATATACACGATAGCAAATTTTGTGGAAATTAATTTACTCAGATCATAAAAGTGGGACGAACGAAACTTTGTAATTTATCAAACAAGACACACTACAAGATAAAGAAAAAATATATATTTATATAAATATATATATATATATATATATATATATATATATATGTATTTCTTTTTTTTCTGATCAGGAATATATATCAAGTATATAAGCTTTGGGTTTTTAATGCAATTTGGCTATAAACAGCAGCAAAATGTATACTCCATTTGGGATAGTCTCAGCATATTGTAATTGCGTGCTATCTCGTTAAATGCAACTTTGTTTTGAAGGAAAGCTCGTGAGCGAAGTCGCATCTCTTTATTCTTATTTCCCAATGACAAAACTGAGAGACCAAAGCATTACAAAAAGTACATACATATTTATGATACGAGGGTCCGCATTGCGCATGCTCTGCTCAAAAATTGCTCCTGGCAGCAGTAGCAAATGGAGGCAGTTCAGTTTACATTTTTGTTCATAGGTTTTGGTTTGTAACTCAAATGGGTTCAAATAAACAAATATATAAATCAGCAAATACATTTAAGCAGTATGCAACATATGCAATATAATCGGTACAAAATTGTTACACAATCGCATAAGGAAAAATCACAAATGCACAATTGTATGTATGTTTTTTGGTTTTTCCTTTTTTTTTTTGTTTTTTCTGACGTGGTAAAAATCTAACCGGTGCAAGTGCGGCATAATTTTACTTATATCAATGCTAAACTCTTGTAATATATTCTCATACATTCCCATTTACTTTAAGCTAAAGTGACAACAAAAATATATTTTGGTTAACATGGCGCCGGAGCACACATTTCTGGGAACTTGGGAGGTATATTTTTTTCAGATCAATTATTTTTCTAGGCATTCATTATTTCTCTGCTATATTATCCGTGTAGATAGTTGCCTGCACATTCGAGGGCAAGCGCGAGTTATCCGGATTAGAGGGGTGAGTCTATGCGTGTTTTAAAGTAAATGACCTGAAAATAATTTTGTATTTAGCATTAAATTTCGCCTAGACGATACAAATGACATTACCTGGTACAATGATCTTGTCAGCCCACTTCCTGAAATCAAAGACTGCGGCATTTGCTGTGATTCAGCAAGTGTGTTATTTAGTTGTGAGACGTTTGATGTGTACGAGGTCAATCCCCGTCTTATATTTGGCGCTTTTGCCGGACACAGCATTGAGTTTAGTGTAAGCCGTTTAGCATTTCCACCAACTGGTAAAAGAAACAAAAATATTTTACATCTTCTCCAATTTTCTAAACTGTAGACCAGTACATTATTGCCGACTGACACGCTAGTGCTTAGCTGTGAAAATTGGTATGCGGTTGAATGCAGGAGACTCCAGGAAGACCAGGCCGCTGGCCAGGAGGAGCAATTTAGCTTTGGCGAGGCTCTGCTAGAGAAATATTTTAGCGATGTTATGGTGAAGAGTGCAAGTGGCTTTGAATATGCTCTCCATGCCTCTATATTGCGGCTCAATGGATTTGACTGCAGCATGTGCACCAAAAGTGTCCTGAAATCATCGCATCCGCTTACCCTAAAACCTCCACACATATTACCCAAAGTGTCTAATCCTAATCCTGTAAGGATATCAATTGTGACCGCGGGAGCTACCGCAGGCGAGGAGCAGCAAAAATTATGGCCATCTTTAAGTCTATCCCCTATTTATCTGCAGCCACCCTGCGAATTGGAACTATTAACAACGACGACTTGTGGTGGCCTAGGCGCGCAGCGATTGCACCATTTAAGTAATAGTTTCAACTGCCTTAGCAATGGTAATGAACAAGATGTGACTGAAGCATCGAGCGATGGAGGTAACGGAATACAGAGTGTGGATGGTGGTGGCATGCGGCGATTTCCTCCCAACTCGCATTCAGATTCGCACCTTGAGGTGTCTCAGGTGCAATGCAAAAATATTTTTAATTTTTGCCAGGATATGATGCTGCAGCCCATGTCCTGTTCCATTCCACAAAGTGGCTTGGCCGCCGGTGTGGCTGTGTGCAACACTAGACGGCCACCCCTGTCGCCATATCGCGCACGCAGCCCTTTACCATTTCCCAGTTCGATGGAAACGCCGCCATCATCGCCGCTGACACCGGTCGGAGTGCTCTACAACCTACCCACATTTCTACTTACCGCCATCTTGCACTGGCTTTATACAGAGTCCTTGCTGCCAGAACTCGATGAAGATATATGTGAGAAGCTTATACATTTTGCCGAAGCGCAGCCATCGCTAATAAAGCTGGTAGAACCAACACGCAAGTACCTGAGATTACTGCAACTTAAAAAGTGTGAGTGACTTGAAAACCCATCATTTGTTTCCTATATATACTTAAAAATCATATAATATCTCAAAGTTGTCGTCAATGTCACCATGGATTTGCACAGTATTCTTAACCGCGTCATACGCCACATCGATCCTGCTAGCATTTCACACGAGCCAGCTCTGCTCTACGCCACGTTTAAGGACGGCTTGCGAGAATGTGCCGTAGGTAAGACTATACAAGACTAAACTAAAGTCGCACTTGGTTACATTTAATCTTTCGTTTATTTCTGTTTCAAACCTGATATTTTACCTGTGTGCACTCTAAGCGCCAGAACTTGAGTCGGCACAGCAAAATTAATAGATTCAACTAAAGTGAAGTAGCCACTGGTGACAGGGGTGATTACCTATCCCATTTTATGTCAACACATTTGTCTTTAAAATGTAGCGCAGGTTTTACTATAATTTTTACTTCAAATCCAAGCTGAAATAACATTTTTATTTTTTTTTAACACTTAAAAGCCATTTACTTTGTACTTAATAAGTGTTTCTCGTTGTATTTTAACTGATAAAAGGCTGTGCGAAGGTGCTCCAATTTTGCAACATTTTCATTAAGGATGCCACTCACCTTGCACGCTATCAAAAGAACGAAATTGTCAAATACGTGCGGACCCGCATCCCGATATTTATATCCCAAGTCCAGCAATTACTGCGCAACACTCGAGGGGTCTTTGTTGGTCTAAGCATCGATGAGAAGGAAGTTTTGGTGAATTATCTTGTACCTGAGGTAAGACTTTAATTTTCCTCAGTTTTTTACTCCATTTTTATCGTCCTAAATCTTTATTAGATTGAATCTACTTTATTGATTTTAACCACTGTGATAGAGGAAATAAAAAGCTCATTGGACACCATGTGCAAGGTGAGTCAACTTCAGCTCATTGATATATTATTCAACTTTGTGCTTAAATTACTTAGATAATGTGTTAAGGTACTGTCGAATTTTATAGCAAAAATTATCAAAATTACTAGCCTCTACTCAATATGCTTGGGTATCTCCTCAGCGATTCATAGTAATTTATCTCCAAGCTTTCTTAAACCATGGATCACAGATGTGACATTGTGCGATGTTTCATGTCTAATTATTACACTGGGAATAGATTATTGTCCATTGTAGCTTAAGGCTTAAGGATGTACATATTAAAATGCATTTCCAATTACCTTAGTTTTTAGGTTTTATTACAGCAACTGACACAACATACACGAGCAACAGTATATAAAATTGAAGACCGATAATATTTTGTTGATGTGCTGCTCTTTTATTTTTAACTAGGACTTAAAGTGCACCGACTTTGATCAGCCCTTGGAGCCACAACAGACGGAAGGTGGCATTGCAATGCAGATGCAGTGTGTTAACAGGGCAATAATAGGACCACGCAGAGAATTATTATCACCCCACCCTCGTCGCGGTCCGCCAATTGGCTTAACACTCTACGATAATCCTTCGGAGCAGCGTTTCAGTTCCGCAGAAAACGATCTAAAGTTTGTGCTCTATATGTACGAAGTACGTAAGATGCGTGATATATATGGACGCATCACTGCAGCCCTGGAGATTATTAAGGACAAAAAGTAAGAAAGATATACTTACATATTTCAAGATTCTAACTCTTGCAACTGAGCAATGATTTTTTATTTAGAAGGGCATTCTGCGAAATGGACCTTCTCAGCAAGCGCAGTACCATCAATCAAAATCTTGAACAGCTTATTGTGGACATACCAGCATACATATTTATTATAGAGAATTTGTCGGATCGCCTGAATGACAAACTGGGCTGGAAAGAGTTCAAATTTTGCTTTAAGCTTGCCACAAGTCAAATCGTGAGTATTTATTTTAGCTGTATTCGCTTAGGGTTATATTTTTCAATGGTTTACTTTGCTCCTTTATTATGGACTACTATATAATACAACAAATACCACCATGCTCATACAAAAAAAAAAAAACCTAGAAAACTAGCGAGAATCAACCAACCCATCTGGTCAAAGTAACAGTAACAGTGCAAATTTACTACTCCTTTCCGTAATTACTCCCATCAAAACAAAGCCATTGCCTCCGCTTTTGGGGAGTTGGGAACTTTCTGGATTGGGGAGTGGCACTTCTTTGATTGTACTTTTTTTGTGATGTTGCCCTTCTTGAAATCCACGAGAGGCTGCGAAAGGAGGTTATCATGAAAAGTGGTCTATCAAGCTTTAATAATACTGGGGAGGTATCCGATATGCTCCGTGAGCGATTGGACTATTTTTGGGTCCCCAGTCAGACAAAACACTCTGATGCAAAACACCATTCGGCACACTTATGGAGAGTTCAGTTGAAGTTTTTTCCTATGTAACCTTCGTAATATAGTTAATATAAAAAAAAATATTGCAAAATATATTCAGCCACAGCCAAAAAAAACTCAAGCTATCTCTGATGTACAAATGAGTGATTTGTGCAATTTGGACTAAAGCATTTTTAATTGTTTTCTTCTTGTAGAACGGTGTAATTGTAAAGTTGTTGGACCACAAATCAGCGCTTCGACATTCAATCGAACAAATATGTAAGCTGGTTCGTAAGCAAGAATTTTTAAATTCAATTATCGAGCTGGGCCTCTTGGAGTCCTCAACTGAAGTGCAAAATGATTGTAAGATGGCTGACCATGAGAATAATCTGGATCTAAGTCAAACCAATACGGGAACGTCGCCTGTGAAGCACTATTATGACTACAAAAATATAAAGGTATAGATAGATATATGGAGACTATGGAGACATTGTTGGCAATGTGATTAAGTAAATAATTGTTTATTGCCAAGCAGCTCAACTTAATTAGGCACTTATGCGAGCCACCTATCGCAGCCAACAGCAACCTATCTAAAAATGCGTTGCGTTTGCTTCACTCGGCACAGCTTGCGGACATGGAATTCGAGGTTCACACATATGCACCGTCCGCCCCTGCTGAGGAGGGTAGGTCCACATATACAATCGAGACGATGAATACTGAGGCAAACCCTGGAGCACTGAAGATCCACAGCCTTAAAGCACACCGTATAATTGTGGCCTCGCGCTGCGAGTGGTTTAAAAAAGCGTTGATGTCGGGAATGCAAGAGTCTATTAACAGAAAGATCATCATCACAGACACTTCACCGGTAATCTTTCGGCGGCTGCTGCTATACCTTTATGGTGCACCTATTGATCGCACCGTGGGAGCTGAACAACTTTGCGAACTAATGCTACTTGCCGATCGATACTCACTTGACAACCTAAAGGTCGCTCCATTTTATCCATTTTATCGAGTTTTTTATTTAAAATTTACCTTTGTGCCTTTAGGAACTATGCGAAACGACGTTAAACTCACTGATTGATGAGGATTCGGTTGTCTGTCTGCTGGGTATAGCTGATCGTTACGTAGCAACTGTGCTGAAGACGAACTGCCTTTCATTTCTATCGCAACACGCACATTTAACAAAATCTGAAATATTTAAGGAATTACCACAAACATTACAGGTATGATTCAGTTTACTTTTTAAAGGTTTCATCTTCTTTAAGCTCCCATTTATTTTGCAGCTAGAGGTATTGGATTTAGTAAATTGGTTTGGGCGTGTCACAGAGCCATGGAATGATAGCAGCTTCAAAGCACGCAGCAACTCCCGTTGCAGCCTCAAAAGCCCATCTAAGCCTCACTCACGATCCCGTAAATCGTCACCCTCCAATATGTGACGATGACAATGCGAAAACACGAATTTAAATATCATTCGATAATTGTGTACAAATTAATAATAGTTTAAAACATTTCCGATCTCTGATAGTTGTTTTCCATATAGAACCGCTAATTTCGAAAATTGACTAGTATGAAAATAGAATGGACAGACTTAAATGACAACATCGTTTAGCCAGTTGAAGCTCATTTGGAACAAATTGCTAAGTTTTACACATATACATCTGCACAACAAAAGCAATTGCTTAATACTCTGATACCAGTGTAAGACTGTCTGCGTAAATGTGGCGGAAGTGACTCGACTTTTGAAAAAATGTTGTAAGAAATCAATTTCTATTTTCTATTTGGTGGCTCTAGCTCTAAGCCTGTGGGAGATATAGCTTGAAAATGTTTTACCAATTTTAGATCATGGTTATCAGCATCTTACATTACAAATTTGCCCCTCAAGCAGTGGAGTAGGCCTTTCTGAGTATGAGTTGACTTGTGAAAACGTGTTTAGGTATGATCAAAACATTAATTAGCCGATCTTTTAGGAAGATCACCAGCAATCTACCTTCCGATTTGGAAATAAATATATTCAGATATAAAAATATAGAGTAAGTATTTGTTATAGGTATTGTTAAGTTACACCTCTTCTGGTCTGAAAATATCGTATTTTTAAATATGGAAAAGTTTTCTCTGACTACACCATGATTACAGGCCACCTTCATTGGCTGATGGGCTGCGTTAAATACAAGCCGAAGTTTACCAATAAATAATTATATAAATAGGAATCATCGATACGTATTATTGTCTATTACACACGCAGATCAGTTATGCATAATCTGCGCCAATCAACACCAAATATGTTGGGGAAAAACGTCAATTCGAAAATGCGACTGAGCTGTCTGCGGAAATAGGCAGCCGTTGGACACTAATGCAGAAGTAAAAAAAAAATACAAATTGGAGCCCAAATGAGCGCAAGTAGTAAAAATTCAAAATTGGCTAATACATTGGCTGTGGTTGTTGCTTCGGCAACCAAACATCCTGCTTCGATAAAAGCCACTTGCATCCAACCTCATCCATCCTCATAGGTAGCAACACATATCTTGCAACGGATATTGATATCATTTCTACCGAATAATGAAGCGGCAATTTCTCGTCTAATATTAGAAGCGTCCTTAAAAAAGAGATGCACTTTCCATATTTGTGTTTGCAAACGCATTTAGGCAGAGGCTGAGCGTCTTAGCACATATGTATACACATAAGCCGTGGAAAATATACAAACGAAATGGTTTTTCTGTTTCTTATCTTAATTCTCTGTCTAGCAATGTGATTGTTTTTCTCTCTTAATTTTAAAGCTTAACCACTATGTATTATATTCGAATAATGCAGTCGAACAGAAAATATATTAAAAAAAAGAAGGAAAATGTCAGTTTTTTTTAATGTACATATTGAAAAATATTTATTTCTTTTCTTTTCTTTTTTTTACAATAAAACAGTTTTTATGAGCTAATAACAATTATTACAAATTGCTCATGTATCTAATTTAGCGCTCAGAAACCAGCAATCACAACCAAGGCACATGAAGAATGAAGTCTGCGTCCTTCTAAGGATCGTCTAATTTATGTATTGATTTTTCTGCATCCATAAGAAACTTTTTGCTGCTCCTGCTTTAAAGTACGCTAAATTGGTTTTTCAAATTAACACATTTCACAATATATTTTAAAATGTTATCAATTTTGTAGTTTTAGTTGTTGTTGTTAAGTTGATTGGGATCAATTCGTTGCAAGTGAATTGAAATTTCCAATGTGGGTTGAAGTGGTGTTGAAGTTTTACGATTGTTTTGCATTAAATTGAATTAATATTGTCTGTTTGCACCATCTGCAACAAAATCAAACAAATGCAGTAGTAGAAATACACATTTTGTTGAAAAAAAAAAGATGTTTGTTTCAGTAAAAGCGTCATAGCAACAAAAACATTATTAACATAGTCACAACTGAAAATATGTCTTCTATTGAATTTCAAAGCATACCTTTATTTTTGGGCGCAGTCCATATTCTGTAAGCGCCTTTATGGAAAATAGTTTACGTGCCAGAAATCTGTCTTTACATTTACAGTCAAACATGGCACGCTTTTCCAGTGCATTTCTTGAGGTTCTGAATTAAAATTCCGTATAAACCCTTTTCAATAGGAAGCAATTCGTCAGCGATATTTCTTAATTGATAAGGATCCTGCATCAGGTCATATGCCTCAACAAAATTCTAAGGCAGACTTAAAGTATTAGTTATGTATTCGATCGTTTATATTTTATAAACATTACCTCAGTATCCCGAAACTCACAATAAATTCGATCGAGGTTATATCGAAAATCACGAACACAGTTGTATGTATTATTCCATGCATCTTGGCAATGGCATTCTGCATCCAAAGTGCACTGCGCTAAATGATCAGAACGCCGCCCCGGACATTCAGGATTATAGGTTTCATTATTTCCCTCGCCCCAATATTCAATAAGCAGTACATTTTGTAGATTTCGATTCGTGTCGTGCACCGATAACAGCTGGTCCCTAATAGAACGGCCATCAATATAATCGGGCACCGACATTCCTGTCCACTCCAATATGGTAGGAGCAAGGTCCAGCAAGCTGACAATAATATCAGTTGAGCCACCAGCTGGCACATCTGGTCCAGAAATAAGTAGGGGCACTTTGATGTCAGTCTCGTAGGGCTGTCGTTTATCAAATGGCTGTGCAAATTGACCCAAATGGTAACCATTATCCGAAGTGTAGACAATGTAAGTATTATCAAGGTACTGTGTCTCATTTAGCACAGTCAGCAAGTTTTGCATCATTTCATCAACTGCCAGCAGCGTCTCCCATCGGCTCTGAAAATACTCGTCAATTGTGCGAACTGTAGCCTCTGACAAATTCTGAGCCGATCCAACCAACCAATGTTTATCTGTAAGGAATGAATTAGTGCGAAAATATTGAACAGACGTGCAGCAGACGTACCCGTATCAGGTGCGTTAAAGTTCGGTGTGCGCAATGCGTGCACTTCGGAAAAGAAACCCTTGTGACGCGGCGCAGGTGTAAAGGGTGCGTGAGCGGCTGGTGGCGAAATCATTGCAAAAAATGGCTTTTGATACTGTTTGCTCGCCATATTACGAATGAAGGTTACTGCTCTATCCTTTAACAGGTCCGTCAAATATGTATCCGTATAGCTGACATTTTGTTGATTTTCACGCATTGTATAATTATAGTATCGCGAATTACCGTGAAGACCATAAAACTCATCCCAACCGGGCGGAACTTCAGCGCCCTTAAACTGGTTTAAGTACTTGCCAGCAAAAAATGTGTGATAGCCATGGTTTTGTAATAGCACAGGTAGGGCATGCGGCTCGGATTTTGCACGCCAGAGATGTCCGTTGCAGCCGCCAGTGATCGAATTGTTGTAGGTCCTGTGGTTGTGCGCATACTGTCCAGTTAAAAGGCTTGCCCGCGACGGACAGCAAATGGGCGTGTTGGTGAATGCATTCGTGAACTGTACTCCCATCTTGGCAAACCATTGAGTGGTCTTTTGTAGTGGATACATACCGTGTAGCACTACATCCTGATCATCAGTTAGTAGTAAAATAACATTTGGCTTCCCCACTTGTTGCGTGCGACTGAAAGCATCATCGACACACAACATAAAACCGAGTGTGGCAAGGACCTGAACCTGTGTTAAGGAAAACATTATGAAACTGGCAAAGATCAAGTTGTCCACGTTAGCTGAGCAACAACAAGTCAGCATGCACTTGTCGAGAGAGCTCGACTAAGAGATAGCCTAACCCCAGCTGGGAAATAAAATACGGTTTTCAGATATATTTCCAAATTCCTAAAATATATTATTGTTATCAGAAATCGATTTGTATCGTTACTCGCGAAACGAGCCACTTTTTGTTGCATCTTGACAGATTATAATACCTGTAAAAAAATAGGAGCAGACGTAAATGCAAACCGATATGCCCGAAATTCTCCATACTCAAACTTTACTCAGACTATATGATTTTAATAGTTTATTATACCCTTGTAGAAGGTATAATAATATTGTGATGGAGTTTGTATGTATATTTTTGATCAACATCACTAGCTGATTCCGTCTGCCGGAAACAAAATAATATCTCGTAATCCGGGCTAAAATTTAGATGTCAGCTGTACTTATAATCTGTTATATTCTGTGTGTATAAGGCAACTGTTCTTTTTGTATGTAATATATTAGCAGTAACTAATTTATAATTATTGACTCCAATATTTTAAAGAAATGATTAACTTTCAAAATGCAAGAAAAAGAGCCTTTTTCGAATTATTCACAATTTAGTAAAGTAGGAAAATTAAGTAAGCAGCTTTCGAATTACAATTTTATGTGCCATCTTATAAAAAAAATGATTTCTCTGTACTCTTGATTAAGTACATTCACAGAATCATTTTCATTTATTTAGTACTGACGAATTTTTGGTAGTGCTGGAAAAAGCATCTTTGGAACATCGATACATCGATGTTTTTAAAAAGTGTTTTTGAATAATAAACCTTACTTAATAAATATAATAAGCAAGGAAAGAAATAAGGAAATTTTTTATCGAAAATTCAGTATCCATTTTTTGCATCAGCAGGGGATGTTCCAAATCATTTTGTTACACTCAATATATTGTCAGCATTTTTTTTTCTGTAATTTCAGTCCACCACTAATAATATTTGCTATTCACTGCAAAAATGTAAATAAACCCAGTGCTAGGAATTAAAACGACAATGCAATATAAAATATTATTTATACATTTATATATTTAGGGTAAAACGGAGTCACATAGACTCGACTGTTTTGCGAAAAACGCAAATAATAAACAAGGTTGCCATATTGGCGAATTACGCAGCGATATCTTGCGGGACGAATGGAAATTTTTCAAAGATGTGAAACGCTCTTCACATGGGCAACATCAGCATCAATACCTATGTATATATTAAATGCTCCGAACAGTTTTGAAAGAGCTGCTTGTCGATGAACAGAGAAGGGATAACTCAAAGAGATATGCAGAGTGAATGTGCATGTGTTGGCAACTGTGTGCGAAAAGTAACGAACAATTGTCATAGCCAGACGAGTTGTGAAAAATACATTGATCACATTTTAAGAAATTAAATAAGGGTTTGTTTAATTTGTCTGTATCTCAGGCAACAGCGAAATCAACCTTGTTTGAAATCGTTTTCCGCCAGATGAAACACTTTGTTTAGTCTAGGCAACTTTGAAATTAATCGACTACTGTAAAGAATTGTGGCCGAATTTGGTGATTCTATCTTAAAAAATGTGGAAGAAAATTAAATAAAAAATAAATTAAAAAAAAATTATTTGTCTGTATCAATTTAAAATTCGATTTTTGCCTTCCTTTTGTGGTCGACCCATCTATCAAGTACTCGGTAGATACACTGTGAAAAAAGAAGTGAACATGGTCAACAATGTGAGCAGTGCTTATCCAACTTTTTTTTCTTATTGTCACGCCTATAAATAACTGTTGAGTCATCCATCGATACGTCCATCTCGATCCCAAGATATTATATTTCGATCGATTGTCTAAAGTAATCCGATCGGACGTAGTATCCTGAATAAACAGAGCAAAACTCTGGTAACTCTAGCTATTATGGGCCGATAATAGCGAGACGGACACTGCACAAAACCAATATTCTCTCTATAAAATATATATTTATAATTTAAATAAACATGTTCTACTAAAATAGCAATTCAGAAATGGATAAGACTTGGCTAGAAAATCGATTAAATAAAGATCGATAACTTAAATCTTAAATTTTTGGAGTAACCAAATTTAGTGAGTGGAAGTAGATAAGTTATTGTCAACGGGTTTTCATAATTTTAGAAAATTGGTGTGTATAATCACACTTTTTTTTATTTTAAAATTCTTATTTTATCAGAACATTTTTGTATTTTTATTTTTACACATTTTATACATGTTCTTATAAGCTTTATATCGTAATTTATTTCTTTTTACATTTTAGCAACGGTTTTTAAGCCCAAGATTTTAAAACATGTTCGCAACAGGGCAGCCGTTGCCTCGCAAATCAAAATTCTGCTATGATTAATTTTGATTATTTTACCATCCTTATTCTTTTCAATGCAATAACAACTGTCATAGAACTCTGTAAATGCAGAACAGACCTCGTAACAAAACTCACAAAGAAAGTGGAGAAACAGCCCATTTGCACACTTAATTAATACGTCATGAAATTTGAGCAGTGTTTTTGCAAGTTTCCATTCTTTTTCATGATCCAGTTCCAAGTTATATTTATCTAATATTGCAGCCACATTGCTAAAGTCCTCGCCGGAATTGCGAGCAATGGAGCAAATGCGTGTATATGTATATAGCAAATACACCGCAGTATTTCCACGATCATCGAGCATTTTTTCAAAAGAAAATACATAATCGCTAATACGGTTGTGACACAAATCGGTATACTTAATACAACCGTATGCAACTGCTTCTTGAGCTTCGACTAATTCTGTATGTGTCAATATTTGGTCCCGACCTCTTTCCTGTAACTGCTTCAAGGAATATTTCATGCCCTCATCAAGCAAGTCGGACAGTTTAACAGTATCACCCGAACGTGTCTTAAACTTTTTGCCATCCTCACCAAGAACCACGCCGAACTGCACGTGATCGACGCGATGAACGTTTGGATTTAAAATCCCACAACGCTCAGCGGCTTTAAAAATTGTATTAAAATGTGTGCTTTGTCCAGAATCCACCACATAAATAATCCAAATAGCAAGGTCTTCTTCAATTCGATGCCTTATGGCTGCCATATCAGAAGTATCGTATGTAAAACCACCATCCGACTTTACAACTGTCAAGGGTATTCCACTCTTACTATCATCGGTCCACATGATTTCCCGGCCTTCATCTAGTTCGAGCAAATTCTTGCTTCGTAGAAGCTCAACAATAGCCAACATGCGTGACTGATAAAATGATTCGCCGCGTTCTGTGATTGTCACGTCCAAGCGATCATAAATCTTCTGAAATTCCTTTCGCGATACGTCACAAATAAGTTGCCAAGCTTTAGTTGATTTTGGATCACCGCTTTGTAGAGAAACAACCCGATTGTATGCACGCTTTTTGAAATTGTCATCAGCATCGAAACTGAAAAAAAAACAGATTACAATTACAAAATTTAAAAAGCTTTATATATGTTACACACGATGTAGCAGTTAATTTCATCGTTGTAATTTATTGGCAACAAAAAAGCAATTTGAATTTTTCAAAGGGTTTTTTAAACTGCCCTAATTAATTACAAAAGGGGAGAGCAATCACCCGCTCAGTGATCTTATAATTAAGCAAGAAATAACAGTTTTCTAAGGCAGTCCGAATATTACACTCCTTTGTAATGAACGGATTCAACCCACCTTCCAAATTGTACAACAAATTTAAACAATTAAAAATGCTGAAGTCGAGTGAGCTCGACTCGTTAAATACATTCTAGATTTATTGCCAAATTTCCCTCTAAAATATCGCACACTCAAATATAAACAGGTCTGCAATTGCACTCATTCCTTTTGGCATGCACAGGCACTGAAGAGTAAATACATACAATATGTGCACTCATGTCGATTGCGATGCCATCCCTTTCTCGCACATGCACGCGCATATTTATGCTTACATAGAATGCAGGCGGCTGCTGATAGTAATGGCTATAACTTGGGTGTTTCTTATCCGATTCGAATGAAATTTGTCAATAATATGCTAATGTATATTATAGATGAACTGGAATGCTATGACTGCAAAATTATGGCTTTTATTGCTAATCGAAATCGAAATGTATCGACCAAATAAAATAGTCTTGGTATACGAAATATTATATATTCTAAGTTTGAAGTCTCTAGCTCTTATAGTCTCAGAGATCTGCGTGTTCATGGACATGGACCTACTGTTTTTATAACTCACCGCTTTTTAGATTCCTTGTAAAATTCCTGCAGATCTCCAATTGGTGGACTTTCGTTTACAAAGTTGGGAAAACAATCTTCCAAATGCGCTATTAGCATACCAAATTGCGTACCCCAGTCACCTAAGTGATTTATCCGAATAACGTCATGTTGCATAAATTCCAGAAGGCGGGAAATTGATTCGCCAATTATGGTAGAACGTAAATGGCCGACGTGCATTTGCTTTGCAATGTTGGGTGATGAAAAATCGACCAAGACGCGTTTTCTGGGCACCCTTGGCGGCTTAACGCCATCACGCAGCATATTTATTATTGAATTTACCGCATATTCCCTGTAGATAACAGAAAATATTGAGCATATAACATAAAATTAAATATTTATGCAAATAATTGCAGATTCAATTTACTTGCTGAGAAAAACGTTAATGAAACCAGCACCGGCCACTTCGATTTTCTTTATAATTGGTGAATCCGGACAGCACTTTTGAATCTCTGCTGCAATCTCACGAGGGGATTTATTAATGCCAGCTTCTTTCAGTTTCTTGACTAACCCCATGGCGTTGTTGCATTGGTAATCGCCAAATTTCGATGGCCCGTTCACAGCTGCAACAACAACTGGAACATTGCTAAAGCTCGGATACGCGGTGGCAATTGCTTTTGTAAAGACTTTTTCCAAGTGCTCCGTAATAGAGAGCTCATCATCTAAATGCATTTCAGGATTTGTTTTATTCTCCTCAACTATTGACTGTAAGCAAAACAACAATCATTTTAAAAAACTTATATATTTATATTTTGAAACATCACTCACTTGCTTGATAATAGCTAAACGCTGTTTAAGTTTCGTGTTTACAAGTTGTAGCTTGATCAGATCAGTGTTCTGTTCTCTAAGCGACACTAACTGCTTCTGTTTTGAACATTGTATTGCATCATGCAACTCCGTAGCAGCGCGTTCCTGTAGAGGGTTTACAAATTTACACAAATTTATTCAAACTACGCACAACTACAGTACATACCAAGCTTGTAAGCTTTTTTAACTCAGTGATCAATTCGGCAGACATAGCACAGGTTCAATCAACGACAACACAGCACACGCAAAAAGGAAGTTTGCCACATAATAGCGATGTTAAAAACATCGATACATTGAACAATATCGATATCTTCATTAGATAGACAAGCCACATGTTTTGATGTCTTATGGGCTAAACACACAGCAACATCTTGCGGAACGAATGGGAATTTTTCAAAGATGTGAAACACTGTAAGCATAGGTAAAATCAGCATCAGAATTTTTTAAACGAGCGGCTTGTCGATGAAGATAGAAGGGATAGCTCCAAGAGATATGCAGAGTAAATGTGCATCTGTTGGCAACTGTGTGGGAAGAGCAACGAACAATTGCTGTAATGGGCTACTTCTCAATAACATACGCGTAGGTTTGTCTGCTTCTCAGACAACAGCTAAAGTAACCTTTTTTGCGAACCTAGCCGAAATTTTTCGTTTATTTTTTATTCATTCCCGGGTCCAATAAATGCGAATCTTCTTTGCCTAAATACTGTTCATATGAAATACTTATTCGTTTTTAAATTTTGAACTACATTTTTGCAGTGGAAGTCAAATATTTGCAATGTTGGGCGGAAATTATAAAAAAATTACTGACAAATTTTCTGAACGGCAAAACCTTACGGAGCATCGTCCTATTTGATGATGATGATCCATGATAAGTATCCTACCAGATTAGTCCGTACAGAATTTTTTTCAAAATGTAGATATTGTTGACGTTGATTTTATGTTTTTTTGTGAAGATCTGGTTGTCGATTTGGACACGATGATGAAATGGAGTCAACGAGACTTGCAAAGTAAACGTGTGCTTACCGCAACATGCAATTAATTACAATTTGTCAAAGCAAGACAGTTTTGGACAGTGTATTCGACAATTGCGCAATTTTTTCAAAGGGAGTCATTGAAAATTAAAATGTCGGTCGAATTTATTAAAATGGAGTATCTAACGCAAGCAAGGCAACCTTGTTTGAAGACCTTCTTCGATAACGAGCATTGTTTCTTTTTAAAGCTTTCCAAATCTAAAGTCAATTTAATTTAACTCCTTGCTGTAAGAAATCATAATGTTAATTTCAAGTTAAATAACATATAATATACAAAATTATATACATATATTAATAAAATGTTCTTGTAGTTTAGACTTTCGCCCATTTCAAAATGATTGTCAGAATTATTTACTGGTGGACGTCAAATATCTCAAAAGTGAGTGTAAGAAGCTAGATGCCGAATTGATGAGCAATTTATGTCGCTCAAAATGTATTTATTAAAGTTTCGTGAAAGTGCAAAACTCTTTGAACTGGTTATTAGAAGTGTTGCTGCTTTGGGCTTTTATCAGATGTGTTTGACCGACACAATTAGCAATGAATATCTTTCGGAAATCTATGTTCTCTTCTAATATTTCTAAAAAAAAAAAATAGATATATAGCGTACTCTCTACGTTATAAACATTTGTTTGTCCCATTTTTGGCCTTTTATTCTGCCCAATCTGTCCGATGTTTGCAATCGATATTTGGTAACACTGATAATCATCGTTTATATTAACGATAGTTTTGCAATTCAGCTCATCTTATAATTTTGTGAAAATGTTACTTTTCCATATAATTGAAAATTAGTTTTAATTAAAAAACTGTGTTGTGTTAAAAGTGTCGCGGAACAGAGTGTATTTTCGAAGCAACTCTTATTAATGTAGCGAATTAATTATCGCTTGTGTAATAGCTTTTATAAGGCATTAACATACATATGTACAAATATACTATACTGGAAAAAAGTGTTAGCAGCTGTAAATATAACAATAATTGTGGTCATTAGGCTTAAAGGATGTTGGAAAAAAGTGTATGTATCTAAATACACCCGTAAGTTAACAATCTGTTTTGAAATGTCAAATACAACACGCAATGCTGTTTTTTTTTTTATTTACATGTATATGTAATATACATATACATACTTATGAAAGTAGTACCGTTTATTTAATTTGTGTACAATATTTAGTTTTGATGTCACATTGTAAATGCAAGATTCTTATATTGAAAATTATCTATGATTGTAAAGGACAACAAACATGTATTTATGTTAAAATAATTAATATATTTTTTTTTGCTTGACAAGTTTGTGACAAACTTATACATGAATACATATTTGACTATATATGTATACATATTTGATGTATGTGCATTAAATACATAATATGGCAATGTATGTTTCGTGTTTCATAAATGTGTCTTAGCATTGCCATGCAATCGCCATATACATAAATGTGTATGTATATGTGTAATGCTGGTGTGTGCATATGTTCCTACATACATGTATATGCATGTACTGGAAATTAAATGAAAAATGCCGTTTGGATTGTTAGCGCTTATAAATGTGGGTCAAGACGTTAACTGTACACATGATTTTCCAATACACTACCTATACATCTATATGTGTGTGTATATTTTATTCAAAATCATCTGTGTTCAAAATTGCTCTATTTGTATTTGTTGTCTTAAGTCAAAAAGCTCTAATGCATAAAACATATATACATATTTACATATGAATGTAATTGTAATATAAGTACATAAAACGGTTTGTTTCGCCTGTCTGACTTGGCTTAAACTCTAATACGTTCGAAAACTTCTTATTTGCAAATCGAAACTTATGATTTTTAAATTCGACGCTCAACAGTGAAATTCCATTTTATTAACGAATTCAAATGTTTTACAATAAATAGTCTTAAATAGTGAACAATATTGCAAATGAAACGTGTTGACTATTACCAAAAATAGGTTAGCGTTTCTGTAAAAAGGCTTATTAAAAGTGGAGTGGAGTGATATATATGTCTGTCTCGTAGGGAAGCCCACGGCAAATATTCCCATCTGCTGATTTCCTTAAGACAATATATTTATGTGAATGTTTTGCTGTCTCAGAACCGATCATAGATTCCGCTGTCAAATGTTTTACGACCAGATTATTGGTCTTTAAGTTAAAGCAAAAACCTTTAAATCAAACAAGTAGAAACGCTGTTGTCGAGTGAGCTTTGCTGTGAGATACCCTGAATCCAGATGTTAAATATGTTATTATAAATTTATTTTCAAGTGCTGATACAAAGAATTTAAATGATTTAAATTCATTGAACGGTTTTATCAATATTTAAACTTTCTGGTATCTTGCAGGTCAAAAGGTCTATTTTTCCCCCTTCTTAAAGTACAACACATTCTAGTACCTTTTTAAGTAAAAATAATAGGGACTACTAGTATTGCTGTCGAAAACTTTAATTTAATCATGAAAGAGAAATATCCTCTTCAAATAAGTGTTTCGTTCGAGGTATATAACACAATTTGTTATGTTGCGATGGAATGTTGATGTTTCATTATTAATCATTATTACTTAACTTAATTTTTATATCAGATCCTACTTGTATCTCTCGTTGTGACCCACTGATATATCCTGAAGATCCCCATCACACTACGCTCGATTTGATTATAGAACTGCCAACTTCTGTACCTATTGTAATTACTGATTTAACTTATAAGCAACGTTTGCTTTCGAAAATATTTTTTGAAACTTAACCAAATAAAATTTGACACTGATTGGTCAGATTTATATTCCAGTGCCAATATGCATATTGCCATTTCAATAGTATACAATTTTCAATATTCAATAGTATACAATATAAACACACGTTTGGATGCTTGTATTCTGTGAAGGATTCTCGCGGGAATTAGCGTTGCTGTAATAAGTACCTTCTACGCTGTAGGCTACAGTTTGCAGCCACACTCAGGTTTTTATGATGATACAAAAGCAAAGACTGATCAGGCTGCAGACGATCTGTTTACTGAGTGTTTTCAATCTGCCTTTTCATCTACTAACTTTACAGCTAATGTACCCTATTCTTATCTTTTTCAAAGGTATATTTTTGGCGACCTATACTCTATCAAGCCTGGGTATTCTTCAGGTCCAAATGGATTTCCGGGATGTGTACTTCGGTACTGTTCTGAATCCTTTTTAAAACCTTTACTTAAATTATTTACATTGTTTGTCGATATTTGCTCTTTCCCCTCTCCATAAAAATGGCTTAATGTCTGATGATAATAGGTATAGCCATATATCTCGAGTCAATTTGAAAGCTAGAGTCGCCAAAAATATATAAACATTTTTGTACAACGCCCTAAAGAACGGTAAAGCTCTATATCTCTCGCAATTCGAGATCTAAATTTACCAAACTTTGAAGATAAATTGACAGCTAAAGTTACCAAATTTGGAAGGTAGGAAACTCCCGCCCCCAAAAATTCACAAAAGTGCATATCTGCTGGAAGGTAGATTACTTGCAACCTCCTTCAAGAATCGGTATTGCTTAGCAACACCCATATTGTTCTGTGGCAGCTGTTATCAGATTACCTATTAATCTAAGAGTATTTCGCAGTCGGTTACGCACGACTCCAGCGTTGTCACTCACTCTCACTCCCAAAGGCAGTGACTGATTGAGCTCAAACTGTTTTTTTTTTTTGCCTTCTAAAGGCTTTTACACCAAACAGCTGTTTGCCTGCATGTTTAACTTGCAAGCATTTTTAATTGTTTGCATACGTCAAATTAATTAAAATGTGAACTGTGCACTTTGTGGCAAAGTAATTCTAAAGCAACACAGAACAGATTTAAAATAATTAATAATATAAAAAAGTAAATAAATGCGGTGATGTGTAGCTCGTTCCAAAAACGGTGCACAATTGAAACTTGCAAAAAAGGCATACGAAATTTGGTTGTAATAAAAACTATTTTGCGCCAATTGTTAACTAAAGATATAATAAGATTATTTTTTTATTCTTTTACAGCGGTTGGAAAAGCTCATTCAAAATCATGAACTTGGACAACAATATCGGGTTGTTCAACGGATTAAAAACGATGGTCACGTAAGTTTTTTTTTTGTTGTTAGAGGCTAAGGCCTTGCATTTTGAGGCTAAGATATTTGCCGACTGATAAATGATTATCATTAAGAATTTTCAATTAAGTAAATGAAAGTTTTTTACAATATGTTTTGAATAAAAAATGAGGACCCAACTGTTTCATAAATGATGATTTTTGAATATATTATTTTATTGAGTTTACTTATGAAATCTAATAACAGATTATTATTTCTCTTGCAGCAGTGCAACAACAGATTCAATTCTTGTAATTGATAAAATGAAAAAGAAAAAAAAATAAATTGTTTCAATAAATCATTAATACGTTAATAATTTAAGTGTGAAGAAACTAATATTAATATTAAGTACTTCTGCTTGGAATTTGTTGAAACGAAATGGGGGCAAACACTTCCAGCAGTGGTTATCCGATAGCCACCACTACTGAAAGCGCAAGTGCCAGTAGTGAGAACGTCAATGGAAACGTCTCGCTGCTACAGCCGATCAACTCTGCAAGCATGGTATCTACAAGCTCTAATGGTAGCGGCGGTGGCGGTCCTGGTGCGACTGTCGCTTATAGCGGTGCGCACTACCATCGTGATCAACGGCGAAAGCGAGTAACGGGATTTGCAACACTCAAGCGAAAATTTATACGTCGACGGCGTTCATCAAAAGCCTGTGATCACGCGCGTGTCTTACGCGACTTTGTGTCTGACTGGGCACCGCTTGAATTGGCAGCACTCTGTGAGGAGTTTGAAGCACTGGCAGCACTGAGGGATTTATCAGTAGGTATGCGACTGTCACATCCTATCACCATTATATATATTTTTTTGATTGAACAGGTACAAGCAGAATTGGCGCGACCACCAGCAACAACGTATAAACAAGATCTGGCAGCTCTTTATGATTCCAATCTATGTACGGATTGTGACCTTGTATTTCGTGGATCAATTTTTCCGGTGCATCGTTCCATATTATCCTCACGTTGTACATATTTTCGTGACCTGCTTTCTGGTTGTCCGGGCTTTGGAGCACGCATATGTCTCGAGCTCCCTTCGTCACCTATCGATGTCCAAATATTCTCGTCATTGCTACGTTATTTGTATACGGGCGATCTTTGTCCGCATGATCCGAATATAAATATTAACTTGCTGCGTCAACTAGGTAACGATTTTGGTACGCCTAACCCCCTGGACCATGATCTTCGATATTTGTTGGAAACGGGCGATTATGCAGACGCCGCATTAGTATTCACAGCTGAAGGCACAAATGATTATTTTCGCCAAGACTCTGGTAATTCTGAATACGGCTTTCGGCCGAAACTTGAGCTTCCATGTCATAAAGCTATACTTAGTGCGCGTTCACCATTCTTTCGCAATCTTATTGCCCGCCGAATGCGCAACATAGACGAATACGTAGAACGCTCTATACACGTACCCACGCGCATTGTACTTGATGAGACAGTTATACCAAAGAGGTATGCGCGTGTACTTCTGCACGCTATATATTTAGATACAGTTGACTTGGCGCTCATACTACGTGGTGCTGGAACCGGCAGCTCCTCTGGCTCTCTTGGTGAGGTCCATGCATTAACTAACACTGGTCGTGTGAGACCCACTACTCTTGAAGAAGCTATGGAGCTTTATCAAATTGGACGGTTTCTAGAACTTGATATTTTAGCGCAGGGCTGTGAAGATTTAATACTTGAGTGGTTGTCACTTGATACTCTATCAATGGTTCTAAAGTGGGGCTGTCAACCACATGGCTCTGCTTGGGTTTTTCGTCAAGCATGCCAGTACTTACGCGAGGAATTTGCCTCAGTTAGCGCTTCACCAGTGCTCAACCAGATCGATAAAGTACAGCTTGTGCATGTATTACAAAGTAACTTCTTACAAGCATCCGAGTTGGAAGTATTGCAAGCTGTTCTTAAGTGGGGAGAACAGGAGCTTATTCGGCGCATGGAAGATCGTGAACCGAATCTCCTATCGCACACGGCTCACTCGGTGGCTAGAAAGGGCGTTAAAAAACGTGACTTGAGTGACGTCGAGTTGCGTGAGATACTTTCCGAGCTACTACCTCTGGTTAGAATGGATCATGTTTTACCGCCAAACAGTGAGGTGCTGTGCCAAGCGATACGCCGTGGTCTTGTTAGCACACCGCCATCGCATATGATTGGCGACGAGCGGGAAAATTTACGAGTAAACGCTTGGATACGTGGAGGAAAAAACCAAGGACTTTTTGTACGACCACGACTCTTTATGCCGTATTTTGAAGAAGTTAAGGCTCTACTAGAAGATCGTATGTCCTCATCTCATCACCAAGTTGAACTCATGCGTATGCGTAGGTCGCGACATTTCCCCGACATTCCGGACACCCTTTACATGGTATCACGCATGAACTCTGCTACAAATAGCGGATTTACCTCTGGTGTCACCTGTGGTATTGGCGATAACGCGGATAAAGTTGATCATAATACCATACCAACCCCAGATAGTCATACGCTTGCAGCCATGCGTAAGCGTGAGCATAAACTTCGTCAATCTCCAATGTGTCAACGAGCACTACTGCTGCCACTGTCATCAAAACACGAAATCGACCGTCAAATTCGTCTACGTGTAGTGAGAGAGTTCAATCTCCCAGACGAAGTATCTGATCTGTTAGAAACCTCCCTTTTAACGAACCAGGACAGTGGTAGAGGTAGAGAAGAGTGCAATAGTATGCCTTCAACTTCTGAAACGGAGGAGTGTCTGTTAGAAGCCGAGGACCAAAGTCCGCCGCCGTCGCCGGCAGCTACCGGCTGTGCACTGCAAGCAGCTGTTGCCGCTTCATTTTTATCGACCTCATCAATGGCCCCCTCAGTTACATCCGCGTGCGGTGTGGATGGTGTGCAACAATGCTACACTCGAAATTTGACTTTTCCACGTCAGCAGCCAAGCAGCCTACTCGGTGTCGCAAGCTTTTTGGCAGCTAGCTCGGGCTCGGCACTACAATCAAGCTATGCACGCCTATCGACATCAGTGCATCATCGCAGCGAGTTGCCATCGTTAATTACAGAAGGCGATTTTCGATTCCCACATCGCAATGCTTTGAGCATAGACCGAGGAGGTGAGGGTGGTGCCTGCGGCTTAGACACTGGCAATGGACATCTTTCTGATATGATGCCCGATGTGGCCATGGCCACAGCATCGTTGGGTCAGCTCCATCTAAGCAGTGGAGGGTCTGGTTGTGTGAGTAACGTCAGTAGTCGTCCCATCGGAAGTAACAGTGATACGTCAGAAAGTTTGCAACTTGATTTAGGAGACGGCCCATCTCCACATATAATTAATACTGCTGCTGGTGTCATAACTTTGCGAAACTTACAGGTGAGCTTCTTTGGAGCGATTGTTTTCTTTAAATGACGAAACTGATTTAAACATCCCATCCCATACAGCATCAACTACCACAGAGCAACTACCACCACATAATACAGCGCTCAAATTCGCCATTTGACATTCTGCGGCAGGGGCAGCACTCGCCTGCTCCACAACCTCCTCCTTCAGGTGCATTAAATTCCGGGCCACCTAGGTTTTTATAGAGGTTGCAAGTAGCCCCCGATAAGGGGCTTTTCTTTAGCGCTCCATTCTGAACAAAATTAATAAACATTTAAATTTCAAGAAAAATTAGATAATTTAAATCTTAAATAATGTAAGTAGCGTGTAAAAATTAAGATACAACAAATGTAACTTACCAGAAAATGTACGCACTTAATATCAACATTTTGTTTTTCTACACTTTTAATTTAAGAGAAGCGTATGTACAAAATAGAAATTAATAATATTAACATACCAATATCTGACGCAATTAAAAGTACACCTAGTTTTTTTTTTATAATAATAATCAAATAAATCACAGCTATATATATTAAAATAGAAAATATTTATCTTTAGCTCGCCGAAACATACACAACAAAATTAGAAATAAGCCTTATTTTTAACTGTCAGATGAAAAAAAGAACAAGCTGTATGTTACATTCCGCTTTCGACATATAGATGTCTTTTTATTGGCTTTGCCAGACTGATTATTTATGTGACTGAATATATTATTTATTAAAAGAGCATTAATGAATCTATGTTTCCAATCAATTGATAAAAGGAAACAAAAATACAAATTGGGGATAAAAACGTATGCTCAATTTGGCATTTTATTTATGCATAAGTCTGTGTTTCAATTTTATTTTGCTTCAATACATTCCTAAAATATACATCGCTAATCGTAATGATAGCCAACTTTGGGATTGTAAGTGTAATTACCCCCATTTTATCCAGTTTTTTATCAGTTATAATTTCAAATTTTGTGCTCTACATCCTTGTCTCTCGTATTGACGAAAATTCTTATCACGTTAAAGTTAAAGCCCGATTTTACCAATATGGAGGTTCCATAGAGTTCACAAGATATATGGATAGTTACATTTCAAATTCCAATGTGCTCTTATTATTGCGAAAAGAAAACAAAATAGCTAGTTTATTTTTTAATTAGGATTTTTAATTTTGGATGGGAAAATAATTGAATTATAATTTAAAAGGTGTATTTTATAATTAAGGAATTGGTTTTTTTGGTCTTTAAATAATTTGTTTGCATATTGCTTACAAAATTAAAATTATAATTTTTTATCTATTTAACAGAACCGTTTTCTTTGAAATTTGACCATTTTAATACAATTTTATCAGCGCCGAGTCGATCTAGTCATGTTCTCTTGTTTGCCTTAGAAACGACAAGAGTTAGAGTCTTTACACTTAAAAATATAAAGTGTCGAATACCTTGCAACATCAAGTTTATTTCATTTAATTTGATCGATAATCCCTCTCGTTCACCAAATGTCAATGAAAATCATGCAACGCAAGCATTTCTTATGCATTCGTGCATTAAATAAAAGTATGTATTATTTAAATAAAGGTTTCCAAAACAATCTGGGTAAGCTTGAGATCTGTGAATGCGTTTGAGAATTTGTAAATATACAGCTGTGGGCAGCTAAATAGTACAAAGTAGAAAATAATAATGGTCGGAAAGGTTTCTCATGGATACGTGGCAAAAACTCTCCATTTGTTGCCCACAAGCCGGGTCAGGTTTGAGAGCACTTAGGCAGTTGCTCAATTTGCAATTAAACAAAGGCATCAACGAATAAAGGTAAGTGGGTCTATGATCATTTTTTGATCTCTTGGTGCACGTGATCTTTAACAAGTTTCGTGACACAATCAAGTTAGACAACAGTAGACAGATAGTGTCTACAAAATGTGAATATACGATCGAAGCCTTCGAAATCCAGCACATGAAAACGGCAACGCAGTTGAGGCCGGCATGTTGCACGTATTTAGAGTAGTTTCAAGATTTAAATAGTGCAGGAATAGGTGAAGCAGCAGCTGCAGCGGAAGTTTTCCGCGGTGCCAGACCAAAAGGTATTTTGCCGAAATTGTGCAAGCAAATTTCGAATGTGTTAGATCGTGAGACCCAACAAGGTCAAAGACCAGGAGGGAAATGCGTTAGGTGTTGCACATCGTGCCAACGAATGGAACAGCTTAGCGGGGTTGACCTTAAGGTACCCATACTTACCACAAAGTAGCGCTGAGTAGATCACAATTGTGGCTATCTCTAACACCCTCTGGTTGTCACTCTAACGATCCAGATTAGAAAAGGGCTTAATGATCTTTAAGACGTACATTTCATCAGACAATGCAGCTTAGAAGCTCTAAGCAAGACAGCTGACGATCAGAAGCAATAGAGGGTCTCGAGGGTCTCTTGGCCGTGTCGATCGCTGAATTAGAGGTATTAAAAATAAAGCGGTGTCTAACACCGGCAATTGGTTGTAAAGTCATTTTTCAGAACCTTTTCCTCGCCGAATCAATTCGGTAGTTCATTTCTTAAAGTTTTGAAGCTGCAAACAGGCGGCAAACTTACAGAAGGGTGAGAAGCTGCAGAATGACTTATCCATGATTCGTGGACGGCAAATCCCTTAAATGCTAAGGAAGATGGTGATGATATTCTGTGTTACCATCACAACAAGTTTGGCGATCATGCACATAAATGCGCCAGCAACAGATAAACTAAAGCTCGTGCTCAACTGATAGCCTGCAGCATTTCTAGGACCAGCACTGATTCACCAGACCATTATCTGCATGTCGTGGATAAAGACAGCTATTAAACCTTTCTCATCGTTTCCATATCTGTGCTGTCATAGCTTCACACTAGCTTAAGAATGACAGACTACAGTTTTACCTACCTATATTATGTTTATGTCTTGGAACTCCACTTTGCTTTTAATCTCACCTTCAACTGGTCTTTTACAGATGTTCAAAACAAATACAAATAGTTCCTGTTCAAGCAGTGTCCCTTAAAGCCAGGTTTGCAGACTTTTAAACTTACAATGTGGATGCACTATTGTGTAGGTCGGATTTGTGTTGGAGTTTTGTACCGTCTAAGGCAGGTTTGAGGACACTCTCCAGTTCCTGGTCGACCAAGTAGGCAATAGTTGCCGCAAGTAGAAAAAAGGCAGACAGAGAACAAGGCTGTGGTTTCACATTTCCATCACATGGTTTCATCGATGTCGACTGAAAGCCGAAATAGAAGAGCGCATATAGATTGCGAGGGTTGAGTTGTAGTCCCCAGGTCGAACACTAACAAAGTTTATACCAATAATATATTTCCATTTTGAGCACTTTACCATGCATAATAGCGACTGTGAAATGATCATTCGATACACTTCGAAGCATCAAAATGTAAGTAAATTATTTTAAATTTTATTTTAAGGCATTATACAATAACATTGTAAACTCTATGAATGAACTCCTAATTAATTTTTACTGCTCGCTTCCGCCAGGCTACGTTTATATTGTGCCTCAGTGACAATTACACCATCCATATCTACAAAGCGTGTGTGCAATCCAGCAGCAATAAATCGTATACTTGCAGCAATGTCCAAGTGTGGCGCTGACTTTGAATCATTTATTTGTTTATCGCGAGCTAACATCTCTTTTGCTCGATTCAAATCATGTAAAATGTACTACGTAATGAAATTAAATATTTAGAATTTGAAAATTTGAAAATACAATTTTTGAGTATACCTTTGATAAATCAGATCCCTGCAGTTTCAGGTACATCCAAAACAACGTGCTGTTCACATAAGTCAAGTATGTATCGAGTTTGATGTGCTCATCGGTGGACAATGTTGGGCAAGAATGCGCTTTAATTGCCAAATCCAGGTCATTTTCCACAATATTCAGGCAATTCGAAAAATTCTTTAAACTACCAAGTATTTCATCGTCATTAAGTTGGTCACCCGAACTGTTTGGAATCCTTGTCTCTATCATCGCTCTATCTTTATTATTTAAATTATACATGAAAATAAACCCAATAATCTGACTCCTTTTCCTTCACAAACAATACAAAAATTGCAATAAGCTTACACTACACATGCGAATGCAAAGGATTCTTTATTTGTTATCAATAAGCCCATGTATCGGTTATCGTTTATTTGTCTGCTTATTTACTATGTCAAGATAGCGTCACATATTTGTTTACTGAACTGGACAGAATTCAGTAAATGTTATAATAAACTCTGTTCACACATAGCTCTGCGTCATAATTTATACCTCAGCGGTGACCTAATATATATATATTTAAATACATTTTAAGCGTAATTTTCTTTTCTCTTGATTGTCTCACATCCTTGAAAAATTCCCATTTGTTCCGCATCATTTCTGAATCAAAATCGGATGTTCCTAAATCATATTGTTACACTGTCGATATTTTTCGGTGCCAAGAATTGAAATTACAATTTAATAAAGCGATTATTTATTATTTATTTTAATTGGAAAGTACCCCAATAGTTAAATGCACTTTCCACAAAACGACTGGCTATGACAATCGCTCTGAATGTCTCTTTGACTCATCGCTGCTATCATCTTTGATAAACAAATCTCGCAAAACAGTACAGAGTAAAAATATCATATATCAGAACATATAATTTCTGAAAATTCAATTATAATTAAATATAAAAAAGAAATTCGGACTCATGTTGACACTGATGTTGCCTTTGCGAACAGTGATTCACATCTTTGAAATAATCTCATTCGTCCCGCAAAGTTCGCTCTGTATATTTGCAACATCAAAACCGATGATTGGTGCTTTATGTCACCTATATATAATATATCGATAGTAAAATCGACCGTTTTCCAACTCTAGCATTAAAATGTTCTGTATGAAATACCAACTAGTTAAATAAATTCACTCTAAACATTAAATGCAGTCGATGCCGATTGCTCTAAAATTAAGCGGCTTAACTTTTGAAAAGGTAAATGGAAGCCTTTTCGGCTTTTGCTTGCATTTATAAATAATTGAAGAATGAGCTAATTTCAGTGTATGGTAATAAATAAGGTGGAAGACTCTTTTTGTTGCACTTTAAATTGTCAATCAAATGGAGTAGCGAAAAATTGTAATTTGCATGCTGATTATACCCAAAATATGTGCTTAATACACCGTATAGGCAAATTTATTACAAAATTCATGATAATTTATATTAATAAATTAACCAATTCTAAAGCGTACATCACTCAGCAGAATAACCAGGCTTTTTTGGAAATCGTATTGGTGGCAACTGTTTGTGTTGAAATGTTGTGTTTATATTCAAGTTTTATAATGAAACCAAAAGTTTCTTTCCCTTTGCTGACCACTTCCACCTACTTTTACCCAAATTGGCAAATTTTTTGATACAAAATACATACGTTTGAATAACATGCGAAGTTGAATGGCATTGCAAACTGAGGTAGTCATCTGAACTACGTATCTACATGCACACACATATGCACAGATAAAGTTAATAAAAACAAAAATAAAACTATGACGAACAAAAATGATAATATTTACCAATTTCTTTTGCTAGAAACTTATTTATTTAACCTTTTAAATTTGTTTACACTTGCAGACGGTATTATAATTTTGCTATGAAGTTTTTAACCTATTGACATCTCTGACCCCATATATGTAGATTCTTGATCAGCAACACTAGCCAAATCGATATGGACATATTCGGCTGTCTGCCTATGTAAATGTGAAATTTAAAACTATCTGGATGAGACTTTGTGTGTATCTGTCCTTTTACTAAGGGCGGTGCAAATGTTAAAAAAGAAATTTCTTGGGAGCCACAATTTAGACTCATTTATAGTGACATTGCCAGTAATTTTGCAATTCTCTTTTGAGCCTTTGTATATTTATTATTATATTATATATTATATTTATGACCGTGGTAACAATTTTCTCTTAAAACTTGCACAGTTAGATAATTTTTCCGGAGAAAGTCATCCCTGTAAAAATAACTATATTATATACGCCAGTTGGTTTATCAGGATCAACAGCCGAGTCGATATAGCAATGTCTCACAGACTACAAGAGCTGGAGGCTTAACATTTTCGATAGCTACCTCTGCTTCGCATATGTCAATATATATCGATTTCCGATAGCAATTTATTTTAAAGGCATATGTATATTGTTGATCAACTGGAAAGATCGGGGAACAAATACCTATGTTGTCGTTATATAGTTATAGTCTCTAGGCACTTCTGATTGTTTCTTTTATACTCTGATACCGTTTTGGTTTTGTGCAATTTCTGCCATGCTCTCTGTCCGTCCTTATGAACGCAACTATTATCGGCACCCATAAGCCGATTGTAATCGGATGCTGATAATTTTTTGTTATTGTACACAATCCTTCAACTATATATATGGCAATTACGATCAACGAGTGTGAATTAAGTTTAAATATATATTCCTGTATATAAACTTATTAATATGATTAAATTTAATTTTAGATCAACCGATGTCTTGTTTAGTTAAAAGTTAATAGCAGTCGTGAAAGTCAAGCTCAAATTATTGTCATACAGCCAGTATTTTATTATATGGCATAGGAATATTTTCTAAACATTCTATTATTTGAATGCCATGGACAACACAAGTGCCACTGGTCGGCGACGGAACAATATATGTGTTAATGCCGAGGATAATGCGCTCGATCAAATTACAAAGGAGGTATGTATTAGACAATTATATTATTAATTAGTTAATTAGCCACTGTGTTCCACTGTAAGGCTTCAAAATTGTCGGTTATCTGTATCTATAAAATCGGAAATGTAGAACAAGTTTTTATTTTAATGAAACAACGATGATGTTCTTTGATGTTCGCCAATCTATAAAATAGCACCGCTTTTAAAATGTGCACTTATAATTATGAAAACTAGAAATAAATCAAAATTTCTTTACTTATACCTAATTGTTAAAGTTAACATTATTTAATAAATAAGTTAATAGTTCCGTTCGTTTTTGGTATTAATGAGTACTCGACGACTTCGCATTGGATCAACCAAGTGTTGGCATAGTTTTCTGATGAATTTCGCTTCAGAAATTCCGAATTGCTCTCCAACGTGAATTGAACTGAGCTCAGGTGTCTACGCAGGCCACTTCCTTTGCTTTCTTAGTGGTATGCTTGAGGTTATTGTCTTGTTGCAAGACCGTATTTATTCAAGCTGAAATGTAATGTAATTTAAATTAAAGTACGACGGAAAAAAGTAATTTAATAACGAATTAAGTGGCATGATTGTTTTATAAACTTATTTTATATAGGCGGAAGCGCGGTTAGCAGCTCGTCGACAAGCTCGTGCAGAGGCACGTGAAATACGCATGCGAGAGCTTGAGCGGCAACAAAAGGAGCAAGAACAAAATGCTGACCGCGCATTTGACATGCATAACACCAGTGCTGGTGTTATTATCGACACTGTCTCATCACACCCCACACGTAATACCTACGGCGGTCTAATAAACTTAACGCGCGCAACAGCTTCGAGACGCAGTAGTGAGGATTCATTGGAGGATGAAGGTCGCAGTTTGCGTGATATTAAATTTGAGCTTAAGGTATGCACTTATCTTAATAATATTGAAATATGTATTTTTATTCACATACAGAGCGTACAATTTTTTTTATCGTGAGATTCGTAACATTACTAGCCAAATCGATGTAGCCATGTTTCTCAGCTTGCCTGTTTTTATGCGAACTAGTCTCTCAGTCTTAAAGATTTTTTATGAGTCTTGGAACATAAAGGTATTCTTGCTGCAGGCCGACGTGAGAGCCTGCCGGATCCGATCCACATATCATAAATCCTACAAATATGCGTGTTATTATACTTCTTATATTTTGGGAAAAAAATTTAAATTAAAATTAATTATTATTTAGCTTCCATAGGAACGATCGATTAAAACCTTACATGTTTTTAAATATACCCAATAAAATGAATAAAAATGTTATACTATTATTTAACAGGCAGAGGGAACCATAACTGATCCGCAAAATGTATATTCATTTTAGATCAAGTCGATGAAGCCATATCCGTCTGCATAAAGTTGTAGACAGACGCAGTCGTAGAGGCTGTAAGGGCTAAAAGAAAATGTCCTTGCATTTCATGTGCAAATTAAGCATATTATATTTTATCTCCTTACCTCTTTTCTCTCAAATCAATTAATATCGATTTCCGATGGCAACAAATTTAAGATTATTGTAGATGCACCCTTCCAATTCATTCCGAGTATCAACTGATCAACTGTCGAAATTTCTCATTTCAACCAATAGACTGTCAAATCCGTCTGTAGCTGCAACTACGATGTCGCATTGGGAGGTAGCGACCTTCAAAGCAGCTCACTAATTGTGGTTGGTTGTGATCGAGTCCAGATGATTGTGTATTATCCAGTTAATTCTCTCTCATTTATAGATTTTTATTGTGTTCTGTGTATATATTCTATTTTTCGATAATTCAAGCCCTACTTCGACAATATTCGACAAGTATTAAATTTTAATGGTTTAATTACGTTTTTAAGTGAAGAAGTATTTTGAATAATTTGGCTAATAGTACGTATTTTATTTTAACTGTGACATTTTTTCAAATCAGGATGTCGAAGAACGTTTCCGAAAGGCGATGATAACGAATGCCCAGCTTGACAACGACCGCTCATCTCAAACCTATGAAGTGAAGTTACTCAAAGATAAAGGCGAAACAATGCAAGAGTCGTTTGCACAACTTCAACGTGAGCTTAAAAATAAATTACGGGATTGTAATGCCCTGAAACGCAACTTGGACCGCACAACACTTGAATTGAAACTAGTGCAAGGCCAGCTAACCGAGCGTGACGCACTAATAGCGGAACATGGACTTGTTATTGTTGCCATTGAGAATACTGATGGTACTGATGCCAAGAGGGCTCTACTCAGTGTGGAAAACGCCAATACCTTGGCGACAGTGCAGGGTTCGCTTGGTGAGTATAAACTAGAACTAAAAAAAAGAAAAAGCACAAAAATGACATATGAATAAATATCAATATAATCCCAGATATAAGACTCAAAAAGTTGGCAGAAGAAAAACAACGACTTTTGAGTGAAATGCAAAATCTTCGTGAACAATTGGATGCGTATAAGAGTGATGGTCGGGGTGGACGCGGCAGTTCATTGAATGGTCCCGTAGGCTATGATGATGATTACGAAGTTCAAAGTAAGTTTACAAATTAGTTGAATTACAATTATAATTATATTAACATGTATATTTCACAGGAGAAGCAAATAAAATCATATCAGATTATAAATACAAGCTACAAAAGGCTGAACAGGAAATCGCTAGTCTTCAGGCAAGCTTATCACGCTCGGAGACACAAGTTATACGATATAAAAGCACGGCAGAAGCAGCCGAAAAAGCAGAGGCAGAACTAAAAGTCGAACGACGTAAACTCCAACGTGAAGTAAGAAGAAATACAATTTAACATTTTATTTATCAGTTATCCCCTCCTTTCACACTTGAAAAACAGAATTTAAAGTTTTGTTATGATAACAAACTTATTGACAACACGCGTCAACACGCTCCTCACAAAAATGTTAATATCAGCATATTTTTTATTTCTCCCATAGATTTTTTAATTTAATAATTAAATCTAGATTTGTACTGGGTGGAATTTGATATGCAAGGTAATGAAATTTTCAGCGTATTTAAGATTGCCGATTACAAGATATGGATGGGCTGGGAAATCAATAATACGTAGATACACCTCAAAGTGTACATCGATGAAACCCATAAATTTCACACAATTTCAAATCTGAAGTCATGACATTTTCGAAGACAAATTAATGGTACTAGATAGGTTGATTATTGATTATCCTCTTGATAATTGCAGTAAAGACTTTCTGGTCACGCCCACTTCCGTTCCCAAAAATCACGAAAATCGTAATCTCACATCATCTTAGATCTGGAGTCACCAAATTTGAGAGGTAGATCGCTGGCAATTTTTTTTTTATTGAAAGGTTGAGTCCCATCCTATCCACTAAGTTTCCAATTGTTTTATTTGGGTATGCATGAATTAATTTGAATGCGAGGAAGATTATAGATGTAAATACGACAGGTTTAATCAATATTTTCGCATCTATATTAATACTTTTTCTTTTATTTGACATCCGCAGCACCGGGAGATTCTGGAACGTTTGGAAGAATCTGAAACCGCTAATAACCATCTACTAAAACGTCTTGATAAACTAAAAAATGCTAAGAGCACGATTTTAAAGGACTTATGACCGAAGATGACAACGAACATAAAATCACGAACACAGGCAATAACAATGCTTCACAAGCAGTACCCACATAGCAGGAAATTAATCAGTGAATATGATTAAATATATGATGTATTTCCAAAATAGTCAAGCGCAAGATAATAGTCATGAAGAGCAAAATTAGGCAAAATACCATTGTGTAACACCTAACTTAAATATAAACTTCAATTCGTGTAAACCTTAAATTTGCATATGCCTATGGCTTTATTCTGTATTCTCGACAAAAAATATTACTTATGTATGTTCACAAAAAAATATATGTAAACCTGTCATTGGTATCATTTCTATAGTCAGCTATAGAGAGTTACAGATTTGAAAAAAAAACCTGAGACCTAACGTTTTCATTTCTTCTATGGTTAAATTTTAAATGTGACTTGTAAAGTCTCACAATATCCGTTAAGCCCCATTTTTTTTTATTTGCTTTTACAACACGTTCATATGTATAAGTAAGTAACAGTTATTTATATCCCTCAAAATTTAAGTATTTCTCTTAACATCACCTCCAAAGAACACGCCACATCAGCGAATTATGTTTACATTTTAAATGACCGCTATTAAATTATGATGTCAGCTAATTAACTACTTTCAAGTAGGTTTATTATTTGTACGTACACTTACAGTCATGGTCAAAATAATAAGTAATAATAATAAATAGCCAAACTTGCCTGAACATTGAAATGTTTTACATTTTATTGAAATCTATATCATGAAGGCTCTTTTTGTTTTCATTGTGACAATACGAAAGGCTTCTACATTTTCGCGTTCAGCATTCTTTAAGGTTTCTATCTATTTTTCCATAAGTTCAATGGAAAGGATGTGCAAAATGATGTCTAGGACATTGCCTGGAGTAGTCCACAGGCGTTTATAATTATTTGACAATGTATGGAAACACTCCACATTTTAGACAAATAGATTTTCTACAGGTGTAGGCGTGGAAATCTCGAGGCAAGTTTCCTATCTAAGACAACACACAGATACCATACAGATCTTGAGGGAGCGCCAGAGTACTCTACTTAGCGGCGTGCCTCTACTGACGTAACTGGGGGCTGTCCACACTGTCAATATCACCTGCGTTGCAGTATGTGGTCGATAATCTACTCGGGCACCTCCTATAAGGCAGGTGAAGCTGGAGAGATTTTTCGATAACAGTTGTTATCTTGTGGAGAGCTGCATTGCGGATAAATTGGCGGTCACTAATCCTAAGATAATAACAGTAGGGTTGAGTACCTGTTGAACTACACATTAGATAAGAACCTAACGTTCTTAAATGCGAGATCAGAGCAAACTTTCGGAAATGAAGGTATATCCAGACTCATCAACATCTGAAGAGTGTCGTCTGAACCATTAATATCGGATCACAGAATTATATTATTCGACATCAAGCAGGGCACCTCTTTTTATAGGAAGAACAGGAACCCTGGAGGGACTAACTGGCTATATTTCCAGTCTTCAACGAAAGAAGAAGAGGTTACGAACAAGCAATGAACTAGAAACCCTGACACAGCGTCTCAATAAAGCGTATATGTATACATATAATTATAAATGAAAATAGAAAGGAAACGGTTTTATTTCTTGAAATTCGCATCTTATACAGCTAACAATGGGTCTTATATACTACCTGATGTGGCAGTACAGCAACGGATCTACATGTTTGTTAATCCCGACGACGGTTACAGTTTATACCTCTGATATGGTTATTCTTAGTTATTTATTTGGAGTAGTCCCTAGCAAGGGACTTTTAAATCCTAACATGTTCTATCATCATCTATCATATCTACTGCCCATGAATGGACTTTTCTGAATCTAGTGCTCATATTGCACATACATATTATGCTTGCCTTATTAAATGTATTTAATCGACTTCAACACAAGATTTATCGATTTTAGGAGCGTTAGTGGGCGTGACCATTTACCTTCAAAACATGGTGACTCTTTGAAATATATGGCAATTTTCGACTGTTAGGTGCGAAGTACCTAGCGTTGATGCAGTTGGGTGTGGTTTGGTAATTTACATATCAATCCTAAAAGGATGTCACCAAGTTTGGTGACAGTGGCTTTAAAATTGTGGGAGATATGCTGATTTATCGATTTGGATTTTCAGATATATCGATTGAGAGACAAGACTCAGCGTGGCCTTCATTTTTTATAGACACATGGTTACGGGTAATTTATCTGCAAAATTTTGCGACTTTGGCTCAAAAACTTTGGAAGGTATAGGCATTAACAAGGAAGGAATCAGGGCAGGGGCTAGAAGCTTAGTCGTACGGACAAAGAGCATGAGGCAGAAGTCGGTGACTGATTTTAAATTTTTCTTCAAATTTGTTCAGGTTGTGTCTGTAGCTGCTTTGGCCGCACACAGATGGCGCTGATGTCTTTTTCACCATCAATAGATGGCACCATTGCGCCAGCCCTATTTCAATCTATGTTTTCGTCGACCATAACAAAACATTCGGAATCTTATTGATATGCACTTCGCGGGAAATCGACATGTTATCGATTTCCCAGCCTCCAAAAGAGCGTAGCACAGCAGCACTTTGTCCGAAACGAAGGACATAGGCGAATATGTATGTATTCCAATTGCGAAGGTGTCGAAAAATGTTGCGTTACCTACTCAACAATATATTAAAAATCAACATATGAAAAAATGCAACTCTAATGGTTAATGCAACAATAAAAAAACGTCCGAGCCCACATACCAAATTTAGGAGATATATTACTAGCAATCTCTCAAGATTTTTATAATTTTGAAGCCCCGCCCAGTGCCAGCGCCAAAAATCGCAAATTTACTCTTTTGAGCTAGTATTACGCTGTTTCTGCTTTTTTATTTTTAAATACTAGGTTAAACCACCGAATTTGCGCGTATTAGGCTAGAGTTATACAAGTTAAAAGGATCGACAGTTTCAAACTACGCTTAAATTGTAATATTTGCGAAAAACAATTATTTATTTTCCAGTGTGATTACCTGGAGCCCACAGCCGTAAATATATAAATATCGATTTTTATCTAAAAGCAGTCCTTTGATATCAGAAATGCAAGTATACCCGATCCGAGTGTATTGCAAAGTTGTTAAATTCACCATATATATTTGCTTATCGATACTACATGTGTAGGCATATAGTTCAACAGCTCGTCCGACGCCTTTAGTCGAATGGAGAATCAACGCATTAATCTGAGCATTATGTAGGCCAGGGAATTCCGTACTTCTTTGTACAGTCATGTTGGACATATTGAGTGTGGTGTGCTTTATGATTTCATCGTCGCCGCTGGTCAAAACGTGTAAAATGAATCCATCATCTAGCGTTTCTAAAGCATTAATGCCAGCAGAGTGCAACTTGAGCTCTAGCCGCTTCAAGCTGAGAGTCTGATCAAATCCATAAAGCATTCCATTTGTGGTTGTGATTAGCAATAAATTTGTATTCATTAAAATCTTTAACTGAAGCGGACACCGTTTTATATCAATAAAGCGAATTAAGTACACTTGTGAAGGATTTTCTAACTGCCAGCGGAGCATAATTATTTTTCCATCAGCGCTGGCAACATAAAGATGGAAATCTCCAGTCTCAGCATGTCGTAAAATGGAAATTGACATCAGTCGGGCATCGACTAAAGATTTTTTCCCGTCGATATTCGTTCGTATTGTGTGCGTGCACAGTTCACGAACGACTGGACCACTTGGATCCAGTTGATTGATGCACAGCTGTGATCGACCTCCTACTGAAAAGAGAAGCCAATGACTAACACCGTTTTCTAATTTGATGGGATATGACGTCAGGTGTCTTACGCTTGAAATATGCGTGTGCAGCTCGGTACACTGATTGAACGATTGATTTGTAAACTGGCTAATTTTAATAATATTATCATCGCCGGCAGATACAATATATGTCTGGTCATCATCATCATTAGTCCGTTTAAGTAATTGCATGATATTGCAACTTCGCATGTGCCAACAATTTTGAAATGCTTGCAACGAATACCCAGACCGATTATTGTCCAGTATCGCACGGTGATGAAAAACATGCTTTTGCTTTACATAAATAATATCAAGTTGTTCATTGTTTAGCTGATAATCCCAGCATCGGTGGCCCCCACCACACTGCAACTGAAAAAGGACGTCATTTTTACGGGACCAAGCCACAAGATGATTGTCATTAAAGCCAATCAACACATCTGATTTCGGTAATGCTTCTATCCAAGACAACGGGACGCACTCACGCTGGTCAACAGTTAAATCGTAATTTGTAAAACATAAACGCAAATATTTTATAACAGGTTCGTGTCCAGCACTAAGTATGTATGCGTATTTTTCATCAGTCTTTAACAATTGAAGGACATTCGATCCCATTGGTCCATGCAAGCGCTTAATTGTATTCTTTAGTTGTAATTGTGAATGTGCTTCCCGTGAATATAGCATAATATTTCCATTCCGAATGCTTAGCAACAAACAGGTAGGCGATACAAGCAGTGCCATTGTTATCCAGGGTTCACGGCAATTACTGATTTTCATATGTCCTTCAACGTCCATGTTCTGTCCCTTTAACAGAATACAATTACCATATTCATCAGACATAAGATACAGATCTTTGCTAAGAAAATGAAATGACTGAATGAGGCCTTCAAGCTTTGTACCATCATATAGTTGATCAAATTGTTCAGTCTTCTCTGTATATTTTAGAAGTGTTACCCGTTTATAGCCACAAGTGGCAATCATTCCATCGCACACTGCCAATAATGTGCATTTGTATTTGGGGAAATCAGGAACTAATTCCCAATTGCCAATGTTATGTGATTTTGATTGTTGTTGTTTCATCAAAAACAAGCGATTTCTGCTGCTCAAAGCAATTATTGCACTGCTATTTAGATATTTAATATTTTTCATAAATTCCGTTTCTGAATCGAATGGTATCAATTGGGTTGATTGGGATTGCCTTGCATTAAGAATGCTTTTCAGGTTATAAGCAAGAACGTTTCCCGTCGAGCCTGTGCAATAAAGTGTTGTCGTAATATGATCGAAACTCAAGCGCCATATTGGTGAGCCAAACTGTTGACGTCGCTTAAAAAGCATTTCACCTGATTGACTCCATACGCATATATGTGAATCCTCACCTCCACTTATAACATAAACTTGGCCATCTGTAACAAAAAGAAAATAATGATTAGGACAATCAGTTGTTTTGTTGTTTATATATTTTTTTTTTTAGTTGTCTTACCATACTCTGCAATGGTCGCACAAATAACTCGCGCAGTGTGGCCAAAGCAGCTGAACAATGGCCTCACTGATCCTGCGTCGTATTTCCAATCTCTAATCGACTCACTTTCAAGTTGCCAAAACTTTAAAGAGCGGTCGTCTGATGTAGTTACCAGCAAGCGAGCTGCTAAGTTCAAGTCAATAGAAAATATAACACCATTATGCGCCTTAAGACGCAAGCAAAGGGGATACGTTTTGGTGCAAGTAGTTGTATTCAAATCAACAGAATCATGCGGCTGCCATATGATTATTTCCCCACAACAATTCCCGCTTAATATAATAAGCTCATTATAGCAGTTACCACACAAGCTCGTGTGGTAGAGCATTGAATAGTCGGTGCAGCAAGCTAGCTCTAATATGCTGCAATCTCCGAAAGACCCATTATTCAAGTCATTATATTGCAAGCGCAGAAGTGCACTGTGGGCCATGTGCAACACAAATTGACAACCTATCTCGTCCTTTAAAAATATGGCTGCATTAATCCAATCCTTTGTCTCGCCCTCGTAAATCAATTTAAAGATTTCATTTTCGGTATTGTCATATCTGAATAAGCAGAATTCATTTTCTGCATAGAGCAGTAGCACTCCTGTTGACTCACATTTCTGACTAAATGTAAAGCCGTGTACCTTTTTGAACCGAAATTCATGCGGCAGGCGTGTTTTCCTATTTTCCGTAATAAAAAATGATTGATTGCCGATAGCTAAAAGATATAAAAGTTATAATGACAATATTACATACATACATATAGTTCATTCAAAAATAAACAGAAAAGCAATATGAACTCGATATCGGTTGGAATAATTGAACAGTGGATAAACAGCTCAGCGCGACACTTGCCGTATAAAATGAAAACTACATCTGTAACTCCGAAATACTGGCTGATAGTTCCGTTATGGGACTACAGCCGTAAGTGCACTGTGCAAGTGCACCCGCCCCAGCAAAGCAGGAGGCGGAAACTCCTTGATTAAGTGTCCTACCTATACCTATCCACAGTAATAAGTATGAGTACTGTAATAATCACATTCTTATAAATACTATCCGTAAGCAGCTAACATCTCTACGCAAACAGTAAACATCAGGGGACCTTTTAGAATTGAGAGTAAAACACCGTGGAAGATTCACTGCAAGCGTGCACATTTTTGGCAAGGCCCAGCTTTGAATATGCCGGATGGTTACTCGGACATAGGGACCAAAACCAAGAACATACCAGTAATTAATGATTTTTGTGAAATACTTAATCCCAACGATTCAGTTAGTAACGTTTGACATTCAGTCATGTTTTCTGATCAAATCCTGATAACAGATGCCGAACAGCGTTTCATTCAATATTCAAGTACTTTGGGGATGAGAGAAATATCAAATTAATCGAGTATCGATAAAACAGTGTTACCGTTTTGGTCTTTTAATCGGTAAGATCTGTCCATTATTAGTTTGACTTAGCCTTTTTATTTTTATTAGACTCGTTCATATTTGGTAACAAAAATGAACTTGAGAAATGATTTCCCTTTCGCCCAACAATTTAAGATTGCTGACCAGGAAGATCAGCTTTGGCCATGATTATTGCACAACATGCTTTGTTTTCCCTGTTGGCCATTTAATCGAGTTGTTTAATACGAAATTTGGCGCAATTTATATAAAATTATACCGTACTAAGTTATTAAAAATATTTTGGAAGATGACGTTTTCGATAATAAATACACATAATTTTATTGTAATTTTTTAACGTTTAAACCTTTTTCTGGTCGACCTGTCCATCAAGAGACGGCCAATTTCTTAAAATGTTCAACGTCGGTCCAGTTGTGGGAAAGGTATTCGACCTTTAATTTTTGAATATTTCTATATTTAAGTAAATAATAAATACCATTCTCAGACATTAATATGAAATTAAAATAAAATAGTTGAATGACTTGTTGCTCTATTTGCATGGCTATCAACAGCATATGTACTCGGCATAATTACTTGCCTCGATCCTATCTTCACTGAGATCGTGCAAAACAGCGATACAATTATTTCTCATTAAAAATATTTTTTGTTAAAACGTGTCACATTATTGAGAAAATGCTCTTTGGGTCGCCTAATACCACTCTGTGTTATGCAACTACTACCAACCTTTTCAAATTGTTATTTATTTTTATAACTGAAGCCCTTCCATAATCAATAATAATTTGTAACATAATATTACGCGCCGGCTATCGTAACAAATTAAATGTTGTAATTGCCTTGCACTGTCTTACAAGATCTGTATATCAATGAATACAGAAGGGATTGGTCAAAAATCGTTTTGCATATTTATTTGATCATTAGCTACTTCTCAATCCAAATAAATAATATTTATTCACATTTGAGAGCATTGATAGGTTTTTTCTCTAAGAAATTACATGTTGTTTGTGTTTTATTTTGTCTGTGTATTAACTTTGTAGCCGAAGTTGTTTCTTGTGTTTTTCGAAATCTGGAGTCCAATCAAAGCGACTGATTCTTGCCTTGAATATTATTAATTTTAAATACATGTAATTAAATACATTAATATTGATTATTAGGTTAGATAAAAATCATTTTATTGACACCCGAAGATGGACACACATAAGCCATGTTTGGTGAATATTGATCATTATTCTTAATAATTTTTGAATTGTAATTTCAATTCCTTGCCATGCAAGTAAATGCCAAGTATATTTAGTGGTGGACCTACGTGGACTGATAATATTTTGGGTGCAACAAACGGTTTAGGAACATCAAAACTAATGATTGATGCCGCTCTGTGTGAATGCGCAAATAATTTTGTTGCATCGTTACAAGTTGAGACGCTATTTTGACATGTTAAATATCTACCAAACACTGTTGTCTTTGGTTACTCTGATTGCTGAAATATAATCGGAAATCAACATTGTTATACAATTCCTGTATTGGTATACGTATATATGTATGTAAATTTACATCCGATTGTTTTTATATATCATTTTTAGTTTATTTTTATTTACTTTTTACTATTTTTGAACTATTATACTCCATCCAAATTCAGTTTCTGTAGACAATAAGATTCAATTATTGTGCGTTACATTCTTCTACAAAGTACATATGTATGTATGTAGTTTTCAGACCTACAATTGCGTTCATATGTAAGTATAATGGAATTTAAATTGATTGTGAATCGTAACAAATTAAACATATATATGTGTACACATATCTATGTATACCATAACCCGTAGTACAAAACTTCCAAAGATTTCTAATGCATCAAGACACATATTCATATGCATGCATATGAATGTTGCATTTACGTGCTAGGCAGATTGTACATACATACATACGTATGTACGTTAATATTGATAAGGCATGCGAAAATCTTCATCTCAGGAACCATAATCACAATAAGTTATATTTCAAATTTCATTCAATATATAAAACTAATTAAATGATTTTGGAATTTTTGATATTTTCGATCAAAAATGAAGTTCAATGTCTGATCACGATATTTCCAAATGGAGCTGTGGAAACATTGGAAAATGTCCAACCAAAAAATAGTTAAGTACTATTTTTGTTTCATTTAATAAAAAATAAGCTTCTGCAATTATTCCGGTAACGCCACTTTAATGGTGGAAAACTAACGTTAAACAATACATGCAAGAATAACCGTACATTAGGCAAAAGCTCTATTTGAGCGGTTTTTATAATCAGTGCGCATAGTCAAGTGCAGAGCTTTATCTTAAGTGACGACTGTTTTTTCATGTTGGCGGTATAACGCCTGCTTAGTAATCTCCAATAATATTATTTAATTTATTTTTAATTTCATTGAGTTGAATTTCCTTTGTTAATTTCATTTATTAATGTTTTTATGGCCCTCATTTTTACCCATCGACTGATTTGACAATTGTTTCTCCCATCTCACTTATATATATAGATATTATCACTACTGATATTGTGGACGTATTCTATATTCAATCCTTGGTGCAGGTAGTTCGTATGTCGGGTCGAACTACTATTAAAAAGCGGATCAACATTCTATAATCTATTTAATACGAAACTCAATATTTTGCCAATGCATACTTGTGTTCTATATCTTATCTTATCTTCCAAGTCTTATCTTATCTTCCAAAATCTCGTCTTCATAAACTGCTGCGGAAATGGCGGCTTTCTAGAAATTGATTGTCAATACACTTTTCTGCTAACCAATCTTTGAAGGGGTTTGGAGGTAATCTACCTTCCGTGTTTGATAACTTTATATATAAAATTTCGGTTATTATAGGCTTTTAAAATTTGTAGGGGCGGTAGAGGGTGAATTTTTTTCTTGCGAAGGAGATTGTGTGAAGTATATGGGAATATCGATTTACTCAATCACGATTATTCGTTTTTGGGGCCGGTGTGGGCGTGGCCATCAAATTTTTTATCGATCCCTAAGGGGAGTTACCGGTAATATACTTTAGAAATTTGGTGAGTACCTTAAAACTTTTGTAATATACGGGCATTGGTTAGCCTTTTGTCGACGTAGCTCCCAAGTTTTTGTAATTGTCTGACGCGGACACAGGCAAGCATATGTTTCAAGTAGCGTTTGTGGTGTCGGTGAAAGTTGCGAAAAACGAATATCCTCTTATACCCTCGGTATCAGAGTATAAAACGTATCTTTTACCCAAATTTGGCATTGGCGCATCTACTTCTTGGAACCCAAAACTACAAAACTGCAATTTTTTGCCATTAGCGTAATCCTGAGCAGAAAAGTGATAAATCCATCCGGAACTATCTAGAACAGGCCCATGACACATATATTGCAGCTAAGTCCTGAGCCAAATGATGTGCAACAAAAAATAAATGTATTTTTTATTTTCACCTTTTTCAGGAATGTCGACCCGAGTGAGCTCGATTTAATATACCGTGACCAAGTTGCTAAATTTAAAAAATGAAAACAGTATTGGGTACATTCTCTTTCGCGTGAACCCGAAAGCAACGCATCATAAATTTCCCGAAAAAGGTTCAGTCAAGCCAAAAGACTGGACTCTACAGGTGCATGGAATAAATATATAACGAATTTATCCAATAACAATTAGAAACTGCGCAGGGCTAAAAGAAAACAGTATGCTTTCTGTTCTGATATCGAAAGTACCACAGAGGCATCGCGCCTAAGAAAACTACTTTCTATAACGCCCACGACTCTTGGGTAGCTAATGAGAATCGATCAAAAAAAAAAAACAATGTCCACTGAAGCGTCTATTGACTTTCTGTACATATTTTTTTTTTTTATCTATCTTTAGATAGTAATAACAAATGTGAATACATTTTGGACTATGGCTTGGCTGTTTCCCATCGAATCTTGATGAAATTTGTAAGCTGATCAATAAATACATATGAATCCTTTGCCTTAAAAATTGTGGCTTTTATTGCTATTTGAAAAGGTATCGATATTTGCGAAACAGAGACAGTTATCGATTAATGGGGTTATTGGTTTTGCGCAAATGTATATAACAGGCAGAAGGAAGCATCTCCGAACATGTATGAATATTCTTGATCAGGAACAACAGCCGAGTCCATTTAGCCATGTCTGTCTATCCGTCCGTCCATTTGTATGAATATTTTGAATATAGGTTCTCATATACCACGCGCAGATCTAGCGTCATTTTTATCGAAAAGTGCCTCCGGTTCTCGATATCGATTAATTTCGATTTTCGATAGATGTTAGACTGCGAATGTAAAAGGCTGGTGGTTTGTGAACACTTTAAACTTTTTCACTCCGTATAGACAGCTTCGGAGATTTAAAAAAAAAAAAAACTATAGCAAGCAACTATCGTTCATTCGCCATGAAGTTAAGGTTAAGCCTTGAGAAAAAACTGCTCCTTAGGCCGAAGGACGAAGCGTTTGTTGTCAAATCCAATGGCTTCCTATTACGTGGTTTTACGTTTTCTGATGCAAACTTGACATTGTCTTTGATCAACTTTTCATTATAATTATTTTCATTTCTAAATATTTGACATTCTCTTGAATAAGTTGCGTTGTTCAGCAAAACCCGCTTGTTGGTTTCGAGCAACTTATCTAAGACCAATGGTTTTCTGGAAAAATAATTTGTTCATAAACATGAGCATTGTATAAGTTCTCGGTCTGTTCTCTAAAGTGAAATCATGACCTTAGGTCAAAAAAATTGCGTTTACCTATTTCTATTGTCTATTAATTTAATTTTCTTAAATCTGTAAAGTTAAACGTTTCTTCGTATTTCCAGTCTAATCGATTCCTTTCTTATCTACGACCCAGATGGGGTTATTGTCTTCACAAAATTGAATAAGGATACAACTTGTTATATATGAACTCTTCGCTCTCGGTTTTTATTTCGTTCGCATTTACAATATTTTCCGACTCACGTCATAGCTTTATACAGTTTTTTGAAGCATCCGTATCTATTAAAAGTTTTATCTTTCTCCCTGCTATTATTCTTTCTATGACAAAAAAATAAATCTGGTCATGTTCTGTAAGGTTGTCGTTAATGTCTTCTGCCTCCTGTTCTGTCTCAATTTGGTATTCCACACTTTCGTCAAATGGTGAGGCCTCGTGTTGATCAAAATGGTTTATTCTGTATTTCCCCGGACGCGTATATTTTGCAGTGCTACTGTGCGGTCTGTTCGGTGTCTGTCCGTGTTTTTGGTTATTGTTGTTTTGTCGGCTGCCTGAAATGTGATGACTGATCAACGCCTATCTTTTCTTCCTGTGTGTAGAGAGCCCTCCGCTAGAGGGCCTTTGGAGTTTATTAAAATAAGGATTCTTTCGCTGCTGGCTGCCCATATGGTTCCCTGACGTCTTCTCTGACTTGTTGGGAGACTATTGAGTGTTGTCTAGATCGGGAACCTTTATTAAACTAAATCAACTCAACACAATGTACATGTTTTCTTATCAATTTTCATCTTCGGTTAAGGTTCTGAAAAAATACCCATTTAAAAGATTTTTTTCTTTATAAGGACCCGCAACAAATCCTTCTAGATATACATTCTTTGTTTCAAATCCAAATGTATTAGACATAATGCATATATTTCGTTTTTCTGAAATAAGGAAAAATGGGTAGCGATTATAATAAGCGTGTTACGTACATTGTATTTGACTTTATTATGTTTCTTTGTAAATAATTAACATTAGTAATGCGTTCAATGAAAACTCACTAAATCCTTAATCATTTTCGTTTGCAGGAAGCACAATCTAAATTGGAATTTGCTAACAACTATTAAACAAATACGTTACTGAATACTTGAAACGTTATATACGCACTACAATATGCTCAATAAATATATTTGGAACTACTCTGTAATTGTTCTATTGTACTACATATCGGAAACCTCTTGTCTTGTGAGCATTATGAACGTAGGCATCCCAGAAAATGAAATCATTTTAAATCGTTACAACACGCATGGGGAACACCATGAGGAAAATATGAAAGAAAAACCAAGCGTACATATGAAAACAGCTACCACGTCTCCAGCGGCGGTAACACATGCGGGATCTTCACTGACAGTACATATGTCGCAGTCCCATACTGGCAGTGGTGAAAATTCTCTTCATTTTGAGCAACAGCGTCCTAGAAGTTCATACAACCTGCTAAGCGAAGCAATGTCTCAGGCGGTTAGCAATGAATTCAGTAAGTCAACAATTTGAAAATGTTTCCAATTCAACTACATTCGTAATTGTTTTAGTTGTGTTATGAACAATGTGAACAATGTAAAGCTAATTGGCCTAAAGGTATTTGAAAAGGGATCTTTATTTCCTACCCTAGAGATAGATGTAACCCTCAAAATAACCCAGTCATATTAATTTGCACTTTATCTTATCATATGCTCTGTAGTAATATCTGCGACAAGGGTCCACTTTGTAGTACAAGTCTTGCCTTGTTCTCCTCATTTTCCGCGAAGGAGTCATCCACATTCCTGAGACAAAGTTCCTGAATGCATTTGCCCTTAGATAACGCTCTGTTAGTACAAAAATGACGGAAGTTGGATCGTTTGCTCCTCCGTTTGTCTTTATTGTATTCTGTAGACCCCAACTGCAACTGATTTTCTGTGCTGCATTGAACCTCGTTTTTACTTCTAGTCTGAGTATACATTATTTTTTATTCCCCCACGAATTGCCTATTCTAGAAGATGTTTTCTTCTCAACACAACTGACATCTTGGGCATCACATATCATTAGGTGTTCAATTTCAATAGCTGTTTTGGTTTATTTAGGTTCAAATCTAAAATGGTTTGATAATATGGCCAGTCAGTTCTTTTGAAATTGCCAAGCTTTCTATGAAAACAGACACATTTGTATGATTTAAATAAATTGTTATTGTAGTTCAATTATGAATATCTATTTTATTTCTTTTCTGCAGGTTCTTTGACCACTTCATCGGATGTCACATGCAATGCAAATGACTTCGACTGTGAGAACGGAAACGTGCAGGATCGGCTTGGCATGGAGGCAATCGCCAGTTTACACCGGCAATTAGACGATGATGATAATGGAAATATCGACTTGAGTGAATCGGATGATGTATGTGAATCATCATAATTTGTACAGTGTAATGACAACTTTTGTTCAATACAGTTTCTCCGCGAAGAACTCAAGTATGACTCCGGCTATGAAAAGCGTCAGAAAGCATTTCATTTTAATGATGACATGCATATATCAGTTAAAGAACTGTGGGATGCATGGTTGCGCTCAGAGGTACATAATTGGACCATTGAACAAACAACAGACTGGTTGGCACAGTCAGTTCAACTACCTCAGTATGTCGACCTTTTCAAATTACATAAGGTTACTGGTGCCGCTTTACCAAGGTAGGTATTTTTATTGTTAAATAGAAAAGCTACCACAATGGAGAGCTTTGATTTATATACAGATGTATAAGTGACAGGCATACCCAGAATCCATAACAAATGGATACAAATGATATAACAAAGCTCTGGAAAACTATGTAACAGGCAGATAAAGTAAATATATATTATCGATCAGAATCAAAAGCCGAGTAGATCCAGCATTGTCCGTCTCTCTGTCTGTCCGTCTGTTGGAACAAAGGGATCCCAGAGACTATAAGAGCTAAAGACTTCAAATTTGAAATGTAGGTTCTCGCTAACCAAGTTTTTATCGATACCTAATAGAATAAATAACAAATCGATTTCCAGTATTATTAAAAGCAGCAATTTTAAAGGCTTAGCGTTCCAAATGATATATCCCTTTCCTTGATATATTATTTTACTTAAACGTATTTTCATGTTGATATTACTATCATTTTCAGTATGCATAAATATACGCGTGCCACGTATGTGACCGCAACAGCATGATAGTAGAGGCTGGTGTAAATATGCATGTGTATTGTCCGACAATCCGATATATACACACATATGTTTCTTGTGAATAGGAACATGCGCTGCCTTTGAGTAATTTATTTGACATCTGGGTTCAGGGTATCTTGTGGTCGAGCTCATTCGACTAGAGCATTTTTACTTATTGTTATTAATCAGCGATTACAAATAAATTTCAATTGATGGTTGACGGTCTTATATCTGAAGGGTATAAATTTACTGTCTGGCATAATTGATTTTATTTATTCATCAGGTCATTTCAGGTCTATAGACGCAAATAATATAAGCATAAATTGTTTTTGACACGATTTGCCCCTAACAGCTTATAAATAAGAATTATAAAATCTCTTCAAATTTGATCGCACTAATAAAATAGGCAGTGGTCTAAGCATAAAATACATAGATGTTAAAAAGTTACTAAATAAGAAATCAGTACGATTGAATTCATGATTATTTTTTTAAATTTTAAGTTGCTATTGTGAACTAAATGACGAGTTAATAGTTATTTTTAAACGGAATAAAGAAATATGCTTGAAAAATGTATGAAAATATACAGAATAATATAGAATAGGCAAGCGGTGTTAATTTGCAAAAAAAAAAAAAAAACGCTGCACGAGTTGAACAGAGGCAGCAACACTCCATCAGTGGAACACAAGTCCAGAAGAAACCAAGAAAGCCTGAATGCTAAATTGATCTAGTCAAATTTACTACGCTCTTTAATAAATAAATAGTAAATAAATAAATCTATATTTTATTCGTACTCGAGCCTAACTACCATGATATGAAATTTGAATATTTTTAGATTGGCTGTAAATAATCTGCATTATGTTAGCAATGTGCTGGGCATAAAAGACCCCATACATAAACAAAAAATATCACTGAAAGCGATGGATGTTGTGCTATTTGGACCACCGCGAGGTATGACAACAACGCAGTTATGCATTTACTAGACGTTATATAAATTCCAACATACTGTTGTAATTTTGGTTAATTCATTTGAGAATTGCTTGTTATTTGCAGAGACAGGCACACGCTGGAAAGACTATATTCTTGTCACTCTCTTACTGAGCGCTATTATAGGATGTTGGTATGCTTACCAACAGAACAAAAATGCTAAGAGGCATTTGCGTCGCATGGCACAGGATATGGAAGGATTGCAACGTGCTGAACAAAGTCTACAAGAGATGCAAAAGGTATGCTAATTGATTCTTGCTATTAAAGTCACATTTTTATGTAAGCATCACTTTTTTTTAGGAGCTAGAGCTTGCGCGCATGGAACAGGAAAATGTGGCAACGGAAAAAATGGACCTTGAGCGTCGTCTAAAGGAAGTACCTTCAGTTAGTTCCTCAAGCTCAGATTTGGAGGTACAGCAGTTAAAAAAGGAAATCGAAATGTTACGCAATGAATTAACACGTGCCGAGTTCGAGCTGGTGGATAATTGTTGGGCGCCTCCTCAACAATTACAGTCATGGCTACAGTACACATATGAGTTAGAAAACAAGAACCATCAGAAAAAGCGCAGTTCTGCCGAGAAACAACTGCAATCAGCTCGGGAAGCGTGCGAAAAATTACGTAAAAAGCGATCTAGCTTGGTAGGAGCTTTTGTTTCAACGCACGGTAGAAGCATTGATGATGTTGATCGCTCAATAGTTGAAGCGCGAAATTCTCTTGGAGAAGTAACTAATGAGTTACAGGAACGTCTTCATCGTTGGAAACAAATTGAAACGTGCCTCGGATTGAATATTGTCAATAACAACGGATTACCTTACTTAGAAAATGTTCTTTACAGTCGCAATGGAGGTATTTCTAGCAGTGGCGGTATAAGTTCCACAAAAGGTTCTAGAGGTGAGTATCTGTATGTTTTTTTTATACTCTGATACCGAAGGTAATACCTTCGGTTTGTCTGTCCGTATCAATGAAATTTGTTCGACACTCTTGAAGCTAGAGCCTTGATACTTTGAATATATACTGGTCCGTGCCCGCGTCAGACAAGGTGTACAAATTGGGGTGCTTCGTGCACTAGGAGAATAGGAAATCGATAAAAATCGCAAATCGATAAAGGCACATCTCTCCCTCAATTTGAAAGCTGCACTCAACAAATTTGGTTGACAGTTTGTTGGCGATATCCTTGAACGCCCACCTCCGCCGCCCACAAGTCCCCGGAAATGGGTATAATAACGGCCCCAGGTTGTAATTACATAATTAGTACTCGATACATTTCATAGGCATCAGATTTGTAATAATTAGAAAAACTTTTAAACCAATCTGACCACTCAAATCCTTAAAAATATTAATCCAAGTACATGGTAAAACATTGCATACAATTATCTTTTCACAATAACAAATCAATTTATAGTATTAGTATATAGTTTAGTACTTACATTCTACTTACCCTTGTCATTAGTATCCATAATTAATATTTAAGATTTTCTTAAACAGTATATATTTTACCAAGTGCAAAGTCGATAATTATGTTTGAAACATTTTTGAACGTTTGTGCTTTTCATGTTATGAAAATAAGAGTAATTTATAGGAATAACAATTCATAAATAATGAAATATATAGTTTTTAGTATGTCATCTCAAATGCAAAGTGAAAATTGTAATTAATTGAATGTAAGCAAATAATTAAAAATATTAGCCACCAACTTTGCGATAGTTCTGTGTCTGACTCATGGGCAGTTTTCGACCTAGTATAGGTATACATAAGTATCTCCTAGTTGGGTGCTTCTGACTGTAGATTTCTTATTTGTTTTTTAAATTTTTTTTTTTCACTTTTTCCGAATTGCAGCCAGAATCACAAGCAGCACCGATGACTTGGACGATGAATCAGTACAAGGTAAGATGCATTTTGAGAATTTTTCACTGCTTGCTACGGAGTAGCATTTGAATGGCAAGGCAACCCAGGAAAAAATCCACATAGTTGATACAATCAATGATACAATCGATGCATAAGCAATTATATCCAACTTACTATTCTTGAAGATCATGTTAATTTAGGTACTTACATTTGCTAGTTTTCAATAGTGATCCGATCTTTTAGCAGCAATAAAAGCTGTCATCGATAAAAGTTCAGTGATATATAATGAAGTAGGCATCTGCACGTATATATATGTATACATATTTATACATATATATATAAATGTACATGCAATTACTTATGCCTTAAATGCGACATCAATTTTTAAAAAAAATATACATGTATCGTAAAGATTTAAACTATACTTGGAGCATTTCTTGAATAATAGAACATAAACACATAGCGTGATTCAAAGTGTATTTGCATACAACATTTTAGAGACATATATTTTTGGATTTACATATTTATATTCAATTCAATATTAAAATTAGCTCTATCTGATATAATTCTTAGCACCTTCAACGAAATTACTATTTAACCCATTTGTAAAGAAGCTACCATTTTCAAGTTGCAGGCTGCATAATTCGAAATCACACTTTATATACTTAAATATACATAACATACATTTGTAGTTAATTTTTATTAGATTCTATTTTTTTTTTTTAAATTATCTTTTGTTTAAATTAATTATAAATATATTATACTATATTATATACTTAAAAAAATTTCCGAGACGCTATGTGCAGTTGCATAATGCTGTTAGTAAAAAATGGTACGAAAAAACACTTTGTGCATTGTATATATGTATGTATATTGTATTTGGCTTCACTTGAACCATTTACAAAACCAAAATACAAAAAAAAAAACAACAAAAATGTTAAATATCTAAAATTAAAAATGAAGTGTGCTATTAGATGTATTATTCCATCAATCTTATTTTAAGAATTAATAATAATAGTTTTTCATTAAAATGGAATTAATCAATGTGATCTTACGTACATACACACATATGTGTAACAATGGTGTATTTTTGTAAATACATTTACATATTATGTGTTAACAAATATAATTTCTATCTGCAGTTCTTCGTGCAATTAGTTGTTCGTTGTAATCTTGTACACATTTATACATATACTAAATTATTATATTTTTTAAAGACATCTTTGTACATCTTTGATTTAAAGATTGAAATAAATATTCCAACATTTTTATTTGTTATATATATAATATATACACATATATATTTATATATATATATATATATAAATACATATATTATTATTTTTTCTTATTTCTTTGCAACATTAACTTAGTTTCTTAAAAATTGTGACGCTATAAGACCTTTTATTTGTTTGTAATTGTTGAAGAGCGCTTTATTATTGTTGCCACTGCTGATAGGTTTCCCAATTCAAACTGTTCTTCGAAAAAGGGCCTTTTGAAAATATACTTTATATTTCCCTTGATTCCTTGGTTCTGTCCTAAAAGCTGCGATGCATCCTCGGAAATTAATATGCGTTGAGATGCTCCACCCATCAAAGCTCACAGCTGTTCGAAGTTGCCAATGGTGTTGTTCACTTTTGATTTTTGCTGAGGCAAATTCTTCTCTGTTGCGCCATCGTGTAACCAGGCATTATGGCTTCGATATTCGATTTTTGGCATCTGTACCCCTTTTTGCTTTTCGCCATACCATGAGTGTGAAGATAAGGAAGCATAAATGCTGCAATTTAATAAGCTTTGAGCCTTGAGTTTGCTTAATAGCGTTGTCCCGAATTGTATACATCTGTTAATGTCATTTCCGTTTATTGAACAAAAGCTGCACGATCTCTGCTGTCGTTATAGTGTTGTAAGCTTCGTGACTGTAACCAGGGAGGTGTGAATCTTCCAAGTCGCATCGTAAACTTTCCAACTTCAGTAACGTATTAAGTGGGCATCGCCAATAAATTGCTGAAGATCCACCTTTGGAGCGTTTGGATATTCTGGTTTTGAGGACGCTTGTATTGTGATTCGGACTTTTAAATATAAACTAACTAACGAACAGCACTTTCAAGTGGCCCAACGATATGTATAAAGTATATCAGTATCACTCGCCAAACCGGTGTAGCCATGTTCGTTAGACCGAATATTTTAGTCTTAATAGGGATAAAACTGCTCTTACAAGGACTCTTCATGAAGAAGATGAGTTTTAGAGACATGTATGTCTATACCGGAATTAATCTGCTGACATCCAAATTGTTGGATACCAAAATACTATGTGATGACCGTTCTTAGTTTTTTTTTTGCGTTGTCTTAAGTTGTACTAAGCCATCACATTATTAGATATCCTTGTCTAAATAAAATGTGTGTGGTAAAAGATGATTACAATGAATCTATCTAAAACTGTCGCTTATAAGGGTAATTTATGTTTGGGTAATTTGGGCACATTTTTAATAAAGCTGATATCGCAATATTTTGGTGACACCTAAATCATTTTCGTGTCATTTACATACCTACGTATCCAAAGTGTGTGTGTGTAGTAATCAAATACAAGGTGCTTGGACCCTTTCCCCAGGAAGGAGGGTCAAAAAAACGTAATATGTTGTGCAATTGCAGACATAGAAACGGTTCTTTTTGAATACATTTATATTTCGTTTGCTAAAGATGATCAGTCGGTTAAATGCTGTAGAGGGTTTTACCAGAACCAACTATAGTCCCAGAAAATAATAAAAACAGTCAACTTTACTGTGCTGACTCAATTTCTTGTACCTTAGATACGCAGCATAAAATGTAATTAACGGATTTTTCGCAACCAATTAGAAGAAAATTGAACAATTTTCGATAAGCAAGCATTTTCTACTTTATATTTGTTGGACAGATAAGGGTTGGGCCTGGTCAGCCACTCGTACCAAAGACTTGTCTTGACATGGTAATCTCTGGTGGTTGTCAAAGCCTGCGATTTTCTTTGTTGTAAGCTTTAATTTGTAAGTTGCAGGATGCCAAAAAGTTTGAGGCTTGTTCCGGCCAGCTTGCTCGGTCATCGTGTTATGGTCGGTTTCGATATCGATAGGCAGGTTTAGTAGGCCAGTACTATGGTATGTTAGTGTCATCTATCGAGGGAAAATGGAAAATACGCAACGCCACCTGGTGGTTGAAATGACAGCCACAGGTGTAAGGAAGATAATTAAGAAAAGACGAAAACCCAATATTACACCAAATGTAAAACTAACATAAGTTAATAATGTAATGTATGTGTTGACAAAACAAAATGTTTAGAAATGTTCAGAAATATTGTTAAACTAATTGAAAGACTTAAGTATAAAAACGGGTGCAAATGCATAAATTAAAATAAAGTGAGGAACACGTAGACTGCTCGCCACCCTAACAGTCAACGCCAGCTGATCGATACTGACGGAAGTATATATGCCGAAGTCACATGCGTGTCTGCGAAGAAAAGGCACTAGGATCATTAGCAACGCAACAGATCAGGAGCGATGTAGATTTGCCTAGCGAGCTGAAGTCGGCCACAGCTATTGCCAGAGTTCAAGTGCAAAGGATCATTTACCCTATGAGTATTATTAACGAATGCTGACAACACGATGGGCCCGAACAAAAAGCACAGAGTGCACGAGATGGATGCGAGCCGAACGGACGAAAGACTTACAAGCGATGTGTAGGCTCAAGCATCCAGAAGATCCGATTAGTCTCACATGCTGGAACTGTCTGCAGCAAGGACATGCGTTCTGTAAGTAAGAATCAGCCGTACGCAACATCTGCTGTTACAAGTAATGTTGCGCAAATGTCCTAAACTCAAGCAGGAGTTCGACGCAAACGGAGGAGTCACGTTTTCAATTCAACAAAGAACACTCACAAGACAATACCTCCGATAGTAATTTTAAGAAAAGTATAGTAAGGTAACAAGTAAATTAAATAAAATACACAATAGCATTAGCCTACCGGAGGCAAAGTGGTCTCAGCGAATGCGTCTAGAGCGGAGACAGGCAGAATATGCTCAAGCGATAGCCCGGATATCTGAAAAACAAGATCAACGAGTAGGTGAACTGACCTCATGTAGAGTTGAGCGGGGCCGGGATTCCAGCGACGGAGAGTACGGCAAAACAGCTTGTGCATGGTGCGCAAGTGTTGCAGGCAGTTCGCAAAGGTGCTCATTTGTCGCAGGGTGCTCACTGGCTTATTAGACACAGGAAGTTGCCGATTAGTCAAAGAGCTGTGACTAGATTTTTAGAAAGCTTATTCTACGTTGCAGACAATTGGAGCATCTTTTCAACACATCATTCGAAGCATCCGGACCGCTACTACTATGATCACAACTGACATCAATCTTTTCTTGTGCCCCACGTTGAGTCAATTAGTTTATCTAGGTGTCGATGTCGAAAAGGATGAGACAGAAGGACAGCGAAATGGCAAATTTAACAAAATCGTCCATACAGTTAGTGTCAGCGGAATATATGGTTTTCCTACGTTTTCGAAATATAACCCACATGCGATCCGAAAAGGGTAAACCATACGAACCTAGCGCCTATAAGGAAATATGTTGGGAATGACAAAACACTTTGGGACGAGAGACTGCCAGAAATAGCTATACAACAGTATGAAAAGCCATACATTACAGTATAGGGCCTTCGCCATATTTTGTACTGCTTAAAAGCGGAAAAGATTGCAGACTTGCTCGTCAACCGATGCCGAAGCCCAACATCTATCTAGCCGAGACCAAGAACAAATCACACGTAAGAAAACCCAATAAAATTTTTAATTAGACAAAGCGCCAAAGAATTATAATTTATAACTTTGAAAATATAAAATACAACATAAAATTTATTAAATATACAACAAACCAAATAACAAATCATCAAACAGGAAGGAGGATCGCCGGAAACAGGAAACACCTACTTGTCTTCTGGATTGAGAGGAATATCGGAGAGTACCAACCCGATGATCTAGATCCGGAGCGCCACAAAATAGCCGTGAGTCCGCTCTATTAAGAAATATTGTTAAATGAAATGAAAGACTTGAATGTAAAAATGTATGCAAATTTTTATGAATTAAATGGTTGAAAATAAGACTGAAATGAAGTTTAAATATTTTGATTGGGTGAGATGAAGGTATAATGGGTGAGCGTAAATAAAATAATAATACAATATTAGTCAATTTGTCAAATCGAATACAAAGTGGAAAGCAAGGGACAAGGCTGTGAAGCACCCTAATAATGCAGAAGCGCTAGCCATCGATACTGAAATGATAATGTTTTTTTTTGTTTTTTTAAAGTAACAAAAATAAATGAAATGTTGCTCCGTTGCCTCATAACATATCGCCGTTAATATCCGGTATAGCAATATACTGGTGCAACCGATAGGTGAAATTGTCACCAATGAATTTGTCAAGAAGTCGACGAGCAAAATGGGCTCTTATTCCAAGCTCAGGTCTGTATTTTGTTTATTTTTATTTTTATTTATTTTACTAATCAGTTAGCCATAAAAAATACAAAAAATAACAAATTCTAATATTTAATTATTTGTTGTGTGGGCCGGGGAAAACGAAGCAGAACTTAATGAGACCAAAACTAAAAGTGACGAGAGTTAGCAAAGAATAGTTGAGAGGTCAAAGGCCAAACCATGGTTCTCAATCCGCATAGCTTCGAAATAAAGAAAAATAAATATATAAAGAGTAAAGGAACATTAAAAGCGAAAAGTACAAAAACAATAACAATAACGTCAAATTGCCAACTACAGCAACTACGTTAAAAGGCCTCGACAACAAATCAGCAGCATCGACAACACAACAACAACCAACAGGAGCACGCCATCAGAATTTCGCACCGAAATCTAAGTGAGTTCGTTCCACTTTGCTACTACCTAGCGCCACTTAGCAGACAATACATGGAATGATTGCGCTCAACTCTCACAGCTGATCGATCGGCTCTTTGCCTGCAAGCATCAGTGATGCGCAGCTACTGCTAGTGATGCCCAACGTATTCAGCTAAACAAATTGTGAATTCAAATAATTACTTAAAACCACAGAAAGGGCGGAAACGCTACGGCAATGACAGTGAAGACGTCGTTGGACGCCGAAAGATTTAATTTTTTTGTTCGAATGTTTATGATTGCCACTGTCCGTTAAATCAGCTGTTTTGTTAGTGATGTGTAGATTTGTGTAGTGTTGTGTTATTGTACGGATGCGGGCATTGGCAGGCCAACCATAACTAAGCACTAGCTGGCCTGCGCTGCGCCATTGAGACAAACCGATTCGTAACAACACTGACATATCGCAGATTAACTGCTCGAATTTGTCAAAATATGGTAAGAGAACATGAACATGGCTTGTATATGAATTGGTGTTATATGTGCATAATTCGGACAAAAGGACAAATAATTGATTTCGTTTAGTGCGGATAATGTAGGTGTGTTGGATTTTCGTGCCCTAAACGTAATAGATTTATTTTTGTCTGGATGTATCTGGAAATTTTCTCCAGTTTTAGGAGTTTGGTATATCAAATTTATTTTGCCCAAATTGATTTTGTGGTTGCTGTCTTTAATTATAATGGTTGTATGAATATTTTCCTTCTTTGTCGGTTATTCGTTTCTTTTTATATATTGATGTCTAGGAATCCATTGTAGTTTCATTTTAGGGTGGCTTAGTAGTGAACGTAAAGAGGACTCGTACAAGTTGTTACTACTGTTTTGAATAACTTCCAAAGCTGATAGCAAGTTGGAACATGTAAGGTATTTACCTCTTTTATTTTTAAAGAAGTTTATGGCTTCGTGTATGCCTATTTTCGGAAAAATCGCAAATTGCTTAGTTGGTGGCAAAGAAATTGTTATGATAATCTCTTGTTTGAAAATTAAGATAGCACAACATTTGAAACGATTTTTAATTCATACTCATCAATTCAATTTACAGCTTCATTTTCAAAATCTCTTTGAATAATGCCCAAAAAAAACTCCGATAGCCCCTCAACCCCGCTCCCAAACCAGTAGGTGGCTTGCCACTTATTATCAGCTGGTATTAAAATGATTTAAGATTATTGCACAGTTGGCTTGATCGACAGCAACGTTCTCACTTGTTTTTCTTTAAAGCCCTTGCAGTAATTGAATTGTAAGAATAATCATATATAAAATTAGAAATTTGCATCGATTGTTGACAATAAACAAAAACAATTGTGATTAAACTAGCATTTTTTAAACAGGTTTAATAAATGAAATCTATTTTATTTTAGGTGCCATCGATAGCAACAGTCGAGGCTCGACAAGTGCCAGTGCTGTCACGAATCACATTACACGAGACGATAGTTCATGCAGTGACGAGGGTACCGACAACCAATCAGTTCAATTTTATATAGGCAGGATTACACCTCCCATATCTATGCTAGCGACAGATCGATTTAGGCCACTAGAGGAAATCAAAGCTTGTAATCACGTTGGGCTGAGTAATGCAACATCAACCAATGATTCACCGACATGTTTGGAACAAAATATCTCGTCTATGACAACTCTAAGCAATAGGTAAAGTTGATCTTATTACCGTTTATAAAATTTCTAAGATATAAACCATCCAAAAATTAAAAAAAAGAAGAAAATCCACATGTAAGATCGGCAGCTGAATCAAAACAAAGAAATGACCACGTGGCAATCGGATCTAATCGCCTGCGTAATACTCGGACGCCAGTGTGCACTACTGGTCGGAATTGGCAATTTTTTGAATAAAATCCTAATTTTCATGGTAAAATATTTTAATTTCATATATAAACTCTTAAAGTATAGTCTCTAACTACATATAACCGAAAAAAATTAATTGTAGAGCAGATCTGGTTCTTATGAGGGTTGCAAAGTTGAATTATTGGTCAGCTGATTGTTCACAGAAAGCAGAAGCATTGGGAAATTACCAAAAATATATTAGTTTTGTGAAATGTCAGTCATGCGGTCTGACCGTCTGTCCGTCCGTGTGAGCGCAATTTAAGCTACAAGCTTAAAACTTGGAACATATACTCGCTTGCTTTAAAATTATGGTGCTACGATTTTTTTTTTTGGGGCTAGAAAATTGATATAATCCAAAATCACAAAATGACATGTTTCTACAATTTTAAAGCTAAAGTCACAAAATCTGGTAAGAATCTTATTGGCGAAATCCTTCAAAGATTAGCATTGCTCGTAAGTAACTCAAATTCGATTTCGAATAATCTTAATGGAATACATAAAGTAACGGAAGAATTCAAGGAAGATTTTTACTATTCAAATTTGATAAGCAAATTTAATTAACTTGTCAAAATTTATATTTAATATTTCCCACAATAGTTAGAACTAAAGGAAAGGCTTTAAGATAAAAGAGTAATTGACTTGAAAGACTTAATTGAAAAAATTGCTTGCAAAGTGAACAAATAGAGAATTAAATAACAAAACGGTAATTAATCAGTCCTATTTTGTTCATCATCATATACCCTTGATTATTGAGTCGGAATTCTTTGTTAATGTCGAGTACACATTTCCTTTTCGAGAAACACAGAATTTTGTTCTAAAATTCAAAAAGATAAAACTATATTGCAGAGCGTAGAAAATGTTGACCTTGCTTTTGGGAACAATAATATATTATTAATGAAAGACTATACACTCCGCTGAACGCTGAACGCTGCAGATGATTCATTTTTGAGTGCTGCGGAGGCGACGCTACCTGATTCCTTTATTGGCTTATGTGCCTTACTTATGCCGCGCAGCATACCTTATTTCATCGCATCCGAAACGGAGTGAGTGAATATAAGTTTTAATAAGTGCACAACAATAGAAATTTTGTTAAAATCGTTGGAAGGAGAATCGTTTGCATTAAATATTTTCTTGTAAGTAGCTATTGATATTAGTAAATATGTATGTATGTACATTTTGAATTTAGTGCATATTTGTAAATGTATGTATGAATACGAGTAGATTCTTAGTTGGACCTTGGTGAGCTGCTAGGGGCTTTGTATATTTGCCTGCAGTTTGCAGGCACTACTTGGCATACATGCATATACATTGTCATATGTACATATGTCTAATACTTAATCAATTTTGAAAACCAGATCTAAATTTCTCAATATTTAAGTTGGCAGCCATTGCGAGATGAACTGCCCAAAGAAAGTGTTGGACATGGCAGAGTGTTTTTTTGCACATCTTGAGAATTGGAGAAGGCAAGTGAGTATATACATATGTACATACATGCATATATGTATATGCATGTACACAAGACAAAAAATATCCTTCAATCATAACATTTCGTTGCGCAATTCGCTTTAAATTTTGTATTTACATACACACAACATGCATACTAAAAAAGGTTTGGTTTCTATGCGTTAATTTCTTTGAGTCGTTCATATATATTTACATACCTTTTTCTAGTGACCCTTTGCGGATTTTACCTTTTGTTTTTTTTTTTACTATGGTTCAATAATATTATTTCCTCCATTTTAAACCAATCATTTGAATTTAAACTGGTTTGTTATTTTATTGTTTTTATTTTTAATCGATACAAATTTTTAAAAATTTTATTTGAACAATTTTATTTCAGATTGATGCTGATTTCAGACGACCTTTCAAAACCAATGATTTTATTAAAAGGTGGGAGGAGTTTAAAATAAAAAGCCGCCCTTATTCGACGAAAATATTAAAAAGATCAAGAGCCTTTATTTAAATCGTTTGAAGATCAATCAAATGGTAAAATAAGTTTTATTTTAACCAAATTATCATTTATTCCAATAAATTAATTTTATTAATTTCAGATACAGAAGATTTATTAATAGTATTAATGATGCATGCTTTGTTGGTGCCGACCAGAAGAGCAAAAGATAATTTAATTGGCAAAGTACTTTTTAAGCATAGCTTTGAAAACTTACTTAAAAGCCCGGACTCTTTCAGAATCTATTAATAGTTAAATAACACAAATCAGTAATCCCATTAACATACACATCCTTTACAGCTTCTTTTTCTCTTGTATATGGTCAAGTTAGATATACGCGTACACGAATTAAAGATAATTTATACTATTTATACCATGTATGAAAAACACCAACTAACTTAATTATAGTACTAATTTTCTTAAGACAAATATTATTTTTAGATTTATTAGTACATTCAATGTAACATATCCTACGTGATGTAAGTATTGTATACCATTGTAAAACGAAAAAATGGTTTAAATTTTTTTAAATAAAAACCATGAAATTCCGATATATTATTTCTCTATTTTTTTAGAAAAAAATTCTTAATTTTCAAATTAAGTACCCCAAAGTATAGGAAAAAATATATATATATATTTATTTTAGAAAGAAATTTCTAAATTTTAATGAAAAAAAGAATCTGAAATTCAGAAATAATAATTCTGACAATTCTTTACCTTTCAAAACTGGTATCCCAATAGTCGTTCACCAAACTCGCTACGCTCTTAGTTTGGTGACTCTATATTTTAAACGTTGAAAGATGGCGGTTATATCGGCTTTAGATATATTGGCTTTGGTGATTATGGAGTATATTTTTTCGCCACTGATATAATACTAGCCTAATAACTGTAGATTTGAGTCATCAGATTTTGGCATGGCCAACGCCGATCTTTGAAGAACATCAACAACAATCTACCAATTAAATTTGGTGACGATAGATAGATGTGTAAATTTGGCAGATATGTGGCTTTATCGATTTGAAATACCCCTAGTCGTCTTAGTAACTTATTTTTAACACTTTGACGCAAACACAGCCAAGTATAGAGCATATACATATACATATACTGCTTAAAGTCTCTAGCATTAAAGGTGTAGAAAAATTATATTATTCAGTTTCCAAAACGGTTTTATTACAAGCGAGAACGATGCAGTCGGATGTAACCGACTGCGAAATACTCTGATACCATAAGTAATACCAGCCTATAACAGGTGCCACAGAACACGGTCGGTATAGCTAAGAAATACCTATCTTTAAAGGAGGTTCCCAGTATTCTACCCTCAACGTTTGGCTTTGAAATTGAGGTAGATATTGGGGAGTGGGTGTGGACAAAAAAATGTTGGAGGAGTTTCCTAGTAATCTACTCTCCAAGTTTGGTAACTGTTGAATTTTTTGGTATCATTTTGTTATTTTATTCATTTTCCGGAAAGGAAAATTGGAAGCAAATGCTTATGATTTGGTATGCTTTAAATTTCATTCGATTGGCATTAAACATATATTTTTTTTTAGCTCGGTCTTGTTTCTAATAATAATAAATTTTAAACTACATTTATGTTTTTTTGTGTACTTTTAAAATATCTTAGCATAGCTCAAGGAAGCAATATTGGTGGAATCGAGTGCTCTTGTTACCCACATGCACCTCCACGTAATAAAAAGCGTCCATCTTCGATGTCATCAGAGCTGATGCAGCACGAAGCGTCTCCATCAGCGAGTCTCTCAAATGTTGAATGCCCACCATTACCTCCACCTCGTAAATTTATCCAGAGGTTTGTTAACGGATGTTCTTGCACACTTTCTCATCTATATTCGCTAAAATGTAAATATCAGCACATTTTATATTCTGATATCGAAGGTATAAGAGCTTATTGATGTTGTGCAGTGTCCGTGATGCTGTCGGTCTGTCCGCAACAAATGAGAACTCTCTAGTCGAGCGGAATAATCCGATACCAGTATAGTATCAGCTGAGAATGAATCTTCCACACGTTTGCCTCGATCATTAATATTAATAATCATTAATTTGCCTTTTAAATTTGGTGACTCTAGCAACATTTGCTCACTTTTATAAGTGTGCTGCCGGAAATATACCTCTCAAATTTATTGACTCTAGCTTTCAAATTGTGTGAAATATATGGTTTTCTCAATTTACTTTATCAATTATATTTTTTGTCGCCAACAAGATACTTATTAAACTTGTTGCCCCTAGTATTAAAATTGTGCGAAATATGTGGTTTTATCAAATATTGAAATTATCGATAGCACCCCAGTAGATCAAACACAAAATTTAAAGCCTTTTTAGACGGGATTCACATACGAGTAGATTTTTCATGCATCAAGTCTCTAGAGGAAAGGATCTACTAACCCATTTGGGATGTAGATGATCGATTGATAATGCAGCAAAAGCCGAAGTTTATCTACACACATACGTATATATCTAGATCTAAAACAATTCACAGATGCATGCTACGCAACCTTTGGCCATATTGTTAGCCATAACTAAAATTATGTTTGTAAATAACTTTCTTCTAATTATTGCATTTTTTACATTTTCAGAACTCAGACGCAGAAACCAAAATAGACGTGTTTGTTAATAATTATATTGTAATTAATTTATTAAATTATAACTTGAATTTAGGTCAGAGATACCGAAAACTAAATCGTTTTTTTTTTTATACATTTTACATGGATTTTTACACTTTACCTATTAAAATGTTTAAATCAATGGAAGTTGTGCTAATGGATTTGATTGGGTAATAAATATGAACAGGTTTAACATTGTATACTTCTGTCTGCCTGCAAAATTGTAAATCTAACAAAAGATATCCAACATGAAAGATCTCCTTTCCGAAGGACTGAAGACTACCCTTGTATATTTGAGTTAAACTGCTGACCGGACCAATCTTCTTATAGCATCAAATTATATTCTTAATAAAGAAATCGAAAGGAGTCGATAAAATAACTAAGCCTACAAAAAGTAGACACGAATTATCGAAATAAAGATAAAATAATATATTTAAAAACCTAGTTAATAAGACATCAAATCGTAAGCGAAAAAAGCTGGAGAAGCTGCATCGGTTTTGGGTGACTGACCAATTTTGTATGGAAGTATTGGCGTGGCATACCCACCTTTGGCATCGCCAACAACCTTCAAACCAAATCTGGCGACAATAGTTTTTAGATTGTGGGAGAATAGGAATACCACCTCAGCGAGTCATAGCATTTCGTGTGAGGCAACTAATATGACACGGAGATAAAATTATTCGAATAAGTGCCTCTCGTAGGCGAAAAGATCTTAGTCATTAACATGGCAATGACCAAGTCGATGATCCAGAGTAGTGAAAGCAACCCGTATTCCCCAGGTATTCCTTAGCGGCCATCCAAGAGAAGAAGGCGACAAAGACAGAGTCCAGTTATGTCTTGGGATTCAGGTACTGAAATCCCCTTTCAGATGTTGACGAAACCTTGGCTGACTATAGCAGTATTCTAGCATCTCAGTAAACGGAGTGATATCTTGCCGAAAAAAAATATTCATGTTCACCCGCTATATAACGTAATACGTCAAGGATCAGTTTTATCAGTTGTACTGAAAACTATAAAAAAAATTGTGGTTTTTGGAAATAATTTCTAAATAAAAAAAATGAAAATTATAAATGTTTTTTGTGTTTTTTAGAATTGTTTTCAGTTATTAAGAAAATTATTTGTAACAATTTATTTTATGTACAAATTATATTATTAAGAAATAAATTTCCAATGAACACTCTTATTTTATAAGACAAATAAACAGATGTAGATGTGGAAGGACTTGTCAAAAGCGACTCGTTTATTGGTGCTGATCAAGAATATATATATACCTAATACGGTCGGAGAAGCTAGACTCTGTGTGTTACATACTTTTATACAACTTCATTATACAATTTTTCCCATATTTCATGGATGGAGAATATAAAAATTTCCCTTTTCGAATATATTTTACACATTTCACCAGGCATTTGGCTTAAGACAGAATTATGTCAGCAATTTAGTCCCGGTATTGGAAAAAAAGACAGTAAAACAGGCATGCTTAACTTTAAAAATATTATTTGTATATTTGATACGTTTTAAATTATATCCCAGTATTTTGTGACAATGTCATTTTGTGGCAGACCAAAATTTGCTGGACGATCGTAGCTCAACGCGAACTGCTTCATCATCTTTTTCACCTCGTCGTCAAAGATCTGGGAAGGAAGACATGTTTTTTTTTTATTAATATTGTAATTATTTTGTTTAAATAAACTTGTAAAACTCCTAAGATAATTATGATAATTATGCGAAATATATTTTATTTATTATTAATTTCCAGAATTTTTGTAAATTAGAATAAACGCTGAAAATGCAACGCTTTTCTTTTATATAACCTAGCAGCAGAAACCCAACCATTTTTCCCTATACTTACATCACACTCCTTGATTTCAAGCAGCGGGCCAAGATCAAACTCGAATACAGGCAAACTTTTGGATATGAAGCGTGCAGCATTGGCCACTTCGGGCACCGCATGCTTTTGCAGCAGTAACATCTCCCAGAGGGAACTGTTAAGGGCCCCAGTTTTGACCGGGTCCAACTCGCGTTCATCGTAGGGATCCGAAATTTCCACAGCTGCAATCATCAATCATCAAAAATGAAATAGTTTAATTGCAGGAAAAGATTGCCATACAATGTCACCTACCACTTGCTGCATCCGTTGCGCAAATAAGACGTTGCAAGCCCGTGTGCCGCAGCAATAGGTTACACACGAAACGTATCAATATAATCGCATCCTCTGTAGGACTCTTCAGAGCAAGTCGGGCCAATCGCTTGACAAAGGCGGCCACCAGATTTTCGGGTAAATGCGTCGATGTCAAAAATATGTCGGCCAAATAAAAAAGCCGAGCCTTGTACTTGTTGTAGAACATCCGGGGATAGAACATGTTGTAGAGCTTCTGATACACATCCGGGTATGTAATATTCTGCTCTTGCATCAGCTTAAAAATGCCTTGCAAAGCAAGCAAAGCGACTGGTCCATCTGCGCAAACAGAAAGAAATTAGTAACTGTACAGATAATGCAAATCTATATAGAATATATATATGTGAATCTATCACTTACCGAACTGATGTAGTGAATTCATTAAGAAATCAGTCAACAATATGGGCTCGTCCAAGTGGGGGAATATTCGTTCCAAGAGCACGACAAGCACCTGACGATGCACCTTCTCATCCAGATCGCTGCATCTGGCAATAATGCCATTCCACACACTGTTCAAATGTTTGCGCGTCTCTTCGTATTCAAAATTTCGATTTGGGTTTGTCTCGGTGAGATGATACTTGTTAGCACTTAGAACCGTTTTGCTCAAGTCCAGCGAATTGATGATGGCCAAATAGTTTAGTGCCTCATTTGGCGAGTCAACGAAACTGACTGGCGCCAATTCAGGTAGCACTTGATAGGCCAACTGCAGTATGTCCAGGCAACGGGCATATTTCTCAAAGGCCACCAGAGCAGCTGGCGGTGTCGTCTCCGATGTGATAATCGATTGCAACATGATACGAAGCCGTTCATGGGGCTGGGCATTAAGCTTGGCATACTTTGATTCGGCTAATATGAATTGCATGCACACATTTAGTGCAACGGCAGACACATCCTTCGCCGAACTGGCCAAGTGGATTAGCAATTTGGACCACTCGTCATTGTAGTACTTTAGAAATAGACCATTTGGTTTGTTTTCTTTTGCCATCTGTTTTAGTTTAGCTTTTGTTTTTGCATTTGGTTTTGGGTTTGGTTTGATCTGGTCTGTGTCGGAACCATAGATGCATTTGCGCTTGAGCAGATTCTTGAAGATCACTTCGGTCACATACATCTCGCCAATTGCACTCACATTCAATTTGGTCTACAAATATTATAATTAATATACATCTATGTATGTATTTTGATGATGATAAACTGCCAATAAACTTACAAAGAGATTAATAATATGCTGCAGCACTTTTACATCGACATCGACATTTAGAAATGCATTCACTTGCTTCTGTAGCTCTGGTGGCGAGCTCGTACGCTTTGCAGGAGCCATCTCTGCCTCTGGCTCCTGTGGACGTGCTAATCTTTTAACTAGAAGCGAGTGTCGCATTGTAAACAATATTGGCGAGCTATCAAAATGAAACATGCGGTGTGCAAGTGTGCCAATGCTGCCAACTTGCTGAAAGATTTCACACGCGTTTGGCCAAAATTAGTACATTATTGCAAAATACATTCTGCTTGCTAACATGTGTGACAAGCGTTTAAACATCAATTTCGAACAATTTGTTTGTAGTTTGTAAAATGCTCAAAATGAATGTAAGTGATTTTAAGCCCGTGCTAACACGCGCCGCGCTTGCGCTGAAGAAAACCGCAGACTGCGCCGAATTTACGGCACTCGTCTTCCAGGAAGCGCCAGCGAAAACAAATACGGTGGAAAAAGAAACTGGCAAAACAACGAAGGATAACAAATCGCTGTCAAGCGGCGAGACAGATAACGAGTTCAATATGAAGAGGGCACGCAATGAAGTGCTCAACTTTGCTATGGCCAATCAGCGCACAATCAAAAACAAACGCAAAATGGAAATCGTTCAGCTGATCAAACTTGGCGCCAAAGCTCCAAAGAAGCCGTATCGGAACTACAAGGAACTGAAAGAGGAGCGGAAACGGCTCAAGGACAATCGCGAGGAGCGCAAGAAGTTCCATCAATTGGGCAAAAATCAAACGGGCGCAGCGAGTGTCAAATGCAACCAGAGCCAATCGCATCGCAATCATGCACAAAAGAAACGTGCTCCAGTTGCGAACATCAGTCAGCATTATGGCAAGGCGCAGCCAAAATTTAAAAAGCGAAATAAAAATTGATATCTTAAATTTTATTGTTCTTATTATCAAATTCGTTAGAAACAAATAGATGCTTGGCACATTTGTAATTGGTATGATCGTGTGTTTAAATTGTATAAACAAAAGAAATGGGATAAACGTTCAATCGGTTTTTTTTTCGATTGGTTGTATTCGGCTTGCTATAAATAAAATCGAAATAATAGAATTGTACAATTGTTGATTTCGAATGAACAAATGGCAGCCCCACGACCCACTTGATGGTGTTGCCAATCTACTCGATATCATCTGTTTTTGTTGTTGCTTCTGTTATATTCTATTTTTTTCGCTTTCAGTCGTGCGATTACGTGAATTCAGTTTGAAGTAAGAGTTGTTTTAGTAATATTGTCATCAAAAATGAATGCAGCCCAACGCGCCGCCCTCAACCAGTTACTGCGTCGTGCTTACAGCCAAGCACAAAAAGGCCCAGCTGCTGCAAAATCCACAGTTAGCAGCAAAGCCGCCGCCTCCGCCACCACTCCCGTTAGCAATGTAACGGGTCTGAGCAGTGCCTGTGTGAAGCCGACATCAGCACCAGTTGGTCCCGGTGCTTCAGCAAGCAGCGCCTACAAAGTACCGGAATATTTCAGTTTCAACCGATTCAGTTTCTCTGAGGCCGAAGTGGAACTGGCCCAGTTCCGTTGCCCACAGCCATCGGCGTTGAAGAAGTAGTTGTGTTGAATAATGTGTAGTTAATGTGCGACCAGCCAAACAAATGAGAAATGTAATTAATAAAATACATATATAATAAACGATGATACCAAAATACATATTTACATATACATCTGTACATACATGTAGAGCATTACCATATACGTACACACACATATATGTGCATCTGTGTTTGGACATGCCATATGTGGCATGCCAACTTGCTAACCAAAGTTAGCAGCACGACACCACAGGCTGCTCAGGTTAGCAGCCCTATGTTTTCCACTTTTTTTTTTCACTCGCTCTCTCTTTTCACTTCTATTTCTCTTCATAATTTCATAGCGAGTGGCAGTACTCTAGGTAATCGACATCGAAAATATTGAGCGCGGGAAGTGATATTACCTCAGTTTCCACAACCCAATTTGTCTTTGCAAAGCAAAACCAAGTAAAAATTAATTAATTGTGTTCCATTTGTGTTGCAAATAATTCGAACAGGCCAAAAAAAAACAAGAAGATAATAACAAACGATACGATTAGTTGCAAGGCGCAAGCCACGGGGTAGCAGTTTGTGTTTGTGCGTGTATGTGTGGTACAGTTGGGTAGAAAAACATTGCTGGCCTGGCAGCGCCGCACAAATTGATGAGTTCCACAGCAGAGGTAAAGGCAACGCAAGCGAACCAAAGAACCGAACAACTCTCAACAAAACAAGGTTGCATTTTGTTATTGCTGCTTACACTGCTTACGAGTACAACAGGCATAATAATTAAAACAGCAAATCAGTGCAAAATTAAATGAATGGCGTTGCCAATTTGCTGATATTATTCGCAAACAGGGACGTATCTTAAAACGCAATCGAACCAAGTGCAGTGAAAGTGTGCAAAACATAATTCACAAAGAAGTTTATAAAAAGCAAAAACCTGAAAATGTAAAATGTAAGTGCAACAACCGTGATTAAATACACAACCCCATTAAAAAATATTTACAATTTTCTTTTTAAGAGATAATTAAACATATGCATCACATTCTGTACATGCATTTAGTTACACACATATGTATATATATATATATATATATATATATATATATATATGTACACATATATAAATATCTATATATTAACATTAAATATATGTACGCGTATGTACACATACAACTGGCGCGCAAAAATCAGCGTATTTGTTAATAGAGCACCAAAAATGACAAAAATGGGCGCCAGAGTTGTCGCACAATCAGAATAGCGAGGAGTTCGTGAAGCGGCTTATCGTCACGAAATGAACACGAACCTACTTGAATAATGTACACCCAATACTCAATAATAATTATCAAATTTCAACTTCATCATAATAAAACCTATGAAAATAATTATATATCTAAATACAATTTTATATAAATATAAAGGAAGTTCCTTCGCATTTAAAGTCATTTCAACGTATTCACACTCACGGAGCGTATATAGACGTCCATCTCTTATTGAAAAGCCCGTGTTGCCACTACGCCATATTTTCAATTTTGTTTTGTTTTGTATACTTTGCGATACTACTACAAAAAAAAAGTGTAAACATTATTATTCTTAACTAATTACAGTGCACATATGAAAGATGCCAGCTGGAAAAAAAGCGGAAGCTGTGGAAGGAAAGACTCGACCGTGCATAGTATACGTTAAAAATTTAAAGGAATCTGAGACCACCGAAAGAATCAACACGGCAAAACACATGAAAGCAGCGCGCATCACTGCACCCAAAATTGCGTCCACTAGGCGAACACAAAACGATAAGGAACATCAGCTGGAGCAGCAGCGGCTGGACCTCAAACTGAAGCTGGAACGTGAGACAACGCGAGCGACGACGCGTCTCACACGCCGAGCCACTACTATTTCAGACGTCCAACGTTTGCCGCCGGCGCACAATAAACAGCAGCAGCAGAACAATAACAACAACAACAGCAGCATCGTCGTCACTACTCCAATTGCGACACGCACTCGCAACGCAAAAGGCGACAACAATCCTCCCCCCTCCACAGTATCAAAGTCAACACAGCAGCAGCAACAGGCCAAAATTGTGGCGGAAACTCCTCCATTGAATAAGCGTCGCAATACAGCGTTAATCGTGCCAGAGACAAGGACGTGCAATACAACGTTTATCAAGCGGCGACAACAGGACATCAACGTTACTGAACCGGCGACAAAGTCCAAAATGTACAAACAGTTGAAAGCAGTGGCAACAACAACTCCTGCTGCTGCAACGCCGCCACCAACAATTGCGGCAAGTCGATCGCGTCGCTCGATCAAACCGAATCCGAAATACGCCAGCGATGATATGGTCACGCCCAAGTATGTGGCCGCCTTGTCACAGGAGAGTTCCAACAAGCGGACAGTGAAACATCTATTCGCCGATGATGATGAGGACGACGATAATGATAATGACGACGATGAGGATGAGGATATGCGTGACCTAATCGAGGAGGATAACGATGATGAGCTCAACGATGTGGCATTCAATCCACAACTGCACAAGTCCGAAGACGATGATGACATCAGCGATAATGAGTTTGAGCAGCAGCTAATACGTGAAAAGGTGCCACCAAAACGTGGACGTGGTCGTCCACCAAAATCGGCAAATGCTGCACTCACCAGCGGTGCATCTAACGCATCCCAGGCGAGAAATGCTCAAGCCACCGGACGTGGCGTCAATCAAACGGGACGTGGTGGTGGTGCTGCTGGTGTTGGCATTACACATTTGCAACAGATGCGTCGCAACATGAACATGGCAGGAGCAGCCGCTGGCAGTCCGGCACGCTCCTCCGCCGCCGCTCACATTAAGGTAATGCCAACTGTGGGCAGCAAGCGTAAGCTCGATGATGCCAACGATGCGGTCATTGCACGCAAACGCGTCGCCAGCATTGCTGTTACTCGCTCCATAGCGCCCAGCATCAATGGCCAAGGGGCCAAAACAACAACAACTGGTCTGACCAAACCGAAGATGACGGTGGGCGGCAACAGCAATAGCAGCACGGGTGGATTGCGCATACAGCAGACGACAGCAGGTGCTGGCAAGGAGCGTCAGACGTCGCATTATAAGCAACAGTATACACAACTGATTCGGCGTTCGCCGGACGCAGTGGGTCGATCGTCGGGCTCCGCCGCCAATGCCCTCAAAATGCAAAAGGCAAATGAGAGTGATGATGTGCCCACTTTCACAATTGTCAATATTGAGGACATTATCAATCAGGTCGATGTGCAAATTTCGCGATCCTCCTCCGCAACCAACAACAATACCAACAAGACGAAGAAAATGGTGCAGTCAGCTGCACGCAACAACAACAACAACAGCAGCAGCAGCAGCTCACGCAAGAATCAATCCTCCCAGCAGCAATCTACGCACACAACAGCAATAGGTAGCCGGAATAGCAATACCATGCAGAGTAATAATTTAACAACAAATCGAAGATCAACAAAAGCGGCATCAACAGCAGCAAACGCAACAGCAGCAGCAGCAACAACAGCAACATCATCATCATTATCAACAGGAGGAGGAGGTGGTGGGGCTACAAAGCAACAATTGTTGGTTAATCATCATCGCAGCAAGCAGACGCCACTGATGGTTGCCGTGGGTCAAACAAAGCCACGCCCACGCATCTTAAATGCCGAAATTGGCAAGAAAATGCAACCGATGACAAAGCCACTGATGAGCATGGGCAAGGAGTTGTGCCCGGCAACCGATGGCAATGATAGCGACGACGACGACGACGATGATGATGATGCAGATGATGATGATGATGAGCAGGAGGATATTAACAATGAACTGGCCGAGGATGACATAACCATATCACCACCAAAACAAGCACCACAACAACAATCATCGAGCACAACTCAGACGCGGATGGTGCGTCGTGTGCAGAATACAAAATTGTTGACCAATCGCCGGAATGTGTTGTCGGCTGCAACAACAATGAATGCCAGCAATAATCAAAGGCAACACCAACAGCAGGAGCAGCAACATCACCAGCGACAGCAACAACAGCAACATAAACAACAACAACAGCAAAAGGAGCTTAGTACGGAACGTAAACTGACCAAGCTGTTGGGCGATAACAGCGATGATGATGTCTTTAAGAAGCCGGCGAGTTTGTCCAGCTCAATGTCGCAGCAGCAACAGCGTCGGTACAAGGAGAATGCCGGCGAGGATGCAGCAGCCGCAGCAGCAGCAGGAGCAACATCGGCTGCAACATCATCGGCCGCTGAGCCCGTCACCGCCGCCGCCGCTGCTGTGTCGAAAAATTCGAAATATTTTCCACCCGAGACAATTACATACTGTAAGGAGGATGGACGCATTGTGAAGAAGATAACATGCTATGAGACCTGGCATGTGATTGGCACACCCAAAGAGTCAGCAAATAAGTCACGCCAGCAAAGCACCTGCCTCGATCTGCCGCTGGTTAGACTGGCCAATTTTGCGCCACGCATCAAGGTGCCATCGACGAAATGGACGAGTAAAGTGACACTATATAAGCTGCCACAATCGCTGATACAGCGCCAACCAACGATGGCCACATTCACCGGTGATCTAAAGACCTTTAATATACCCGAAGAGGAGCGACACAAATATCAGCCCTCGTGTGTACTCTTCCGTCGATCCGTGATCGATCGCACCAAATGCCGTGTGCCCTTCGATCGTGCCATCATATTCAAGAACAAATGCTTCTACACAAACATTGAGGGCAAGCATGTCAATCTGTTGGGTGCACCCGAGGTGGTCAACACTGTCAAGGATGTTGAGTTGCTCATCGATATCGTTGATTCCCTCTCGCTGGCCAGCGATCTCGTTGAAGTCGTCCCCTCCAATTAGGCCAACGGTTCACTTCTCCTCGAGGTTGGATGTGTCGGCTTTTTTTTTCTTATGGGGAGATTGTGGTTGTGGATGCAATGTGTGACGATTATACATATATATTGAACACACACATACATGAGTGCATGTTTGTCTGAACCGGGACACACATACATATAATACATAATTAATACAAACGTATATATATGTGTATATATATATATATTTTAAATTATACATATACAATTGTAATAAATTTTTTTTTTTTTATTCGATTTAAATTAGTTGTAATAGTTACTTTAGCATAATAGATACCTTTAGCTTTTCGTTATATCTACATACATATAAATAATAATAATATAAATAAAATTAAAAAAAAAAAAAAGGAAAAACAAAAAACAACACAGACTTGTAAAGATTGAAATAATGTAAACTTCACTAAATCCAATACAGGCCCGATTCCCGCTATAGATATATATAGAACGCTATTATTTTGGGAAATACTAAGCATGCCGCTCGGACGAACGACTCAGTGTGAAATCTATAGTTTTAACAAATAATTTTACAATATCGATTGTATGTAGACATATTTCATATTTTGAGAGACAAAAAAAAAAAACAAAATCACTTTTTTAAATTGCAATTACTGTATGTAACAAGATAAATTATACTTTTATTTCTATGTAAATCGATTGAAAATTTGTAAACAATTAACATTTAATACATTTTATTTGTATGTAAGCTATTATGAAAGATGTAATCAATAAAATGATTGAATTTTATTACTTTGTAAACTATCAAAATATTATCAGTGGTTGGGCCAGAAAGAAAATTTCGTAATCTATTTCTACGATTTTCGTAACAGTCTGTACAAAAGAGTTTTAGCCAGTGTTGTTCATACATATTTCAAAAGTTCAAAAAGAAAATGAAGTACCAGAACACGTTAGGTTTTTGTGTCACTTTAAATATCAATGTTTATATGCATTTGTTGCACAAACTAACGTCATCGATTAACGTTTTAAAGTTGTAGGATATACAAATATTTCATAGAATTGTCGTTCGACAAATAATTTTCAAATATTCATTTTATTCTATGCCTTGGAGCACAAACCTAAGATAGCATCTAAAACCAATCGCCCTAAATCAGTGTATCCATATTTTAATCAGATAAATATTCAAGTTAAACATTGAACTTGAACGGCAGTTCATTGTATACTTATTGTACCTCTATATTCAGTAAAAAATAATTTTATTAGCAAATGTATGTACACACTTATTGTATAGATATTTACGTGAAGTAATTATCGATTCATGTGTAGAAATTGCATGACAAGCATCGATATACACTATGAGTAGAGAACAAGGAAATAAATTGGTGCATCACAGTTATCTTTCACAACAAGATATGGCATTTTACGAAATATTTTGCAAAGAAATTGTCATTGTTGATTAATTTGCGTAACTTTGTCCATCTGAGTATTTTTAATGCAAATGCATATCGATAACTATCGTATGGAGTGTGATTTTGTCTTTTGTGTTTGCTGAGCGTTGCAGCATCCCTGGTTCGATACGCGTATCGATATCAGTCTAGCGCTGTCAATTATTTACCTATATATATATATTTTGTCTCCCAAAACTATAATTATAAACGCCCAAAAAAAAAAAACAATTGTACACGATATTTGCAAAGTGTACGGAAAAACGCGTGCAAATGCTAAGAAAGCATTAATGAGCTGCAATAGAAAAAGCAGTGCAAGGCCAAAGGAGGAGGAGGAGCTGCCCGCTGCGGCTCCATTGACAACCCAACCCAAAAAAGCATAAGCGAGAGCAGAAAAGAGGCAAAAAAAAGGGAAAAACGAAAAAAAAGGGAAAAACTAGAAAAATAGTCGTGTGTGTGTAACGAAAAGTGTCGGCTATAAATACATACATATATTTAAAGCACATTAGTTGATGCACACACAGACACACACACACACACACACGTATATATTGAAATACATATATATAAATCATAATTATTAGAACGTTTCATACGAATTTAATAAGCAACAGTAGCAGCAGCAGCCGCAATGGATACAGAGAGACCAAATGGCCAAGAGACGAAAGTCATTTATCATATTGACGATGAGAGCACACCGTATTTGGTTAAAATACCAATACCGTCCGCTCAGGTCACGCTCAAAGATTTCAAATTGGTGCTCAACAAACAGAACAACAATTACAAATACTTTTTCAAGTCGATGGACGCCGATTTTGGTGTGGTCAAAGAGGAGATTGCCGACGATGCGACAATATTGCCATGTTTCAATGGACGCGTCGTCTCATGGCTTGTCTCCGCCGATGGCACCAATCAGTCCGACAATTGCTCCGAGCTGCCACCGAGCGAATGCGAGATGCGTGTTCGTAATCATTTAGCACTCCAGCAGCAGCATCAACATCAACAACAACACCAGCAGCAGCAACATCAACAGCAGCAGCAACAACATCAACAGCAGCAGCAACAACATCAACAGCAGCAGCAACAGCAGCAGCAGCATAAGCTTGGACCATTGCAAATGTTGCAACCGCCGCCACTCACATATCAATCGGCCTCGGTGCTATCTAGCGATCTGGACTCGACGAGCCTCTTTGGTACGGAATCGGAGCTAACATTGGATCGCGATATGACAGACTATAGCAGCGTGCAACGGTTGCAGGTGCGCAAGAAGCCGCAGCGACGCAAAAAGCGAGCGCCCAGCATGTCACGCACATCGTCATATAGCTCGATAACCGATTCGACCATGTCACTGAACATTATAACCGTCTCCATCAATATGGAGGCTGTCAATTTTCTGGGCATATCGATTGTTGGCCAATCGAATCGTGGCGGCGACGGCGGCATCTATGTGGGCAGCATTATGAAGGGCGGCGCTGTTGCGCTCGATGGTCGCATCGAGCCGGGCGACATGATTCTGCAGGTGAATGATGTGAATTTCGAGAATATGACCAATGATGAGGCGGTCCGTGTACTTCGTGAGGTTGTACAGAAGCCGGGGCCCATTAAGCTCGTCGTTGCGAAATGTTGGGATCCAAATCCGAAGGGTTATTTCACCATTCCGCGAACGGAGCCGGTGCGTCCAATTGATCCGGGCGCATGGGTGGCGCACACACAGGCGCTAACCTCGCACGACAGTATTATGGCGGATATACCGGAGCCAATCAAGGAGCGGCTCGATCAAAACAATCTCGAGGAGATTGTCAAGGCAATGACAAAGCCGGATAGCGGACTCGAGATACGTGATCGCATGTGGCTAAAAATCACCATACCAAATGCATTCATTGGCGCCGATGCTGTCAATTGGGTGCTAGAGAATGTCGAAGATGTGCAGGATCGGCGCGAGGCACGTCGCATTGTATCGGCAATGTTGCGCAGCAATTATATTAAGCATACGGTCAATAAGTTGACATTCTCCGAGCAGTGCTACTATGTGGTGAATGAGGAGCGCAATCCGAATTTGCGTGGCCAGATGCATCCGCTTGGGCATGGGCATGGGCACGCGTTGAGCCATGCGGATACGGAGAGCATTACCAGCGATATTGGGCCATTGCCAAATCCGCCGATCTATATGCCATACTCGGCCACGTACAATCCAAGTCACGGCTATCAGCCGATACAGTACGGCATCGCCGAGCGACACATCTCGTCCGGTTCGAGCAGCTCCGATGTGCTCACCAGCAAGGATATCTCTGCATCGCAATCCGACATCACCTCTGTCATCCATCAGACCAATCAGCTAACAATCGCTGCGCATGGCTCCAACAAATCCTCGGGCTCATCAAATCGAGGCGGCGGCGGTGGTGGTGGTGGCGGCGGCGGCAACAACACCAACGATCAGGATGTATCCGTATTTAATTACGTATTGTAGAAATATTTTTTGCAATGAAATTGTGTATGTTTATTATTAATTAATATAATTATTCTTTTTATACATATACGAGTATACAACAAACAACAAACAAACAAACAACAAACAAAAACAAACAATATAATATGTATGTATATTTATAAGATGATCATAATGATAACGATGATGCATATGATGATAATGTTGATGCAGATACGCTGAAGATTAGCGCGAATTGCGTTTGTGTCTGCAGACAAAATGAGAGAGAATGTTGCATGGTGGATGTAAGGATGTAAGCCAGTAAAAATGAGTATAAGAATGAGATGATAATTTTGAATAAAGTTCTAAGAATTTAGTAATCAAAAAAAAAATAAACAAACAACAAAAAAAATATAATAAAAATAAATTATTCTTGTCAACTTTTAATATATTATTGTAATGGGCCTCAAAATTGGAGTTCCTTGTTCACATTTCTTTTGCCTTTTTTTCGACTCTTTCAATAGTTGCAACTATTCGAACTCACATCACATTTCAAAGTTGAAGATTATGATATAAAATCCAGTATAATTTATGAATAACTCACCTAGATTCTGAGATCTAAATCTGAGCAGTTTGTGATTTTCCCTATGTAAGCATTGTATAAATTTGAATTTCGAAAATCTTGCTACTACTCACTGGACTGCAACGTATTTTATTCATTTTTGATCCAGCTATTATCTGTCTCAGAATCATTTTGCATTAGCAAAGATATATTAAAAAAAAAATGAATATTTCATTTGTCAATATAATTCCAACTATCTGTACTTAAAGTGAATGCTACGAATAATTGATTGAACTTTAAAACTTTCTTTGAGTCATTATAGAAATGTCAACGAATGTGGCACAATATATATATAATATATATTTATATCACATTTCTGATAGATAAGAACTGCTGACTAACAACAACTGGTACAAGTATACTAGAAATGTTTATGCTTCACTTTCAAACTGACCGCCCAATGTGTTACTTTCCAGCACTAGACGCTTAATAGAGACCGATAAGTGTGCAGTTATCGAATTTAGAATTGCAAGTGTGCATCGAAATCACAGTAAACAAACAATCCACGCTTGTGGGGAAGCATCACAACAACTGGTAATACACCGAAAGAAATTACAAATCAGCTACGGTAGGCACACCATAAATACCGATCGATTAAGGGGTATCAACGCTAAGTCCAAGCCAAATATGTCAGCAGAGGTGGAGACTGTCACAGCGGCTGATAAATTTGCAGCGAACGCTGAGGAATTGGAAAACTATTATTTAATGCTTGAATCTGGCAATATACCAGAACTGCAATGGCAATTCCCTGGAAGACGACCGCTCTCCCCAGACGCCAATGCCGGTGGTAACCACAAGGAGTTGGAAGCCGCCACCGAGGCCGTCGAGCAAGAGTGAGTAACTCTCAACTCACAATGGAAACAGTCAAATTTATTTAAACACAATTTCAAATATTCTACGAATCGCAGGCCACAAAAGGCAAACGATTTCGATTTCAGTGACGATGTGGCACCCACTCAAATGCGCGTTCGAAGCCAAACCTCGACGCCAAAATCGGCCAAGAAAAAGACGGCAAACTTTGCTGGCGTTATGGAGACACTGAAAAAGAAGAAAACTGAGGGCTCATAGTGGAGGTGGCCGCGACCCTAATTTATTTGTTTTTGCCGTTCCGACAAATCACGAAGATTTCAGATTGGTCCTCTTGCCAGGGCAAGCTCAACTTATATTGCCAATTATAATATACTTAATGTTTTTGTTTTCAAAAACCTTTCGCTTCTGGCAGATGGCAGATGGATTATTCAAAATGTTCTTCGAAACTTACCGTTTTTGTTTTTATAATATGATTTTACTTCTTCTTCGGTGCACTTGTAGCGTTTCCTTATAAGATTTTGAGATTTTCTGTATATAGATTTGCAATATGCAATTTTAACTTTTAAATGGTGACAAAAAAATGACAATAGTTTTTAAAAATGTGTAATCAATGTCAACTAATTTTGTAGTATATGTTTTCCCTGTATATTTCTAAAATCCAAAAATATACCACTTAATATCATATAGATGAAGTTGTGTATTTTTGCATGCTGCTTGAGAGATTATATTTGAATCATGATAATTAAGATAATTGTTAAATTATGCAAAATGTTGTATTTAGAATTTATGTATGCACTTTATAATTCTGTGCATTAAGTAAATAAATATATCAAGCAATCGTATAACAAATAAGTTTTTTAATTACTTGCTAGAATCACATATACAACCGAATTATTCCAATTATTGAAACACTTGAAGCACTTAACTGCATGATATTTTGTAACCTATTCAACCGATCAAATTTGATTAACGTTTGACAAATGCATTTTAAGCAATTTACGAATTAGACAAGAAAGCAAAATACATAGACAAATGTTTATTAGATTGATTTCCTTTGCAACATTTTTTATGGCCATCTCTTTTTAATATGATGTCTCTGTCTTTGTCGTTGATCGTAAACGAGACGTGTAAATATAACTATAATAAAAGGATACGTCGCGGTGCAGCTTCCCCAATAATAATAATAACTATAACTATACACGGGCAGTATATAAATTTAATGTATGAATACCGATGAAAATTCATACATTTAATGCACATATTTTTTTCGCTCAACGAATTACTTGTATATTTACATTATTATGCTAGATTAGAGCATACAAGAGTTTTGTTTAAATTGACTATAAATTGGTAATATCTTGTTTCAATCGGCATTATTTTTGTTTTAGCAAGGCAGGAATTCAATAGGCTGGTTGTTCTTTTGATGTTATTTCCATTTGAGTTGTGTTCTCTACAATGTAGTCAATTTTGAATACTTTTTTACTATTAATATCTATCTATCTATTAAATATGAAACCAAAAGTTCTTAACTCCTTACCGCTTTCTATTGGATCATATTTGATTTGAATTATTTGCCGTGTTTTTCACAAATCTGTATCAACTTTTGTATTACTCATATTTAGATGTCAACAAGAAGAGGGCCAATGTCAATTGAAGTTAACTTGAAAGTAAACAGTTTGTTATATCAAATTTTGTTGAATATTTTTGGGAATCTGTAAGAAAGAGTACAGCTGACAGGGGAAAGCCTTGACTAATTCCATTAGTTAGATATGAGTGTTGCCCTATTCTGGGACATTTCTAAAGGAATCGTGTATTTATTTTACTGGGACTTATTTGTTGTTTTTTGCTGTATATCATTTCCAAGGTTTGGGGCAATGGGTGGCGTTTTTCATACATATTTCGGACAGTCTTGAAATCGGTTTTCTACATGGTTTCTATAGTCAAAAATTATTTATGTTATTAGTTTGATATTTAAGCTGGTGACAGCTAGTAAAAATATTCATTGAAATTTTGTATATGTTTGTAAATTATTTTTGTTTTATTATTGATTTAAAATGGCATATATAAAGCATAATTGAATTAAAGTGTAATATAAAATGTCAATTTAATTCTTTTACATAATATACATATACATTAGCATTACAACTATAGTTTTCGTTTCAGCTTTACATAAAAACGATTAATTGATTCGCTTGATTAGGATTCAGCATATATACGTAAGTGCCTGCGCATCGTCGTGCATGATTCACATGTATTCACATTTTGAATAACAAACATACTATATACATACATATATATCAAGGCTAAGCAATATTCAACAATGTTGTCTAAAAGTTATAACAAACTAAAAAGAGATTTTAAGGAGGATCTGATTGCGATTCGTTAAAGCAATTGAACATATTCAAATATATATATATATATATACATATATTATTATAAAAGTGAAATTTCGATAGTGATTTAGGCAGAGGAGGGTTGCGAGAGAGAGAGAGAGAGAGGGGGGGAAAGGATCTAGATAAGTCAGTTTAATTCCAAGCGATACCTGGTTGCGTTTAAAACGTATGTGTATTAGTTAGTGGCTAAGATATAAAGAATAACAACTTAAAATAATAAAACATCAACAATGCAATTCTTCTGTTGCTGTCATCTTTACCCGACCTGCCTAAAAAAAATGACCAATTTGTGTTTTTGGTCTTGGTGTTTTATGTGCTCGCTTTCTAATTTCGCCATTAATGTTGCGTTTCACTGATACTGCTGCTGCTGCTAAATGCGATTAGTCAAATATTATTCATATAATTCATCGTCGCACGATATGCTCCTGTTTAGCAACTGTGGCATTTGTTGCTGCAGCTGTTGCTGCTGCTGTTGTTGTTGTGAACTTCCCGCAGTAACAGCAACATTATCTCCCATCTCTCGTGTTATGATTTGTATAATTTGTTGAAATGTTGGACGAGATTTGGGCGTTTCATGGAAACAGGGTCGCATAAGGTCGTTGTATACAAAGTCTGAGCATAATTCCGGCTTTGGTAATCTACAAGCAAATTAAGCAAATCGATTAGGGTCGAGCAGTCGAATACAAATAATATTATATTTAGTAATTTACACATACCTTTCACCCTGGCGCAGGCGCTTGAGAAACTCGTCCGATGTCAATTCGTGGCCTGGCAATAAACATGGATCTTCGCCGCGTGAGAACATTTCAAAGAGCGTTACGCCATAACTCCACACATCCGAATATGATGAGAATTTGCAGGTTTCAATGGCCTCCGGCGAGAACCTAAATATATGAAACAAACCAAATTGTCAAATTTTGTTTTGATTTTTTTGTGGCAATTTAACACTCACCATTTAATTGGTATGTCGCGCGCACTGACGCCAATGTAATAGCCATCGGCATTGGCAAACTGGGACAGGCCAAAATCTGAGATTTTTACACATGAACGATCGACTAGAACGTTGCGGGCAGCCAGGTCACGATGTATGAGACCCTTGCCGGACAAATAGTTCATACCCTGCAATCGATAGCAAATAACGATGAAATCAATGTTGAATTTTGACAAGATGACAAGCGATGGAAAAAACTTACGCGGGCTATGTCTAGGGCAAAATTGAGTAGCCGAGTATTGGTGAGAGTTGGTTTGTAGGACTTCAAGTATACGACAAATGAGCCAAATTCAAAGTATTCCATGATGATGCTCAGCGACCTTTCCGCCCAGTATTTAAACTTGACAACATTAGGATGATCGAGTTTGCGCATGATACTCATTTCGCGCTCAAAGTCTTTGGTGACCTGCATGGGCTTTAGCTTCTTAATGGCCACCTGCTCTTTGGGACGATCCTTATCATAATATTCGATTTCGCCCTTATATACGGTGCCGTAATGCCCATGACCAATCTTGTCCTTCTCAAGATATATAACCTTGCAGTCTTCCAGCGGCATCACCTGCGGCAGATCAAGCGAATTTGGAAAGAATTCACCGCTCACACCATAACACAGAGATGCGTCGTCGACTGGATCTTGTCTTGGTAGCCCATTGCAATGAGGATAATCGGGATAGTCGGCTACATTAAAAAAAAAACACATATATATGTGTATATGTATAAGAATTAGTATATATTGTATATATTATCTAAAATGTACTCACGTAGTTCATCTATAGGCGCGTAGTCTCTAAGTAAGCGTTTTTTGATATCACTCAAGTGTGTAAATATATCGTGGTGATTGAACCGTTTGTCAGGATCATCGCCCCAGCCGTCCATAATAGCTTTGTACATTTCACTTGGGCATAAGCGCTGATCCAGCTGCTTGAGTATGTTGCCATCGATGGAACGATTGCGCAAAAGATCGCATTGTTTCATTTGAGTTAAGTCAAGCTCACCGCGTGAGAAGATCTCATAAATGGTGGTCGCAAATGCCCACAATTGTGTGCTAGAGTCGTGTTTTGCTGCCTCCAAGTTATTATAATACTTTACAGGTATCCAAGGTGAGCTTCATTGTTTAGAAAAGATATGTCATTTTATATATATATATATATATATGTATAGCATATCTGGGATACTTACTCGGATAGCTTGTAGGGACGTGGATAGCCGGGATCACTAATTTTGGCATCTAGTACATACTTGTCGGGATCGTATTTGGTAACATGCAGATTCGCACAGCGTATATAGTTGTGTATTATTTTATTATCATCCAGATAGTGGATGCCACGCACCAGGCCATGCATCACGTCCAGCAGACAGAACATGCTGATGTGATGATGATTCTGTAGGAATTTATTAAGCGGCCCATATTTCGAGTACTCCAATACCATCATATATGGAACGGATAGTGTAAGCCCATGCAATTTTATAAATTGTGGTGACTGTATCAGACTCCATGTGTTCACCATTTTCGTAAATTCCTGAAAATTCGCATCATATCGCAGCATTTTCATTGTTACAGGCACATCCTTAATTGTGCCCTGCTGTATCCAGTCCCCTCTCACTGTGTACACCTTGTCATCATCGCTGGAAGTCACCGAGTCTACATTTGACAGAAAAATAAAACAAATGTATGTTTACGCTTAGCATTAGCTAGTAACAACGAATTTTATGTGCCCTTTCAGACCGGAGTTAATCTAAATAATATTATTATGTTTTGGATTTATATGTTTTCTGTTTCACGACGAATTATAATAAGAATTATAATATAATACTCAACAAGGGTATATATAATTGTCGATTAAGTCAAGCATACTTTACCTGGATACCATCGCAGGTCGGATTTGGGAATGAATAACTGAGGATTACGTCTTTGTAATTCGGCTTCACTCAATTCCGCATCAGTCTTTTTGGATTTCAAATTTTTTGGCAAAAGGAGCAGCAACAACGACGGTTTATCGTATTTGGAAGCCGGTATTCGTATACGATCCGTGCTATCTGTGCGTATAAATTGCGCCAGCTCTGGCAGCTTATCAAAGGTCCGCTCTTCGCCTTGATAGGCCAGCTTCCATTGTTGATCATTTTGTATGATCTTAAATGTTTCCGTATGGCATCTCTCATGATTGCTGTTTTTCGCCACGCTATCAGTGTTACGAGACGAACACGAATATTTATAATAAATATAGCTATTGATATGCATTGAGATGTACTTACATTTTTGTATTGATGTCAATATAGTATGTGTTATACTCTCGCTCGCACTGCCTCACTATATAACTGCCGCATTTATCGCCATTCTCGCGCAGTTTCCCAAAGGAGTATCCACCACCAATGGGCCCATGACAATATAAACGCTCCAGTTCCTGCAGTGATGGTGTCTTGTAAGACGGACACAAGTCCTGCATCCATTTCACCGTCAATCTAAATATTCAATTATCATTGTTATTAATTACTGCACACAGGCATTACAAAAAACAAGAGAGAACGTTAATACTTTGATACCATAAGTTAATCCACCGGATAACATGTAACAAAGAAAAGGGCGGGTGTAGCCAAGAAGTACTGTTCAAGTTTGCCTTTCAAATTGCGGTGGGTATAAGCTAGTAACTTTCTTTCCAAGTTTGGTAACTGTAGCTCTTAAATATTATTATTTTTTTTTTTTGGATTTACTAGCAATATACCTTTCAAATTTGGTGATTCTAGCTTTCAAATTGTATGCGAAATCTGGTCTTATCGATTTACACTAACAGGTGTATCGGTTTAGGGAGTGGGCGTAGCCATCGAATTTCTTATCAATCTCTTATGGGAGTTCTAGCTTACAAATTGTGGAAGATATGCGCATTTCAGATTTCTAGGACCGAAATTCCTGGGCGTGGTCTGAATATTCATATGCCGATCCGTGGAGGCGGTTACCAGCAAGTTACCTTCCAAGTTTGTTCCGTCTTTTTTTTTAAATTGTGGGAGATAGGCGGGACGTATTTTAAACTTTCTCTGACGCGGGCACAGACCAGTATGCGTTCCAAGATTCAAGTCTCTATCTCTAAGGGTGTCGGACAGATATTGCACAAAACCAATATACTATGATAGCTTCGGTATCAAAGTATATAAAAAAAAAAAAAACAATGTTAAATCGAACCTGGTATAAATGCTCAGATAGGATATGAATGATTTCATTTCGTGCTCGGTTTCGAAGCGCATGTGATAACCCTTGGGGAAGCCAACACTCTCCAAGCGCACCAGTTTATCGCTTTCCTTGTACAGCGAGAATATGTCTTCAACAATGGCCACAAGACTCCACTGCAAATGGAAAGAATTCAGTTTAAGAGAGGGAGAGAGAAAGAAAGAAAGAAAGAAGAGAGAGAGAGAGAGAGAGAGAGAGAGAGAGAGAGAGAGAGAGAGAGAGAGAGTTTGCAGATTGTGGTTGTTAGATTAAAGCCTCGATCTGCAAAGATGTAGGACGAGGTAGACGCACCTTAAGTGTTGCCTCAGATGTGACGCGGGCCACTTTGAGGCCCGGCTCGGGTGAATCATGGAAACAAAGACGCACATAGACTGGTATCGTGTTCGGCTGCTGCGGTATGGGTCGATTCCGATTGCTGGACTGTGTCTGATGCGGATGCTGTTGTTGTTGTTGTTGATGAAGCTGGTCTGGTTGTTGTGGTTGCTGTTGACCCGGGCATTGCGAGTGGTTGCCTGTCATCGTTGTAAAGAGCGTTGTATTGGAGCCACTGATAAGCGGTGAGGTGGATTGTGTACGTGCTGAACTTCCACCGATGCTGCCGGTGCTTTTGCCGTGCGGCAAAGATAATGGTTCCGTTGCCGATTCATTTGGCAAATACTCGACGGTGGCCTTAAATTGTTCGGTGAGATAAGTGGGCGCCAGGTGGCAAATTTGATGGACATAATGCCATTTGAGGGTATCGCAATTAAACTGATCTCTGCTCATCTGGCGAAAGGATCGGCGTATTTTCGGCCGTACAAAGATGCGATGGGCGCGCCACAAGGTGTGCGGCAGATACGATTTATACGCCTTCTCGATGGCCTCGGCCTGCAGCTGCTTCTCATCCTTGTCGATTATCATGTCCATGACGGCCAGTCCCATCACCTTATCCTTATGCTCCGGATAGCGTATCTCGTTAATCTGTTCGTGCAGCATATCGTATCGCATCTGATGATACAAATAATTTTGGCACTGTGCATCAATTGCCGACAGCTGACGATCCAGTTCCGGGACACGGAAACGCATCCGGAGACAATAGCGAACAATACAATTCAATTGCTCGCCGGGCAGTTGCCAATTGTGATTGGCCTCCAGGGTGCGCGGCGTGAGGCCGGCACCAGTTTTACCATTTTTGTGCTCTCGTATACCAAAGAGGAGGACCGCTGCGGGTAGGATTTCCATATGGCGGCACATTGCCGTACATATCTCCTCGCAGAGTAGTGATGGCGAGTATTTCTCGTAGTCGTGCTTGCGGTAATTGTAGATGTGTATGAGGCCATCGTTATCAATATTTTGACTTGAGCTTCCGCTCTGAAGCGAAGGTGTTGCCAAGCTGGCGGTATCAGCCAATGAGGTGCGTCCACTGCTGCTGTCGTCCATTGTGGCTGCCTGGCTCTCCCAGGGGGATGTGCTGTGCCTTAGCGCCTACGCTTGCTCACACATACACCAAATTTCCAGCGGATTGATAATATATATATATATATATATATATACATGTATATATATATAGATATATATATATATATATGTATATATTCTTTTTTGTTCTTTCTTATCCAAAATAAAACAATTGTCAGATATACAATTTTCGCCTATTTTTGGCTTGGTTCGCGTCTGCGCCGCTGCCTCATTAATGCACAGTTCTATTGTGATCACGCTCGCGCACTTAATTACTTAATTACGATGCACGAAAAAACGAAAATATTAACACAAAAATAAATTTATGCAGTTGAAAAAGAATGCAGTATTACCATTGGCTGTTTTGTCGCTGGCTATTACTGAAATCCCACAAATATCGATAGCTTGTTGCAGCGTTGCGTGATTGTCTTCTAGAGCACTCTCGGTATTTTCTGTCAATACGATGGCAACTCTATAACACATCTGTGTCCGTATTTATATAACCTCAAAAAAACAAAAACTAGAAATTACAAGTTTCGGGCGAGAAAAAACTGTTACATTTTGTGCGTACAAAAATTCACTGAAAACCTTAACAAAAGCCAATAAACATACATAAAAGCAGCCATGTCCGATTATGAGAACCAATCCGCCAGTGATAAGGAACTGCAGGAGTTTATGATGATTGAAAAACAAAAGGCGCAGGTCAACGAACAGGTACGTAAAAGCTGTAAAATATATTTAATACAAGATATATATATAAATATCAAATTTTATGATTGATTGACAGATACATGAATTCCATGGGATCTGCTGGGAGAAATGTATTGGAAAACCTAGCACTAAACTCGACCATGCAACAGAGACATGCCTCAGCAATTGTGTGGACCGCTTTATCGATACCTCATTGCTGATAACCCAGCGATTCGCTCAGATTCTACAGAGACAGAGCTCTGGTGGCATGTAGACCATTAACTATCTCTTAACTGGTCTCCGCTCCTAGTGCACAACAACAACAACAACAGCAGCAGCAACAACAAGAACAAGAAACAACGATGATGATAACTAAGAACACAATTTGGGCCTTGTATTATCAACTGGATTCAATTGGAGCCTATGTTCCATTTTCTGCATATATATATATATATCCTCAAAAATTACCTTGTAAGAAGTTGATGTGGAGTCAATCTGGTGCAAAATTTGTATTCTGTATGTGCTACAAAACGACAAAACAAAATTCTAAAACCAAAAAAGAAAAACCATAAGATGCATGGTATAATATTGTATTAATAGTTTTTTTTTTTTTTTGGTTCCCCCAAGGTTGAATATTTGACAAAACATAAATAAACATTGCAGACAATGTTAGTTAACTAATCCTATTTATTCCATGCCTGTTCTCGTTGCGCTTTGTTGTTTTTTCAGCTGACGATACAAATCGATCATTTTGTTGCGCTCCCCTTCAAGCATGTTGCGCGTGGCAGCTGGTAAATCCTTCCGTTTGCCTCTCAACTGCAACTTGGTGGGCGCAACACTCTTGGTCTGTTGTGGTGGTAGTGTTGGCATCTGCTCTTCCTCCTCTTTCTTCATCAGCGACTTGAGCAATAGATTCGATTTGCGGCCAGGCCGCGGCACAGTCTCGTTGCGGTTTGCCTTGCGCGGCAGCGTTTTTATCGTTGGCGGTGCATGTACCACCTCACCAAATTGAAACACATCACGCTTATACTCCACGATGCCTTGTCCTTGCTATGAATTATGCGAATTGTTTGAATTAATTATAGGGAGCAGCAAACAGATTTTATTAATTATGATTTTACCTGTTGTTGTTGTTGTTTGGCTTCTTCGTCGGCTTCTCTGCAGGCACGTTTGATTAGCTCCCGGCGGGTCTTCGCATCCATGCCGGGCTTTACAATGGCCGCATTCGGTTTGCCACGTTTATTTTTTAGATTGTGACGCTCTTTTTGCTTCTGCTTGAGCAGCTCATCGATCTCGTTTTTGGGTCGCTTCTGTAATGTTATTTCGCCCGTTGTCGGATTGCGTATGATATTAACACCATATTTGGCCTCATATTGAGCCTCTCGCACAGATGCGCTAGTTATGCGATTTACCCGCCGCAAATATTCCTCATTTGTCTCATCGGCAAACTGCTTAATATTTATGTTTTTTTTGCTGCCTGCTGCGGCGGCTGTTTGAGTCTTTTTTGTGGCCGCAGCCCCTTTGGGCATATCCTCTTTGCCAATGGTGCCCATCTTAAGCTTCTTGCCCGCTTTGGAGGCATCGGCAACTTTTTTGAATTGCTGGAAATTGTGCGATGCACGCTGCTCATCGTTTTGCGTCGGCGGATTATTCGTTACATTGGCCAGTCTGTATTTAAAATGAGTATTTTTATTTGTCTAATTGCAACATTGATTGATAATCTGTGGATTATACATACTTTTTCTCCCTTTGTTCAAGTTGCTTAAGTGGATCGCGTACGCCGTGATGTTTTCGCACGGGAATTTTACGCTTTTTCGCCATAATAATAATAACAAATAAATGTGTCCGTTTACAAAAAGAACTCACGTTTTCTCAAACAGACAACAGCTGTTCTTTGGCTGCTGAAAAATCATCGATAGATTTCAAATAGAAGACTGCATTAGAGTTGTATTTTCCTCGCATCATCGTATTTGAATGTCATCAAAGCAATCATTATTGCTGCTATATTTGCGATATTTAAATATACATTAAAAATAAATAATAAGCTTTACAATTGTAAGAAAATTATGTTATTTCCATTACAATACTAGAGAAAGATAAATGAATTTTATTGTCGGAAATCGCGATCAAGAGCCAGTATCGTTGTAGTAAACATCGATACATTCTTCGATAGTGGACCGGCATTTTATCGAAAGGGTTTTATGCCTGAAGTAATAATAATATACAAGTTTAAAAAATTCTCAATTGCTTATAATTAATACGCTTGATTTATATCTTGTATTTTATGCAATGAGTGTTTTTTAAATTATAGACACATATATACATACATAGCACGCTAGTGCGTAAGAGCATAGAACATGTACGTAGTACATACGCCGTGTTTGAATGTATGTTTTGTGCATTTGCCGTATGCTCGCAATGCAAATGCAACGCGCATGCGCCGAATATGCGGAGCAGGCCAGACAAGGCAAGGCAGGCTGGCAAAGCTAGGCAAGGCAAGACAGGCAGCCACAGACAGCAGCCAAGTAACTTGCGAGCAGAAAATCGTAATATATTCAACGTGCTTCATGCTAAACGCAAACAGTAATTTATTTATACTTAACATAAAATGCTCGAGGCCAGTGCCAAACGAATGTCCTTTGACGTGTAAGCGTGTATGTAAACCTTAAATTGTGATTTTTACACTGATAGTGACACTATTTTGATACACACAAACACACATACACACACATGCAATTTGCATTGACAATTGAATGCGGAAAATAGTGTGTACATATGTAAGTCTTACATATATAGACGTATATGCATATGTACAAGTAAAACTAGGGGCCAAAAAAAAGAAAAGGTAAAGAAAAACGGTCCCGTTGTGCGTGCCTATATTTTTTCATCTATTTTTTAATTGTACATACAACGTATACATATATATGTACGCATGTAAATATGTACAAGGGAAGTTTTTTAAAAATTAATTGTGATTTGTGACCTGAACAGCAAGCGAATAATCAAATACATACCATAAAATACAACTGCAGCTACATAAATATGTATGTGTGTACACACATTTACATATATTTGAGGCCATCTACACACATAAACACCTACATACATACATTTATATACCAACCATATCCACATGTATGTGTGTAATGGGACAGCCGCAGCATCAGCATCAGCTGCCAGAGCAGCATCAGTGAGCTCATAACGGTTCGCGAAAGCGTCAAACCTTTTATACAATTTTTTGTTCGTGAGTGAAAAGTTTCTATATATATATAAATATAAATATATATATATACATCATTGGCGTACATAATTAAATACACACATACGCACATGTACATGTGGACCATGTATCAAGTGTGTGTGTGCGTGTGCACTATTTTCCATACATATATAATTATAATGCACATTATCTGGCATAATTACATACAACGACAAATGATATACGAAATCCAATCCATTCCATCTTTATGTGCATTATCTGACATCGTTAACAGTTTGTATATAAAAAAAATACACTCGAATATTACAAATTAAAAAAGGCCAAATTTTTAGAGCCTACCTTTGGGAGCTTTCTATGAATTTTCCATAATTTACAAACAATTCGAAATTATTGATTGGAAAGAAAAAATAAAAAAAAATGGCAAGAAATAAGAAATAAAATAAAAAATAAATAAAATCATGTTAAAAACATGTACATGCACATGGACATTTGCAAAGATATTTCGTTTTTTTTTCTTTCTAAAAATATCGTGCATAAATTCAAAATGAGAATAAATAGAAATAAAATTAATGTTGCTCCCAAAACAGCTACACGTACATTTATATAATTGCATACGTTTTGTCTGCGTTTTATTGTTCAAACTTGTGCACACCTAAGCATTTGTGTACATACATACACAATATATATATATATATATATACATATATACACTTGTATAGTTTGCTTGCATTTGAACGTACTTTCAAGTGAAAGGGTCACCTAACTAGCACCTAATATCCAAAGCCCAACGACGGACGTCAAGGTCATCGCCATTCCAAATGTATCGATGTTATCGAAATTGAATTTATGTACAAGATGATTTATTTAATACTTCGTTTAAATATTACCTTGCTTGCCCTTCTGGGCACCATCGGCTCTGGGTCATCGATACTTAGAACATTATCGTACGGCTTGGTTTCTTGGTACAACAACGACAAAAAGTTAATCAGCCTTGCCAGTCCTGGATCTTCTCGTTAACTTCTTTCCAAAATTAAAGCTCATCTTGCAGATAAAAAAAAAGTTATCGATAATGATAAGCTCTATATAAAATTATCGGCAACCCACCATTGAAGCGGCAAGTGCATCGAAATCAAGATAACAAATTATGAATGGAAAATGATTTTAGTTTTTGATTTTTAATAAAAAAGTGTTCTTATAAATGCCGCAAAGTCGAGAAAATCAACCCATTACGGCAGACATTTTTATTTTTACGCGAAATTTTTCGTCGATCTGTAAACTGAATTTAAATGGTGAACAAATAAGTTGACTCGGTAATATGTGAACCATCTCTGTCAAGGTTTCAAGTCTGAGCAGTTGATATAAAACAAAATCGGTCAGTTTGGTGAAAATTATAATCATTATTTCTAAATTAATTTTGTTTTTGTGTCCGATTAGCCGCACTAAATGGAAATAGTGAAATAGGAATTGTTTGAAACAAAAAACAAACAACAAAAAAAACCGTCGGCAATCAATCGCCGTTTTAGCCAAACGACAGGATATAATGGCCGTTATCGGCATGTAATGCCAGCCAGTAAGAGGTGATTGAACTTAGCGATACTGCCACTTTGTCCACACACACACACACACACACACACACACACACATATATATATATATATATATATATATAGATATATATGTGTATATGTATATATTGCGTTCTCGCTTTCGCCTTGTTTTGTAGTGTTGTAGTGGGAAAAGGCGCACGTTTAATTTGCCAAGTGCTGCTGGGTAAAGTGAACCATGAATATAAATAAGTACATACAATATATACATACCTACATACAGTTCGAAATAGGTGTTATTATTAAAACAAAAAGTCAATGGATATAATCATTATGTATATACGTAAGTTAGGCAGTTCTACAATTCGATTGTCGTCAGATTCGTTGCATCCGTAGCCTACCTTTAGGCATGTCTACGATATTTATATCGATAAACCAAATTCTTAATTGAAGTGATCCGTTTTGATGATTTAAATATATATATCAGTAATTTTACAATCAGAGTCCAGTTAAGTTAGTAGAGTGCTCCTGCTGCTGTTTCAAAAACGATCCCATATTCATACGCAAATGAAAAGAAACGCAGTCTAACGAGCGAGTGAGAGACCGAATGCTTCGAGCATGCCGCTCTTAAAACAGTGTTGTCAATATCGAATTATTTTCTGCTGATTTGAAGTACTGTAAATATTAAATTTGTAAAACAAATGTGTTTCGAAAGTAATGCAATACAAACATTAACAATTTGTTTGTGGTTAGAATATCTATTTTTCTGCTTCATACAGTTGAGATTTTGAATGGAACTTGACAACACTGCCTGCTAGGGACTTGCTCTTCCTCTCCTTCTCTTTTTTTCTCTCGCTCTCTCTCTTTCTCTGTCTCTCTTTTTCGTATTCTCAGTTGGGTATTGTGTGGTGTTGGAGGCGCGGGTTCCTAAGCAGGAGTAGGTAGTGCTGTATTTATTCCTGCATTGCTCAGACACGCGTGAGCCAATCAGTTATTGTTCGCCTCTTTCGCTTTACTGCGTACGTTTGTATGTAAATTTAAAATATTTTAAAACTAGACGCATTTAAGAAATACATTTTCTTTGATATCTGCCTGCCCACATATTAACATTTTTTCACACAATTACATACATGTTTGCATATATTCATATATATATATATATATATATATATATATATATATATATGTATATAAATATATATATATATATAGTATGTGCGAGCGCAAAAGAACTAAAACCGAAGAGAATTTGCTGAAATAGCGCAAAAAGAGGCGCACATACGCACACATATGCATATATATATATGTATATATACATACATGTACATATAGCCGCCACATCGGACAGTAGACGGCAGATACCAGGAATCAGACAATAGCCGCACAGATAGCTACAAACATTTTGGGCGACACAAATTTCGAAAGCACAATTTTTGGTTCTTATTTAATATTTGACTCGTTTCTGGTCTCCGAATACGATTTCATACAAAATTTGGTGTCAATGTAATTAAGCGCGTGAGTGTATATATATTAATTATGTATGTGTTAATAAATCAATAGAATAACAATAAGAAATATTTAATTGATTTCGATTCTTATTATTTTTTGTTTTATTTTTTTCTGTTTTTTTTTTGGTGTTTTTGTTTTTCAGATGTGCCGTCTGCAGCGACTTTCAGTTTGAATCAAACATTAAAAATAAAATGAAATCGATTCGATTCGTAATGTGCTCATGTGTGCCTAGAATTAACAAATACACATGCGAAAACATGTGTCAATCATAGTGAATAAGTTAAATGTTTAGTGACGTTGAAATCCTATTTGGAGAATTCAATGTAAACGACAACTGCCGACAGAAATCAAAGACGAATTGCATACGCCAAAATATAATCATAAATAAATAAATAAATACAAAATAAACAGTAAATTGAGTGCACTTCATACTTATACAAACCATCTAAATACATATATATATATATATATGTATGTATATATATATATGTATGTTTCTGAACAAATCAAAAGAAAATAACAAAATACAAATAACGAGAAATAAACAAGAATATAATAAATATACAGTGTGTATTGAGTTACAGCGACAAAGACATGCATATAAAAAGTACATAGTACATACATTAACACATACACATATACAGAGTACTCGTATAACCGTTATAACAGTTACAAACCCTATAAATATACAGTGATATATACAGTTTAACGACATTTAAATACACAAGCGTAGCTGAAGCAATAGTAACAACAACAACAACAACTGCAGCAACAACCCAAACTAATAATAACAACAACAAAAACATCTACAAAATGCCAGTGAAAAAGCAAGGTAAGCTATTTTTGATGTCTATCTAGGAATTTACTTTATTAACTTAGTTGGATTTTTCTTTAATTCATTTGCATTCAAATTAAAAAAAAAAAAAAAAATACAACAAATGTATATATATAATATATAATTGTCATCAATTGATAAGATAATTCTCATTGACTCGGCTTTCTTAACTGATTAAGGAAATATGTTACAGGTTATAGGCATCGTTCTGTCCGTACAAACATTTGCACAACTCCAAAATATCCTTGCCTTTTAATTTGTAATAATAACTGTTCGATTTCCGCAATCTTATTTCTAGATTTCAAAACTTCCATAACATTGTTATTTGTAGTTCGTTAATCCGACATATCTGATAGTAAAGAAAGAGATTTAAAACAGTGTGGCAAAGCGGAATTTAAATGGAAACCCCACGATTCAAATTTGAATCGGAATTGTAATCAGAACCCAAATTAAACATTTTTTTAAAACCTAAATACCGGAACTGATTATATTTGTCCTGAAAAGACCGTATCGGAATCAAAACAGATATATTTTTTCAAGCTTTTTATTGTAAAAATGATTGTGCCGGTTTGACAAACCGATTTCAAATAATCCCCGTCAATATATGCATCGAGACATACATATGCAGATAAATGTATGTATTTACAGCTGTCACAATCACAGCCAGTGGCATGTCCATTGCACCAAATCTGAGCACAATAAATAGACCCATAAGTAGAGAAAAATAAAACTAATAATAAAAATAAATAGAAAAAATGCAGCCGCTGCCAAACTTTTGAAACGGGCAAGAAATGAAGGTCAGCATAAGCAAAAGACGCCACAGATATAAATGCTGCTTACATATGTATGTACAGCTGCGGTCAAAATAATATAACCCCTTTCAAATTCTCTACTATCTGCTCTCTACTTTTTGTGCTGTATCTAAAATATCGTAAAGAACGCAAGCTGAGCTGATTTATTTGCAGTTCGTTGAGTATTAATATATCTGCTTATTTGAAAATATTCCAAACAAGAAGTGAACTATTAACAATAGTAACAATGTTGTATTGCTAAAAGGCCGATATCTATTTTTAGAAATGCAATAATCAGAGATAATCAACTAGTTGCAAGATGGAGGAGTGTGTTATGTGGATGTGGATTATTTTAATTGTTGGAAAAACAATGCGACAACATGTTATATTATATAGATATTGTAGTATATGTTTTACATATTTAAAATGCATGTGGTAATTTAGTAGTAGTATTATTTTGAGCGCAACGTAGATGCATAATATATCACACACACACACACTCACACAAACTTTCGTAGATATTAATATAGATATAAATATGTAATCAGTTTCGTTTGCAAAAACACTGCCCGGCGACTTTATGGCAATGTCATCCAGGTTAGCTGTGCGCTGACCCCAAAGATTCATAAATGCCTGCCACGTCTAAAAGCAGAACCAGAAACAGAAACAGAAACACTAAAAGCTGAAACACAGAGAGCTAAAACAATGATAGTAGTGGCTGGGGAAGGCGAACACTAATTTTGCTTTTAGCTTTTTATTTTATTTTCGTTTTTAAGTCAATCTTTATTGATTTATTGAACTAGTTGGGTTGTGTATGTGTGTGTGTGTGTGCGTGTGGATGGGTTTGTGGATGGGTTTGTGGATGGGTTTCTCTATAATAGAGCAGTGTGACGCCGTCTCCGCAAGTGGACGCAAGTGCAAGTGCTGCTGCCTATCGTCGTTAGTTGGCCAAAGGATGAGCTCAGATACCGATTCGGATAGGGAGAAGAGCAGCGATCCCAATGAGGAGCTGCTCAGCAGCGATGATAAGAGCTATCCCGACGACGATGATGATGACGACGATTTGAACTCATCGCCAGTGGACGAAGACATTGATAACAATTCAAATGTGAGCGAACCAATTAGGCAATTACCCGATGCGGAACAAGTGCAATCGTACACCGAGAACGACCAATTGCTGGTGCAATTGACACAAACGGAAGCCATAGAAATACAACAGCCGCAGCAGCAAATTGATGTCGATTTGGCAAACGGCACAACTGGAGAGCAGTTGGTGGTCTGCGATGAGCCCATGCCCATCCAGCAGCCGTTGGTGGTTGCCAAGTACAGAGAGAGTGTTCGCGAATCCGTTGAGTGCTTCTATTCGGCACAGGATCTGCTCGAATATGGTCATATGCTATCATCGGCGGCGGAACAGCGCACTCCCGATGTCGAGTCGGGCTATTTTGACAAGTCGGAGAGTGATGATGTCTCACGCGATGAGTTTGGGGCACAAGCACTGCCAATTGTGGGCGGCCAGACCACATCCAGCAGCTCGGAGAGTCTACGCATTGAGCTGAGCCGCTTTTGCACCTCGATGGAGGCTTTTGAGCGTGAGCAACAACAAGAGCAGGAGCAGGAGCAGAGCCAGCGGCTCCAAACTCCGGCGCAGCCAAAAGGAGGTCCCATTGCTGGCGAGGACTTGACAACGGGTCAACGTTTCATTGAGAAACAAAGTGAGCCATATAGATAAACCAAGAAAGAGATAGCTGAGAGAGAGAGAGAGACAGATACAGCGATAGATATGTATTTAATCCCAATTAGAATAAGAAGTCCAATCCTCATTAAATTTCTTTATAAAATCTTGAATTAGACTAGAAAAAGAATTTGTATTTGAGTCGTTCATATTTCTGTTTGTTTGTTTGGCTTTTCTGTTGTTATATTCTTGCTGTATTTAATTATAATCTGATGCAATATTCATTAATGCATCTCTTCACTTTGCATTGCAGAAGCTCACCGAGCCCTCGAGTTGCTCGAGGATTATCACGCACGTCTGTCGGAGCCACAGGATCGTGCCCTGCGTATTGCAATCGAACGGGTCATCCGCATTTTTAAGTCGCGCCTATTCCAAGCGCTACTAGGTGAGTATTGCTCGATTCTACCTCTCCTTTGATATCATTAAAAATCAAAACAGTTTCAAGTATATATCTCTTGGAGTATGGAGTCAAAATCAATTAAAACTCAATATTATTCTCACTAGAGTCAAAGTTAATTCAATTCAATTCTCTCTAGAGTCTAGAATCAAACTACTTTAAATTATTCAGTTTTTCCAACCGGATGTTATTGTTGTCCAGTTCACTAACAGTGCCAACTTCGTAGGACTGAAACTGGACAGGAAACTAGACTGGAAGCGCCATACCCAGCTACGGGTAAAGAACGCAACAGTTGCTTTATACACTTGCAGGAAAGCCATTGAACTTAAATGGATTATGTCCCTTTAGATTATCCGATCGTTGTACTTATCAATCATTAGACCAATCCTCTTAAATCCACTTTGAGCCATAAGACTGAGAGATTCCTTAGTATGGAATACTCAGAAGATAGGCCATGCATTTATTCTTCTGGCAAATGTAAAGATTCCCACAAAAATGGACAGCTGTGTGTCAATAGTACAACTCGATACATTCTCCCGTACGTACTTCCCCCTGACGGAGGAATGGACTCACGGTATACCCGGGCCATTGGCAACCCTAACGTTCTACACAGACGGCTTGAAAATCGCGTTGGAGGACGCATTTACTCTGCACAGCTTAACATTCAGCTATTCTTCAGTCTCCTGAAAGCATTGGCCTTAAGAGAAGCACTAAAAAGGTTTAAAGCAGCCAATCAAATCTATTAGCCAAATAAACTGTCGTCAAATCTCTGCACGAGTTGGCTAAGCAGCATGTTGTTAGCCTAATTTGATAATTACGATTATAAAATGCAACTGTGTAACTGATTTGCTAGCTAGAAAAGGCACTCTATTGCCCCTGTTCACCTCACAGATAAGGATAAGGTATATTTATGCTTCTGGCTACCAGTAAGCTTAAAATCAGGTCAAATGACAAATGGCAAAATGCCAACTGCGATCGTTTAGCACGTTTAACCTGGCCCAATTTGAATAACAAACACAGTAGTCTAAGTCGCACAAATTGCTACGCAGTAAGTCGTGCTATAACCGGCCAGAGGAGGTAGAGTCTCCAAATCACGTCTTCTGCTTCTGCCCTGCACTGGTCAGAAAAAGACTCGCTACACTGGGAAATCACTTTCTATCAAGTTTATCACAGTTAGAGAATATGGCACCGACCAGAATTGTATAAATGCCACAAGTGCCACAGAAATGAAGTGAGATCCCATACGGTATCACAAAGAGCCAGGGATGGCCTATGTGTGGCGACCTTATTGTCACCAACCGGTCTAACTTGATCACTGGCAACTGCATACCTCATTTCAATGATTACTTTGCCTTGCTCCATATTATTTTGTAAACATTATCCTGGTCTGCATTGGCAGACTATTCTGAGAACTAAGAAACCATTTCCAGTCATGGCATGGTTCGCATTCTTATCAAGTTCCCAAATGCTGAGCACAGTTCTCTGGCTATCCAGCTGAGTCAAGCAAAATATGAGGAGGCTCGCAGGCGAATCGGATCCATTGATATACATTACTTCAAGTGGCAAACGTTGCATAAGCAATACGCCCGTTGCAACTTATATACATATATATAACATATATGGCATGTTTATGTTTTGAATGTTGATGGGCGTAAACATTGTCTGCCTCGCGGAGAGACGGAGACATTTAACAGGAAATTGAACGAGCGCATTGAATTCAAATTGTGAATGTGTCACAGCCAGAACTAAAAGATTGACCCAAATAACTTTTTACATGCCATTCAAGTGGTTCATTATGTTATTTCTGCAACCATCCAAATCATGGTTGGATTTCAAGTCATTTCCCGTCTCATGTTTTCCATTTGCAAATTGATTTTCGAACAGATCGATTTGCATGCTTGGCATGCAAATTGGCAAATGCAAATTTAATAAATACACCTTTGATAACATTACTTTTTCGTTCAGCTGGTGTAGATTTAATATACAGTGTCTCACAGTTTAAAAGACGCAGTGTCTAACCAAAAATTTAATTGCCTGTCATAAACAAATTATTCAATATTTTTCAAAAATTCCAAAGAGCGATGGCAGGTACATATATTAACCACCATAATGAATATATGATCCCAATAAACTGGGGTTTTCCCGCCGGCTGGGCCGGGTTATGTAAAAAAGTACCTTAATTTATGGTCACAGCGAATTTGGTTCAGGGGCGTTATGGACACCTGGGTGCCATAAAACCCGGATTTTTTACGTCATGTTGATTATTTTCGGTATAAATAGACCAATCCTTCGTAGTCAGTTTAGTTTTATCCTGCATCTCGGGTGCCACCAGCCAACAAGGACTATGGACAAACGGACTACCATTGAGCAACGAAATCTCATCCTGGAACACTTCCAGATTGGATATTCATATCGCCAAATAGCTAAAATGGTAAATCTAAGCACCACAACTGTATTCAACATCATTCGGCGCTTCGTCGACGAAAATCGGATAGAGGACAAGGGCAGAAATGCACCAAACAAGATTTTCACCGAACAGGAAGAGCGGAGGATCATCAGGAAAATAAGGGAAAACGCCAAGCTATCGGCTCCAAAACTGACTCCACAGATGGAGGATGAAATGGGGAAAAAGTGCAGTGTGGAAACTGTGCGCCGGGTTCTGCGCAAAGATGACTTTAATGCCCGAGTACCACGGAAGAAGCCCTTTATAAGCGCAAAAAATAAAGGGACTAGGATGACGTTCGCCAAAACCCACTTGGACAAGGATTTGGAGTTCTGGGACACAGTCATATTTGCAGATGAGTCCAAATTCAACATTTTTGGCTCGGACGGACGGAATTATGTGTGGCGACAGCCCAATACTGAGCTGAATCCAAGTGTCATGGTATGGGCATGTATCTCGGCAGCCGGCGTCGGGAATTTGGTGTTTATTGAACCAACAATGGACAAGAGTGTGTATTTCAATATATTAAAAGAAAATTTACTCCAAAGTGCCAAGAAGCTAGGAATCCGACGTACTTTCCGGTTCTACCACGACAACGACCAGGACAAAAGCCAAGCATAAGTCTGAATTAGTACAGTCCTGGCATATCTGGAACTGCCCCCACATGATAATTCCACAGGCCCAGTCTCCAGACTTAAATGTTATTTAAAATTTGTGGGCTCTGCTGGAAAATAACATCAGGAATCACAAATCCGATCTCAAAAATGCTCTGCTGGATGAGTGGAGCAAAATCAGTCCAGAAACGACCCGGAAGCTGGTATCCTCCATGAATAATAGGTTAAGGGAAGTTATTAAGGCTAAAGGGTATCATACTAAGTATTAACATCCTTATTTAAGTTTTTATACGCCAAATATGTTACTTTTCTAAGACTGCGCCAAATTAACTGTGACATGTATTTTAGACAAATTTTCAGTTTTTGACTAATTTTAATTAATTAATTAATATTTTAATAAAAACTAAAGTTAATTTTTCAAACGTGATATAACATAAAACAAATTGGCATTTAAACATTTTGCGTTTGTTTCTTTGTTTAAACTTTATAGCACTTTAAATTTTTTGCTAGGCACTGCGTCTTTTAAACTGTGAGACACTGTACATATTTAGTTGTATTAATGATAACATCGTAATCACAAAAAAAACAATGAAAATACTTCTCTTTCTTCCCTCCTCGATAACTGAACATATCAACGGTAAATTAAAAATCAACTGTTGAATACACACAAAGTGGATTACAAAAATGAAAACATTTACTAATACCAGTTTGGTTTGCCTGTATTCAATTGCAGATATACAGGAATTCTATGAATTAACGTTACTGGACGACTCAAAGAGTATACAACAAAAGACCGCCGAGACATTGCAAATTGCTACCAAGTGGGAGAAGGATGGACAGGTCACAAAGATAGCCGATGTAAGTAGAGAGAAAAGAGTCGAGCATAGATATACAGCGATGCATACATATATGCATATGTACACATGCACATGTATGTATGTATGTGTGTAATAACTGTTTTGTGCATAGTTAAATAGACTGAGAGACATAGCTCGTAGCGTATAACTGTAACTACTGAACAGTGTTGCAAAACAACGAATAGCCCTAACGACTCTGTTCTCTAATACATGCACATACATATATTTATATATTTATATATATATATATACATATATATATATATATATATATATATATATGTGTGTGTGTGTGTGTGTAGAAGAGAACTGAAAGATGCTATTGATTATTTTGCAGCTCTAGCGTGCAATTTGTGTTAATATATAGATTATGTATATATGTATTTGTGCATATGCGTGCGAAAATTTAGCACTCGTAGCACTTAGTCCAATAATTTATTTATTTTGTATTGTTGTTTTATGTTTTGTATCCCAAAAAGACGAAGAAAGAAAGTCGCGTGTCTAACCTCAATCTTGCCGAGGCACGTTAATCAAATTTGTAATTTCGTTCTAGGTTCATTGTCACATCATTGCATCATTTACATACCTACTACATGCAGTTTACTCTCTCCTCATATAATGCCTGCTCTATTATATTCTACGTTTTCTCTTTTAGTTTCTTTAAAAACACATATATATACATATATAAATATATAACAGATACTCTCTATCAACATACATATATCTAACACTCTTTCTCATGCTACTCTCTTTCCTTCTACATATATACGAATATATATATATATATATACATATATACATATATATTATATCTTCTATTTACTTAACCTACTATGCAGTTTATAAAAACTTCCAATCTTAATCGCAATTGCGCCTATGAGTTTAACAACGATGCCACAAATCCCAATCCAAGTTCAAATCTTAATCAAAACTTGAACGCGGCCGCGCATGCCGAGGCTTTGAGCAGAACGTTTAAAAATGAATTGGAAGAGATTTTGGTAAGCACATTAATTCATTATCACTTTCTTTGTTTTGTTTCACTGTCATACAACACCTATCAATATGCTATCTATCTACATATGTGTGCGTAACCTAACTAACTATTAATGACATCCAAATGACAAATCTCTCGAAACTATATAATCCCTATAATAATTGTATAGCAATCGTTGCCGGATTTATAAGTTTTGTGCAGATCCATCCAGAATCTGAATTCATTCATGATCAAAATATATTTTCGTCTTTCCGCCTTTCTGCTTGAAACTCTTTTTATAAGTCTTCTATTGGATAAAATATGTTCGCTTCTAAAGATATATCAATTTTTTGTTCGATTTACCTTAATATACTTATATATATATATATATATATATATATATATAGCGTTGATTTATTTTATTGCCAATAAGAAGAATGGCATCTAAAATGCACTATAAACTTAGAAGAGCAACCGATTCCGATGGTAGCTTTATGATATAGTTGTCCGATGTTCATTATAAACATACTAATGCGCATATCTGATGAGTTTGTCATCCGCCTAAAATCATTACGGTTATTAAATCGTAAACATTTGCCGTAATTCAAGTGATATCTGCGATAATTCAATTTTGGAGGGATCAGGACAGTTTCTTGAAATGTAAAATGTTATTATTATTATTATTATTCTCGTATATGAGAGCATATTTATGTACACAAAGATTAGCTGAAAAATTGGTGATACTATATCGATATTTATCGATTTGTTACATAGGCCTTAAAGTTTCTAGTTCCAATAGTGAGCCAGATTGATGAACATGGTTAAATCAACTTAGCTCGTCGTTCCATTGCGGATGTCATCTTTTGCCTGTTTCAAAAACATACATTTCTAATACCCATTTATACATTTTACTCTCACAATATAAAATTGAAGTCTTTTTACTTTTTACCACTGTTTGGTGGGTTAAGTCGTTAACTGGGTTTCGGATGCGGGGCATTGACAGACATCATTGGTAATTGTGGTAGGAGATTACCAAACTAATCGCTCTGATTTACTGGAGTTCAGTGACCGCGTCTCGCTGTCTGCCAATGATGATGACTATCTATGCAATTGGCCCAACTTGAGGCTGGCTAAACTAAAAGTTGAAGTCTGACTTATGACTGATTACTGATGAGTGATGAGGGGCGATGAGCGATGACTGTTGACTGATGACTTATCACGGATACCATCTCTGACGGGGCATATTGGCGCCAATTGACTTATAAATTAATGTGTGCTCAATATGAATATACATCATAGTTCGAGTAGGAGGAGTAGCAGCAGCAGGAACAGGAACGGGTGCAGGAGCATAACCAATACCAAGAATATAGCTATTAAGTTCCAAATTGATAAAAACGAACCTTTTGTTTATCTATACAATACTGGGTATGTATTGTGTATCCGGCTTAGTGTTTCTCTTATTATTATTATTATTTATTACAAATACATAGACTAAACCTGTATACTACCAGTATGAGTTGAATATAGCACTGGTGACTAGCTAAAAGTTTATTTTTAATTTAATTACAGTTAGTTCTATGTATATTTTGAAGCAAAACAAAATGTATATTATATTTATACATCAAAAATTTAGTTTTTATGAGGCATCTAATTGGAATTTTCAAAATCTGAGTGATCCCCTCGAAATATTTTATTTTTGTTTTGGCCTGTTTTCTTAAAGATTCTACAGTCTATTCAAATTTCGTTTTGGAAATGAGATGTGTGTATGAAAGGAAAGACTTACAAAACAGGAACCAACGAGTAAGAATTATATAGTCGATAGAGCTCGATTTAGAGATAACCAGACATACATTTAGCAATATATTTGCGAATTTATAGAAATCGGGGTTGCTTTCAATATTTATAAACGTTTTGGCTAACAAATTGGGTGTTTCTTAACCGATCTCCGCTTTGCTCATCTTTAAGCTAAAATATGATTTATTATTCGTTATTCGAAGCGTTTTCCTTGTGACTGTTGTTATTGCCATAATCATTCGATAAATCATCAGAATCGGAGCGAATTTCTACAAACTCCCAGCATACGTAACGAATGTTGAATGTTGCCTATGGGAAAATGTGAGAATGTTAATGGAATCAGGCTATAAATCGACTCGACTCGACTGCCGATGCTAATCAGGAATGGATTCATTTAGTCATTTAGAATGTTAAATTGTTGGGGGCATAATCAAAATTTGTGGTGCAACTCGAAGACAACGTGCCACACACACACACACACACACACATGTGTCACATGCTGTCGAGAATCGCTTGCTGAGATTACAGCGATTACAGCAAGGTGTTGTCGCTTTTCAATTGAGTTCCTTTTCTTTGACGCTATATATATATATATATATATATATATGTGTGTGTGTATGTCTGCATATGTTTTTATGCACATATTTATGCTATTAATTTGTTGTTGTTTATTTATTATTTTTTGTTTTGGCTTGCGTGAGCGCAAGACCGTAAAAATTGAAATCAGTTTAATGCTGCGTGCAGGCGACGAAGCAAGCAAAAACAGCAACAGAAAAAGTTCTTGTCAGGAAGTGGGCAACTAGGCAAGTGTCAAACACGTTTGAGGCGGGTCAATTTCACAGCCTTTTTAACTGTAATAGAAGCCATGATTGCTTTTCTCACCTCTGCTTTAAGGGTCACCTCTCGCACTCGCACTCGCACTCTCTCACACCTCTCGCTCTCTCTCTCTCCCTCTCTCACTCTCTTTCTCTGTTTCTTGCTGCTCTATCAATTAGGCTTGTTTGGCTGTGTGTCTGTGTGTGTGTGTAGCTAGGCAACCGTAAGTTATTCACATTCACCCACACACACACACACATACACACCCACACGCTGTTGAAATTGATAAGGACTAAGAATTGTTAGCGTCTGTTTTGTATTTTCAACATGATTTGTGTTGACCCAGTCAGTGTAGGAAAACGGGAACATGTTCTTAAGTGCCATAACATGGCAATTTTCGTTGTCATGCTGGAATGGTGGAATGATGGAAAGGTGGGTGCGGATAGTGGTGAGGGATGGGTGGGGGCGGGGGTGTGGAGTTGGTTCGCTTGTTTCGGTTGGTGTAGGTGGCGGGAAGGGGGAGAGGGTGAGGGTGGGGGTGGGGGCGGTGGTTTCACAAACAAGTCCGCCGCTCGTCGTTTTGTCCTGCGCCGACGCCGGGCTTTTGTTATTATTGTACGAGGCAACGGACGTATATAGAATATTGCTGCCTGACATGCGTAGTACGTTAGCCCTAACGTAAAACGTAATAATTCAACGTAAGTTCGAAGCGTGCTCAATGTGTGTGTGTCTGTGTGTGTGTGTATGCAAATGTGTGAGTGTGTGTGGGATATTTGCTTATGACCTGATTAAGCAGTGATAACACACACTCACTCACACACTCGTAGAAGTGCTTATCAAATTTGTGTAAGAAATCATCATCAATTTGAGTTCAAGCGGCATGCTTAGCGCGTTTAATGTATTTAACTAGTCCAAGGCATCGGGAATGCTCAAGCTGGTCAATAGCCACGCCCACTCCAAAAAAAAAACAGACTTGCCTTTCCTCTGCGTTGCGCGTGCCGTGTGGCGTGTGGCGTGTGTGGCAGTAACAGCAGCGCCGTCGACGTGTCGAGTCGCACAAGTTTCGTTTATCCGTCAACTGTCGCTGCGTTGACGTCTTTTGACGTCTTCAAGTCTTGGCCAACAGTTCCCAGCCATCGTGTGCAAAAAAAAAAAAACGCCCGGCAAATTTAAAGTTGCTTTGGGTTCGGCTTTTTCTTTTAATTTATACTTATATTTTCGTTTTTTTCTATTTTATTTTCGCATAAAATACACATTTATATCAAATATACTTGCAATCGCTCACTGCAAATCCTTAGCTGGATATTAATATATGAATATTAATATATATATATATGTATGTATGTATATGTGTGTGTACATGTGGCAAACAGCTGTTGGACATCAATGTTGTGTGTTGTACATAATAAAAGAAGAAAAACAACAATTTGGAGCTGTGCCACCTGCTAATTAACAACATGTTGCAGTCTCCGCTTCAATACATCAATATATATTTACATAAGAATCTGCTTTGAGATCTGGCCAATGTTGTTTCACCTGTAAGATGTGTATCTATATATATATATATATATATATATATATATATATGTATAAATATATATTTACTGTATGTCTGCTTATTGTATTTACTGACTGTATATTACGTATACGTCTTGGCAGTGTTTTCACCAAATATTCCGATGTTTTCATACAGACAGTTGTAGACAGACATTTGCAGACTACAGATACAGATGCAGATATATATATATATACATATATATAAATATAAATATATATTAACTCACTCGCTTTTGGGCTTTTCATTCAGCTTTTCTTCGTTGGCATTGGGCAACTTGTTAAAGAAACAACAATTTTTTTTCTCTATATATATATTTATATATATGTATATGTTTCTCTCATTTTTTTATTGTTTTATTTTTTGTTTTGGCAAGTTGCTTCACTGCCGTCCGTCGTCGCTGCCGTCTTTGTTATCTTTGGGCCAGTTTTTCGCGCACATTCGATTGAAGCGCTAAGAAACGCGGCTTTTTATTTTGTGATTTCCGAATTTTCACTGGTTTTTTTTTGTTTGTTTTTTTTTTGTTATTTGTTTTCTGTTTTCATGTTCTGTGCGTTGACGCAAGATTCAGCTTTAAATATAGGCAGCAAATATGTGTCCATAAGATACATTGATGACAAACTTGTGTAAAAATGCATCAAACAGCTGAAAGGAGATCCCATAAAAACAGATGTGCTCGTCAGCCTTGAAAACGGCTAAGCGATCAGCACTGATCTAGCGGATCTTCCTCATCACTTTCCACTCTCCAGTCATCACTCTCCACTCTGCAACTCTTAGCTGTTAGTTTCTAGTTAAAATTGAGCAGTGAAAACAGAATTAAAGAGAATCAAGTGCATTTGAAGCAAGTGAATATTGAGTGTGATAAATTTATCTGCGTGTTCTTGTGGAATAGATAGATATTTGCTGAAAAGATAAAGAAATGTTAAGAAGAAATTCACGCTTACTTCTCACACTAAAATTCAAACATTGTCTGCCTTCAAATCAGCATTCATTTAAAATAAAAGAAAAAGAATTCTACGAATTAATTAATGCGAGGAGTCTACTCGAATAAATCCTAAAATATTACATACATATGCAAATAGCTGTAATTACATATACACATACTCACTCACACTCACATACATACACACGGCTGTGTTTAGTTGCCAAACAGAATTGAATTGATGTTTTCTTGTCTGCCTCAACATGTGTACATAAATATATACTTATACATATACATGTACATATATATTTATGTGTGTGTCTGTAGGCGAATATGAAAAAAATATATCGCGCATACGTAACAACAAAATTGAAAACAACCGAAATAACGGTTAAAGGATAAAATGCATTTTGTGTGTGTGTGTGTGTATCCATACATATATGAATTTACATGCATGCGTATTTACTTCAATTCAGCTTACGCACACACACAAAGAAAAGTGGGTGGTGGGAGGTGTAGAAGTATACGAAACTTGTTGCTACATTTGCTTGTGAGATGCGTAGAATAACTGTGCATAACACAAACACATAGAAAAAAGTCTGTCTGTTGTCTGTCTGCCTGTGTGTTTGTCAATTGTACGTTGGTACAATTGTACCAAAAGTGGTACATTTCTTATGCACTGGCTGATGGAACGACTTCTTCCACTTTTGGTACATCGCACATCGAAAATGCTTTATTTATTTATATATATATATATATATATATATGTATTTTTTTATTTGTGTTGCAAAACGTTTTCCGCAAGTGGCAACTGTGAATTAATGTAGTAAAAAAAGAAAACTTAAACTGCAACTAAAACAAAAACAAAAATAAACATAGTACGTGGTACAAAATGATCGATTGGGTATCGATAGTGCGGCATTCGCGACGACGTTTCTCCAATTATGTTGGCTCTCGATCCCCGGTGCGAATGCGTCGACGTCGACGTCAGTTAACAGCGCCGTCGTCGTCGTCACAGCAGCACTCGCAACAGACGCAACAGTCGCAGCAGGCGCAGCAGTTGCAGTCGCAGCAACAACAGCATAAATCTCGTGTGCGCGAGAAGAGAGGCAAAGAGCAGCAGTATGTCAATGGTAACGGCGACGGTGACGTCGACGCCGACGTCGATGCTGGCAGTTATGTCTGCTGTTGTTCCAATGTAAGCAGTCAAATGTTATTATGTTATGCGTTCCATTTTATGCCAGAACTGGATTTAACAGAACATTGCTCAAAAATCTTTTGTATTAAGTTGTCAATTTCAGAATCAAGTGGAATTTTGGAATCACAACTGAAAATTGAAATGCATTTGATAAATTTCTATAAATTATATAAACATATATACAAATCTTATTCGCAGAACCAACGCATGCGCATCGAGTCCGATTGTGAGAATGCCAAAGATGCCACTGCCACAGAAGATGCCGCAGTGCAACAAGTGCGCAACGCTCGCTCGCCCCAGCAACAACAACAGCAGCAGCAGCAACAAGTGGTTCAACAGTTGCAACAACAACAACAACAGCAGTCGACAGCAACTAGAAGCGGGACTCAGCAGATTGTAAGTGGCTGCAATTGAAATTGAATCATATTTTTGCTCGAAATCATGTCAAACTAATACTCGAATCGAAACAAAACAAAACAAAAACAAAAACCAAAAAAGGAAAGCACAAAAAAGTCACCCGCCAGTTGTTCCAAGTTGTTGCCCGAACATTCCAACATGCTTAAGAAAGCGAAAGAAAAAAAAAACAAATAATAATAGCAATAATAATAATAATAATAAGAACCGGATTTCCATAATCTCTGCAAATTGTTTGGCTGTGTTGGTAATCGGTCAGCTTAATTTGGCGCTTCATTTGAAATGAAATGGCTGCGAATGCCGCTTGTTTCCGTTTCCGCTCGAACTCTTGTTGTACCATTTTTATTTTTCTCTTTTTTTCACAGTATTTGCAGTTATCGTTTTCCGTTTTTTGTTGTTGCCAGTGTTCATAATGCCCACTGTTTTTTTTTAGCACCGTTTCTTTATACATACATATTCAAATATTAATCACGCTGTTTTTAATCAAAACAAAAATTTGTCATTAAGCTAATTAAATCTCATGTAATCCACAAAAAAATCATACACATTTATCTAAATATATATATGTATATATATATATATATATTTATATTATTTTATATTTCAAACGTTGTCTTTATTGTTAGCTTGTTTACATTCGATCATCTTTAATTTAGGCATGTCTTTGTTTTTATTTAGATTGTAATATTAAATGATATAAAGCACTTATGTTTTGTGAAAGACATTAAAACGACAAATGAATCATAATACATATATTTTATTGTATTTTATTTTAATTGTTTTATTTGCAATTTATATGGTTTGTATATATATTTATTGTCACCACTACTCGCAATTTATTTTTGCTGAAAGACTTTTAGTTGCAGGATTTTCTATTTAGGCTAGTTAACTATTTAGAAAATTGATATTATTTCTGAAGTAGAGAAAAATGTGGAGAAAGCTAACTCCTCGTTTTTGGATATTCCTTTGAACTTTTTCCTTTGTTGCTTTTGTCACTTAATTGTGAATATGTAATTGATTGTAACTGAACTCTATTTTGAGAGTAATTTTGTGTTATTGAAACTTGTTTTTTTTTATATAATGGGGATTTCAAAGTTGCGCGGCTGGCTTAGAATCAACTCTGATCTAGTCCCACCCGGCATAAGCCAACACTGATGATTGCGATCGATAGTATCGCTACAGCAGCATCGATAGGTAGGCTTAAGGCTATCGATCCTAAGTTCCGTCGCTAGTAAACCAAGCGCAAGCGTCACTCCCAAGATAAAAATGTAAAAAATCATAAGTCGTGCGTGTCAATGTGCAATCGTATGTAAATTTAAATACATAATTATCGCGAATTGATTAGGACAGCACCGATTGAATATAGAGTCAAGGAATTTAAAGAATTCAGAACTATAACTGTGTACGGTGTTGCCAGCCCCGAGACCGTATAAATATATATAAGCGGTAATATAACCGGTTACGCATACCAAAACATCGCAACGATAGGTTTCTGTTTTGCGTACACGCTAGTGATGGACAGTCGGTTGTGTTGTGTTGTGCTTATGGGCTTGGCAGTAATCGTCAGTCGCTGACTCGCTAGAAAAATGCCAACAACACAACACGGCAAAATAGGCAGGCATCGCATAATTGCGGCGTAAACGCACCCAACAAATTATATATGTATATATATATATATATATTTGAACGGTCTGTGAAAATCTGCAACAAACGAACGGGCGAACGAGCGAACGAACCCCATTTGGCCAAATCAATGCAAGCGGCTAGTGAAAATGTGTGTGTTTCACACATTCAAGTGAACTAAAAAAAAATACCACAAACAAAATGTGCATGAAATCTAAAATTTTTTTGTTGTTTTTTTTGTATACAATACAAATGTACATGCATACGTAGAACATACCAAAACAGTTCGAATAACGTTAATGTTTCGAAATTTTGTGCCTTTTTACATTCGTTCGAATCGCACATATACTCTAGCACATGTATCTATGTATATACACAGACGCATACACGTACACACACATATATATGTAGGTTATACACATGCAAGGCGTAGCGCAAAAAATACCAAAATAGTAGTCGGCGTTGACACAGAGAACGAGAGCGAGAGAGCGTGTTTAGCGTTTAGCGTTTCTTGTTTTTGTTTTTTTTTTCGCTGTTCTCTGTGGCAAACAATAAGTGAAGAAAATACTTGTGTGTGTGTTGGTATGTAATTTGGAAAGCATAACTTATACGTGAATTTACAAATGTGTGTGTGTACATATATATATATATAAATATATATATATATATATATATGTGTGTGTGTATTAGAAGATTCTCTCACGCTGAGGGAACAGAAACCGTTGAACAGCAAACCGTCCGCAGCAAGCTTGGGCGATAGTTGTAGTTCGAACTTGCTCACGTTGGCAACGCGCCGCTTTTTTTTGTGTTGTGCTTACAAATAAAATTAGTTATTATTTATTTTCATTTTTTGTTGTTGTTGTGGATGACACTTGTTAGCGTAGGCGGCGCGTGAGACACGCGGCATATCTGTGCACAAGTGTGTGTGTGCTGTGTATTACTTTTAAATTAAAAACAAACAAATAAAGAATAAACAGAAGAGAAATTTATAACAATTTGTTGAAACGTATCAACAACAACAATAACAAATTGCGTAAACGTTTACGCCAACTGCAACCGGCAACCGGTCGTGATTTGTGATTGTGTCGTGCTACGTTACGTTCCGTTACGTTACGTTACGTGAACCGCTAAGAGAAAAGAGCCGCGCGTTGTGATAATAATTATATTAATAATACTAATATGACCACACGCAAAAAGAAGCGACAGGATGGTGGCAGCGGTAGCGGCGGCGGCGGCAGCAGCGGTGGCTTCATTAAGAAAGTCTCATCACTATTTAATTTGGATTCGGTAAAGAAATACAAAAAAAAGTGTTTAACTCCCAGTTACAGATTTCCATGCAAATTAGAACAGTTGGATAAATTGACAGTTAGATTTAAATGCATGCAAATATATAAATTTCATACGAATTATCGATTGTATCGGGTTAGAACAGATTAGAACCGTTCGATTAATTGACAGTTAAATTTTGTGTAGTAGCAGCAGCTTTTACATGGGTATCGATAAATATAAATCTGTCCCCCTCCCCCTTCCTCCTTTCCCACCAACCGAATTCGATTTATGCAATATCCGCTTTTGGCAGCCAGCGAAGATTTCGCATCTGCTCTTTTTATATATATATCTCAATGATGATTCCATGGGTTATTTTTAAATTCCGCCACACATTCGGAGAAGCATAAATGGAACAACAACAACAGTTCGGTTTGCATTGCATTGTGTAGTGAATTTGCGTGTATGAGTTTTAGTAAATGAATTTACGCATGCGCAGCCCAATTTCTACCTCAACACAACAAACGATTGCACATACGCAGTAAACGTAAATACACACATACACACGCATACGCAGCTGCAGTCTATGCTTGTGAGTGTGAACGTGCATTGTAAAACACCCTCTCCCTCTCTCTGTACTATGCATATTTTTGCATGCATGCGTGTGCGTCTCTGTGTGTTGTGTGTCGTGTGCGTGTGCGTGTAAACAGTGCTCTTTACTTTAGCTGCTCTCTCTTTACTCTCTATCTCCCTCGCTCGTTTTTAGCAGGTCCAATTTGCTCAAAATAGATCTCGCTGCTTGTCTGAAAAGCTTTGCTTGCTGCTCTCCTCACTCTCTCTGTATGGGGATGGTTGATTGATGAATGTGTTTGCTTATAGTGTGCGTTCGATAAAACGGACATCATTTCCTACATTGTCCACAGATATTATTGAAATATTTAAGCAACTCTTTTATATGTATACATAAACGATTGAATTCATAAAAATTATTCGATTTGTATACAATTGATTTCCTTGGGTTATCAAAAACAAAAAGAAATCAGCAACAACAAAATAAAAAAAAAAGTGGATATTATTGCCTACTCATTTAACAAGCAAGACACGTCTTTCTTCGTGTGCGTGTGTGTGTGTGCATTGTGTGCAGGTGTCGATTTATTTAGTTTCGCGAACGTATATAATACAACTGTATATACACATATATATGGCATTGTTGCCATTGTTTGTATGCGTGTGTCTGTGTGTGTGCATGCAGTTTTGGCTCATCGTCAAACGCCGTCGCCGCATCATCCATCGTCACTCACTGCGAGCGAGAGAGAAAGAGAGAGAGGAGGCGAGCTGAAAAAGAAGAGCATTTAATCCACCACACCCCAAAACAACAACAAAAAACATTCGTTCTCATTCTGCATTTGGTGGCAAATTTTGCCTTGCACAGACAGACTTGCATACAAACTTCTTACATGCGTATGTGTGTATGTATATATATCTATATATACATATGTGAGTCAATGAGTAGCGGAGTAAACGTTTTCTGCATTTGCAATAAAACACAAATAATTCATTGAGAAACACGTACAATTCTTCAATTTGTACGTGAAATTAATCAAAATATATTCACTTTAAATTAATTTTTAAGAAAATCTTTTATCACAATTGAATATTTTCTGCGTAACTTTTGCCCAGTGTAGATAATTAGTATCTAAAGCAGAGCATTTCAAGGGTACACAATAATAAATTATGTGTGTGTGTGTGTGTGTGTTTACTCATAGTATGTTGGCAAGTGTTGGCGCTGCCTTGTACGAGCTTCCGCCAAGTAAATAAACGACAACAATGCGTGTGAGTGTGTGCGTGTGTGTGTGTGTATGTCGTAATTCACCCAATTCGAATTCCAATTCCAATACGAATTCCAAGCAGCAGGACCATTGTCAGAATATTCTTCATATAATTCTTACTGATAAGATAAGTTGGTCAACACTCTGATATGATATGTCGACAACTATGTTGCCAATCTACATGTGTGTGTGTGTGTGTTTGCCGTTACAATTTGTGACTAAAACCAAAACCACAACAATTGAAAATACCTTTTGCGGTTATCGTTGTTGTTAGTTGTTAGTATTAACAATTAAGCGACCTTCGGGCGAAAGATACATCAAAGTGTCTCACACATAACACACACACACACACTTGACATATTGAACCGGCTAAAGTCAAAGTTTAATAAGCAATAATTCGAATGCAGCTCATAAAACGATGCTTCAAGTTTTGCATTCGGCTTGCAATTTGTGTGTGTGTGTGTGTGTGTGTGTGTGTGTGTGCGAGCTTAATGAATTCATTTACACTCAGTTGCTAATCAATTGGACGCGTGTATGTGAAAACGTTGCAATACTCACACACACATACACACAGCCGAATGTTGTTGCTTAATGTTTCCATTCATTGATGACAATTTCTATAGATTGTTGTTTATTGGGTGTGGCAGCCAGCGTGTATGTGTACACACACATATATATATACATATATATATATATATATATATATATACATACATACATATAGATTATATGTTTTGATTTCGTTTTGAAATTGTGTTGGTTCATGGCAAATATTTCCTAAACTAAAATGACCAAAACATTTTCTGATATTCGATTAAATTACTCAGCAGTTGAAAAATAGGAGAACTCTACGTGGAAATCTGAAGAAAACATTTTCCTTTCATAGATCCGTTCTACAAGTTTAATTTATTTTTTAATTTTGCGGCTTTTCTTGTTTATAAATTTGAATCTGTTGAATCTTGTACTTAGATGTGCAACATGTGTTCCACATGCAAAGAACATGTGTATCGAATAAATATTTGCCATATATTTATATATATTATATATAATAACACTTGTTTAGCTGAATCCCAAAGAGCATTAAGCGATTCAATCTCATGATGATAAACAATTCCAACAATAAAAGTGGTATTTTTATTTATAATTATTGTAAAAACATATATAGCTCTTTTTGGTTGATCTGCCAAGTAGGCCTTCGTATATATTTTAAGACTGTTTCATAAAGTTAAGCAATATCTTATTTGGCACATAAATTCGTCGATTTACTCACAATTTTAAGTTTTCTCTCTTTGGGCCAATGATTTTCAGCTACACAAGGCATCCTCGACGAAGGTAAGCAGCGCTCAAATGCAACTCTGTGTTTTGTGTGTGAGATAGAGATATATATATATATATCTATATATATATATATATATGATCTCTTTCTGTCTGTTCAACAAATTCAATTTGATCGCCTACTTATGAACTAAACAGGTGGATAAAACCATACATACATATCATACATACATCAATAATAATAATAATAATATTAACTGATTGTTAATCATCATTGTTTTTGGTCGCTTGTCCTTGTTCTTGTCCTTGTTTTGTGATATCTCGCATTGCCAACAAACATCAACTAAAACATTTGATATCTAAAATAGTTGATAGAAATAGTCAAAATGGGTTTCTAATGCGTGTTTTTCAACGTTTGAATGTTTCAGGTAAACGGCGATGATAGCTGGTATTATGAGGACATTCAGCTGGAGCGTGGCAACTCTGGCTTGGGCTTCTCGATTGCTGGTGGCACCGATAATCCGCACATTGGCACCGACACATCCATATATATAACGAAACTGATACCGGGCGGTGCTGCTGCCGCCGATGGACGCTTGAGCATTAACGATATTATTGTGTCTGTCAATGATGTATCCGTTGTGGATGTGCCCCATGCGTCCGCTGTGGATGCATTGAAGCGGGCTGGCAACATTGTCAAGCTGCATGTGAAGCGAAAACGTACAGCGAGCAGTGCAACGCCCACAACAGCAGCTCCATCAGTCGATGTGCATGATAGCGCAAGTGGAACGGCAACAACGGGCACCGGAACGGGAACTGGAACGGGAACGGGTCCAAAGGTGATCGAAATTGATTTGGTCAAGGGTGGCAAAGGATTGGGCTTCTCGATTGCCGGTGGCATCGGTAATCAGCATATACCCGGCGACAATGGCATCTATGTGACAAAGCTCATGGACGGCGGAGCTGCTCAAGTCGATGGTCGGCTCTCCATCGGTGACAAGCTGATTGCGGTTCGCACCAGTGCCGTGAGTTGTCCTCCTTCCTTCATCTATAAACTGAAAACACTTAACCACTTTCTCTCTCTCGCTTTGCACAAACAGGGTGAAAAGAATTTGGAGAATGTGACGCACGAATTGGCTGTGGGCACGCTCAAGTCGATAACCGACAAGGTGACGCTTATTGTTGGCAAAACACAGCATTTAACCAGCAGTGCATCACAGTCGGCCGTTCAACTTGGCCAGCAGACGCAGTCGCACTCCCAGTCACAAACCCAATTGGCTGCCACATGGCAACAGCAGCAGCAACAGCAGCAGCAGCAGCAACAAGTGAATTCGGAATCTGCAGGTGCGCTTAACAATGTTGGGCAGTCAGTTGTTGATTTAGCCGCATCAGTCCCAGAGCCATCAGCCATCATCAATTCCACAATCCACACAACCATTACCAACACCACCAACAACATCATTTTCACCAATGACACCAACAACACCACCAACACCAATTTAGGCCCAAACAACTTACAGCAACATGCTGCTGCTGTTGCCACCACAGTCAGTAACAACGGCAGCAGTAGCAGCAGCGGCGGCGGCAACAGCAGTAGCAGCAACAACAACAACAATCTTAACAATAATAATAACAACAACAACAGCAGCAACAACAGCAGCAGCAACAACAGCAGCAGCAACAACAGCAGCAACAACAGCAACAGCAAAATCAACAACTACAATAACAACAGCAGCAGCTTAGTTGCAACTGCCCAAACACCAACACCACCCGCCTCAGCCTCCGCCCCAGCCTCCGCCTCCGCCCCAGCCTCCGCCTCCGTCTCTGCCTCTGCTATAGCTTTTAATGCCAAGCTTGCAATGCCTGCGATGGCTGCTAGCAGCGCAGAGCTCAGCCGATCCCAATCAACCTTGCCAAGGCGTAAGCGAATCATTTGTTGTGAATTCAAATCAATCTTCAACTAATCACACTCCTCGTATTAACCCCATCTCTTCTCTATTGCATCTCAAAACCGAGTCCTATTATATCATTCAGCAGCTAAAAAAGTCCTCGAATGATCATAACGAAATTAGCATTGCATAAACACACACACCTAAATATATATATATATATATATAGATAGATATATAGATATAAATATATATACAGTTGCGAAAAAAATAATAGCACCACGATTCTGGCAATTTTTTTAATTAAATTAAGTTGGTTTTTAATAGATTCTAGATCTAGTAAATATATTATCACCACTTTCGCACTTTATAGAAATAGAACCGTTATTTCTAGTTTCCTTAATTATAAGAACACATTTAAAAAATTGTTTTGTTTTTGTGTTAATTTGTTTTCTTTGTCAAAAATGTATTATTCTAATTTGAATTCAATTTAAATAACTTTCTCACTTTATTTTGTCTTCTTAAGAGTCTTCTTCTACTTCTAAAAACGTATTCACAAGTTCCTTAAAAAGGACACACTTGAAAACATTTCCTGTGAGAGTAATGTTAATATTTTTTTTTTTCGCAACGGTACACATATATATCTATAACTTTGTATATATATTTATATATATATAGTATAAAAAATGAGTTTGGAGGCAGTTTCTGAATTTAGACAGGGATCTCACTACTAACTGCTGCTCATCTATTTGCTCCTATAACTTTCCTTCTCTCTCTAACACTTGGACATATGTATATCTCTTTCTATCATAGTCGTGATTAGCTCGATCTCTCTCACTCTACATGACAAATGAGCTTCGGCGATCTATCTGTACAGAGGATAGATCTCCACAGGCTTTTTGCTTGTGCGTGTTTGCTTGCTAAGCTGCTAGTTTTTAGTGTGTTGTTTGTTATAACAGTAATTTTGGAACACTGGCTGGCCGCCTCCCCTGGCTGGCAGTCCATTCCAAATCCAAATCCAAATCGAATCATTTGACACGACAAATGCAATTGTAGCCTGCCTAACATTATATATATTTCAACATGCATGCATCACTTTTAATTATACTTTAGTCCATGTCTGTTTTCTATACTTATTATAAGATCATCCTTTCAATCGTGTCCTCTTCAAGCACATTCATATATATATATATATATAAATATATATGTATTTATATTTTACGCGAGTTTAATTTTGTTTTGGTCTTACAATGTTTCTGTTAGCTAAATAATGATTTTTAACTACATAAAAGAATAGTAAGTGTGCTTTTCCCATTTCGATTTGCACAAAAATGCAATCCATATTCGAAGGATTCATGTTTCTCTGTATCTCGGATATACATTGTTCATTTATATATTTATTTTTCAATTTTCGTGGCATATCTACGATGTTGACAACTCGACAACATTTGATAACAATATAAATTGTTCAGATTATTTTCTTTAATTAAGAGCAGCGCTTATCTATTCTACTTTTATTTATGTCTGACACTTTCTCTCACTTAATTGATGGTTTCTTTTACTGGTTTCTGGTTTCTGGTTTCTCCTCCTTTAAGTTCTCCTCCTATACCTATTTAACTTTTTACATACCACTGGCAAGGGATTCGATGCGATGCAATGCGATTCTCTTGTGCTGTGGATCTCTATAAGCCATTCACTTATCAAGATATGCGATTTCGCGACCTCCACTAATCCTCCCTTACCCCTTTCTCTTTCATGTCTCAATATATGTGCCACTTGTGTGTGTGCGCCTTACTTTGTGTGTATTGTATGCAAACGTTCACGTTACACGCGTTGTGTGGTTCTTAATTATATGAATACCAAAAAAAAAAAAAAAAAAAAACAACCAAAACTAATAAACCATATATAGAGCCCGGCTCAAGATATGCATCCACGAATGTCCTGGCGGCCGTGCCACCGGGCACACCACGCGCTGTCAGCACAGAGGATATAACCAGGTGAGTGGTGCTCTTCCTTCGTATGTATATATGTATATGTATGTATATATAAATATATATTGCGATTGTTAGTATATGTTGAGCTTTAACTAATTTGTGCATATTTGCTTATGAATTGGATGCAGAGAACCACGCACCATCACCATACAAAAGGGACCTCAGGGTCTGGGCTTCAACATAGTCGGCGGCGAGGATGGCCAGGGTATTTATGTATCATTCATATTGGCCGGCGGTCCGGCGGATCTTGGCTCCGAGCTGAAGCGGGGCGATCAACTGCTCAGTGTGAACAACGTCAATTTGACGCATGCCACGCACGAGGAGGCGGCACAGGCGCTAAAAGTGAGTACCATCGCTCAACTATATCACAGTCACATTTATATATATATATATATTTATGTATATATGTCTACTTTCGTGCATATAGACGTCTGGTGGAGTTGTCACATTGGTGGCACAATATCGGCCGGAGGACTACAATAGATTCGAGGCACGCATCCAGGAGCTTAAACAACAGGCGGCGCTTAGCGCCGGTGGCTCTGGCACCCTGCTGCGTACTACACAGAAGCGTTCGCTATATGTGCGCGCCCTCTTCGACTATGATCCAATTCGCGATGATGGGCTGCCGTCGCGCGGCCTGCCCTTCAAGCATGGCGACATTCTGCATGTGACCAATGCCTCCGATGATGAATGGTGGCAGGCACGACGCGTCCTCGGCGACAATGAGGACGAACAAATCGGTATTGTGCCATCGAAGCGGCGCTGGGAGCGTAAAATGCGTGCACGTGATCGTAGCGTTAAGTTCCAAGGACATGCGGCGGCTAACAATAATCTAGATAAGGTAATAATAATCATCATTAGCCCCTTAATTTGGTACCATTAACTGGATGGAGTAGGAATATCGCGATATTTGATGTTTCTTCAGTTCAACTGGAACTACAACTTTATGTTCTTTATATATTTATATATATATATATATATATATATATATATAGACAGACAACCTGTACTTTCTTATTGTATCGCCAGTTAATTTGGCCAACTTAACATGTTAACAACAGCTGTATATATAAATACTACACACATTGAATGCAACATTTAACGAAATCACTTCTCTCTTCTTGCAGCAATCAACTTTGGATCGCAAAAAGAAGAATTTCACATTTTCACGCAAGTTTCCATTCATGAAGAGTCGCGACGAGAAGAATGAAGATGGCAGTGACCAAGAGCGTAAGTAGAAAAGCGCCAACGTCAACTGATGTCCGACCAAAAAAAAAAAAACAGCATTATGTATAATAACAACAACAACAATAAGAACAACAACAACAGCAATAAGAGCAACAGCAACAGCAATAAGAACAACAAGAATAGCGTCAACAGATCAACAATTTATTTAGTTAATAATTTGTTAAATGCTTTCTCGCATTCTTTACTTAGCTTTATTCTCAATCTGTTGAATGTTTTTCGTGTGCCATCTATTTTTTATGTGTGTGAGTGTGTGTCCTGTCTCTCTCTCTCTCGCTCTCTCTCTCTCTCTCTCTCTCTGTCTTTTTCTCTCTGTGCGTGTGCGTGTGTGGCTGTGTATCGACACTCAAAGATTGTACTGTTAAAAAAAAATATATATATATATTTATAAATCGATTGTTATTTTTTAAAATACTTTCTTTTAGTTTTTAAGTAAAAATGTTTTGTTTTTTTTTTCTTTCTGTTTTAAAATGTTTTTAATCTGTTCTTGGTCATGTTAAATAAATTTTCAAGACTATTATTAACTACATAGATGTTCCAAAATTATTGTCGACTATATTTAAAAAAAAACTGTACATTTTGACACGCCTCACGCATCTATTCCGAGTGCTTTGCGGCACTTAGTCCGTCCAACTGTTCATTTGAAGACGAATTACTCAATCGATATTATGTCACTTAAAGTTTAAGTAAAATTCGGCTTGGTTTCGAATACATACATACATACATGTTGTATTGTTTGTGTTTTGTTCTGTTTTTTTTTCTGAGTTTTTTGTGTTTTTTTATGTGTTTTGCTTTTTCAACAATTATTTCATGCATTTAATGTTTTGTTTATATTCTCTTTTTATTTATTTTCATATTTGATTGTCTTGTTTCACACATGCGATTGTCCTCGGCGGATCCAAACAAATCCTTAAATGAATCATTCACACAAACTCTCTTACACACATACACACAAAATACACATCACATCACTGTGCGCGTGGACTACATTTACCAACAACATACAATTTTGTGTGTGTGTTTCTCTCGTTGTGTATGTGTGCGTGCTGCTGCTGCTGCGTCTGTATGTGTGCCAAACAAAAAACATGTGAACTTCCTACTTGTGGTGAAAAACATTTAGCGAACGGATTTGTGAACAGCAACAGTGAAATCGATGTGAACAATGTTAATAATAACCAAGCAAATGATCCGCAGCGTAAGTGTGCATTATGTGTGTTGTTCCATTCCATATCAGTTACATATATTTACATATATACATATATATATATATATATATATATATATATGCTGTGGGAGATAAGTGTGTATATGTATATAGATAATACTTCTATTAACTATATACCTGTGTATATTTGAAGTTTGTATAACCAGCTTTTGGAATATGTGTGTTGATGTATAGTCTATTTTGGGTTTGTTTAAACATAAGTTTGCACCTGGTTTATGTTATACACTGGCCTTATCAAAAAAAAAAAACGAAAATTTGCTTTTGGAAGCGGGTCTGTTGACATTATCTACTAACCAAGAACACATACAACTTTACATACATATCCATGCATATTACCTACATTTATTTTTAAGAGACACTCACACACACACACACAGACACACATTCGATTTACATACATATATATGTGTAATTTAGCGTGAATGTATCAAGTACTTGAGTATATATAATCTTACTGTCAACGTGCTTCAGCGTTCGCTACAACAACAAAAATAACTATTTATAATCTATGCTCATTCCATAATGTACCTTTGTATATACCATATGCATATGTGTATGTGTATGTGTATGTTCTGCGCTATTGCTATTTGCTATGTGTGTACGCATATACATGTACATCTCAAACCAGTACTGCTACTCTCTATAAGCTAAAGAACGAGGAACAAGAGAAAAGGAAAAGCAACAACAACAGCAACAACAACAAATAATACTGTAAAATCAAGAGTTCCGTTCTCTCTCTCTCTCTGTCATATCTCTTACATCATTCACCATCGCAATTACACGCAAAAATGTGTGTGAAATGTGGATGAAAGAAAGAAGGAAAGAAAGAAAAAAGAAACTATTTCTCATCTCTCATAATTAACATGTACTACAAATCTATTTACCTATTACTATTTACATATTTATCTAATTTTTACTACTATTCTGTTTTAAACTGACCAAAGCGTATATCTTTTTCGATTCTCTTTTTGTTTTTCTCTTCATTTTTCTAGCTTTTATGCTTTGCTACACACAAGACGATGCCAACGCTGAAGGAGGTATGTACTTGACTATAAACTTGAAGATTAACTAGAAGCAGCCAATACACATTCAGTTACACACATAACACACACGTACACACCACCTATCTATAATTATATGCATATTAATGCATATATATATGTATATAATTGTATTCATTCACATTACTTTACATTACTTACAATTTAAGCAAACTAATTATGTGTTTCCTCAAAATCATAAATACATAAATACATACATACATACATACATACATACATATATACATACATACACACACACATGTATCTTTTGTGTACTTGTATCTATGGCCTAACACAAGATGAGTTAAGTTACATACTTACTTATATGCATACACATAAAGACGACAGTTACATAAGCTCTACACTAACTCCAAACTTACCAAAACTCAGTAATCAGCAATCACTTTCACTTTTAGCATTTTTATTATATAGATTAATATCTAATCTTTGACTCATTTCCAACATTTCACACACGTATTTACATGCATACATACATACATACATACATGTTTTGCATACGTCATAAGTAACAAATTATTAATATAATGCTCATTAATATTTATATTTTGTATATTATTATTTTTTTGGTATTTCGATTTATTATCACATCATACTTTCTTACATACTTAAATACTTTATTCGTTATTATTAGCCGTTTCTTATGTATTATACGTAAGCATATATGAACATATACCTGGTACACACTTACACATAAATCATACATAGTTATATCCTCAAACAGACCCTAAATCGTAAAATGATAGCCAATTTTTCAATACTGCGAGGAATCCACAGATATACAACTTGCGCTAGGACTACCTAAATAACTACTATATTCGATCAATTTGATCAATAAGCGTTCCTTGCTCCCAATTGCTGCAATTGTGCAATTTAAACCGTTAGGCGAAATTCATTATTATTAAAGAACAAACAAAAAAACGTCTTTTTTTTTTTTTTAGGTACAAAAAAAGACACACATGTTTGTAAATATTGATATTTTTATTGTAATACTACTTTCTGTTCCATATTTTGTACGATTCAAAGTACTTATATATTGTGCATATGTATTGATATATATATTTATAAATATATAGGTATATGTATCTTGTGATGTAAGACTCATTCCACATATACTTTCGTCGTATATATTAACGTAATCCTCATATTCCTTAGTTAGATGAAGTATATATGTACATATATACTATATATATATATACATATATATTTATATATATATACTATATACCATATATATATATATACTAGAACCTAATACTCGGCAACGAAATTTAACTTTCAAAGTTAAAAAAATATATATAAAGATATATGTATGCCGTCGTCAATGAATTTTCACAAAGATCTTTACAAATGGTTTTTTAAATGATCTGATCGGCTGAAAAACGAGTAAGTTGCATGCAACGGTACTTTGTGAATTTGGAAATGATATTTTCCGAAAATTTCGTCTTACGCCACAAAATGAAACAAATGTGAAAATTATAGCCAATTGCTATTTGACAATTGCCAATCAGGCTAAACTTTTGTTTAATATATATATGTAGATTTATATATATGTAGATTATATATAGAGATTATGTGTTTCCAACAAGACTCTTCCTTTTGATTATCTATCGTTTAAAGCTTAAACTAAATTGTTTGGTTCTTTGGTATTCTTCAGGATTGTTGTACTTCAATACACTATCCCGTATAATGTATAACCAACTAAAATATTGTTAACAAACGCTGGAAACTCAATTGTAATTGATTAATTTTCCTCTAGCGATTGTCTCTCGCTTGCACTCAAATACTTGTAAAATGAAAAACACATTTATAAATTATACTCTACTCGTCCCATCAAAACGCTTTTATGAATGTATAATTACCCACCTCAGGTACGAAATACTAAATAGATCTGGGAAATATTAAAATCGACAGTGTTTCAAAACTGTTTTGTTTTGTGCAGGCCTCTTTTAATTATTATTTTTCTGATGATCTGATGAGTAGAAGGTCGGTCTTTCGATGCCAATACATATACATATGAATATGTTTGTATATACATAATAATATTCGTGTGTGTGTGTGTGTGTGTGTGTGTGCGTGTGTGCGTGTGTATTATTCGTCAGTTGTCGTTTCATTGTGTCAATTTAAGTTAACTAATAAGTAAGTGTATACTTATTAAGTACTTATATTTACACTGGTGTACACACTCAACAGGACTCCTCGATTTCTATATATGTACTCGGTTTACCTATGTTTATCAATTCACTTTGCTAATACCAATTCTATTATTATTATGTTATTATTATTGTTATTATTTTTATTGATTATCACATTGATAGCATTTTGCTTTTGAACAACCCCCAAATCCATGTTGAACTCGACAATAAATCGTTGAAATACTATACTGACTAGGGAATTTGGTTTATATTTTGCTTCATTTCTCTCTGACACTCCCATTCGTTTGGTTATCTTTTCTTTTCGTCTTGTAAATATTCACAACTAACAGATACATACATACATACATACATATGTACTCAAAGTCTGACCTGAATAGCCGACTCAGCAAATATAGTTGGCCAGTTGTCAGACCTTTCAAGATTTTTGGTTGCCCTTAGGACTTTTTATTGTTTTCAAGTTTCGCTCGCATCAGGGCATACATACATACACACATAAGAACGTACACGAACACACACACACACACACACACACACGCACACACACACACACACAACTGCCACAACCAACCACCAAAAATAGACAACAAACAGCTTGTCTACAAAGTTCATTTAAGTTTAGCAGGCTCTAATACATGCATATATATATTTATATATGTACATATATATATATATATATATATATATATCGATGATTAATTTTGTTTATCTTTTTCTTTCTTTTTCTTTAATAAACGATTTCCTTTTGACTTAACATTTGTGTGTGAACTGTTTTGAATTTTTGCGTTCAACAATTACAAAAAACAAACAAACCAAATTCAAATATATTTACCAACTTATCCATCTACTTTCTGCTGCCTACTGCTATTATTCGACAATACTTCTTCTATCACTACTATAATAATACCACTACTACTACTACTACTACTACTACTACTACTACTTCTACTACTACTGCCACAACAACAACTACAACAACAACAACATCAACTACAACCAAAACTTTAACTTTAACTATCTCAAACTATTTACTGTGTGTTATTGATACGACATTGTTATAATTTCGTTACGTTTGATAATTTACATATAATATATATTATATATCTACTTAAAATCATCTTAATCGTAATTTGGCAAAAATAAAAAAAAAACAACAACAACAAACGAATATCACAAACAACATCCAAACAAACCTATAATGAAAAAAAAAAACAAAAAACAAAAAATTTGTCAATATGTTACATATACATATTCTTGTTTTGTTTTACAAAACTATTCCAATATATATTTAATTCTTGTTATTTGAATTGAAACAAAATAACGTCCTCAACTGGTTGACAAAATCCGTTGTACCTTTATACATATCAATCAATCTACATCAATATATTTATAAATGTATAAATATATATTTGTTACAACCATGCGCTCGTTCATGTACTGCGACAACAACAACTACTAAATTAATCAACTACTATCAACCCCGTACATCACTACTACCAACCAACCAACCAAACAACCAACCAACCAATCAATCAACCAACCAACCAACCAACCAATCAATCAATCAATCGACCAACCTATATTTGATATATATATATATGTATATCGTACGTATGAAAACGCAATGCGCACAGGCGAGATTATCTACAGAGTGGAATTACCCGATATGGAGCAGATAACTTTAATCTACTTGGAGAATAATGATGCTGACTATCGTAAGTCGAGCAATTAAGCAACAATTTTTGTAAAAGAACCAAACAAACCATATAAATGCAACAACAGATATAAAGGCCTTAAAATATTACAAATAAATTCATTAAAGCTTACGTTCTTTTTTTTTTTTTTTAAAGAAAAAAAAAATAGGTCTAAAACCAAAACAATATCAAGAATATATATACATATAGTTTTATTCTCTTTTTGTTTTTTAATAATTTTAGTTATCAAACAAAACGAAAACTGCAAGCAATATTTATTTTAAAATGCCGGTTACTTGGTTAGTTTCCTCTCTTGCCCTCTCTTTTGCACACACTCTATCTTTCTCTCTCTCTCTCTCTCTCGCTCTCTCAGTCCATTATCATACTCTCCAGCTTGGTTTTTCGCAGTATTTTTCCAAAAATTACATATAGTGAATAATTGATTCGAATTTCCCTTCAAATTTCTGATAATAGAAATTTCCTAGCAATCACAATTATTTTCGAATTGATTTTTAAGCATAATGGTTCTTGTTTTATTAAAGATCTTCTTTCGTTTCTCCGCATCAATCCAGCTTTAAGTTCTTCCACACTTTTTATTTGCCTGCTTGTGTCCATTTATCTAAATACTTTTACTCTATATTCGATAGATATATACATACTTGTCACAAAAAAAAAAACAAACAGTTAAACTAACCAATCCATATTTTTAAATAAAGCTTCGATTGATTTGAAATGAATATGATGCAATTCCATAACCGATTCACACTTCGTTCATTCAGAACTAGTTACTTTGAGTGCATTACAATTTTGTAAATAATTTTATTAAAAGCTGACGCTGATGCTTTGAGCCCACTGCTGATAACTTCTGTGGGAGTATTCAAAGGCATTTGTTTTAATGAACGAAATTGTCTTAGAAACCCTCTTTTTACTCCATTAGAAGGTTGTTGTTACTCCGTAGATTAGATGAGCCATAATATTTGCGATTGTAGTGCTTAGTTCTACTTCGACCTGATCGATCTCCTTTATATTTCCTTTCCGTTTTCGCTATTTGTTCGTTTTCTTATTCATTTTGTTATTGTTTTTTTCTTCTTCTTCTGTATGATTCTTGATTCGTTTACCAAGCGTAATTTGATTGTATTTGCTTAGTTTTATGCTGTGCTTTGTCCATTCCACAATTATTCCTTTTGAACATATATTCTGTAGCGATCTGCAATCAATCGTAAAAGCAAACGTTAAAAGTCGAACCTATTCAACACCGATAGATGTATTGTTATTGTCATTTATCGTTATCGATATCGTACCACTGCACGCACATTTCCCCCATTTTGACTTCATTTGTTGGAACCAACCCCCACCCCCAAGGCGGAAGCGACATACCCTTAAATCCAAACAAATTCCAAAAAGTCCTCTATGCGAATTGATCTATGTACTCGTAATTAATTAGCATTAAGGTAACAACGTAACAAAAGGATTGCGACCAGCGACGACGAACGCAAAGCGTTTATTATTGTAATATAATGATGTATTTCAAAATGATTTGATTACTAAACTTGAAAGTTTCAGAAGATGAATAAAAGTCTTGTTTGATTTAAGAAGTGTTGTTAATTTATGATACATATACGTTAGTGTGTATTTCCATGATGTCATGACAAACCAATAATATATATTTCTCCAGAAGGGAACCTTTCATATCCGGGTATAAAAATACATTTCTCACACGTATTGATTGTATCTGTTTGTCGCAGAGACCACATTTTATTGGCTTTATATTTTATATTTTGTTGATTTTCTATTTTGTTGTGATTCTTGGTTCAAACAAATTATTGGCATCATATTCTTTTAATTGCCCAGTTAATAGTTGAATCTTAACATGAATTGCAAATGAAATCCCATGACATGGTCTTACAGAGTGAGTAAACTATAATTTCCAAAATTCAATGTGAAATTAATCGAATTAAGAGTAAAACGAAACCCGATCGATCAAACCAACAAATGTTCCATCAATTTAGCCTGATCATATTTGTTTTCAAAACGTGATTCCTCCTTTCCAAAATGTACACCAAAGTCAAACCCAATTATATATATTTTAGGCTAAATATATATATGTACACCTATATATGTATAGTATAGTTTAGCATTTAAGTTAAATAATATTAATAATAATAATAAAAAAATATATTTAAACAAAAAAATTGCTACCAAACGTTCACATAAATCATCATTTGTAGTACATATCATTTTGTTGTACGTTGTTTGTATTGTGTACTAACATGTTTTCTACTTACATATTTCAACATTTCTTTCCTTATTGGTTTTGTTGTGTTTATTTTCGTTGTTTGTATTAGTATGTCCTAGTATTATATTGTATGTAATGTGTATGCATCAGCTAAGAGCTTTACGCCAAACTGATAACAATAATAATAATAATCGTAAGCAATATCTGACTACTGAATGCCGCAGATATTTGGCAAAAGTTTCTAGTGACTTTATTGTGAATTGTGCTCGTCTAATTCGTATAGCGTTTTCGTAACTGTAACTTTGAACATAATACAACCACTATGTATATATGTATGTAATACTACGATTTCATTTACATTGAAATCTTAATCTTGGATACTCATTTTGCCTATAATTATTGAAAAAAGCAGTTATATATTGCTTTCTATTTTCTTATCTTTTCTTTTTATTTTTATTTTCATTTCCATTTTTTTATTATAATTTTTCCCAGAGATTATCAAACATATATTGGTTGCTTTAATTAATTCATATATTTTTTCAATACAAATTAGTGCAGTATTTTGGTAGATTATATTTTATGTTTTTTACATTACGTTGAAATTTAAAAAATGACTATTTTATATATATATAAATATGTATTTATTCAATATATTTTTTATTTTCACTTCTGGTTTAAATAAAGCGCTCGTTACATTAAAATCTATTTAGCTAACTACTCAACTATTCACATTAAACTTATTATGGAAAGCTGAGAGCCATCGTAAACAATAAATCCAACATTATTAATTTAATGCTAACCAACCAATTAATATGGACACAATTGAGAAAATTAAAAGAAAAAAAGAAAACAAAAAAATTGGAAAATTGAAAAATTACCTTTTTGCGCTCTTTCTCTCTTGATATCTCTATTCTATCTGTCTATCTCTCACTTACTTTCCGTTTCTCTGCATATTATATTTCAAATAGAAAACTATAACCGTACACCTTTTGTGGAAAATCAATCAATCTGTTTGATTTTTTGAGCCCCTTTCCCCTACAACCCACACCCGGCCACGCCCCCGCCCCCGCCCCCCCAGGACCAGTTCCATTCATTCTGTACATTTTGTTTTTGCACCCGCACACAACCTAATAGCATTGCCTACTATGCTTACAGCTTCCGAGGAGAATGTGCTGTCCTATGAGGCCGTACAGCGTTTGTCTATCAGCTACACACGTCCCGTTATAATATTGGGACCGCTTAAGGATCGTATCAACGACGATTTGATATCTGAATACCCGGACAAATTCGGTTCATGTGTGCCACGTATGTATCAATCAATCAATCAATCAATATATCAATTGATAACCACATCAATTGAACGAACCCCAATTTAAGATCATCTTATATATCTTATTATAATGTTAACACAGATACAACGCGGCCAAAACGCGAATATGAGGTAGATGGCCGGGACTATCATTTTGTGTCGTCGCGCGAGCAAATGGAGCGTGATATACAGAACCATCTGTTCATCGAAGCTGGCCAGTACAATGACAATTTGTATGGCACTTCTGTGGCCAGCGTGCGCGAGGTGGCCGAAAGAGGCAAACACTGCATACTGGATGTGTCGGGCAATGCAATTAAGCGTCTGCAGGTGGCGCAACTTTATCCGGTAGCTGTTTTCATAAAGCCCAAATCCGTTGATTCCGTGATGTACGCACCGCAATGCTTTAAGCTACATAGCTGTTTATATCTATATATATATATTTATATGTATTCATGTATTTTCAGGGAAATGAACCGTCGCATGACGGAGGAGCAGGCAAAGAAAACGTTTGAGCGCGCTATTAAGATGGAGCAAGAGTTCGGCGAATACTTTACGGGTATGTTGCTGCATTGAGAGCTTTGGGTCCGAACTCTAATAATAAATGTATTCGTTGTAGGTGTTGTACAAGGCGATACAATCGAAGAAATATATAGCAAAGTGAAATCAATGATTTGGTCGCAATCGGGACCAACCATTTGGGTACCATCGAAGGAATCTCTATGACCAACAGCCACAACAACATGGACACTGCCGCCTCGAGTACGTTGTCGACCTGTCTCGAGAACAACAACAACAACAATAGCAACAACATCATCAACAACAACAACAAATCAGCCGCAACAAAAAACGCCACACTGATGCACCACAACAAATAAGGACGACGCCGATCGATGATGATGATGATGATGATGATGATGATGACAACATCAACATCAACACCAGCAATAGCAACAGCAACACAACAACCCGTAGCAGCCAACTCAATGTTGTCCATAATTAGGATGGTTATTGTTTAGATAAGCAAATAACAATCGCGGGCGCAGTACAATAAGAATCCAAACATTACATCACGAACTTTGATGCATTGCTTTTGGCCAAGCTTGTTCATGACTCTTGGTTCTTAGTTCTTGGTGTGGGGACAAACTGTTCCACCTGAAGCGGCAGCTGTTTAATTTTAGTTAGAACAAAATTGATATACAAAACAACAAAAAACAAAAACAAACAAAAAAAAACTAAAACAAAAAGAAAAAAAAACAAAAACAAACCGAATCATATTGATGACAAGATCTAATATGAAAAAGAAAACCGAAAGCAGAAAGCAGAATGCAGATGGCAGAATGCAAAGAAACTGAGTTGAAGAGAGGAGGAAACGTTCGTTATGCGCTAGTGTTGTTTGTTTATGTTGATGTTTATACGAGAGTTATAGCGAGTTAGTTATGTTGACGCCAATAATAATATGGTATATGATATGATATACATATACATATGCGTATACATACCTTTACAAATATGTATAACAGGTATATATATATATATATATATATATATATATATACACTCTTTTTAGTGCGACTAGCGTCGTCTAACATACCACGTTTAATGATAGCAATTGAAGTTGAATCACTTGGCGAATACGACTATATATATATGTATATATATATATGGGTAAATAGACGTTGACGAGGACGACAACGATCAGTTGGTGCATTTGTTGTTAGATATATTGTATTCCCCCCCCCCCACGCGTCTTTGCCTAATGCAACACAAATCACACAATACGAATCAAGACGAATGATGATGATGATGATGATGTACACAATAGTTTATGCTACATAAACACACATACTCCCACGCACACACACACATACACACACACACACACACACTCACACATTAATATACATGTATGCATGCAGAGAGAAAGAGAGAGAGATATATATATGCATAGGGAGAGAGGGCGATATCACTTCTTTCAATGCAAAAAGTCATTTTACTATTTAACATACAATATGTATGCTAGAGACAGCATTAAACAAATTGAAAAGCGTAGTGTTGATTTCGAAAAACACATATACATAAGCATATTACGATCAATACAGCATATACACCTATATATACACACATATACATCTATATATATATATATACAACTATATATTATATAGACAACACACACACACACACATACCGATACGGTTTAATTTTACAAATGAATTTGTAACAACTCAAATACCTTATGGTGTTTACATTTTTTTTATGTATCGACAGCAAACGATTAGCTAATGTTAAAAAAAAAAAAACAAAACCAACAAATTTATAAATTATAGACAACGCACATAACTGCTAACTATCTTTATTTATTCTAGTTTTTTGTACTCTACTTTTTTTTCTAAGAAATTTAGTAAAATTCAAGTTATTCAAGTTTATTATTATGATTTTTTTTTTTGTTTGTTTCGTGTGTGTCGCTCACTTTCCACAATATTTAGAAGATCAATATATATTTCGGAAATGTATACGTTGTGCATTCATGTACATAGCTATATGTCTAATGGAAGGGGAAAGTATTTGCATAATATTCAAATTTTTTTTTATCGTCTGTCCCTTATTTTGTAATAAATATATATTTTGTAAAACCTTCGCTCCCTGCTTTATAAACATTGAACAGTATATGTACGTGCAGACAATGCATACCAAATTCTTTTTCACATTGAACGCAAAATGCATTGTTGTATTAAATAAACAAACCTAAGCGAATTATATTAATTTTAAACTAAAGAAAGCAGTAAATGTAATAAAATAAACTACAAAAAAAAAAAAAACAAAACAAAACAAAACATACATCAATACCATTAAAACTTTTTAATCAATTTCCCCCTTGTAGACAAATCATTTAATAGGATGTGTGTAAAATTTAAACGTAGAAAGTGTCAATATTTTTTTTTTTTTTTTTTTGTAAAACTTGCAAAGAAAAAAAATGTGCAATCCACAAACATTTTGTGAAAATATGCCGGGTGAGGCACGACTGCGAAAATATGAAAACGAGGCCGAAATGATCTGGTAATTTGACAAACCCCTAATGTCGATAAAGTCTAGATTGGGTTGCAGATAGTATATAAGATAATCAATATGCCATAAACCTTCGTTGATTTAGCTCTCGATGATAGCTGTGTTATGGTAACACCCCGAGCAATTTGTCCTTTTCCATATTTGATGAGCAACGGGGACTCTGTTGTGGCACACGCAACTCATTGTTCTATTCTTGTCCAATAGTTGGCACTCATCCATCATAAGTGGGTCTTATGATACAGCTAATTTCATGTCCATGACCAGAATACACTCGAGTCTCTTTCGTATCTATGCACATATTGTACGCATTTTGTCGCAATCAATAATCGTATTAATATTCTGCCTACCAAAAAAACCAAAAAAAAAAAAAAACCCCGCCTTGCAATCTCTTAGTGAAGTACCTCGAGCACATCTAAGCAAAATCAAACGGAAAGCAATTTAAAATACATAAAACCTGAAGAAACAGAATAATAAAATCAATGGATAATTTTACACATACATAGTTGCATATGTATGTATATGTATGTACTTACTACATGTTTAAATAGTTAATAGACACATAACATAGTTTATATTATAAGTATATTGAAACAAAAGGAATAAACAATTTAATTACTTATGTATATGTTTATCATATATATATATATATATATATATATATATACTAAACAAACAAAAAGTTCACATACTTGTTGGAATTTAATCCCAAGTGCGGCAAGCGTTATTTTCTAATAGCCCTTAGCGTATTTCAAAGTCAAGGTAACTGTTCCACGGCCTTAAATGCAATTAATAAACGCATTTACGAGTATATTCAACTTACACACACACACACACACACACACACACACACATTGCTTGTCTATAAAATTCGCAACTTGTAAAAAAAAGAAGGAAATCAAAAGAAACTCAAATGACAGTTTTTTAATGTAGCCCTAGAAGATGTATGCAAGAATTTACCAAACAAACAATTCATAATTAAAAAAATTAAAATAATTAATACCGTGACACACATACATACACACATACACACATACATACATATGTACATATATACAATATGTATTAGAGCTAATACTGAGAGGCATTTAACGAGATCCATTGTTAAGAAACAGTTTTGTGCTGCATCATGAACAAACAACAACAACAACAAAAACAACAACAACAACAACAACAACAAACATCGTGAATTTGTCAGCGTATACTACAAATTTTTGTGGAAGCATTTCATCAAAATGGTGCCTTTATCAGTTATTGTTGTCGGTATTGAATAAAAACTAAAAACCAAAAAAAAAAAAAAGAAGAAAAATATACACGTTAAAATTACATCAATTTATAAATTTAAGTATTATAATAATCCAAATTGCAGCACATGCTATTTATAATAGATGCAAAACTAATTACAAAAAAATTATTCAGTTGCGGGCTGTGATATCTGCTCGAACATCTGAAATATCAGCCTTACAACTTTGGTTACCCTCAATCCAAAGCTGTTTGCTATTTGGTAGCACTTACAGCTGCCTTTCGGCTTTGCCCCGCCAGAAATTCAGAGATTCTATAAGCACCAAATGCTCGCAAGCGAAATTGATACTTTTTGTGTGTTTGCAGTGCATGCTAAGCAAAAGTAAATATACATCATACCTACATAGATATATGGATGTATGTATATCACTTATTCAGTATACATAAATCCAGAAATTTGTTGTTATTGTTAAAAAAAAAATAAAAATAAAAAGAAAAGAAAAATAAATAAATAAAATAAAAAAAGAAAAGAAAAGTAAACTAAACAAAACAGAGAGAAAACATTATTACCCAAGTACAACTTATTCGATTGCCTTTTAAAGTAAAACGATATGTTCTCCTTTAGCGAATAAGTGCTTTAAGTATACTAAAATACAGTTGTATAAGTAAATGTGTAAGTAACAATGAGTTACAGTGCATATTGAATATTGTTAAATTATATAAACAACAGATCATTATTCCAGCTAGTTTCGATTTCAATTGGTGTTTGGTTGGACAATCACTAAACAATTTTCAGAGCTGTAACCTTTGATTAACCTGATTATAAGATTGATATTATAATTTCTGTTATCGATTTCTTTTTCTCTCTCAAGTTCATTTCTTGTCCTTAATTTGAATTGCAACTTAGCAACATAGTCTAAGCTGCAGAAATATTTAAATTTCAATTGAACAATACTATATATATACATATATATAGGTTACAGCTCTGATATAGATTTTCAAAAAGTAAAACATAATGCCATTACTGATCAAATAGAGCCGAAATGAATTTATCAATTCGCAGTCGTGGCATACATACATACATACATACATACATAGATACATACATACACGTATACACTTACATATACACATATAATACATACCATATACCTACATACATATGAGCATGTACTTGATAAAATTGACACACATCCACACAAACAGAGATAATTAGTTATAAAATCAATTTGTGAATCCTACATTGTGTATTATTTAATAGTTCATCAAATGATGCGACATTCGTAATAAACAAGAAATTCAATAAGTATGTAAATGTTGTTCTTATATGTATGTATGTACGTTTGCTGAGTAAGTATAAGTATAAGTATGTATGTATGTATGTATGTATGTATGTATGTATTTATGTATTTATGTATGTATGTATGTATGTATGTAGGTATGTATGTATGTATGTATGTATTTAAATATGTATGTAAGTATGTATGTATGTATGTATGTATGTATGTATGTATGTATGTATGTATGTATGTATGTATGTATGTATGAGGTATGTATGTATGTATGTATGTATGTATGTATGTATGTATGTATGTATGTAGGTATGTATGTATGTATGTATGTATGTATGTATGTATGTATGTATGTATGTATGTATGTATGTATGTAGGTATGTATGTGTGTGTGTATGCAGGTATGTATGAATACACGCTTAGGGAGCTCTAACAAGCAAAGTTGATGTTTAATGTTTCATTTTGAAATGTACAGATTAATTCAAATCGGATCAGAATATCAAAAATACTGCATGAACACGTATGTTAATTCATTTTTATTCGTTCGATATGAGTTGGATTAGTAAATGAATTGAAATGTTAAGATATTATGGATGCCTCAAAGGTGCCTCATGCCTTCATGCTTAGTACTTGGTTTAATAAAAGCCGAAGTGCCTCGTATTTCTGCCTTTGAATTGGATAATCAGGTACAATTGATTGGTGTATTTCATGACTTTAATAATCTAGCAAGTATAATGTGTTTAACATTTGTGAAACATACCCGATCCACATGCACTTGCTCAAATTATCCTTAATGCGAGAAAGTATTGCGTGTATTCAAGTTAATATGATACGATCAAATTAGCCTAATTAGTTAGTTAGTTAGCAATTGAGTGTGTGTTGATTGAATCATATATTCATATATATATATATATACATGTATATATAGTGTGGATGTGGCAAGCACGCAAGGAACTACTCTACTTGGTAATGCGCAGATATATATCGAACTGTACGAGCGTTATGAAATAGGAGAAGGCCGTCACGGAAATCAGATAAATCAGGCGACGGTCCAGATGCAGCAGGCCGCATAGCATTGGCTGTCGATATTGCATCAGCAGCAGCGAGAAGTGTTCCACCTGAAATAGAGCTAAGTTGTAAATACAATCGCGAAATGATCGCACAGAAATTGGCTTATTTTCAAATGCTCTGCTCATATGAAACACACTGGAATTTAGAAATGTTTTTCATAATTTTCATTTTTGTTCTCATATTACTTTCGAATTGATAAATGAAATCTGTGTTTCTTTTCATTGGAAAGAAACAACCTTTCAGTTAGCAAATGCAATTTCTAAGATTCTATACTCTGATACCGCATTTACAAATCTCCAACAATTTTGAAACTAGATGAAGTTGATTGCAGCTATATAAATCGGCATTTAAAATAGAAAATGCCACTAAAGTCACCAAATTTGGAATTTGATACATTACCGGTAGCTTTCTTTAAAGATCTTTAAAAAAACCTTAGAAAATTACTTATTTTAGAGGTAGAGTTACCCAACTTAAAAGGCTAGAACTGCCTAGTAAAATTGGTAATCATATTTCTAGATAACGTCCAGCCACTGCCGCTCCACCCTCAACCCCACAAAAAATCATTGCACAGTTTATCAGATGTTTTTGCATTGATATCAGAGCATTCGGCAGTCGGTTACGCCCGACTGCACAGTTCTCACTTGTTTTTCTTAGAGTTTGTGCCCAAGTTGAATACCTCTTGGCTGAGATTCGGCAGATCCAGCGAACTATAGTCGCAGAATCGGCGCATTGTGAGAACGAGACGGGCCTGCTCCGTCTTGATATACTCAATGACCAGAGTGACAATGTAGGTGTCCAGATAAAAGCAGAGTGCGTATAGTCCACTGGCCACAATTGGAAAGGGGACACCCGCCATGGATTGAGTCGCCAGCAGATTGAAGATGGTAAAAAAATTGGTTAGGTTGTTGATCAGTGTTGTCAGCATCAGGCCAAGCAGCTGCACCTGATGCATCCGCATGCTGCCCAAATGCAGAGCATGTATCTGAGTGAAACGCCGACGTAGCACGGCAATCCGATCGCAGAGCCGGCAACACTTCATCAACAGCATGCCACGCCTCATCGGATGTCGTTGCGAATACGGAGCCAGACGGCCCAGCTGGCCGAGAGCGGAGTGCAGCTGGACGTGCAGCTGGCGAAGATACTTGAGCACACAGCTGCTCATGTAGTAGAAATAGTCGGCCATGTTCTCCGTGTAGTTCCACAGCACAAAGGAGTAAATGGCAAATTGAAAACGCAACTTGCCACCATCGGAATCGCCATCAACAGTGCCAGCAACGGCAAATATGCCGCACACCTGGGTGATCATCATCATGTTTATCAGACCGAATTTGATGTACATGAACTTCTCGAAGCTCTTCATGGGCCACCTGCTGCCATGGTAGCTAGCGTCAAAGGCCGCCTCTAAGCTGACTCGCTGCAACGTGCACCGCTGATTGCTGGCCTTAAATTTGAACATGATTTCCATGTAGGTGACAATGACAGTGGCGTACTTGATCAGCGTATTGGCAAATGAAACGTACAGCACCAGCTGCATCCGGCGGTCATCCGTTGCCATAAGCCATCGATAATTATAGCCAAAATAGCAGGGCAGCACCACAATCAGCATCAGACTAAACACATGGCTGTAGGCAATTAGCAGAGCCTTCAGAGCAGGTCGCAACGGCTGCTGCGGCACGTAATCGATGATCACCTGGCCATAGATGCTCGCATAGATGTGACCGTATCTGAAGAACTTGTACTGGTGCCGCTCCCAGAAACTCTGCTTACCGTCGCACATGTTGCACACACTCAGCCTGCCTCAGCAGCACTGAGCAGCACCGACGAATGCTTCTCATGTCTCTCCTATTTTGTGGCATACTCGAGCGCAGCTGCGTGTCCAAACGATAATATCGTGATACTCTGACACGCCGTGGTCGATAAACAGGACGACGTTCGAACACAACTATACTCTACAAAAAAAATCAACTCGATATTCACCAGATAAAAAAGAACCTTAGGTTTTTTTTTTAAATTTATTGACTGTAGATTAACAATTACCATCTTAAAATTATTGGGGCAAAATGTAATGATTTTCTGTTTCCTACAAATAACTGCTAAATTTTCAAAAACAATAACTTCAAATTAAATAGATTTTATATTAAGAATATATTCGATTTTTAATAAATCTATATAGTAGATTTGCAAACACACACAAAAATTAGTACTAAAATGAAGAAAATTTACTTAATGCAAATAAGGCACCAAAACTATAATGATTTTCTAACTTTGAGTGCAATGCTTTTGTTGTCTGATTGTGCAGGTTATGGAACAGGTTAACCCTTGCGGACATATACAAATTAGTGGTTCGGCCAATGCACGATATACAAACAAGTTAACATTTAATATTGCGAATAACTCAAACAAACTAGAATAAATAATTAATTCAATTATCATAAGTTAGAGTTTATGAATTCGGTCCGAATAAAACACTTGAACACAATAATCTGTTTTTTTTTTATTTACTAAAAAACACAAGGACTCAATTAATTTACATATATATATATATATATATATAAATTAAACGAGTCTTTGCGGTTTTTTAATGAAAAAAAAAACAGTTTGTTCTGTTCGGATACTTTATTCAGACTGACTTTATAAAATCTAGCTTATCCTAATGAAACCTCTGGCTATTGATTCTGCTTGGCCGCTGCTGGTGTCAGTTGTCCATTCTGGGTCCCATGGTGGTCTTCAAGTGGAATGCGCTGATGAGGCGCGTGTCGTATTTTTCCATGCGCCTTAGCTATGATCGTAGGCTCCGTAGGCTCAGCATATTTACGTGTGAGTTCCGCGTTGCCGAAAATATGCTGACGAGGCGCGCGTATTTTGTGATATTCATTCAAGTGCATTGGTTTAGGTTGTTCGTAATATTGAATGGGCGCGTACTTTATGATATTCTTTCAAGTGCATTGACTTGGGTTACTTGTAATGTTGAATGGGCGCGTATGTTGTGACATTCATTCAAGTGCCCTGGCTTGGGTTGCTGGTAATATTAGATGTTGCTGACTTGTTTATTCACGTGCATTGGCTTTAGTTATTTGTAATATTAAAAGTGCTGACTTATTTATTCGAATGCATTGGTTTTGGATATTTGTAAGAATGAATGTTAACTTATATATATATATATATATATATATTTTCGGCAACGCGGGACTCAAACAGAAATATGCTGAGTCCACGATCACAGCTAAGGCGCATGGAGAAATACGACACGCGCCTCATCAGCGCATTCCACTTGAAGACCACCATGGGACCCAGAACGGATAATTGACACCATCAGCGACAAAGCAGAATCAACAGTCCGAGGTTTCATTATGATGAGCTAGAGTTTACGATTTCAGTCTAAATAAAACATCCGAACAGAACAAACTGTTTTTTTTTGTTACTAAAAGCCGCAAGGACTCAATTAATTGGCGCCCGAGCAGGGACCGAGCAGGGTATGGAATTATAAGTTATCGCGAGTTAGTGAAAGTGAATTAATCACTCCTTGCCAAGCGCCTCAAATAGCCGCAAATACAAAAATAACTCCGCGAAACAGGCCAGTCTCAAAAAGGGCCAAGTTCTATCAAAAGCGCCTCAAATAGCCGCAGATACGAACAAGACTAGTGCCAGCTTGATCAAAAGCGCCTGAAGCAGTCGCAGATACAAACTCGAACAAAAATAAAAAAAGTGCAAAATATATCCGTACCGGTGCTATGACAATACCGCCGACAACCCTGTAGTGTCCGTCCGCAGGGTACCGCGAGTGATAGTATCCAGAGTAACCTGAGTCATCCATCTCGACTCGAAATCGTCGTGGGACAAAAGGGATCAATTCTAAAGGATCGTCGCGGGAGATTCGCCGGAATGATGATTATCTCGTAAGCATAGTTACTAAGAAAAAATTAGATATTCAAAAATAGAAAACTAAGAAAACCAAAACAAGAAAAAATTAAATAAAAATTAAGATTCAGAAAATATTAATTAAGAAAACCAAAAAAGAAAAACCAGATAAAAATTAAGATCCAAAAAAGAAAATAGAAAAATTAAGAAAACAAATAGAGGAAAAAAATATGAAATAAGAAAATAAGATTCAAAAATATAAAAATTGACAATAAAGAGAAAAATAAATAAGTAAATTAAGGCTCAGAAATTTTCAAACATAGAATAATAATAATTTTTAAGAAACAGAGCAACTATAAATTAAGTAACAAGTTTTCGAAAAATCGTTCTTAATAACTAAGTAACTTCCCAAAAATATTATCAATTTAAAGATTCAAAAATTCTTAAAAGTGGTCCGAATATAAATTTACCTTAATCCGTAATAAAACTAAATTACAAAATGCAGCAAAACGAACTATCCGAATTCCTAGCTAACATGAATCTGGGAGCAGCCAGTAGTAACTATCAAAAAAATATACAACCAGGCAACGCAGCCTATGTAAGCCAAAACCTGAAAGATGTTATTGTGTCTCTAGTAAAAGAAACTCTCCAGGGTAGCGATATAATAAGGCAAGCAATAGATTCCGAAAGTAATGATCATTATAATGATATCCCATTTACCAGTCCGAGATTAGGGGAGGAGCAGGAAAAAGTCCCCGAGATAACAAAGTTGATCAAATATTTTTCCGGAGACCGAACCACATTCGGTTCTTGGAAAAAAAATGTAGAAAGGATAATGAACATTTATAATGGCCAAGAAGAAACATATAAATATTATTTAATAACCCTGTCAGTCCGAAGCAAAATAGTAGGAGAAGCCGATGCAGTGCTCGAATCCTATAACACTCCTATGAACTGGAAAGCAATTTCCAAGTGCCTTACAGAACATTACGCTGACAAAAGAGACCTAAAGACTCTCGAATACCAGATGTCTTACTTGACTCAGGGAAGTCTGTCCGTTCAAGAATTCTATGAGATGGTATATCACCAATTATCACTTATCCTTAACTTAATAAGCGTACAAGAAGACTCGCCAGACGTAATTAGAGCTCTGACGAATAATTATCGAGGTAAAGCCTTAGATACGTTCGTGAGAGGTTTAAATGGAGACCTATCCAGACTGTTAGCAATCAAAGAGCCAAGGGACCTGAGTCATGCCTTGCATTTGTGTAGCTTGGTGGAGAGCCAAGAACATAGAAATGGGTTCTTATCCAAACCAAAGCAACAAATGCCACCTCTACCGCCCAGAAACCATAATCTATTACAAAAATTGCCTCAGACCAATCATTTTGTACAATGGCAGAGTTTCGACCCAAAACTATATCACACCCCTGGACCATATATGAATTATCAGACAATGCAACAGCATACAAAATTCCCTCATCCATTCCGTGGCCAATATACATTGCCGCAACAATTTTTCAACCCTAGACAGGGCCACCAAGAGCACATGACAAACAAACAAAAGAGTTTCATAGATCACGTTACTAAGTCACGTACAACACTGTTCGCAGAACCAGACGAGAAACTGAGCTACACCACTAGAGTGTTTGGCGAAATAAGAACCACATCAGATGCTCCAGTTTATAGCAAGCACTGCCAATACCCTACTTCATTACGAGGGGAGGTCGAAAAACAAATAGATCAGTTGCTGCGAGACGGCATAGTAAGACCTTCACGGTCACCATATAACGCACCCGTGTGGGTAGTACCAAAAAAGAGCGACGCTTCAGGTGAAAAAAAGTTTCGAATAGTCATCGACTATAGAAAACTTAATTCCGTAACAATTTCGGATCGATACCCGATCCCGGAGATTGGAGAAATCATCGCACAATTGGGCGAGAATAAATATTTTTCCGTTCTAAATCTGAAAAGTGGATATCACCAAATCCCTCTCGTCGCGAAAGACATAGAAAAAACTGCATTCGCAGTTAATGGCGCAAAATACGAATTCACCAGACTTCCGTTTGGACTAAAAAATTCGACATCAATATTGCAACGAGCATTAGACGATATCCTAAGAGATCACGTCGGAAATATTTGTTACGTTTACATCGACAATATTATTGTCTTTAGTAAGTCAGAAGACGAGCAGATCAAGCATCTAAACATGGTTTTCACGACCTTAGATAATGCAAACATGAAAATTCAAATCGACAAATGCGAGTTTTTCAAGACCGAAGTCGATTTCCTAGGTTTCACTATTTCAGCAGATGGAATTAAAACCAATTGTGAGAAAGTGAGAGCCATCAAAAGTTTTCCAACACCCAAAACCCTAAAAGATTTACGTTCTTTCTTGGGTTTATCAAGCTATTATAGAAGATTCATTCGTGACTACGCCAAATTGGCAAAACCCCTCACAACTCTCCTAAGAGGAGAAAACGGTAGACTCTCAAAGAGTGTTTCCCATAAAAAAGAAATAGCACTCGACAGTAATGCAACTAAAGCATTCGAAAAAATAAAGAACACGCTCAGCTCAAACGACGTGGTACTGGCGTACCCCAATTTCCACAAAGAGTTTCATTTGAGAACCAATGCATCAAACTTCGCCATCGGTGCAGTCCTAGAACAAGAAGGTAGACCTATCACTTACATATCGCGTACTCTATCGAAAATAGAAGAAACTTATGCAACTAATGAAAAGGAGATGTTAGCTATTGTTTGGGCACTTCAGAATCTGCGCATGTACCTCTATGGTACATCAAAGGTAATAATCTTTACAGACCATCAACCTCTAACCTTCGCACTGAGTAGCAAAGATCATAACGGAAAATTAAAAAGATGGAAAAGTTACCTCGAAGGGTACAACCACGAATTAAGATATAAGCCAATAAGAATTTTCAAGATGAAATAGCTATATTATTGAAATATAAAATACAAATTTTCAGAGAAGAATTAAATAATTTAATATACGCCATTCATTGGGCAAAAACACAAACACAATAAACTCAATAATCCTGTCAGAAATAGAATTAGAAAAAATTGCAAACCTATTAGCAGAAAAAAGAATACATTTTTTATTAATCCCGAAGAATTGTTGGAATTTGCTAAAATCAAAATTGCCACAAACGGCATAAAAAATTGTTATATTATTAATATTCAAATTTTGTCGTTATTGCTAGTACCAATAAAAAAAAGATAATGAAATCACTACGTTAAAATTCAGTAACATAATTAATTGTAACCAACAAATTTTTGGAAGCAAAGAAAATTGTGAAACTCATAACGATAAAATCATATGAAGAAAAACTAAGTTTATAGATCTAAGTAACGACACTTGTATAACACGAATCAAAAACAAAAAGCCGATTGTAACCTCAAAAATAGTCAACATGTACTCAACCACGCTCTTCAACACTCTAACGATCATAGTCACCTGTTGGATAAGACAAAAACCTGGCACAAGAGAAATTAATAGACAGGAAGACAATCCAAACAAGGATCTACATCGCGTCCGAGGACGTCCGCATTAAAGGGGGAGGAGCTAACATTTATTATTACAAATAACTAAAACCAATGCATTCGAATAAATAAGGTAACACTACGAATAACTCAAATCAATGTACTCCAATAAATATCGTAAAACACGCCCGCCTCGTCAGCATATTTTCGGCAACGCGGGACTCAAACAGAAATATGCTGAGTCCACGATCACAGCTAAGGCGACCGTCAGCGCATTCCACTTGAAGACCACCATGGGACCCGGAACGAACAACTGACACCATCAGCGACAAAGTTGCAGCAATCAAGGCGCCAGCGACAAAGTTGCAGCGATCAGCAGAAGCAGCAGTCCGAGGTTTAGTTATGATAAGTTGGAGTTTATGAATTTAGTCTAAATAAAATATCAGAACAGTACAATATTGTTTTTTTTTTACTTTATATATATACATATATTGTTGAAATATGTTTGAATATCGCAGCAACGGTTAATACTTAAGTATCGCTATATCGATTAGTATCGAAGCTCTGGTCACACATGAATTGTATTTTTTTCTTTCTGCGTTGTATTTTTCCTAAGTTCAAAAGTTGCTCTCAATTCTTCAACAAGTAAAGACGCAGTCGCGCATAATAAAGATAATCCATAATCAGAAACTGCGTTTAACTCTTCATTTTTCAACGCCATTTACAATATATATATATATATATATATATATATATATATCATTTGACCATTTATAAATGTAATTTGCATTTGAAATATTATTTATTTTTTTTGCTTTTTGATATTAAAAGCTGGTTTAACATATGCATAAATATTCTTCAAAGTTCGGTTATTGAAAGGACTTGGCCAGCGCTATTATGGAGCCCGACGTTTGCAGTATCTTAAAAGAAAAGATGAATCGATGATTAGAGAAAATGAAGTGATAAACTTTTGGGCATTCAATACGAACTGCGGCAAAGGTGACCAACGAGGGCGAGAAAAAGGGCACAGCCATTGTCAGGGCACGCTGCGACCGCATTATGAAGAGCATTATGTAGCGCCGATGCCTGGGCTGGCATATGTGCCAGGGACAGGAGCTCATCACAGTGGCCAGATGGAGACTCTGCAAGAGAATAGGAGAGAATCGTTTGCTCACTAACTAATCTAAATGAATGCGGCTAAGAGAAACGTACGTTCTCAGCGACCAAAGTGCCGCCGTAGCAGTAGATAAACAACTGGCTAAGGGCAGCCACCGTGTATCCAATGTAGAGCAGGGTGCCCAGTCCATTGCCGCCGTTGATCATCAGTTCGACTATGCTGAAGGCGATCACCATGCTGGCGGACAAGAAGTGCGCCAATGTGATAATCCAGTAGCGTTGCCGAAAGAACGCCGTCAGCTCAATGATATCGTTTTGCCGCTTGATAAGTCGCACCAGACATCCAACGAATAGTGTGCCTCGCAAGTCGTCCATCTGTTGGAGTCCTGTGCATTGATATTAGATTGCTATGGGTTGCTGTGTTGCAGTGTTGCAGTGTTGCACGTTACCATCGTATGGCCGAAAAAGCGCACGTATGTCGACCTCCAGGAAGTTGCACAGTGTGGCAATGTGCACACAGAACTCAAAGTAGAAGGTATCACAGCCGCCGAACATAAAAATGGTCACGTAGCCAGTGTAAGCGATGAAAATGTAAGTAACCGGAAAGAGTGGTGCATGCAGCAGGAAAGAGGGCATGCTGAGTGGATACCAAATTGGAGTGGAGAGTGTGTACCAAGTTAGAAATGCACCCAAAATTTAATTATTAACATAAATCGATAAATGACAGTTTGTGTGGCTCCAATTTCATATATAATAGTTGTACTTCCTGCACCTAAACTACGGACATATCATCTCAAAATTGATTAAGAACAAACTTGCAATACCCTCTGCCAGAGTATAATATGTAATCTTCTTCGAGCCGAAGATAGTCTTTTGATCTTTGAGTGCTTTAATGTAAAACTCACGTCATATTGAAGGGCATGTCCCACTTAATCTGCTCGGCCTGTCCCCAGTACTGCAGCAAGGCTAAAATTAGGGGCTTCAGATTGTACATGGTGCACGTAAAGAATCCCGCGGAGAGTGGCCAAAAGTTGAATCGTGATGCCATCAGAAGATGCTTTCGCATTATCTTTTGTTTTTCGTCCGATTGGCTGGCGCCGTCGAACAGCATCTGTCGTAGATTGGCCAACACGTTGAATAAGTCGTTTCTATAGCGGAGCATGAGATACATTTTCAGCAATGTAACGGCCGAGGTGCCCGCCGGACAGAACGTCTCCAGGGCAAGCGAAATCTCTCCATTCTGTGCAAATTGGAGGCCGGCATGTATCTCGGTCGCAACACCCACGCCCAGCACCACAAAATGGAACAGAGCGCGCTGCTGCAGCGCATCCAGCATGTCCGGCCAGTAGCCCATGAGGTTCAGACATAGATGCGGCACCGCATAGAAGTACAGTTGCAGCGGCTGATCCCCGTACAGGAAGCGAAATCCAAATTTACCTGCCATTTCTTAAACGTTTCTATTGCTTCAGGCCAGTTGACCTGCTGCTTTTATAGGCTCGCATTTGACCCTCTTGGTTCGCTGCTAATTGACTTGTTATTCAAGCAATTACGTACAATTTGCTCAAAAGTTTTGAAGTTCCCACAATTTGCCAAATAACTTTTTCATAGTGAAAACCTGTGCCTCAAGGAGGATTAATTAACTTGTTATTCGGTGGCAAGCAGGACTCACAAGCGTCTCAAAGGCATACAATATTTATCTGTGTCTCGGATTAACAAGGAATAAATGCAATACGTGTTTTCTTTTGCTTTTAGTGTAATAATTTATAATAATAATAATAATAATAATAATAATAATAATAATAATAATAATAATAATATTAATAATATTAATAATAATAATAATAATAATAATAATAATAATAATAATAATAATAATAATAATAATAATAATAATAATAATAATAATAATAATAATAATAATAATAATAATAATAATAATAATAATAATAATAATAATCATAATAATAATAACACTCTATAATATAATGGTTATTAGATCTGTAAGTTAAATAAAACCCTATATCAATCATGATTTGATTCGTATTTATTTAAGCTTTTGCTTAACTTAAGTAATCCTTAAACTATCGATTCTTGTAGAAACTACCAGTTTTATTTAAGGTATTCAATTGCCAATATCTTCCAGAATTATCGATTCTTAAATATCTTTGAAGATCAAAGATTATTTACATTTTTGCCCAAGCATTGAATTTTATTTTCTGATTCATTTCTCAAAAATGCAAGTGCTTCTAGATATAAACAATGGACAAATACGATTATTATCTATGCACATTTTTCCGTTCGCTGTGCGAATAAATTGCTTACAAGTGTTTTGGCACTCGGAGTCACCTCGATACAGAAGATCTTTGCACCTGTCTAAAAGTATGCATATCTTTGAGTGTGCAGAGAATTTATTTCATCCTAAAAGTATACCTTGTATTTATTAAAAAAGTCTTTTTTTAATGTTTCAAAGCATGTTTACATACCTATATTAACATAAAGGTTTGCCTTCCACCACACAATTTCTTTATAAACTTCATTACTTTTAGTACATATAATACAAATATGAATAGGTATTATTATATAAATATGTACATAGTTCAAAATATTGAAATATAATTAACATATGAATCTGTTATTTGATTCACACGTACATTTAATACAGATCATATTCAGCTATAAACAGCAGAATCTGTATTTTCAGGGGGACTAACACAGGCCTCTCTGGCTGGCGAATGACCGGCAAATTGCCAGTCAAGTGCGGTCGTCTTGTTGATGTTGCCAGATATGTTCGAGCGACTAAACTCTGGCAAGAGTATGCCAACTGACAGCACGATTGCAGAATATTCGACAACATATTGGCATCGTGTGTAAGCCCACCTGCACCGCAACCTGTGTACATATATAAATTTATAGACTGACCTACTTCTTGCCAGAATCAAAGTGATAGTTAATTTGTAACTTGACATGGGTATGGAGTATTTGGCATTAGGAAACTAGATAATTATTGAAGTTTAACAATTGCTTTTGAGGCGAGACTTCTTCAAGAGTTGTGTCGCATCGAGACACCTTTGCTTTGGATATCCTAATTGAATATGAGTGTTATTTGATTGATAGACGTCATGTTTTTACGTACATCAGTTTTTTAAACCTATAATATTTGTATTTTATTAGTTTTTATTATGACTGGTCGAGGAATTGCTTTAAACACAACCAGGGAGCTAGAATCAGAGCGCACCTGTTGGATATGCTTTGCCACCGAGTCGGAGAACCGTCGTGCCACCTGGGTGCACCCGTGCGAGTGCCGCGGCAGCACCAAGTGGGTGCATGAGAGCTGCCTCTCTCGCTGGATTGATGAGAAGCAGAATGGCGATACGCGAATGAAAGTCATTTGCATGCAGTGCCGCTTTGAGTACCACATCATTTTTCCGAAGGTGGGCCGCATCGCCATGTTCTTGGAGTTGTGCGGGAATGCGATCCGTCGGCTCAGTCCATTCGTTACCGCTTTTGCCGTTTTGCTCTCCGTCTACTGGGCGGCCGTCACATATGGGGGCATCACGCTCATTCAGGTGCTCGGCATGGAACGCGGCATGGAACTCATTGAGCAGGGGGACGCAATCTTTATATTGATCGGACTGCCAATAATACCGGTGGTCCTGATCATCAGTCGTTTCTTCCGCTGGGAGGACATTCTATTGCAACTCTGGCACAATCGTCACAGTGTTGCCCGCAAATTGCCGCTGATCAACCGGTTGCTGTACGCCCATACCGACGTGGAGACGGTGTCCAATGTTGAGGATACACCTTTAGCCGATGCTCCTTTCGACTTTTCCTCCATCTTTTGCGGTGCTTTTTTAATGCCCAGCATTTCAACAATTTTCGGCTGGGTGTTATATAGGAACGTGGCATCGGCGCTGCGTCGCACGCTCCTCGGCGGCTTCACGTTCATTGCTGTGAAGGGCATCCTCAAGATCTATTTGCGGCAGAAGGTGTATCTGAAAAAGAGACGTCGTCACATCATCGACTACACAGAGGAGAATGTGCGCATCCACACGACTGGCGCACAGAGCAATCAGCTTCAAGCAAATATGTGACAAGATTGTGATGGTTATGATGAGTCGATAGCTATGATGATGAGCAATGTGAATTCGATGAGCTGGAAGATGAAGTTTTGAATGCGACTGCGACTGCGACAATGCAACTGGATGATTCCGATGCCGATGATCACGAAACGACGGATCATCTTGTTATAAGCACACCAGACCGTCCATATACACTGTCTCTTGATTACATTTTTGGATGATTCTCGAACCAACCCAAACCAAATTGTTCTCAATTATGATATTACAATCTAAATTTGTAGTATTTTAATTAAATCAATTATATAATATTTTATAGTGGTTTAAGTTAAGAAAGGCCTGAACAACTTCCATACGACTTATCCGAACTGATTATTTGCTTGAAACATATCGACTCCAACGATCTGCCGATGTGTACTCGAAAGTTTTCTTTATTCATTTTTAGTTTTATCTGTGGTGGTCAGACAACAGGTCACATTACAAATGTGTACCTTGTTTTTAAGGTCTTCGAGTCCTTGTTCATTTCAGAATATGGTCAAAGAATCGTAGATAGACAAGTAAACCACATTTTTGTGATTGGCTAAGAAATAAATCCCTTAATTGCGTTTGCTACACGAGAATTAAGACTTGAAGTGTCTAGAAGCTCTTTAGTCGATCCGCAATCCAATATGGACGTTAAAATTGTGGCTTTCCTTGACATCGGACATAGATATTTGCTGAATGGGGGAGTTATCGATTAAATTAAATAAAAGTAATCTGCATAATTAATAAATTATATGACAAATTTGAGCTCTTATTTGCTCAGTATAATCTCTGAATTTGGCTTGTTTATACAGATGGACAGCCAGACAGCGATGGCCAGATCGAATTGGCTATTTATCCCGATATATAGGATCGGTTACATACTTTTGCACAACTTTTTACTCATTTGATCCCATTCAGTGTATGAAAAAACGCAGAAGTATATTCCGCATAACCACGATAATCCCAATCTTATTCTCAATTATATTTGTTTGACTCGGGCAGAGTTGAATAATGTCAAATGGACTGGTTAACTTCAATCGCAGCAGTCGGCGACATATCCAAACTGGGTTAATATCATTTTCACAGCACAAATTTCACAATTCGGTCAGTCGAGACATAAAATAATAAAATTAAAATACATTTAAGAACTTTTCCGTAAATAAGTCAAATTAAAATTCTATACAAAATATATATTTTTTAAATTAATATCCAATTCGCTTTTGGCTGTTCCACTTTGTTAATAACCTTCTCCAATTCAGAAAGAAATCAACCCAAAAATGTCGGACAATTCGGCGGTATCGGGTGTACTCAACTTAGTCCTATGCGGCGTTACCGGATATGGATTCTATGCTATGGGGCCTTCGGAGCATCCATATGCGTTCTCAGCATGCGTGATTGGATTTTGTCATGGTTTATTTGGGCTGGTCGACTCTTTCTCTGGCAATGAAACGTCGAAGAGCGCCAAGGAGACGAGTAATTCCATTTTGGAGATAGTCCCCTTGCCACTGGTCAACATAGAGCTCTTCTTTGGGGGCGATGCCAACAACATTGCTTTGGGCCATGGCCTCTTCATCGTACCCATGGCCATCTGTATCCTGGTGGGCCTTATCCAGGGCAAGGGTGACGGGGAAGGCGATGAAGTCATCGAAACGCTCAAGCTCTTGACCATTCTGGGCAACATAACATCACTCTCCTATCTGGCCGTCAACGAGGGTAGCTGGCTGATGGGCGCCATGGCCTTCCTATCCTTTATGACCAAGTATGGCTCGGAGTATCTGGAAACTCAGATCGAGGGCTCCGGTGATCCCGTCAAATATGTCAGCTGGTCCGTATTCTACTTCCTAACCACCATGGTCGTTGGCGGCGAGAGGTAATTGCCTTATCAATCCTTCCCAACCCAAACCGATCCGTGACAAAAGAGGAACTGCAATGGGGAACAATCGAAATGGTGAAACTTGGATGCTTATGGACTTTATATAACATTAAATAGAACAATTCGATTATTTAATTATTACAAATATTAATTATAGATTTGTCTGTGAAAATAAAAGGTACTGGATATGTATTTGTATCCTAAGCAACAGGCAATAGATAACTCTAACCTCCAGACTTTTCGGGAAATGCTGATAGCATAGTAATTCCTGCGTAGTGTCAGACAATATTATAGGAGATTACATAAGCCATCGCGTTTCGAAAGATTCAATTGCTTAGTACAATAGACCTTATATATAAAAAAGGGCACTTATGTATGATCAAAACCCATAAATCAATATGGACTATCCCGATGTCCTTGTGCTACCAAATCCGAACCCGTGGGACTCAGATTTCACTATTGTTTAGGGTGTAGACACTTAGCTGAGAGAGCCTCAGTCTGCTTATAGCCCGGCAATCTTCCAGAATGTGTTCTGAAGTCTTATCAATTTCAAAGTAGATTTACCACGCAGTTATTTCCACAATTTTTAGCTTGTGTAGATGCTAAGCAAACTGCAATATGCCGTCAGAAGAGATTTTTTTTAAATATGCAGATAGTGAATAGTGCGATTTCTATCATAGCTGTCATGTCCTAGTTGTTTTTTTGCTATTGGTGGCTGCGTGAGAAGCTTGCCAGTACTTCTACTACTTGTGGATCGAGTCCACAAAATGGTTCACGACCAGAGAAATGTTAGCTGGCTCGCTTCTTGTCGTGAATGTTAGCAACCTTATTACCCCGAATGCCGGCATGCCCCGGTACACAATAGATTGTTACCATATTGATCCTTCCCAGCTTTTTTAGCAAAATTGCCATACCATATTTGAGACACCCTTGTAATCTAGCAATGCATTGATAGCTGCCAGAATTTATGGGATCGAAGATGCTTTCTTTTGCCTGTTACTTCTACACAACTTCGGTATACCCTTTTTACCTATTTGAACCCATTCAGGGTATGAAAAAACGCATGAGTATATTCTGATTAACCACGATAATCCCGATCTTATTTTCAATTATATTTGTTTGACTCGGGCAGAGTTGAATAATGTCAAATGGACTGGTTAACTTCAATCGCAGCAGTCGGCGACCTATCCCAACTAGGTTAATATCATTTTCACAGCACAAATTTCACAATTCGGTCAGTCGAGACATAAAATAATAAAATTAAAATACATTTAAGAACTTTTCCGTAAATAAGTCAAATTAAAATTCGTTACAAAATATATATTTTTTAAATTAATATCCAATTCGCTTTTGGCTGTTCCACTTTGTTAATAACCTTCTCCAATTCAGAAAGAAATCAACCCAAAAATGTCGGACAATTCGGCGGTATCGGGTGTACTCAACTTAGTCCTGTGCGGCGTTACCGGATATGGATTCTATGCTATGGGGCCTTCGGAGCATCCATATGCGTTCTCAGCATGCGTGATTGGATTTTGTCATGGTTTATTTGGGCTGGTCGACTCTTTCTCTGGCAATGAAACGTCGAAGAGCGCCAAGGAGACGAGTAATTCCATTTTGGAGATAGTCCCCTTGCCACTGGTCAACATAGAGCTCTTCTTTGGGGGCGATGCCAACAACATTGCTTTGGGCCATGGCCTCTTCATCGTACCCATGGCCATCTGTATCCTGGTGGGCCTTATCCAGGGCAAGGGTGACGGGGAAGGCGATGAAGTCATCGAAACGCTCAAGCTCTTGACCATTCTGGGCAACATAACATCACTCTCCTATCTGGCCGTCAACGAGGGTAGCTGGCTGATGGGCGCCATGGCCTTCCTATCCTTTATGACCAAGTATGGCTCGGAGTATCTGGAAACTCAGATCGAGGGCTCTGGTGATCCCGTAAAATATGTCAGCTGGTCCGTATTCTACTTCCTAACCACCATGGTCGTTGGCGGCGAGAGGTAATTGCCTTATCAATCCTTCCCAACCCAAACCGATCCGTGACAAATCCTGCAATGGGGAATAATCGAAATAGTGAAACTTGGATGCTTATAGACTTTATAACATTACCCGCAACTATACGATTATTTAAACTATTATTATTATTACTATTCAAATATTGAGCTTAACGATATTAATTTGAGTTTTATTTGCGAACATTTGACATCCCATTGGTGGGAATATTTGCGAGGCTCCGAGGCTTTGTAGTTGGTACAATAGATCTTGTAAGACGCAGCTCATACGCCTTAAGATCGTTGCAGACCACTAATTTACACCCATTTAAAGAAGTGTTGGGGTATAATGAAAGCACATAAGAAGTAACCTGGTCAGCAATAATTTATCTGTGAACTTTTTCATCATTGTTATTATTATAGTGTAATGTGTAATTTTCAGTTTGTCATAGGTGCTGTTGATAAGACCATTTCAATGACTTGACTATGCCCGTTGACGACTTATCCCATTGGCCCCGCCCAAGGCAGGGGCCCAACCTAAGACCACAACGCTAGCCGCAATGACAATAAAAACTAATAAATTTTAAGAGCTAATGTCAACACGCGTCGTCTGGCACGCACACCCGACTCGACAACAAACGGCAACAGCCCGCAGACCTAGACCCTTGTCCAGACTGAGACTGAGACTCAGACTCAGACTCAGACCAAAACCAAGACCAAGACTCGGGCCCCTTAGCTGCACAGAGCGGTGCTCAATGACCATGACGCCCAAAGTTGGCGTTGTGGAGTCATTTAGCTGCGTTTTCAGCTTGTTTATTGTTGATTTTATGACTTATGCTGCGGCGATTGGAAGCTGAACACAAAGTCCAACTCTGCGAAGCTGGTGCTGGCGGTGTATGTGAGGGTGTGCAGTTGGAGCTAACCGGAGACGTAGTCCGAGTCGGAGCTCGGAGCTCGGATTTGGTTTATGGTGGGGTGGGTTAGAATTGTGGACGAGTTTTTTTGTTTTTTTTTTTTTGTTTTGGTCTTGTTTTGTTGTGCGATCATAATCACTTTTGATTGGCAGCTGACGAAACTGGTTGTTACAAAACTGTCTGTTATCATATGTAATTGGCTGTCATTGTCTTGGCCCGAGCTACTGGAGCTACCAGCAACCAGCAAGCAGTAAGCAGTAAGCAGCAACCAGCGCCAGGTTCAGTTCCAGTTTCACATTGTAAGCCCAAAAGCCTCGCATGGGGCTAACAGGCTTAGAGACAGCAGACCGCGTCTGTTGCGATGAAGTCATCTGCAGTCCATTGAATGCCGTCCTGACATTGATTTAACTGGCCCACGATAACGACCAGACATGGCCATATTACACAGCGACACAGACTGAGCAGTGAGCAGTGAGTAGTGAGTAGCGAGTACATTGTTCTATGTTCTTGATGTATCATTCTACATACACTTGCACACTCGTCGCACTCCAAGTAAATCCGGGTTACTACACAGCGAGTGGTACTCAATGGAGTCCACACACAGACACTTCACAACACACTTTTGGGGTCGTTTATTGAACCCTTTGAACGCATTGATCTGGCTGCTGTGGGAAATTAGATTTATTACATGGGGCGAAAACGATGATTATGGGAATTTGAATACACTTGAAAAATGAGAGCCAGCGCACATTCAACACATTTAAATCAAAAAAAAAACAAAAAAACATCCACCGTACCATTCACACTCATTCACAGTTGATTCGCGCAAATTGTTGCCCTCTCTTCCCCCTTCCCCCTTCCCCCTTCCACCATCGAATAACACAAGCAATGTTCTCAGTAAGTAACTGAGAATTCGAATACTGTGTTATATTACTCGTCGAATAATTAATATTTTTGAGAATCTGTTCACTATTGACCAAATTCTCGCTGTGGCAGATAATAATCAATTTCTTGCAAATAAATCTTTAAATAAAAACATGTTTGCAAATTTCAATTTAGTTTTAATCTAAAGTTCACAAAGTTACTTTCTGGTTAAACTAATGACTGTGGATCTCCTTAATTCCTCTGCGTGGATGGATCCTCTGATTCCTGTGCACTCGAGACGCTTGGGAATCGTTCAAACACCAGTTGGAACCGATCAGATTTTGTTTTGAATTTGCTCACCAAGAAAATGTTCCGAAATTTCGAAAAAATCTATTAACCTAAAGAAAGTTTTTCCAATTTCCCATAAATACGAAAAAATGTGTTTTAGCTTTATTTATTTTGTGATTAAAATAGGCACTCTTTAATTGCCAAATTTGTTGTCTACGCTTTAGAATTAAGAAAAATATTCTGTTTTCGAAAGTCACTTTCAGAAAAAAATACGTTGAGCTGACTTTGTCGCAAAAGAAATATGATTATTGTCTAAAGTCTCATTTTGTTTTCTCTGAGTGTAGTATATGACAATATATATATATATATATAAATATATATATAAATAATATGTAATATAAATATATATATAAATATATATGTGAGTTGTATTGTTTTTATCACAGTTGGCGTTATCAGAAGTTCTGATGCTGCTGCTGTCAACGCCCTAATCAACATTTAATCTTCGTGTGTAGGTGAGTGCCATTGTGTGTGTGTGTGTGTGTGTCTGTGTGTGTGTGTGTGTGTGTGTAACAGTTATGAAGCAGCCCTGTAACTGCAATCATATTTGTAGTTTTATTTATTAGATCGCTTCTTTCCATCAGCCCCATAATGGAGCAGGGGCTGAGCCTTGGTATGGGTATGGGTATGGGTATGGGTATGGTTATGGTTATGGTTATAGGTATACTGGGCGTATTGGTATGGCTCTTATCAGCAGTGCTCCAGTTTTGGGTGCCTCTTGGCCTGCTCCTATCTAATTTTTACAATTGAGTCGCTTTTTGGCGTGTGCAAGTTGGAATTGAAATTTCTTTTAAATTTCCATTTAATGATTAAAAAAAAATAAATAAAAAAATAAAAACAAACAAACAAAATGAGAACAGTTGAAATAATTTCCTGCCTGCTAATGTGTATCGAACAAAATTAATGACACCTCCCAACTATTGACATCCACTTTAATCAAATTGAAAGCGCCTACCTCCACCTGTGCGTGGCTGCATGGACGGGCTGTGGCAGATGCGGGCGGTGGTGAATGGTGAGTGGCCAGTTACAGTTTCTTTTGTTGTTCTTGTTGTTGTTGTTCTTAATAATCAATTGGGCAATTCAATATTTTATTTGTGCCATCGCATTTGGCCGCAATTCCAATTTTAATCGATATGCGCTCTTTATTATTGTTCTTTGGCAACGCGTACATTTTGTTATATATTGTTCTTTGGCCAGTCGCTCATGTTTATTTCATAGGGCAAACAGTCAGCCCATTGGCCACAAGCTTAACATTCATCAGGTATTCCGGTTTGGCTCTCTAAAGCGCTCGCCTGGACGACAGACGCCAGAAGAATGCCGGCCGAAGTCGAAGACGCAGACGAAGCCCAAGACGAAGGCGATGGCGATGACGATGACCCATAACGAGCTGTGTTGGTTAAGTTGTTGGTGGGATCGTAAGCTTCTCGCCCCATAGCACACAGATCGAAAACTTAAGAATGCGAATGCTGTAAACTTTTTGGTATTAGAATGTAAAGTGAAAGGAGTTCTACAGGTTAATGCCAGGCCAAAACGTGAAACAAAACAGAAAACAGAAGACAAAAAATACAAAATAAAAAACATCAACAAAAAAAATAAATAATAATAAAAAACGCGGTCTGCTTGGGATTCCAGAGCCACTGCCAGAGCCAGTGCCAGTGCCAATGCCGGTTTGAGAAGGTGGTGAGTAGTCAGGCAGTCAGTGTATAGTTTATGGAGAGTTGGAGAAGTGCTGGAAGTGCTGTGGGTAGCCAAACTGCAGAGCTGAGCCGTCTCTATGTATCTCTGGTTTCCATTTTAGTTCTTCTTTTTTTCTTCTTTGTTTTTTTCTCACTCAACTTCATCCGCTTTGACTTTGGCTTTGGCTTTGACTGTGGCTTTGGCTTTGGCTTTGGCGATCATTTAATGAATGAGGAATGACTCCATGGAAATTATGAGCAGACTGTCCATGTACTATGTAACTGTTCCACTCAGTTGGTTGAAGAGTTATCCACACACACACCAACACCAACACATTCCGAGTGTGTGCAGCAGACGCTTGCAGCCAGTTCGTGACACATTTGACTTGCCAAGGAAAACTGATCGCAACTCCGCTCGAACCCATTAAGAAACCATTCTTTAGCAAAAAAACCACATAAGTCAATTCTGTTTCTAATTTTACGATATCATTTCCGTAAATTATTTTTAGTAAACAAAGTTTTTGGTTCTTGGGGGAATACCATAAATTTTACAAATCTTGCCTTCTGAAAATGAAAACATAAATTTCCAATTTCGGGCCCAATTACGATATCACATTTAATTTAAATTTAAAAGATTCCCATATTTTTCCAAACTTTTTTACGTCATTTTTTCTTGCAGTAAAAATTAACTGGCTGCGAAATGCTCTGATTTCTGTGTAATGCAAATAATAATAGTTTTTAGGTTTGTGCCTGTTTAGGCATATTAAATTTAAAAAAAAATATATATATATTTTTGTCTATAATAATCAAAAGGGTTCTTTAGACGAATGTGTTCAGTACTACAAATAATTTCGTATAAAATGTATTTTGTGAAAGTAACTTTAGTTAATCAGTTCATTTTTAGAAAACTTGAAATAAGAAATCTGAAGAAACCTTTCGTGCATATTTAATTGCATTTCTTTCAATTTGATGTAGGCAAATGATTGATAATAATACTGAACTTACTTAATTATATAGCTTTAAGATTATTATATAGCTTTTGGTTTGAGATTTCAAAGTTGGTTGATTTGCAATTATGGGCCCGACTTACTCTATATATATATATATATATGTATATAGATAGGATAAATCATTATATGTAAGCGGTTGGGCAACGATTAAGATGAAGATGGCTTGAGATGGGAAATCATTATTATTATTTGCTTGCAGCATGTCAATGTCACTGAGGGAGTGGAGGAGGCTGGGTGGGGCACGAGTGGAGATCATTCAGTCAGCTGACAGATTGAATTGCCGAATTGCCTATTGTTAGCCATATGAAAAGAAATGAAATGTTGAAAATGAATGTGTGTTGTTGTGTGTGTGTGTGTGTGTATACGATGT